ATTAACACGTGCACTAGATAGAAGAAAATAAAATCGTTTACTTCAAATATTCACATAATTGTGGGTCATTTTCAAAAAGTTTTGCCCAACCTTCGACCAGTCTGCCAAGTTGATTTTGGACAAAAGATTAGCCTCATAAATAAAGGTCCACACCATAGATATACGATCCACTTTATCGGTGGATTAAAAATTTTAATCTGAAAATCAATAAAATTGCAACAATACATAGGGCCCCCCATTTAAGCGTTCTACTAATCAGAGTTTCTTTCAGGAATCTTTTTGTCTCTCGGAGAGAAATCAGAGTTTCTTCCAGGCATCTCTTCGGGGGGGGGGGGGGGGGCTTTTTTTTACCGCCCTCCCCCCCCCCCCCCCGGACGAAATGAAATTTATATAATTTATATAGAAAATATATACTTTTAACTGTGTCCGCCCCCCCCCCCCCCGAAGAAAGTCTACCGCGCCCCCCCCCCCCCCCCGAAAATTTCAAGTGCCCCCCCCCCCCCGGAGAAAAAAAGTCTGGAAGAAACACTGAGAGAAATGTCCGAAAGAAACACTAGTAACAATCTTAAATGACACTTTACATAGAGCCACCATTGTCGCGTGGCGCGCTGTATACCCTGCTCAGTAAACTGTCCCCGGTCAAAACACGCGAATGAGTTCAGTTCGAACATCGCACTCTCCACCCGCTAACCCGTTAACAATCGGCTCGTGTCAAATAACCTCCCCCTGCCCGCTAGAGGGCGCCTCGCCTTTTTCCCGCCTTCAATTAGTGATGTTGTGAGCTGAGCGTTGACACGCCAAGCAAACAAACACACTGTTACACCGTCTCGCACTCGCCTGAAATCGAAGCTAAAAATATACAGTGGGTGTCGTAAATAAACCCTTTCAGTCCATTTGCACATCTTTCTATCGGGTGCCTACACAAACGAGCCAGCTATTTCAACAAACACATTTACTCCCGGTATACTCCAAACTTCATCTGACGTCCATTTTTTTTCTTCTCTCTTGTTTATTGGAATACTGGAATACAATTCATGAACTTGATTTTCGGTACCTTCTTGACTCGATGGTCCGTTTTAATGGGAGGGGCTGGGTGAGGGGGAGGGGAGGGGGGGGGGGGGGGTTGATGTCCCTTAAATGACGTCACATTTTGACGTAACGGGGGAGAGCGAGTGTGAGTAAAATGTCTGCAGTTATTTTGAAATTTTTGATCCGTTTTGACTAAAATAATTAAAATTGCGTGCCATCATTAATAGACAGGGTGGATGAATGGTATGTCAAATGCATGACATTTTAGGGAAATATGTCCTTCTTAGTGTGTATAATTTAAAATATATATTACGGGGGTCACTGAAGAATGCACATGTGGTAAGAATGACTAATGAAATTCTGGTTCTTATTTTTCTTAAAGCGAACTTGTTACGAAAGGACGAATCACAAAAATATATACTGCTTAAAGTAGTCGAGTGGTGTAACGCGCAACTGCTAAACCAAAAGTCGCGAGTTTGAATCACTTTTATTATAGAGCAGGGGTCTCCAAACTACGGCCCGCGGGCCGGATGAGGCCTGCGATGTCCTCTCATCCGGCCCGCGGAGATCTTTTTGTCCACGGAAAAACCGTTTGTTGGTGATGGCTGAGGAACTTTACCCGGAAAAATCAAAGACATGCCTGGAAGAAACTGGCCCCCGAACTGAAATTTGATAGTTAATGCGGCCCTCGGACTGAAAAGTTTGGAGACCCCTGTTATAGAGTAATCAGGGGTCTTCCATAAACGAAGTTAAACTACTATGGGGAGGGAGGATCGTACTTTTGTGACGAGTGGATTTTTTGCATTTTTATTTAAAGTGATGTTAGAAACTTACTTTTATCCGTCATTTTTGCAAATGGCTGTTTTGTTTTTGTATTTAAATTGTAATAAATATTCATTATTCATTTGATCGAGCTCAGTAATTATTTAAGAAAAAAATCTTTAAAAAAAAAAATTTGCAATTATTTAAGAGTGGGGTCCTTAGGCTGAGGTGTGATATTTTAGGGAGTGGTCTGTTTTTGTGTGTGATAATGTGCGATGATGGGTAGGGGTGAAGTAAAACTCGTTTAAAAATGCGTGATGTCGTTTATGGATGACCCCTAAGACTATTTCCAGACAAAGAGACACCCACGAGCATTTTTTTTTTAACAATCGCTCGCAAAGTTTAAGTTGCAGAACACTCGGTTAAGAAAACTTTTAAATGGTATCAAGTGCATTTCTCATAAGACAATACATCCATTTAATCTTTGGTTAAATGTCACTTTTGGCATCTAGCTGTGGTAAAAACCAAACTTGAACTGCCGTCTGCTGCTGTTGTTTCAGCAGATCGCCACACACTAACCCCGAGTGCGCATGACTTGCCGGAAGTTGCGCGCGCGTTAACGCATCTGACCAGCAACAATGCGCTGTTGACATCAGCGGAGGTGCGGCGACACAAAAATAAACCGTCAATTGGTCACACTGGGGGTAACTTTGACACCTACTGTCTTAACGCAGGCGTGTCTTAAACTACCTTACAGTCGTGTCAGAGGCAGAGTTTCTTCCAAGCATCTCTTCTACCCCCGACCCCCTCCCACCTTCAGGAAATGGAATTTATACAGAAAACATATATTTTTACCAGTGGTCGCCAGTGTTTCTTCCAGACTTTTTTCTGCAGGGGGGGGGGGGGGGCACTTGAAATTTTCGGGGGTGCGGACTAATATGTTTGGGGGAGGTGGGGGGCGGACACTGTTAAAAGTCTATATTCCATTTCGTTCGGGGGGCGGTAGACTGTTCCGTCACACAATTAATACTAGATCAATATCAAGATAATTTATCCAAGAGATAATACAAGATGGCAAGTATCGATAAAAATCAATAAGTTACTTTACTAACATTATAACCTAGGAGGTATGGGCATACCACACGAATCAACGGCTAATAATCCGAAACGTTACTAAAGGGTACTATGCAAGGAGGGAGAAGAGACGGACAAGGACGTCATTGGATGGATAACACCAGAGATAGGACTGGGCTGCACGTTTCAAAACTACTCACAGCAGCAGATGACAGCGGAAAATCATAAGAAAATCATCTGTGGTGCCTTAACAATCTTAACTGTTAGGGGATGATTGATTGATTGATGCAAGGAAACCACATAAACAATAAAAGCATATGTGGTGCCTTAAGGATCTTAATAAGGGTTAAGGGATGATTGAACCAAGGAAACCACATAAACAATGTCTGGGTAGTAATAGGGTAGATCTAATCTAAATGTCAAGAGACAGCCATTGCTTTAAGAGACAAAAAGCAAAACTCAGGAAAAGACAACTTTGATCAACCCATGTTTTATTTCCTGTAAAATTGCACCATTTGGGGCAAGAGAAGGCATCAGTACACCTAGTCAAACCTCTGCCTTTCATTTGCATGTTTTACAGAAATATTAATGCATATATTTATTAACATAGTTTAGGCAAAGAAATATTTAAATGTGTGAAAATGAAGTCACTTCTTACACATACACAAAAATAAGAATGATTACCAACAGTTAAAACAAAAGCAGACACCCTCATCCTACACACCAAGTACACTAAATCATGAAATGTGTATGTATACATATACATTAAAAATGATTTGTGATTTAATGTGCTGAACCTAGTATAAAATTGAATCAGTGATATTAGCTGAGTAATGCTAATAATACCAAATTAAGTGACTATACCATTCAGCATACATGGATAGATATGTAGCCTATGACAATGAGAACAAACATTTCCCCCCTCAATTTATTTGGTGATCTTGTAACAAAATATTGAACTTTATACAAAACAGCAACATTTCAATAAGACAGAAGTGAAATAATAAATACAGAAAGAGGTTTTAAATTTTTTTCTACTAAAAATGTTATCCACGTTTTACAGCCTTTTAATAATAAAAAATATGTGCATCCCTTTTTCTCCAATTTAATTTTCTTTATAATTTAAAAAATTGTTAACAACTTGATTTTATTCATTTTACATTTCACACAATGCCAATTTTAGATGTAGGCCAAGTCCATACAAAATTGGCTTAGGAAATCTGTAATACATTTAAAAGCTTTCTCTTTAAACTAGTTGATATTTTTATGAGTATTGTGAACATTAGTCCAAAAGTAATTTAACATTTGCATTATTTTTTAAATATATAATGTAGAATCTAAAAAAAATTATTTTAATACTTCCATTCTAAAGTTTAAAACAATTGTTTCCTTGAAATTCACATTGAGCATAAATGTTCTTATAGTAGTGTCAACAAAGAATGATTCAAATGCTCATGGAATTTGTAAGGATACAATTTTTTAAACATTTAATTTGATCAGAAAAATATGCTATAAAATGTGTAAAGCTTTTAGTGTGAAAATATCAAATATATTGTGTAGAGTAATTTATTATCTTCAGCTTTGTTAATTGTACTGGGTTTCTTTTACAAATAGACTAATTGTTATATTTGCTATTTAGTACTTATATTAAAACACTACTTTTAAAATAAAATGGTATTTCCTTCATCAATTTTAGCTTTAACAATTTAAAAAAGAAACAGAACTAAGATAGAAAATCTTGTTAAAATGCAATTAAATAAAAATTTGGAAGTGAGCAGGTAGACAGAAAAGTTACAAATTAATGCTAAAAGTAAATAAAAATATACAAGTTTATTTGTAAGTATAAAATTTTTGTATACATAAATAATAAAACAAAAAATTTCAACATATAAAAATTGAATTGTCATATCAAAGAAAAAAATATTTTTCATGTGAGTTTTTATTTTTAATTGCACCTAGTTGTTCATAAGCAATGTTTAATTTAAAAAAAATTATGCAATTTTATACAGTTTCAGCAGTTAAAAATGTGGAGATTACAATTTTAACATTTTTTTACTATCTTGTAAAATTATTATTTTTTAAAACCTGAATGAACAGCTTATCAATACACACTTTACAAGTAAAAAAACTAACCCATAATTTAAAACTTTAAATTATAAACAAAAGAATGCACTTTGATCTTTTACCCAACAACAACAATCTATTACAGCTTTTCAGTAACTGTTGATGCAAAATTAAAAAAGGTACCAAGCATTATAAAAACAAATCCATTTATAGTATGTTGATCACATATTACAACTGTGATCAGAAGAGTAAATGTTTGACAATAAAAAAATTTTTTAAATTTATTTGCTAAGAACATTCTGAGAGAGATCTCAAAATTAAATTATTTTAAACAAGGGAAGCTACTCTATTTGTTGGTAACAATCAATATCAACTTGCTCCTAACCTTTATTGTGAAGCAAGACTAATGCATTCAACAACTGCTACCTTTGTTTACTGATATACATCTTATTATAAATATTTATAATTCCTCTATGCCAATTATTCAAAAATTTTAAATAACTCCTTGAACTTAAACAATTGTAAAGTTAGCTTATCAGAAATTTAAAAAAAAAATGATTGTTGCTACTTAATTTCAAATAAAACAAATGAAATACAATTAAGAACATATTTCAAGAATGAAATCACAGTTTTGTAACATTTAAACATGGCTTGTTAAGTAAGTTAATAGGATTAAAAAGAGGACTATAGTAGGATACCCACATATGTACAAAAACCTATTAAAAATAAAGCATATAAAGGATTAACTCAATTATGAATAGTTATGAATAACTGAGATTCAGTTAATTTCCTTTTATATAAAGTAGCGATGGAATCTTTAGGAAAATGTAATAAAAGGAACATTTTTTAAAAGTTGATAGATGAACAAATGTGTATAATTTTCCATGTATTAAGTAATATATGAAAATATTGTCTTTTTTTCTTTATTTTACATTAAGTTCATTATATAACTTTAATAAGTTACAGTTATTGCAAAATACTTTGTCAATCAGCAAAAAAAAAAATTATGGAGTAATAATATTGTAACATAATTTCTTTACACTACTTTAAACACAACAAGGTTTTTTCTCCATTCTTTCCTATGTTACATTTTGTAATGTAAAGAGCTCATATTGAGGCAAAGTTGCAATCTCCATAGTTAAATGAATAGTTCTTATCACTATCTCATAACAAAGTTGGTCATATTTTGGAACAATATGGTTCTTTTTGCACACTATCACAACTTTATGCTATTGGGTTCTGTTTCATTAATTTCATATCGGAATCCATCATTTCTTTAACTAAAGCCTGCAAAGACAATAAAATAATCACAATTACAATTTTAGTAAATGCAATGTATGAATGGTTAATGGGAAAAGGAGACAATGGATAAATGATTCATTAGAACAGAGAAAGAGTCAAAATGATGCAGATAATATGGTGCTGAGGATAATAGTTTTGTTTTGTTTAAATGTTATAAACATTATTAAGTTAACTTATCCCAAAGACACATTACCACTCATAAAAATTGTGTTAAAAAACAAGCACAACTAAAGCTGTTAAGTTTGATAGACTATAACAGATGGTGCAAATGAGCATTTCTCCCACTCCCATTGCAAGCCCATATTATTTGTTTCCATCAGGTATTTACTTTATCCCTTATGCTACACATGGTTGGATGTGGGTGACAGTTTAATCATGAAAAGTCCTATGGACTAAAGCCCCCCCCCCCCCCCCCCCCCCCCATTACCAGGGTGTTGAACTCATGGCTTGTATTTTAGCAAGTCTGTGCTTTACCACTAGATATATTTCATCTTATCAGGGGTATTCTACTAACAAACAAAAAAAACTTACATCAAAGTCATATTTCTTCTCCCACTTGAGTTTATCATGGGCTTTCTTTGGGTTACCTAAAAGTAATTCCTGAAAATAGAGGTACAAATTATTGATGTAGTTCAGGTTTTTGTAAAGTATGTATCTGTATTAGTGAAATATTCAGCATGTGGAGATTTTTTACTGCAAGAACTGTCTGTGATAAATACAACAGATATCTTCTTTAAAAAGCCTAACCTTTTATTTTTACAATTGTTTTCTCAGGGAATTTTTTTTTAATGAGAGGAATTAATTGGCATTTAGACTAAATATGCTTTTGAACAGCTTTTATTTTTATTTTTTTGAGGATAGCATTTGTTCCTAATTTAATAATAAGTTAATAATTTGAATGACTGCTTTGTTTACTAATTATTTTCTTTGTAAAAGTTCTACAAAGGGACACAACTGGGACAATATTGTGACTACTTTTAGGCCACAATGGTCCTAACTATGATCAGTTAACTAGGGGGTGTTACTTCTGATGTAAATGGTCTTGTTTATTAATTGAAAAAGTACTTACAACTTCAGTTGGTCTGTAGAACTTAGGGTTGATCTTCACTAATATATTGCCTGTGGCTTTGTCTTTACCCACTTCATTCACACCAGAACCTTCCCATCTAAAATAAAAAGCAAGTTCATTAATTCAGTTTTGGGGTATAGGATTTCTCATTTCATAATTACTTCCCTTGTCCTGTAGAAAATTGCCTGGACCTGTTCTAATAGATGCCCTCACTCCTCCCAGAGATCAGAAAACTTGACATACTTATTGATATATTTATTTTTTGCCTATAGTCTTTGAAGTGCTCTCTTTATTTAGTTATTCTCCAACACAAGTGACCCATGACACTATAATGTTGACTTACTCAATTGTTATCTGAACATTTTTAAAAGCCTTCTCAACAAATTCCCTGACACTATAATGTTGACTTACTCAATTGTTATCCCAACATATTTAAAAGCCTTCTCAACAAATTCCCTGACACTATAATGTTGACTTACTCAATTGTTATCCCAACATATTTAAAAGCCTTCTCAACAAATTCCCTGACACTATAATGTTGACTTACTCAATTGTTATCCCAACATATTTAAAAGCCTTCTCAACAAATTCCCTTACACTATAATATTGACTTACTCAATTGTTATCCCAACATATTTAAAAGCCTTCTCAACAAATTCCCGGACACTATAATGTTGACTTACTCAATTGTTATCCCAACATATTTAAAAGCCTTCTCAACAAATTCCCTTACACTATAATATTGACTTACTCAATTGTTATCCCAACATATTTAAAAGCCTTCTCAACAAATTCCCTTACACTATAATATTGACTTACTCAATTGTTATCCCAACATATTTAAAAGCCTTCTCAACAAATTCCCTGACGCTATAATGTTGACTTACTCAATTGTTATCCCGACATATTTAAAAGCCTTCTCAACAAATTCCCTGACACTAATGTTGACTTACTCAATAGTTATCCCGACATATTTAAAAGCTTTCTCAACAAATTGACTGACGCTATAATGTTGACTTACTCAATTGTTATCCCAACATATTTAAAAGCCTTCTCAACAAATTGACTGACACTATAATGTTGACTTACTCAATTGTTATCCCAACATATTTGAAAGCCTTCTCAACAAATTCCCTGACACTGTGTGTTTCACCAGTTGCTACAACAAAGTCCTCTGGTACTTCAGCCTGGAGCATCAGCCACATCGCCTAAAACATATGAGCATTCAGTTAATATGGTTTATTGTATTAAGTTGATGTTGATAAGTTCTTATGTGTAGTTTTATTTTGTAGATGCTACCATCAGCCACAGAATCTAAAACATAAGAGCATGTGTTAATATGGATAATTGTATCAAGTTTATGTTGATAAGTTCTTATGTGTAAGTATAGTTGTTGTCTTTTTTTGTATATCCTACCATCAGCCACATTGGCTAAAAAATAATAGCATTAAGTTGATGTGGGTAAATTCATTTGTGTATAGTTTTATTTTGTAGATACCACCCAACCTGAGACATAATATTATGACCATGTGGGTAAATACATTAAATCTTGTTTTGGAACATTTTATATTAATTTTGATTTTAACAATTCGGCTAAGTAGTTTTTACAAATAAAAAATGTCCTAAAATATATAATAGACTTGAAATAATAAGCTAAGAATAAATCCTAAACAACTTATTTATGTTCTGGTTAATTAAATCTTGTTTTTTTACATTTGAGTCCCATCCAAACACTTACTTCAACATAGTCTTTAGCATGTCCCCAATCTCTCTTGGCATTCAGGTTACCAAGCTCTAGATCTTTCTGCTGTCCTAAAATTATTTTGGCCACAGCTCTCGTGATCTTGCGAGTTACAAAAGTCTCACCTGGCAACACAAATAATTTATCTGGCATTACAAGAAATAAAGATTTGTTGTGGTTTGAATGCAACACAAATAATTTATCTTGCATTACAAGGAATAAAGATTTGTTGTGGTTTGAATGCAACACAAAGAATTTATCTGGCATTACAAGGAATAAAGATTTGTTGTGGTTTGAATGCAACACAAAGAATTTATCTGGCATTACAAGGAATAAAGATTTGTTGTGGTTTGAATGCAACACAAAGAATTTATCTGGCATTACAAGGAATAAAGATTTGTTGTGGTTTGAATGCAACACAAATAATTTATCTGGCATTACAAGAAATAAAGATTTGTTGTGGTTTGAATGCAACACAAATAATTTATCTGGCATTACAAGAAATAAAGATTTGTTGTGGTTTGAATGCAACACAAATAATTTATCTGGCATTACAAGAAATAAAGATTTGTTGTGGTTTGAATGCAACACAAATAATTTATCTGGCATTACAAGAAATAAAGATTTGTTGTGGTTTGAATGCTCTAAATCAGGGGTCTCCAAACTTTTCAGTCCGAGGGCCACATTAACTATCAAATTTCAGTTCAGGGGCCAGTTAGTTCCAGAAATGTCTTTGATTTTTCTGGGCAAAGTTCCTCAGCCATCACCAACAAATGGTTTTTCCGTGGAAAAAAATCTCCGCAGGCCGGATGAGAGGTCCTCGCGGGCCGCATCCGGCCTGCGGGCCGTAGTTTGGAGACCCCTGCTCTAAATGATAGGAAATAGTAATGTTGTATTTATTGGGTTAACGAATAGCAATGCAATCAGCAATAATGTCAGGTAACCTGACTTCAGTCAGATTTCAAAACAATCAACAGATGTGTTTTAAAAAAATAAATTTTAATCAGCCTTCATGACATCACTACCTATATTAATGGAAGTAGATAATTTGCTCTGTTAATGTCAGTCTACACATTTTTTTAGCTTGGCCTGTTAAAAATGTATATTTAACAGGATTTACCTATTTATGGAGGGATATAATTTTATTTTCAAAAAAAGCTAAATATAACTACAGAATAATTAAGTATCATCTGTGATAATACTAAATATGATTTTCTTAAAAGCTCTGTGGTACCTTTGCTAATATCAAGTCAGTATGTTTCAACAATTTTAGACTGATATATTCTCATGGTATTGCACTCTAAAACAACTGTCATCAGCTATGCTCTTCACTTTATTGAGGCTATTACACTTGATCAGAGCTGTTATTTCAATTTGTTAATTTTAATTTTATATTCAGAACTTAGTTAACTAATTATATATTTGGTTATAAACTTTTCAGTTGTGTGTTTGTCTGTGCACATTCTTCTGTCTGTTGTACATCACTAAAAGCATTAAGTGCAAACCTCTTCTAGGACTCTCATGGTTGAACAGGATTCCATTGACAGCAAACATATTGTAGGCTTCTCTGTAGTTGATGACCATCCAGTAGGCATACAGTTTGGCTACACCTAGTACAGGGACAACAGAACACATCAATAGAAACATACAGTTTAGCCAAGCCTAGTACAGAGAAAACAGAACATATCAATAGAAACATAGTTTGGCCTCACCTAGTACAGAGACAACACATCAATAGAAACATACAGTTTGGCCACGCCTAGTACAGAGACAACACATCAATAGAAACATACAGTTTGGCTACACCTAGTACAGGAACAACACATCAATAAAAACATACAGTTTAGCCACACCTAGTAGAGGGACAACACAAATAGAAACATACAGTTTGGCTACACCTAGTACAGGAACAACACATCAATAAAAACATACAGTTTAGCCACACCTATTAGAGGGACAATAGAACATATTAGCCACACCTAGTAAATAGTGACAACATTACACCTCAATAGCAATGCTTGATCAATATTTCATGGTGTGCCCATATCAAATGTGTTTTCTACATCAAAGGTGTGCATCTTAAATGTAATGTGTAGTATCTAGCTAAATCAACTTGTGCTATCTATATCAAAGGTGTGGTATCTATCAACAATATAAAAGGTGAGTATCTAGCTAAATCAAATGTGTCCTATCTGTCAATATCAAAGGTGATCTGTGTATCTATATCAAAGGTGTGCTATCTATTAGTGTGCTATACATTTTTATCAAAGGTGTGGTCCTATTTAAAGGTGTGGTATTTATTTACACCAAAGGTTTCTATCAATATCAATGGTGTGTTATCTAAGTTTAAGTTAAACACTATATATTTTTTCCATTATCTAGAACAGGAACAGCATCCACTGAAACAGTTTAGTATTTGATGTTGTCCTGAATTTAAAGATGAATAAAATCACTGTTTAGATTTTAGCTTATGTTGGATGTAGTAATCAATAGGAATTCTTTTCAAATAAAAGAAATGCAACATGTGATTTTAATTGTATCCATACATTCTATTGAATTTCTCAATCAATAAGGATTACAGTGCTCCTGTAGTAGACATAGTTAAACCAGCAGTTTAAGGTGAGGGTTTGTATGGGGTGACTGAGTCACAAGCTTGTTTCAACAATACAGCACAGGTCAACCTAAATGTTTCAATACAAATCTAATGAAACGACAAGAACAAACATTTTACCATAAGGAGATCTGGGGTAGAAAGGCGTGGTTTCAGACTGTGGTGTCTCCCTAACCAATCCATACAGCTCACTGGTTGAGGCCTGGTAGAATCTAACCTGAGGGTGGAGACATGGTTTATATACTACATGTGTAGAGTGGGGGGGGGGGGGGAGATGGACAGAGGGGACTTCTTGACCAAGCCATACAGCTCACTGGTTGAGGCCTGGTAGAATCTAACCTGAGGGTGGAGACATGGTTTATATACTACATGTGTAGAGTGGGGGGGGGGGGGAGATGGACAGAGGGGACCCACTGACCAAGCCATACAGCTCACTGGTTGAGGCCTGGTAGAATCTAACCTGAGGGTGGAGACATGGTTTATATACTACATGTGTAGAGTGGGGGGGGGGGGGAGATGGACAGAGGGGACCCACTGACCAAGCCATACATCTCACTGGTTGAGGCCTGGTAGAATCTAACCTGAGGGTGGAGACATGGTTTATATACTACATGTGTAGAGTGGGGGGGGGGGGGGGAGATGGACAGAGGGGACCCACTGACTAAGCCATACAGCTCACTGGTTGAGGCCTGGTAGAATCTAACCTGAGGGTGGAGACATGGTTTATATACTACATGTGTAGAGTGGGGGGGGGGGGGGGGGAGATGGACAGAGGGGACCCACTGACCAAGCCATACAGCTCACTGGTTGAGGCCTGGTAGAATCTAACCTGAGGGTGGAGACATGGTTTATATACTACATGTGTAGAGTGGGGGGGGGGGGAGATGGACAGAGGGGACCCATTGACCAAGCCATACAGCTCACTGGTTGAGGCCTGGTAGAATCTAACCTGAGGGTGGAGACATGGTTTATATACTACATGTGTAGAGTGGGGGGGGGGGGGGGAGATGGACAGAGGGGACCCACTGACCAAGCCATACATCTCACTGGTTGAGGCCTGGTAGAATCTAACCTGAGGGTGGAGACATGGTTTATATACTACATGTGTAGAGTGGGGGGGGGGGGGGGGGGATGGACAGAGGGGACCCACTGACCAAGCCATACAGCTCACTGGTTGAGGCCTGGTAGAATCTAACCTGAGGGTGGAGACATGGTTTATATACTACATGTGTAGAGTGGGGGGGGGGGGGGAGATGGACAGAGGGGACCCACTGACCAAGCCATACATCTCACTGGTTGAGGCCTGGTAGAATCTAACCTGAGGGTGGAGACATGGTTTATATACTACATGTGTAGAGTGGGGGGGGGGGGGGAGATGGACAGAGGGGACCCACTGACCAAGCCATACAGCTCACTGGTTGAGGCCTGGTAGAATCTAACCTGAGGGTGGAGACATGGTTTATATACTACATGTGTAGAGGGGGGGGGGGGGTGTCCCATGCAGATAACATATAGATACAGGGGTTTAAATACAAAGAACTTCTCATTAAGCTCATTAAGCAACATTATACCCATACTGATGAGATTAAAAAATAAACACATTCAGGGGTCAAATACAGGCTGTGCTGGGATCATCTAACCCTCTAAGCTAATTGAGTGGCAAGGACAGTTGGGAATATATATAAAACTATTTTTTGAAATAAATCCTTTTCTTTCTTAGACGATGGAAATTTTTTAATAAAATGTATTTTTTCTTAAGAAGATATATACATAAATACAAGTTAATTATCATTTAAAAAAGAAATTTAAAAGCCTGGGTTGTTTTGCCCACATGAATTGATTATCACATGATTTTAGTTTAATGATAATATTGATGGTTTTTTATTTCCAACTTGATCGTTACAATGATGGTTTTATTACTAACTTGATATTCCAATTAACACATTATCACATACTTACAATAGATTTTGTGTCACATTATTATTCCCTAACTTTTAAGTTCCCCCAACACTTGGCCAAGTCTTGATGGGCAGGTATTGACTAAACACTAATTAGCGTGAGCACATGTCAAACATTTTACTTCCTAGTTTTATGCTCATAAAATCTGGACTCACTTTATTGGTCAGGTGACATGTGCGGATAGCATCCAGTAACCTGAGTGTACCAACAGCATCCACATCCGCTGTGTACTCTGCAAGCTCAAATGATACCTACATAGAAGCAAACACAGGTTATTTATTATTGGATTATCCTATATAGATGAAACAATCAACAGTTTCATTAGTTATATACTATTCAAATCATGAAACACACTGAATTTAGATAAGGCTGGAGGTCTTGGTTTATCATGCATGTAAAGACCAATCAATAAACATCTGCAGCAACTATTTACCATACAACAGATTACACATTTTTCTTCAGCTCAATATACCTGGCACAGCTGTTCTCTAACATCTTTACCTTTATAAAAAGCCATGCCCTTGAATAAAATATATATGATGGTATGCTCATCCATTCTCAGGGTACATGTTGGAGGAAACCCTCCCCCGCACCCCCAATAAACAATTTTTAGAAAAAATATGACCAAGATATTAAAAACTAATTTAATATAGATAATAGAAGCATTGCTGAATGTTTCTATTATAGTAATATAAGAACACCGCCACACATAGTAGTAATGGTAGCATTGCTGAATGTGTCTATTATAGTAATATAAGAACACCATCACACATGTTGTTGATTAAAGACTAAGGGAGTATGAGAGGTTGACTATTTTTAATGGTGATAAGCCATTGGAGGGTGAGGGCTGAGACACATGTTACACAGCAAAAGATAAAATTTAAATTTTTGTTACTTATATTTATTGGGGGGGGGGGGGGAGAGACAGAGGGGCTGGATCTTTATAACATCATATTACTGCGGGACCATCATCTGGTCTCATGAGACAATAATGGGGATATGGGGGTGAAAATATGCAAAATATACCTTGACATATTCATTCATGGATAAGCCCATTAAGATTAAATGGCTTTCTACATTATACAATGAATTGATGATCTATAGCACTTTAACTTATCAGATTAGCAGCTCAAGAATTTTTATCTTAGTAAACTGACCACACAGTTGACCCTGGTTGAATAAGCCAACAGATACGGAGACTGACCTTAACATGACTCTGGGCAGCAAGATTGTAGATCTCTGAGGGCTGGACCTCACTGATAATTTTGACCAGGCAGGTACTGTCAGTCATGTCACCATAGTGTAGGTGCATACCTGTGATAGTCAATAGCTTTAGCTACATTCCACAGAGACCACCCCACACCACTTACTTAGTAACACTGTTACATCAATAGATACAATCTATTTTACTGGAGTGATTTGGTTATAAGGTAAATGTAAAAAGAAGGAATTCTGCTGAAGACTAAACTGCCTGTTTTTCTCCATTAAAGTAGTTCAAGGCTGTAACTAAGTAACTCCCAACAAGAAAAATACATTAAATCTTTACTGTACTAAACAATATTTAAGCTAAATGTGTTAAGTGATTTGTTAGGTATCAGAAAAACCAAGTATTCCCCCAAGTAGGTGAATAGAACACCTACAGTGATGTTTGTTGAGTTAGTATTGAAGTGATATCAGCTGCTAATGTGATATTAATGGTACAATATGAAAGCTTGAAAACATATAGACTGCAGGTAAATGTGACTTTAAAAAATATTTCTATATCTGCTGTAAGTGCTCATCTTAAAACAGACTGCAGACAAAAAGACACCTGATTATTGCTTCACTGTACCAAACCTGTATTCTTTAGAATACAGGAGACACATGGTCATAGTATTAAGGGAATTGTATTATTCAAGGGCCCAAAACATAGTTACGGTTACTGTTAGATATGGGAAGAATAATGAGTTAATAATGTTTTTAATTAATTTAATTCCAGGTCATTTGCACATCACAAGGAAAAATATATACTTAATGAAATGAGAAAATAAAATATTTTTCTATTTTTTTTTAAAAAGGTGGAAAGGTCCAAAAACAAACAAAATGGGCAAGAGTCAGTTGAACCTCCCACATACATACTTGACTTGTAGCTAGTTAATGGCAAGCTTTCAGCTAGTAAAATAAAACAAGACCAGTTAGGGGTACATAACAGCTTCGTGCTTAAAGAAATATTTTTGTAGATGTGTAGGTCATATAACAATGAACTCTCTGTCACACCCCTGCCATTACAGACCTAGAGGGTGTCACACCCCTGCCATTACAGACCTAGAGGGTGTCACACCCCTGCCATTACAGACCTAGAGGGTGTCACACCCCTGCCATTACAGACCTAGAGGGTGTCACACCCCTGCCATTACAGACCTAGAGGGTGTCACACCCCTGCCATTACAGACCTAGAGGGTGTCACACCCCTGCCATTACAGACCTAGAGGGTGTCACACCCCTGCCATTACAGACCTAGAGGGTGTCACACCCCTGCCATTACAGACCTAGAGGGTGTCACACCCCTGCCATTACAGACCTAGAGGGTGTCACACCCCTGCCATTACAGACCTAGAGGGTGTCACACCCCTGCCATTACAGACCTAGAGGGTGTCACACCCCTGCCATTATGGACCTATAGGGTGTCACACCCCTGCCATTATGGACCTAGAGGGTGTCACACCCCTGCCATTACGGACCTAGAGGGTGTCACACCCCTGCCATTACAGACCTAGAGGGTGTCACACCCCTGCCATTACAGACCTAGAGGGTGTCACACCCCTGCCATTACAGACCTAGAGGGTGTCACACCCCTGCCATTACAGACCTAGAGGGTGTCACACCCCTGCCATTATGGACCTAGAGGGTGTCACACCCCTGCCATTACAGACCTAGAGGGTGTCACACCCCTGCCATTACAGACCTAGAGGGTGTCACACCCCTGCCATTACAGACCTAGAGGGTGTCACACCCCTGCCATTACAGACCTAGAGGGTGTCACACCCCTGCCATTACAGACCTAGAGGGTGTCACACCCCTGCCATTACAGACCTAGAGGGTGTCACACCCCTGCCATTACAGACCTAGAGGGTGCCACACCCCCTCCATTACAGACCTAGAGGGTGTCACACCCCTGCCATTATGGACCTAGAGGGTGTCACACCCCTGCCATTATGGACCTAGAGGGTGTCACAGCCCTGCCATTACAGACCTAGAGGGTGTCACACCCCTGCCATTACAGACCTAGAGGGTGTCACACCCCTGCCATTACAGACCTAGAGGGTGTCACACCCCTGCCATTACAGACCTAGAGGGTGCCACACCCCTGCCATTACAGACCTAGAGGGTGCCACACCCCTGCCATTACAGACCTAGAGGGTGCCACACCCCTGCCATTACAGACCTAGAGGGTGTCACACCTCAGCCATTACAGACCCCTGCCATTACAGACAGAGGGTGTCACACCCCAGCCATTACAGATCTAGAGGGTGTCACACCCCAGCCATTACAGATCTAGAGGGTGTCACACCCCAGCCATTACAGACCTAGAGGGTGTCACACCCCAGCCATTAAAGACCTAGAGGGTGCCACACCCCTGCCATTACAGACCTAGAGGGTGTCACACCCCAGCCATTGTGGACCTAGAGGGTGTCACACCCCTGCCATTACAGACCTAGAGGGTGTCACACCCCTGCCATTACAGACCTAGAGGGTGTCACACCCCTGCCATTACAGACCTAGAGGGTGTCACACCCCTGCCATTACAGACCTAGAGGGTGTCACACTAGCCATGGTGGAGCTATGGGTGCCATAACACCCCAGCCATTGTATAGCTACAGTTTCACTAAAAACCAGGCCACCCAAAATATAAATTAAAATGTACAAAACTTTCAAAAAAAAGCTTCTCTTTAAATAGTAGAAAATAAAACAACAAATAAAGAAGTCTTAAAACTGGCTGCATTCAGTATTGGTTTTAAAAAGCTTAACAGAACATACTGGTGATATAGTGGGCAGCAATAGAAAGCAATTAATTAATTTAAAATTCTATTTAAAACAGTTTTGCATAACATTTTGATCAATCGTGAGTAAAATATTGAAGGATAATATGCTGCTAAGTTTTGCTGAAATGCTTGGCATATAAACATATAAGTGTATTAAATTAAAAAATTAAAAAATTAGATGATAATGGGCTGAAAGATATTTTTGAGTTTTTGTTTTTAAAAAATGCAGTGGTAGGTGTAAATGTATTCAAAGCAATTTTAAAATGAATAAAATATATAAAATTTGATTAAATAGCAGTTTTTTTTTTAAATTGTCAAATACCAGTTGATAAAACTATATAAAAATTGAGTTTAAAATTATTTTAAATGTAGCTGACAATATTTTAAAGAATTATAGGGCAGTCCTATCAAATGGGCTTGGCTAAACCAGAGAGAAAAAGTAAACATGAAATAATCAGAAAATTAAGCAAAGGATATTTTCAATAAATCAGAAAAGCACACTTAACAGCACAAAATACAAAGTCAAACATTAAAACAAAATTGTGAGAAACTTGCAGCTATAATGGGACTTTATATAACTATCTATATGTATATATGAATGTATGTATATGTGTACATATTATATATAGATAATATATGTGTATATATATATATATACATAACTATGTCTGAATACATTTATGTATAGATAAAGACATATATATATTTAAGAGAGTAAGAGTGGGGTTATTGTTCTCAAAATATATGGTAGTCAATGTAGCTGTAGGCATTAACCAAAGAAACTACAAATATAAAAACCACTTTTTTAAAAAACCCTTGGTGACTTACCTCCCCGTTGTGATTTCTCACCTTAAAAGAACAGAAATCTTCTATGATCATAGTCAATGTTTTTTTTTTTTTTGGGTTAACACGAGAAAAAGTAGATGAGCAATAGCATCTTTTTAAAAAGGGTCATCAATAATCAATATCAGGAAACTTCACTGTTGTGACGTTCTAATGTCAGACAATGCTATCACCACCCTAATACAACGTCATCGTGTTTCCACCTCCACTCTCCACCCCTCGATACACACACCCCTTTTTAACAAAACATGCAAATTTTTTTCATTTGTTTTTATTTTATTTATTAGCATTCAGATAAATAATGTATGCCCACGTCATATTTGATTCCCCCCCCCTCCCCTCCCCCACCCTTCACAAATGCGACACGTCATGATTTATCGATGACCCTTTAGTGGAGGCTTATTTATGTAGCCCTCACGGAATGAGAGTAAATATGTTTTCTGATCTATTCTATTACTTTTTTCAATTTTCAACTTTCTTTTTTTTCTGTCAGAGAAAAATTAGTTACGTTTACGGTGGGTGGGTTTTAAAGGGCGACACTGCATTTACAAGTTCAGTTTAAGTAAATCCCAATACGTGGGAATGTAACAGGCGGGTAAAAGGGGAGCGCATCTACTTGCGACACGCAGCTTTACGTGGCCTCGCGAGTTATCCAACCTTGACAACACGCCACCTGACGTCAACAGACTAGGTGGGGGACCTCAAGGCGTGTTGAATAAAACCAGATATCGGGCCGTCTGGTTCGCGTCCGGAAGTGGGACGTGGCAGAAGGTCTTTTGGGAAATGTTTCTTCAAATAAACTGCCTTGGTACTTCTACAAATCCGACCAAACCCTTCACGCGATCTAAAAGCGCCGGCGTGTGAATAAAAAGAATGCGGGGCTACACCTTGCTGTAAACTTTTAGTCCCTAACTCTCCACCAAGATATTGCTAGATCTATATTCATTTCTTATTCATTTCGTTGAGACCGACACGTAGTCGCATTGAATATAGATTCTAGTATTGATCTACTACTGTTAAAACGAAAATGCGATCTCTAATATTGGAAAATGTGTCTTCTATATTACGTCCTAGGACACACATATGTAACATGCTCCAAGGAACAATGAAAATTCTACGGTCCATTAAACGGTTTAAATTCTACGGTCTATTTAATCAAACAATTCCCCGTAACTGGATACCCTCTAAACCTGCTCTAAGTGTTAGCGCCCGTGTCACATAAAAACTGGGTGGAAGCTACGAAGAACAATACAATGTAAAGCATGTCTATCAAAAGCCAAACGATACATATTTTACAAGTTCCGTGAGCTATACAGTCGACTCCGCTTAATTAGAAAACATCTGGATTGCGGTGTTTTGTCACAAGCCGATGACCCGAATATACGTTAAAATTAATGTATTTCCAGGATTTATTTAATTTGGCTCAAATAAATGACACATTTAGGTGTCCCGATTTAGCGGAATCGACTGTACATCACAAATCGTAAAAAACTACATAAAGACTAATTTGCGTGTAATCATTACTAACAGAATCTAGAGGCCATAGAAATTATTGCCGACCATTGTCCCATACGTTCACGACGTCTAGCACGGAAATGTATTTTAACCAGTGAATCTCCATGGAATCGGGGGGGGGGGGTCATCACATAATTTTGAGAAGCACTACAAAAACACCCTACAGTGTTATAGCTAATATACACTAACACATATCCTTTCATAAAGGTATTTGATTGTAAGTACATATGTGCATATAACATAGGTAAGTATAGACGTTCAAATGTGGTTGTCACAGCTGAGTAGCTGAGACAGTAACCTTAATTGAACTATATTTCTTTTGGCCGGTCGAGTGTGGTAGTTCAACAATAAGATGTAGCTTACTTTAAAATACGAGCTTGAGATTTAGCTGAGTGGTGGGGGGGGGGGGGGGAGGGGGGGGGGGCGTGACGTCAGGATAAAAATAATTTTACAAAGCCATCTCTGCTCCAGCCTAATGGCATTTCAAAACTTCACGTTAGCACAAGATTGGTTCTTATAATATGGGAGTCAGGCGGATCACATTAGGTTAGTATTGGACAACAGACAACCGAATAACAAGGAAGCTGACGGAAGTGGATCCCTCCGATGACATGTATAGCTGAGTACTTGAATCTAACCCTTCTATTTTCTAGGTATTAGGGGATATCAAGCCTTTGTGACAGTACTGTGACACGTACTTTCAAATTAAGGTTACGTCTGTATAGAGTGTGTGTGCGGGGGAGGGGGGGGGGGGGTCCAGCGCTAACATTAGTATATTTACTAACAGATGACCACTACGACAAACACTGACATGATGCATACTAAGAGATGACAACTACAACAAACACTGACATGCATACAAACAGATGACCACTACAACGAACACTGACATGCATACAAACAGATGACCACAACAACGAACACTGAAATGCATACAAACAGATGACCACTACCACCAACAAAGCGGTACTTACTTCCTTCCTTATGTGCCTGTGGGTCAGCATACAGGTGCTCTATCCTGTGTGTGTTGAACGTGGACGCTCTCCGAATGATGCCGTGGACCTAGGACACCAACAGGTATATAAAATACCTAACAAACATAGCCCCGAAATTTAGAGTTTGAAACAAATGCCATGCATCCTTGTGGTTTAAATAGGATGCAAGCTAAATTAAATGTTTTATAAATGCTTTGTATTCTCTGCCCTCTCTTAATCAGCTACTAACAAGTGCATATAACATCAAGTTTTGACATGATTTTGTTTACTAGCGACATCACATACGTCAGTTGACCTGGCATAACGGATGTACTATTGCTCATCGATTTACCATAATCAAACCAAAAGATTCGACTAACGGACATCGCCGTAATGGATATTTTTACCCTTAGTATTTGCACGAAGTATTGGCGTTGAAGTGTTGCTACAGGCTATACTAGCTATACGAATGTGCTGATATGGGTGATCACTGAGCTCTGATTCACCACTTCTAACTAGTTAAGCCTACGAGAACACAGCAGCTGTATGTGTATTATACCAGATCACGATATGTAAAACAATACCCTACGAGACAAAGAGCACCCCGCCCCGCTAAACACATACGGGATACTCATGTATCAAATCAACAAACTGTTTAATGACTGGTAATTTTTGTATTGATTCTATGTCGATCATGACGGCTGACGACAATATGTCTTGTCCGTGGGGTGCTAAATGTACACACGACAAACACACCCACAGTAGAGCGTGTCAGTTGGTCAGAGAAATGTTCGTGTCCGTGCACGCTAAATTGTGTAGTTCTACACACAACCAGGTTTAGATGAGCAGCCTAAATGGCCTGGATGGAATAACCTTATACAATGTAGTGGTCTCCTTGTTTAGAGTTCCATCAAATGTCTTGGGAAATACGATGTATTTTTTACTGTTACGGCAATCTATAGACCACCGAGCCATTTTATAATTATATAATGCCGGGTTCCTCACTTTACCGACGTCATGTATTCTCAAATTAAAGGGGGAGGCGGGTTATAAGGTGTCAACGTGAGATGGGGCGCTTTTCTGTACACACTCGGTGTCATTATAGCAACTATAGCAATACTCGACCCGAGTATTGTTATAGGAATATAACCGTTCTAGGAGATGGGAGTTTACAATACAAAATGTAAATTTCAAAGAGACTTCATTTACTGAAATCTACGACAGACTATCTAATAAGACCGTCAATGGTGGAACTGCTCACTGAGTGCCCTAACATACAGGAGCATAGTCACACACCTACATTGACGTCATGGTACAGGTATTTAAACAGGGGGGGGGTCAAGTGATGGACTTCACTGAGTACCCTAACATACAGGAGCATAGTCACACACCTACATTGACGTCATGGTACAGGTACTTAAACAGGGGGGGGGGGGGGGTCAAGTGATGGACTTAATCAACAGAACTATTTACTACAACAGCTGAACATTGTGTCAATTGACGTCAGTTTTTACCTCCTCAGATGCTATCATCAGTGACTGACCAATAAGAGATAGATAGTGTATCTAAGGGAGGCTACTGGATGTAACCCAGGTGACGACCCCTGTCACATTCTCGAGATAAGCCAACCGTAGAGTTCATCATCAGATTCTATTGCTAATTCATTATCAATTATATAATTCATTATCAAAGTGGGTGTACCACATTGCACAATCTTTCTCAGGGGAGAACTGCTAGGGTATCACATTTAGGGCGAAATAAGTTTCACCAACAGCTCTATATCAACGTTACATTTACAAATTAATTGTGTAGACCTTTGCCTGTTGTGACAGAGATAATGTACTACTACAATATTCTCAAAGAGGGGAAGTAATTTACATGGGGATCAAGATATATAAACCCAGGACCTTATGGGTTTTATGAATAGAAAATCTAAACACGTAAACAGAAATGGCATAAATACATACAAATCGGCACAAATGGCCCATACAAATTGTGTGCCAGGAAAATTTGTTTTTTAATCTATACTTAACAGCGCTTATAAGGTTCTTTTCTTCACAGGGCTTATCTTAGTTTTGTTTTCCTCCTAATCCCCAAAGGGTTCATATAAAAAAAAGATAATTCATAGACCTGTGTAACACATTTAGTATCAGCAGTAACATATTGCAAAGTATTGTATATTAATTCTGATAGTAGTTTGAGGTTGTATTGGCTGGAATTGTCTTTTTTTTTAACTTCTGCTGTATTTTTGCTATTTTTTTTGTGTTTGTTGTGTTCAGAATTTTTTTTAATGCTTCTCTGTCAGAGAATACTGATTGTCTAGTTAACTAATATTAGCCTCCACATACAAGAGTATTTGGTCATTATCTATAGACAATCACTTGTGGCAACACAAAACATAAAGTAACAAGTAACTAATTCTCTTCTTATCATACAAGGAAAAGATATTGCTTACCTCGTAACCCTTATTTAGAAGTAATTCAGCAAGATAAGAACCATCCTGGTAGGAAAAAAAAATTAATTTTAATTCCCAAGAAATTATTTATCCTCAGTTATTTAAAAATCAAAATAGAACATTAAAGAAGTTAATAAATGAAGTTATAATTGAAATTGAATTTGATTTTAGATTTTAAAAAGCCACGGCCAAGTGAATAGCATAAAGAATTTAATGATATTATTTCACCAAACAGAAAATGTAATGTGGTAGCAAAATAACAAGTAGATCTAGGCCTATTCAGTCTTCCCTTAACTTCATGATCTAAAAAAAAAAACTAAAAAATTAACAACTAGTTTTCATTAATTGCCACATCTTACCGGGTACCCACATAATCAATATATAGATCCATAGCTGGCATTAAAAATAAAAGCTTTAAATAAAGCTTTATACTAAAATAAACAGTCCTTGGGATAAATTAAATTAAAATGGTCAAAGGTGACTAAATATAGATCTATCTAGGACTGAACTTATAGATCTAATGTAAAATGTAGCATCACTAGCTAGAGTAGTTAGTATAGACTCAGTCTAAGACTGTATAACTAAATGTACCAGATCTAGAATAATGATATCAATGTACTCTTACCTCTTGTATCTAGAAATCTTGATCTAAAGTTAAAGAGCCCGAGGCCTAAAGACTAAAAAGTAACTAAAGAATACTCAAATTGTCCAAGATATTGAATCATCATTCATTCATCATTGTTGGGATGGCGTGGGGTGTGGTAAAGTGTTTGGCAACTAGCCCGAAGGTTTTGAGTTCGGTTCGGACTTGTGACTGTAGGACATCCCCTCTAGACTCTAGATCTAGTTATCGTAGTGACTAGTCCACCCAGCTCTGATGGGTACCTGACTTACATTGGGGAAAGTAAGAATGCTGGGCATGGCCAAGCATATAATACTATAACTGGCATAGTGCTGACCACACCATCCCTTCAAGAAACATGAATTCTACTTCACCTGCTCATTAGATCCCAGGTCTAAGTCTAAATTCTAAATGTAGAGTTGAATAGGCCTAGCTGTAGGGCCTATCTTTTTTTCTATTCATCATTATTGTTGAATAATTGATTGTTGATTCATCGAAAAAATTAGATAGATATTCTAGATCTAGACTAGATCTGGTGTCTAGACTAGTCTAGAGTTCTTCTAGATTCTAGATCTACCTTTACTTAATCACTTTTTTACCAAATTCTCTAATTTAAGTAATTTTAAGTAGAATCTAGATTCTAGGTAGACTAGCTTAGCTAGGCCCTACTACAACAGTACAGTCTCTACTACTCTCTACAGCCTGAGTTACCTAGCCTAAAGTAAAGTAGTTTAGTTTAAAGTAGTAAAAGTAGGCCTAATTTACTTATTACTAACCTGCCCTGTAATCCCTGTAATGAGAGCTACTTTACGTGACAAGATAGAACTGTTCATGATAGCAGCACGTTTATTTTAACTCTAGTTATAATGACAATAAACAAATGGTCTAGACAAGATCCTGCTAGGTCTACACTACTACACACTGCACAGAAAGATATATCGTCGTATGTGTTGAAGCCGGTACTTATACACACAAAACTAAGAAGCCAGATCAATGTTTCGAAACCAGCTGCCAAACATTTTTATCGTGAATTCTATAATTTTTTTTCATTTAGGGGGAGGGGGGGAGTGGTTGTTGGTAGTTTTTACAGCGATTAGTACATATTTTAAAAATAAACTCAACAAATCACTAGCTAGTTGTTTTATAATTATATATCTAACGAAAACATTGGAGTTAATTTTTGCACCCATGCTTGTCTATTTAATTTTGTCGTGCAGAGGCGTAGCGACACATTCCGCACCCCCCCACCCTAAACGACCCACTTATATTATAATAATAATATAGCCTATAGCTATTTGTTTTGTTGCTTTAAAAAAAGTGCCCCCCCCCCCCCTTGTATCTTATTGTCGCGCAGTCGATATTAAATAGTTACATAAGTCCGTAAAGCATGCTGTCCATATTCTTTACTTAAAACAATATTGCAACTCAGAATGAACTTTTAATTATTATTTTTATTATTTGGTGCCTTCTCCCCTCCCCCCCCCCTATATTTGCTGACCTACAAATGTTTAATTGGTCGGTAATTAAAGATGGTGTGGTGAATTTTTTTTAAAAAAGTTTGTTTGGTTAGTGGCGTCACAATGTCGGGTGTTACCCTATGTGTTTACTAAAGGTGTTACACCATAGTCTCCAACAAAGAATTTTCAGTGGGGTGTCACCCCTCCCTCGCTAATCTTTTATTATTTTAGCTGGATACAATTTAGTGTTGACAGTAAATTTTACAATGTTTTTTCATGGTGTCACGCATAAATGTTTTCATTAAATGCGGAGCGCACCTCTGCCCCCGCCTTGAAACACTACTGTGTTTGTTTACTTAGAAAAAAAATCTAATTAACTGTAAGCTTGTAATATTTTTACAACATATTGATATAGTATAAATACACAGGACGTATAAAATATAAAATGTACAGAATATTTATTTAAACTCCTCCATCATATGTGGCGGTTGATTTCTTCTTTAAACTCTATTGTAGCCTGACGGCTGACAAAGGGGCCCACTGATAATTTTTGCATAGGGGCCCGAAAATCCTAGCTACGCCACTGCTTGTAATATTATGTTTACGAGCTTGAATATTTCATCGTTTACTTGGTACCAGGGGCGGAACTACCATACCGCCAGACCCCGCAATGCGGGGGGGGGGGGGGGGGCAGGACGTTTAGGGGCCCAGTTCCGACCAAAAACAATGAATTTTTTTTTTCAAAAATTATGTTTTCATGCATCTTGAAAGTGGTTTTGTAAAAAAAAATAAAAAAAAAATAACAGGTCTACTATAGCAGAGATTGTTGAGTAGAATAATAATCATTAAAAAAGTTTTAAAAAACCCACCTTTTCTGATTGAACTAAAAAGTAGAAAATAAATGTTATACATCACAATAATGCAAGCGATCACTCTACTATAAGCGATGAAAAACGTGGGGCGCCGAAGTAAAAGTTATATTACTATTGATTAGATAATACTATTGACTTTTATTAGGGAGCTTGTAGAGAGTCAACAGTATTAGAAACTGTAAGAAAATCACGGCGCCCCACGTTTTTGATCGCTTATAGTAGAGTGATCGCTTGCATTATTGTGATGTATAACATTTATTTTCTACTTTTTAGTTCAATCAGAAAACGTGGGTTTTTTAAAACTTTTTTAATGATTATTATTTTCTACTTTTTAGTCTTTGTCTGTTTGTTTGCATTGAAATCTTGCTATCGATTTTATCTTTTCACTTTTTTTGGGTAAACGAAGACAACTCGTAAAAAGACAACTCGTAAAAAACGAGAGACCCTTTCTTCTTCGGTCTCAATCGCAAGTGAATGATTGTCAGAGGTTAGTTGATAGCGGTTAGGACGAGGGCTGGTTACTGACTAGAACACATAGATTTGAACCCGAGTGGGATAGCAATCGTGTGCCCAACCACTCGACCATATCGTCTCCCCCAAACTGGCCTACCTCCTGTAAGTTTAAACTCGGTTCAAACTAAATTATCTGCCCCTAAGCCTGTGGCGACGTGGGATCGTTCGCTTCACTGCGCGCGAGGTACGCGTCGCTCGTTTTTTTTTCTAATGGCTCGCAGAGGAGAATTATATATATAGATTATATAGCGGTCTAAAATGCTCAATAAAATGTTTCCATTGATCAAATTAGTAATAATAACAATTGGATATTCTATGGTCATCCAAAAGAAAGCTTCCCTGAAAATTTCAGCGCGCTAGCTAACTGGGAAGTGCCAGAAATTTCGATCGCAAGATTGGATTGGAAAAACAGACAAACAGAGAAAGCAAGTTAAAGAAAACGTGGGAAAAATATTTTAAAATCTACAAGAGCTATAGTTTGAAAGGTAGGTAAACATTCACACTACTTCCATGACTTACTGCCCTTCTTTAAAATAGGGATGCCCACGAAGCTCATTTAAATAGTTTTGTACTATGTATATTAAAAAGCAATTGATTCTCTGAATTGTTAATTAAATAAAACGTACTATACAATAGTATAGCTATAAAAATCATTGTTTTCAAAATTGATATTATAAAAGCCAAAAATTAAAAAAATAAACATAACGCGAGAAACCATTCACGAATCAAGCTAACGTCTTTATATATTTTTGACCGGCATTTTATACTTCTTATGCTGTTACGCTTCAAATGAGTTTGGACTAATTTTTTTCTGGTTTGTTCTGTTAGAATGGTTATATATTGCAATGAAGTAGACCAGGGGTCGGCAACCTGCGGCTCGCGAGCCGCATGCGGCTCTTTTGGTCTCAAGATGCGGCTCTTCAGCTCGATGCACAATAATTAATTATTTTATTTTATTTTTAAAACTCATAAAAGTATTAGTTTGCAACACTCGGAGATGAACGATATAATAATAAATATAAACAATAAAACACTCGCTATTCTATGAGAATATTTAGTTTCTCCCTATTTCAATGTACTTCCTTGTTTTCTAAAGCTGAGTTATTTAAGTTTAAACAATGCCTGTGTTTGGATCATATTTATCGGGGCACTGGTTACCTACACTACCGCCTACCACCATGGCGTGCTGTATGAAAGCTTTGAGTGTAAGTTAATCACTCACCGTAATATCTCCGTTAATCACTCACCGCCTATTTGTCGAGGACGGAATGTGGCGCTCTAGTGAACCTGATTACACTACCGCAGGGGCGATGCGTAGGGCCCTAGCTCGGTTTAATCATCGAATGTCGTATTGTAGGGTGCTCCTTAAAACTAAAGTAGGCGCTTGGTGCTCGCAGGATAGCCCTGGGCGCCAAATCGCACCCTGCAGAGAAGCCGGAGGACGCGCCTGATTCGATTTAGTGAGCGACTAAAGCAACGCGTGTCTATAGTCTATAGTGTATAGCCTATTTTTAAAATTGAACTCTTCTTCTTCTTTTTCGTTCTTAATTTTTAGTGTTGGATCAAGCTTTATCTGCCAAAGGGTTCGAACTCGAGACTTTTTCGAATTTATCAACCATGAGCTTTAGCCAACTCGACCATGCTTCCATCACAATTAAGGATTACGTGTCAACTGGTTATGCGCCATTGAGGCCATTGACTCCGATTTCCGCCTGCTTTTCATTTTGGATTTGCTTCCATAGCCTTTGTCCAACCAAGAACAAACTACAAGGCAGCAGTTGTTTGATTTTGGAGTTGTCTCTCCTAGAAGAGTGGCTGTGCCCAGCTAACGAGTCTCGGGTGACCGAGGGTTCGAACTCGAGACTGCAGTTTTGCCGCTGAATATAGTAGTACCCCTTACCCGCTATGCAGAACGCCCGATTAACGGATGCCAAGTACTAACATAGACGCCGCTCATAAAAAAAAAATGATTTTTTTTGTACAAACCTCTCCTTGAGCGTTTTAATCAACACCTTAAGGTTTCATGACGATACACATTCATTGATATATATATATATATATATATATATATATATATATATATATATATATATATATATATATATATATATATATATATATATATATATATATATATATATATGCCAAAATGTTTGTGGCTCTTTAAAAACTGGAACATTTTATAAAATGTAACTTTTGGCTCTTTGGTCTCAAAAGGTTGCCGACCCCTGAAGTAGACTAAATTACTCAGTAAGGACATAGATTATATATATATATATATATATATATATATATATATATATATATATATATATATATATATATATATATATATATATATATATATATATATATATATATAGGGGGCCCTAGTTTTCTCTTTGCGGGGGAGCCTTTGATTTCTAGTTCCGCCACTGCTTGGTACTGCAGCTTAGAGCAAACTTGTTCATAAATATTTTACCCATTTCACTCCCTCGCCCCATCTTTCCCACTCACAATCTTTGAAAAACAGGCATGGAAAGTGTTGCAACACAACCTATACATTTGTTGATATTTCTAGAACCCTATATTAAATGAGAACAATGAAATGTAAGCTACACATTGGATAAACCGGACATTAAAAAATCTTTATGTGCTATTATTATTGCAGTTAACACGGTGGTAAAATTTAAAAAAAAAAAGAACAAAGAAGTATATGACGTATGTCTACAATTGATTTACTCCTTAGGCTAATTGCTGTTTATTACGCACAAGAAAAATATCGCTGATATTTTTTAAAACTTGTCATTACCAATATAAAGGTGAATATATTGGGGGGGGGGGGGGGATAACAACATACAATAAATGTGCGATCCCAACTATTTTCCGCCCGACCACGATTTTTCAAATAGAAAAATATAGAATTTAAATGGAAAATACACACTTTAACCCGTGTCAGCTCTCCTCTCCAGTAAGTCCAAGCCCTCCCCCCTACCCCCACCCCGAAGAAACATGTCTGAAAGAAACACTCACTCATTCAAAATAGCAGAAATCTTGCAAAAATTAAAGGCAGTGTTGTTTAATATTGTTTTATTCAAATCTCCTATCCCAATTTATTTTTTAAAGTTACTAAACTGAACCAACTGGGTGGGGCAACTCCACCCCCCCCCCTGGCGCCGAACCTACGGGGCGCTAAACGGGTATAAAAAAACAAAAAGCTCATTCTAAGCTGCATTACTGAATTGCTCACAGTCGAAGTTAGGGGAAAAAAAGTGCTGCTTGGTTATATGGACTTATTTAACTATTGTTAAGGGATGACAATGGGAAAGTGATTGATAAAAAGGCGTCCATAACTTTTCTACTTGCTGGGGGGGGGGGCTTTTTCACCAACGTGAATAACTATATTGAAATGGCTACGCCTCTGGTTATAGTTATATTTGGGGGACGATTGGGGACGATTCCTAATAAAGAGATAATAGATATGCGGGACCAGATGAGGGGAGACAACCAATAAAAATAAGTACCTCCAGTGTTTGGTGGAGTATCAATGAATTGTATGGCACGGGGTCATTGTTGGGGATCTGACACGCCTACGTATTTCAAATAGCCCAAACTCCAAAATCTCCAACAGTTTTACGACGATAAGATGAATGGTGTGATAATGCATTAACCCCCCCCCCCCTTCACACATACTTTAATTTAGGCTACAGGCCTATATAATATTTAGACCTGTAGATATTGCTTATATATAGGACCTATTACAGATTCGCCGCATATTTATAACTTAATAACGCATACCTTTATAGGCCTACATACGCGAGAACCTGTAGTGATAAAAAAAACAATGTTAGATCAATAGGAAAACAAATAGATCTATAGATCTAGATATCTAATTTGTACAACTCCGCGCTTCCAGTATTTCTTCCAGACTTTTTTCACCGGGAAGGGGGGGGGGGGCACTTGAAATTTCCGGGGGGGGGGGGGGAGCGGACGCTTTTAAAAGTTTATATTTTCTATATAAATTCCATTTCGTTCTGGCTGTAGACTTTCTTATAAGGGGGGTGGGGGGCCCGGAGAGATGCCAGAAAGAAACTATGTGCGCTTCCTCTAACCGAAATCCTGGCTACGCCCCTAAGTCTAGGCCTAAATTACAGTGTCGTGATTTATTAGGAGCTAGACTACATTACTATTAATAAAACATAAACAGTAGACATTGTACGAATTTATTGCTGAAAAGCTAGACATATATTCTTTAGTTTTTAATTAAGAGTAGATCTATACCACGGGTTCCCAACCTGGGGGTCGCGACCCCCTTGGGGGTCGCGAAGGGCTTTCTGGGGGGTCGCCAACTGGTATACTAAACGTAAGCAATGAGAAACAAAACTTAAATATTTAGAAGAATATCTTAAATTTGGCTTTACTAACATCACTAGAAATGGAATAGAGAAGAAACAATGCATACTGTGCAAAATTGTTCTCAGTCAGGAAATCTTCAAAACTAAAATCTCATTTTGCGACGAGTCATTAGGAATATACCAAAAACGATATGAAGTACTTTAGTCGGCGTGAAGCTAGTCGCAAACGTTAGAGACTTAATCGAACAGGATGTTTTCACCAAGGAAACACAACATCATATAAAGTCGCGATAAAAATTGCCAAGCAAAGAAAAAATTTAAAAATCACCAAACCATGCATGTTGAAGATGGTGAAAATAATTCTTAGGGATTCCAGTGCAGTAAAGATGCAACAAATATCTCTGTTTTATAATACTATTCAGCGGCGTATAGCAGATATGTCCGTAAATGTAAAAGAACACATTTTGAATTAAATCAAGCTTTCACTATTGTTTGCTTTTCAAGTTGATGAATCAACAGACGTGATTTCGTGTTCGCACTGCTTTGTCTCTGTGAAATATATTCATTCAGATCATAGCAAAGAAGAGTTGCTATTTGGTAAAATAGCATGGAGAAAATAAATACGTTTTTTGAAACTGGATGATTAAAATGGGTTTAAACGGCTGTGGGGTATGTACGGATGGTGCGCCATCTATGTTTAGGTCAAAATCGGGCTTTCAGAAAACAATAAAAGATTTAGCTTCCTAACCAAGGGTTATTTTCTGCATTCTTCACCGGGACGTCCTCGCCAGCAAAACTCTTCCGACTCTTCCGGAGCCCATAAAGAACTGCGCAAAAACATTAATAAAGATCACGAGGTTTTTCTTTTCTACACTGGCAGTCAAACGAAATGTATTAAATCGTGTTTTTGAATTGAAAGACAAAATCAAGTTGTTCTTGTAAGTGCAAAAGATATAAGACCTTTTGATATACTTTAACGACAAAGAATGGTTGGAGGGAGCAGAGCTTCTGCCATGCTTCACTCCAACCCCCCTCCCAGAAGAAAGTCTACCGCCCCCACCCCCCCCCCCCCCACCACCCCGAAAAAAAATTGAATTTATGTAGGAAATATATATACTTGTAACAGAAAATTTTTGTCCGCCCCTTCACCAAAAATTTCAGGTCCCCCCCCCCCCCCCCCCGGAGAAAAAAATCTAGAAGAAACACTGGGAGAGAGTATCATACATAAGCTTAACCTGAAGCTTCTGGGAAAATGAACCAATAGAAAATAATATTTTAGTGCTTATTAATTTCCTTCCAAATTCGACTTTTTAATTCTATGGGGGTCGCGGGTCACTTTCTTTTTATAAAAGGGGGTCGCCACTCGAAAAAGGTTGGGAACCACTGATCTATACCATTACAATATTTAGATTAAGAATAACTCAGATCTAAAAGCAATTTTTAAACTGTTGTTAGAATCTAGATCTGGCCAACCAAAGATCTGTGTGCAGCCATGGTAACCGAGTCAATATGGCGTAGTTACATGGCGTTGATTACAAACTGACTGGTTAATTTCAATTCGCCTTTCCTTTTACCAGTTTATTTTACAGAGGTTTACTAAATACATGTAAGATTTTACATCCAAAACTTGATTAGATCTATTTAAAACTCTCTCTGTTTTGCTTTAGATCTAATAAAAAAATCTAATATTTAATAAAATTACAAAAAGAAACTTTTTCAAAAAGATTGTAAAAAAAAACAACTAAAAAAAACTTTGTTTGACTTAGATCTAGATCTAGATCTAACTCTTAAATTACTTCGCTAACTAAATTCTAAATAAACTAAAGCATCTTGGATTCATTACATTTAGATCTATATCTATTATTAATATTATTTATGTATAGGCCTAATTGGACGATAAAAATAATTAGAAAATCTATAACTTACTTAGGGGTTAGGCCAAGGTATTAGAAATTAGATCTAGTAATGCCTAGTATTACTTTTAACATTTAGATCTAGACTTCTATATTTAATATTTATATATTAGACCCTGTCATTTTTAGCAAGTTTAAGTAAAGAGACACTCTTTTTTTAATATAGATTAATACTACTAATAATAGTCTAACTCTAATTAATCTGTGTGTGTGGTGTGTCATCTTTCTTTTTTTTACTTATTGTGAATTAAAATTAACTAGATCTAGTTTTAGCAGCACTTTGGCTTCTCCCAGACTATCCCTGTAGTTAAGTAGTAATGGGTTTTAATCATTAATGTTACTGTTGTACTACTAGATTTAATTTATGTTTACATAGACACTTCCTGTGTTGTGAGTTGTTGTTGGTCGTCATGTAGTTGTCATCCAGTTTTTGCTAGTTTTCTTGCGGATAAAAATACAGAAAAGAAGTGTTTAGGTATTTTCTACTACCAGGTTAGTCCTGCATAAGCTTCTGTGTAATATATTATTCGTAGCAACTAAAAATTAGTTGCTTCTGTATTCAAGTTTAGTGTGTTCTTGTGTGTCACATAAAACGGCAGATAAAATAGACTATGGTTGTTTTTTTAGTTTCTCTGTAGAGATAGTTAATTAAATTTTTTGTTAATATTAATTATAAAAAGCCTTTGTTTACATGAAGTCTAATGTTTTGTAGTTATTTATTCAATACGAGCCGACCCGCAGCGTATCATACGCCGCTATTTAGTTGTTTTATTTTCTACTTTTCAGTAATTCATAATTTGTGAATTCGACAGTACCAATGCTGCCACTGAAAATATTTGCTTTAAAACACTAACCCCCCCCCCCTTCCCCTAACCCCGACCCTACACCCCCCCCCCCCCCCCCCCCATGAAAGCAGCCACCTCTTAGTTATTTCTTCGTTACCTCCTGTAAGTTTAAAATCGAACTAAATTATCTGCCCCTAATAGAAACCCGGCTCTACGGCTCCACGATTTGTAAACATTTAGCTTTGTAAACATTTAGCGTGACAACAGCTCACCAGACAATGTGGGGGTGGGGTGGGGGTGGTAGTGATAGTGATAGAGAGAAGGAGAGGGGACTGCAAGGAGGCGCTTGCAGCTTGTTTTCTAACGGCTCCCAGAAGAGAATTATATATATAGATTGCAGGATTTGTTATTAGAAATTGCCCATTACAATAGCTAATTTATTTAAGCCATTATAGCATTTGTATTAAAGATAAATATTTTTAAATCTACCCCAGTGCTTACTGTAGTCTACATAGGTTACACCATTGATATATTTTTTTTAATTTACCCCTCAATATATTATATAATTTTATTTATAGCACAATGCCATTGGGACCATTTGGTGAAATCTTGGGGACCACTGGAACCCTAGAGGTTCTTGGTCCTCTGGCTCAAAAATACAAGTCTAAAGTTATTGCTCCACGCAACCCAAAACTAGTCAGAGACAACAATCCTCAAGAATTCAAGGTGATATTTTTTTTATCATTCTACCTGTAGGACTAATTGAATTTTATGTAGGCTGAATATATAATTGTATTATTTTAATATCATCTGTTGATTTAGATGAGACCAAGCACATTTTTATTTGAGGCTTCCTTGAGCACAGAACAAAAGCTTGCAACCACCCATATTATGAAAGTTCCTAACAAAACAGAATTGCTGGATATGGGTGATACTTCTTTGCAAAAGGTGGGATTGTAGTGTTTAAGTTTCTTTTGTGTTGTGATGATGCATTTAGATAATTAAAAAATATTATTACTTTCTTTAAAGTAAGTAAGGGAATTTAAACTTAGTTTAGCTGTTTCCAGTTAATTTATAGAGCTGTATGAATAACAGAAGTTTTACTTTTAAAATTTTTAATGTAAAGTGTTTAAAAACTTATCTTAAAGGTTACCACACAAATGGGCTAACTTTAAGGAGAAATTTAAGAGTAGAAGGGCAGTGTTAGATTTTGTGAAAAATACTAAGTGGTTTCATGTTATTTAGTATGACTAACCCAGGGTTACTGAATATTTTCCATAAATTTGAGCTCATATTTGTTAACATTGAAAATCATCACTATGTTTATCAACAGGTTTCAAAAGTCAATATTGATGAGCCGATGTTCCAGCCTTTTCCGTCAGAAATCTTTTTCCAGAATTTTGAGCCTTTTAAAATGTATGAAGTTCCACTAGTGCTCAGGAATAATGACAAAGTATGTTTGTATGTTTATTTAACTCTTTATAACCAGAATGGTTTCATGTCCCACCAGAAGCATTTTTCCCCCGCAATTTAATTTTTCCCTGTTTATCAAAAGCCCACACAGAATCATTATATATAAATAAATTAGTCATAATGAATGCCCTACAAACAGATTTTAATTTTATGTAATGGCTTATTTATTGGATAAAGAAAAAATGACTTAGATTTAAACAAGAAAAGTAATGAGTAATTTTTCAACAGAGCAAAAAACTCTCTTCTGTTTGGAAAATTAAAAAAATTATTTTTTATAATTTTTATTAATAGAAACAAAATTATCTCAATGTGACTTATGAGTTATAGATGCTCACGTTCATCTCTGCTCACTATTTTTTGCAGGTGCCTCGTCTGGTGAAAGTAACCCAGGAGGATTCCCCTTATTTTAAAGTCATAAGCCCTCATGACGTAGGTCACAAAGTTGGCCCAGGCTTACCAACAACATTTAAAATACAGTTCACACCAGAGGAGAAAAAGGTTTGTATATTTATTATGTGCATTAATATATTATTTCTAAAGCTAAATAATACAATTAGCTGAATAGCAAACCTGTCAGTACACATTGCAGACTTAATTTTTTATAGTTATAAAACCCTTGTATAACTATTTAGAAAAGGCATCACACTTGGTTGAATCATCCTATCCATCACCCTAGTGACTATAATAAAATGTAAAATGCATCTTTGTGTTATGCATAGCTACTTTTATTTTAATTAAAAGAAAATTGAAAATATCTACGGACTCTTGAAATAGAGTTATGAGAAATACAAGAGAATAAATTTATCATTAGAAACAGAGCAATAATAAGGTTTGGGAGAAATGAAGCTAAAATCATTGGTAAAGCATGCATTTTTTATTTTGCAGGACTACAAGCATGAACTTGTGTGTATCACAGAAAGAGAGAAATTTACAGTGCCCATTAAGGCTATTGGTGCACGAGGAATTCTAGACTTCCCTGATGACATCCATTTCACAACCTGCCCAGTGAAGTACTCAAATACCAGGACACTTCTGGTCAGGAACATTGGGACCAGAGAGGCCAAATTTCACCTCAGGACAGAACCGTAAGTAGTTGCGACATTGACATAAGTGTTGCTGTAAGAATGGATCTAGGGAAGAATACTCTTCTGTTCCCAGTAGTCCCTGTTTATTCTGATTAACTTTTAAAAAGGAGCTGATATAAGAAATGTTAATATTGCGTAATTGTATTTTTAAAAACTGTAACAGTTCTCTTTTTTTTCTCTTAACATTTGCTTTTGTGTTGTTGTTTTTTTTTTTTTTGTAAGATTTAACTTGCAATATTAATAAAAGAACTATTACAAAAATTAATATTATATATTTTAGCTTTAACAGGAAAAATAAAAGCATTGTTTGTATCGTGAAATGTAGAGATTTCTGGAGCAATAGACACTTTTATTTTTAAGATTTAAGCTAAAGAAAAATTACATTCATTTTCTTATTTTTAGCTCATTTAAAAGCTTATTTTAATGGTTTTATGTAATTGTGTTATTAAAAACATTTTCCACAGACCTTTTTTTGTGACACCAGACATTGGAACTCTTGCAGTAAAAGACAGCATGCAGATCACAATAGAGTTCAAGCCCTTGTTTGCTGGTGATCACAAAGGAGAGATTTGTCTTGTGTATGACACAGGTCAGATGTTTTTCTTGGCTAATGGTTTTTCTTAAATTAAACTAAAATATCATTAGAGACCAGATTTTTTAAATAGACTGTATGTGAAAGAATGGTCAGCACCATGCCTAGCTGCCTTTGCCTTGAGTGACTCATGCCAGGTATCCATTAGAGCTGAGTGGGCTCTGCGATGGTCTATAGAACCAAACTTTAGTCTTTCAAGTTGACCTCACTAAACCACATACAAATATTGTTGACAGTATGACAGGTAAAATATTAACCTGAAATAAGGTTTATATTTATATTATTTACATTATATTACTTAGTTATTCTTCATCAACAGGAGAAGAGGTTTACATCAACCTGTATGGAGCCAGCCAAGATGCTTCCATCCGTTTAGACAAGAACACAGTCAAGATGGAAAGCACTTACATTTCTATGGCCAGCCAAAGGACGGTTGTGATACACAACCGCAGTGACTTTATTGCCCACTTCAGGTGGACGACTTTTGCCACGCAAGATGAAGAAGATCAACACAGGCTAATGTAAGTCATTAGAAACTTCTATTGTTTCACTAATTATTTTTTAAATTTATCCACAAATTTATTGTTTTAATGTTCAGTAATTGATTTGTTGTTTTTATTTTTCATTAATAAGTTTTGTTGTTTTCATTATTCATTTACAGATTTGTTATTGATTCATGATTTGTTAGTTAAATTGTTGATCTCAGATTTGTTATTTTTATTGTTGATGTTGTAGTGTAGTGTATGTTTTGTGTGTGAACTCACAGACTTGAGACTTCTATTTTAGCAGTCAAGTGATCTATCACCCAGCCACACCGTCCCATCATTACATAAACTACTGGGCAGGAAAATGTTTTCGTTCACTGTGCCCTACATGAAACACTTTTTCTCTCACCCTACCCAAAGTTTTAAAATTTATTTATCATTGATATAAATGCTATTCCAGCCACATAAATGTTGCTTGCTATAGATATTTAGAAAGCATTGTCTTATTACTTTTTTCTGTCCATTTTCAAAAAAGGCAACAGATTCAACTGGACAGGGAAGAGCACTCAGACACTGACCACTTCCTGGCTGAATGTGTTTGTGACCCCACTTTAAGAGACAAGTTGTCCATTTTGTCCAGAACCTTCCAAAACAGGAAACGGGTAAGAGAAGGGCATGTTTCCATTTTAAAATGAGTTGATCTATCTGCTAAGCATGCTGAAAGCGAGAAAGGCAAATGCTAACTGTCACTTAACAGAATAAATAAAATAACTTCTTAATAATTTATAAGATCATTTTCTTCCTTCAGTATAAAAAAAAGAAAATATTTTTTTTTAAATTAAAATCATTGTAAAAATATGTAGGATCCATAATACATTCATTAATGTGCATTTTAACAAAGGTAGAGGTGTTTCAATGTTCTATATTTCACAATTAAAACGCAACTATTGTCAGTATTGAATAAAATAAATGATTGTATTCTTGTAATTGTAATCTTGTATTCTTTGTTTAGGCTGTAGAGAATGACCCCCAGTTGTTTGAGGATGATGTCATAAGCATTATGCCAGTGGAAGGGGATATCTGGCCTAATGCAACCTTTGAGATAACCATCATCTTCAAACCAAGGGAGGCAACACAATACACAAAAACAGCTTACTGTGACATCACAGGCCGCGAGAGCCGGCTGCCGCTTCGCATTAAAGGTGATGGCGCTGGGCCCAAAGTTGACTTCTCATTTGAATATTTGGAGATGGGCAATATCTTCATTGGATCAAAGCACCTGTATGAGATTGTCATTGCCAACAAAGGAGACATTGATGCCATTTTCAGGTATATTGAAATATTGGGGTTCTAAAAATTAAAGATTTTCATGTCTTTATTTTGTTATAAATGTAATGAATGGGTATTGAACCATGCCCATAGTATTCCAGTATTTCACAATCAGCTTTAAGCCTAAACCAAGGACTGCATGAAACAATTTAAATGTGGAAGGCACTTTTAAAGTTTATAACACCACCCATACTGTTAAAAGATTATGTCAAACTTGCTTTTAATCAGACTAATTGTTTTAAATTTAGTTCAAAAAATATTTTTCATAAAGTTACTTTTTCATGATAAAAAAGGCCAATAAATTAATTACCTCCTACTCTGTGGTGTAGGATTTATTCCTTTTTTTAACCGTCTAATGCCAATTGTAATATTTTATTACAGAAGTTTAACGGCGGCAAGAAAAAATTAAACAGCTTTTGCATAACTCCCTATTTTTGGTAGCAGCTAGTTTACATTTCATGCTTGTATTGTTGTTTTTATGGTCAATATCTTATAAATAATTCAGGAGTTAAAGGGTTAAATTGTTTTTTTAAGTTTCTGTTCATGTTTTTATTCCTTCAGTGTTGTACCAAACTCAAGTACTTTTGGGCCATGTTTTGCTTTCAACCCTTCAGAGGGGATTGTCATGCCAGGTGGCCATCAAGCCATTGAGGTGTCTTTCAGCAGTCCTTACCTTGGGGACTTTCAAGAAGTTTTTTGCTTTCAAATTGATGGCCAACCACTACAAAGCAAAATTACTTTCATGTAAGATTGATTAATATGCCCATGAGAAATAGTTTTAATATGGTAAAAAAAAATAGCTGTTTAAACTTTGTTTTTAATTGTTGTTGTTTTTTCAAGAAATTATAACTAGCATATTTTATAAGAAGTTTCTTTGTACTCCTTATTTATGAATTAGATGTCCTAAAGCTTTACTCATATCTAAAGTAACATTATGAAGCTAACTCAAAAATGTACAATTTTTTAGTGGACAAGTTGTTGGACCAACCTTTAATTTTGATGTAGCTGACTTGAAGTTTGGAACAGTTCCTATTGGCTTCCCCTCCTCACAGGTAATAAATAAATAAATAAATAAATAAATAAATATATATATATATATATATATATATATATATATATATATATATATATATATATATATATATATATATATATATATATATATATATATATATATATATATATATATATATATATATATATATATGTATATAACCCCCCAGTTTAAATTTTTTTTACTATGATACTATAGACAAAGTATTTCATAGAAAATAATTTTTATGCTGATAATAGTTGCCTACTGAAAGTAGGCCTAGCAGTGGAGCGCTAGACTGCTAACCTGATAGTTTCAAGTTCGAATCCGGGTTCAAGTTAGAGGAGCGTCCCTGAGTCCACCCAACTCTGATGGGTACCTAACTCACGTTAAGGAAAGTAAAAACGGCTGGGCATAGTGTTGACCATATTATCCCTTATGCTGAGGTCAAGAAACATGAACTCTACTTCATCTTCCCAATGGATCGTTAGATCTAAGGAGGAATCTTTACTTTTTAAAAAGTAAATTGGGCGGAAATAAAATTCATATAACAATCCATATACCAAGTTCTGGGACAATGCTGACCAATGTATCTACTTGAACTGTTAGGATGTAACCCAAGGTTTGATACTTGCTGTCATTGTTAATCTGGCTTGTGATTGATCTCTTCACTTTCCCATCGTTAGGAGTGCACCCTGGTGAACACATCACTGATACCAATGATATTTCACTTGCGTGTGCCTGGGGATGGATCCCGCACTGCTATCAGCTGTTTAGCTGACGTCTCAGACAATCCCCTGGGTCTAGGGCCATTACCCATTGCAGATCCGAAAGAGTTTGAGATCATTCCCGCACATGGTTTAGTTTCACCACAAGGACAAATCAAGGTCTGTTTCACTGTAGTCTACTTGTGTATTTATATGCTTATATAACCCACTTAGAATGTCCTGCCAAAATTGTCTCTTTTCATGTTTTCTTTTATGCTCCAAGGTCTGCTTACTGTAGTCTATTTGTGTATATATCTGATTCATACTTACATAACCCACTTAGGATGTACTGTCAAAAATCGTCTCTTTTCAATTTTTACTTTATTGTCATTCAAAAGTATTCTTTAAAAATTTAAAAATTATTATGGTGAAGGTAACAATTATGAAAAAAAATGTAGGCCTATTCATTTATTTATTTTTTTTAAATTTATTTGCACGTTTATATATTTTTCATTACCTGTTCCTTTTTCATGGCTATTTTATTGTTGTTTATAGGTGAAAGTAAACTTTGTACCAAACACTATTAAAAAATATGAAATGGCTCTGGTGGTGGATGTTGAAAGGGTGGGGGAGGAGATCATGTCTCTACCCATATCAGCAAAGTAAGTTGTGAGGTTGATGGGTTTTTTATTTTTTGAATTAAAACTTTTAGAAGTCTGTCACAGTAGTAAATATGTTAATATTCTCAAATATAATTTAATAAAGATGTAACTGATTTTTCTTTTTTTTTTTTAAAAACCATATTTGTAAGGCTAACAAAAGCATTAGTTAATTGTGAATTTCTACTAAAAAAACAATATGAAAAAAACATTAACTACAATGGAACAGTTTATGGTGTAATTTAAAAAGAAAAACAACTCTAATTTTTAAACAACACTTATTAACAACAAAAAATAAATAAATAAATAAAAACATGTCCATCTTTGGATCACATTAATTCAAGTTTTTAATTTTTTTCTCCATCAGGTCAGTGGTCCCGGACATCATCAACTTGACTCCAGTCCTGAATTATGGCCGCTGCTTCTTGAGACATCCCTACGAGCACAATGTCCAGCTTCATAACGACACAGAGTTTGCTGCCAAATATGAAATCATCCACCAGGAGAACATCACTGTCAATGATTGTCTCTCAGAAAAGCTTCCAATCACATACCACAGTCCAAAGCCAAAGGTTCGTTTTAAGCATATTGAAGAACAATTATGTAATGAATCTATCTATGTATCATATTATGTTAATAATTAATTATTTATGATGTTTTTAAGTAAGTTTTTATTCAAATTATTTATAGGGTATCATAGCTCCACACTCAGTTGTGGATATTCCATTGGTGATTGAAGCCGTAGCTCTAGAGGAACAAGAAATCCCTTGCCTCATTCGTATCTTTGGACAAGATAAACATCCTATGGTAAGTTGTTCTATTTTTAGACTGGATTTTCATGAGTAGTGATCAATCAAATCAATAATTTATTCAGATAATTAGATAATAGATAAATTTAATATCTCCTGACTAGACAATCAATATAATTCTAAATTATAATTTCATTTCCTAGTCTATTTTGGAATAGTTAATTGGCACCTTTCTAATTAAGCCTGTAAACAAAGGAGAAATTTTTAGCTTTAGCGACACTGTTTAGAATTTGTTTCATCATCTTGTTTGGTGTTTATGGTATAATGTATTTTTAAATATCTATTGGTTCAGTTACATATCTTTACTTACCTTAAATAAAAAAACAATAGCTCAAACTTGTATCTGAATTAGAGCTTTATAAAGAAAATGTAAAGATTTACTTTTTTAAGATCATATGTCAATATTTAGAGAATCTGTAATGTCCTGTAGATTTGGTCCTATTATAATTATAAACTTAAGTGGTTTTGCAATCTATTGCTTGATCACTCTATCCTTAATAGTAAAATAACATAATCCATCTCCCCCTCCTTTACAAGACATACAGTTTTATTGCGTTCACTAGATTGTGTGTGTGATCTGTGTGGTCGTCCCCCCCCCCCCCTTTTAAAGACATTTTTCATTTCTTTTGACTAGATTATGCATGTGATCTGTGTTGTCACCCCCCCCCCCCTTTTCACTTCTCCCCCCCCCCCCTTTTATTGACATATTTTAAATTATTTTTGACCAGATTGTGCATGTGTCCTGTCTTGTCGTCCCCCCCCCCCACCCCTTTATTGACATATTTTAAATTACTTGTGACCATATTGTGCATGTGATCTGTCTTGTCCCCCCACCCCCCTTTTCACCTCCCCACCCCCCTTTTATTGACATATTTTAAATTACTTGTGACCAGATTGTGCATGTGATCTGTCTTGTCCCCCCCCCCCCTTTCACCTCCCCACCCCCCATTTATTGACATATTTTAAATTACTTATGACCAGATTGTGCATGTGATCTGTGTTGGAGAAGGACCAGTTGTCCACATCAACCCACTCCAGCTTGACTGGGGCGACATCCCTGTCCTCACAGATATCAAGAAAACCATTGTGTTATCCAATGAATCTTTCATCCCTGCTCAGTTTACTGCCCATATGGTAAGTTAAAGTTACAGTATACTATATTTTACTGCCCTTATGGTAAATTAACATTAGAGTATACAATATTTTACTGCCCATATGATCAATTAATGTTACAGTTTACCCATTTTATGCTCATTTGGTATATTAACATTACAACATACTGCATTTTACTGCCCATATGGTAAATTGAAATTACAGTATACTCTATTTTACTGCCCATTTAGTACACTAACATTACCATATACTACATTCTACTAATCATGTGTCTACTACAAAAGATTATAAATGGAATTTTTACCTTATCAACTGCAGAAACTGGATCCACAAACGGCCTACAATATATTGTGTCACAGCCAATTTACCTCAATAAACGAAACAAAATTTGAAGAATAAAAGAAAAATACATAGCCTACTGTTTTTATTGTTGTTATTAATATTAACTACTCATGGAAATCACAAAGTAACTTTTTTTCTTTTCCAGGTTAGACCTAACACAGTCTTCAAGGTGATCCCATCTGAAGGGGAAATCCCCCCAGAGAAGTCAGCTGAGATTACAGTCATTGCTAACCTGGATGACTGTGTCAGGTAAATCAACTTGGGAGTGGGGGGGGGGGGTAAATTGGAAAAAAGTCAGCATATAGGCTTTGATTTGAATTTAACAAATGTAGTCATGTAGATTCATAACAATTTCATCATAAAAAAAACAAAATTAGAAACTATTTGTGTTGTATTTTTCTAATGATTTGAACAGTGTATCTGACCATGCTAGTTTATATGTTTTCTTGTGTAAATTGAGGGAACAACACTTAACTTCAGTGGGTCATGATGTGAGTCTTGATATAATGATAAATATCTATCCCTTATATTTTTATGACCACAAAGACTGAAGAGTTCTTCTTCATTTCTAACATATAGATCTGCATGTGAAAATTTTCATTTATCTTACCTTACCCTCTAAACTTTTTCGTACTATTTGCGACATTTAGGAGAGTTACTGATGGTGCTCATTGTTTTAATTTATTTGATTTCATATAATTTATTTCACCATTTGCAGGTTTCAAGAAAAACTGCAAATCAACTTCCAACAGAGCCAGTGTAGAGTGATTCCTCTGCAGGCACATGGAAAAGGAACCACCATTGTTTCTGATCCACCCCTTGGAACTCTCCTTGACCTTGGCCCAAATTTCAGGTTAAAGATCATCCTGTGACATTTGTTTTTAGATTTAAAAAAAAATTAGAAATCTCATTATAATTTAAGCTTTTATCTTCATTTTAATTGATGAAATGTGGCTAAAATGTTAACTTAATATTGTAACTATTTTTAGCAACAACAAACTCATAAGGAAATTTAAATTAACCAACCAAGGGCGCCGAATTCAGCAGCTTGTTTGGCTAACGAATGGATTCATTCCCTTATCCAAGGCAAAAAGAGACAGAATAAGGGTTGATGTGAAAAAAGTAGGTTTTGTTATTTTAATATAAATAGTTGTACTTATTAATTTAAATAATATATTAATACATTTTATTAAAAAAATAGGGAATAAACATGAATTCTAACTGTTAGGTTTTTCATTTTCTTATTGTTTTATTGTTATGTTTGTGATGATTTTAAAACTTTGTGTTATATTTGACTAGTCCACACACAGAGCAAACGAGCCAGCAGAACCAGTTTTTCAGTTGTCCCCCAACCGTTTTTATTGCTATGTTTGTGATGATTTTAAAACTTTGTGTTATATTTGACTAGTCTACACACAGAGCAAATGAGCCTGCAGAACCAGTTTTTCAGTTGTCCCCCAACCGCATGGAGCTCCTGCCTGGCGAATCAACAGAGCTGACCATAGAAGGATTTGTTGATGGGTGGGTACAATTTTTTATCTAGCTATTTTATTAACCCTTTATTTCCATGGAACTATTGATGTATAGTTTATTTAACAATGTTCATTAACCTTTTATTTGGGCAGATTATTTTATTTTTGGTACATTTGCTCTTTTTAAAACTGTCTTTTAGTGTTTTTGGGAACCTAAAGGTTGAAGTAATAAACTTTAAATGCCCTGATGTTATTTACTTCATAAATAAATAACCATCTATAGATATTTAATAAACAAGGGTTTAAATATGTGCAAATTATCTGTTTATAATGTATGACAAACGAGAATTAGACCAGGACTTAGGTACAACTTGTTCACCTTACTACATGTAGATGGTCTCACACATTCTCTGCTCATCCACAGACCTCGAACCGTAGCTGAGACAATCATGTGTCATGCCATCATTGGAAGATCAGGGGGAAAGATCCCAATCATTAATGTGGATGTGAAAGCAGAATTCATTGAACCTTTGTTGAGCTTCTCTACCAAGTGTGTCTTTTTCAGAGTAGACAAAGTAAGATCATTCAACTCTTTTGTTGTAGACAATGCCCAGTAACCTGACACACACACACACACACACACATATATATATATATATATATATATATATATATATATATATATATATATATATATATATATATATATATATATATATATATATATATATATATATCTTCATAGAGTTCAGGAGAAACATCAACTCTATGTTGTTTTATATCAGTCATTCTCTAATCAGTAGCCTGAACTCAAAACTGGAAGTCGAAAGTAGTGTTTTGTGATTACAACCTTAGCTGGGTTTAGGCTTGCTTTGTAATTGAAGTATTTGGCCTTTTTGACCAGGGTTGTTCTATCATTTTCACAAAACATAATACCATTTTTAAAACATTCAAATTTGTTGATTTTTTTCAAACTTTGTTTTTAGTATAATGTCAATCATTTTGTTATTAATTTGGTTAAAAAACCATGTTTATATAACATAACTATGATTTTATTATTAATTTTGTTACAAAACTTTAATGATAAATTTTCCATAAAAAATCATCGAAGTAATAATGTTTTATTTTTTGTCGATGTTCCACAATAGGCACCAACAGATGAGCTCCAAACACAACAGAAACAAATTGTTTTGACCAATGTGTCCAGTTTGCCCTTGACCATCAAGCTCAAGCTGGCCTATCCTTTCAGCATCATCATCTGCAATGAAAACATCTATAAGCTTGTGAGTTGTAGAGGACTATGTAAATCTTTGCTCGTAGACAGTTGAAGTTTATGTTAGTCACTACTAATTTGAACCTTTGTAAAACAGGAAGCATGTCTACAATCAGGGGAAGACTACAAGCTGGTCATTCAGTTTGACCCACAGTTCAAGGATGACAGCCATATCCGCAGTATTGATGAGGTTCTTTATGTGTCTTACAAGGAGCATCCACATGTTGTAAGTGTACAGTTGTTCTATCCTTTTTTTTATGTTGGTCAATTAATAATAAAGCGATTGTTGTTAAAGAGATTGGTCAAGTCATTGTTGGTCAAATGAATGTTGGTAAAGTAATGGTCACATAACCCTTTTTGCATTTTACAGAAGTAATTTTAAAACTTAATTTTTAATTAGTCCCTATAATTAACATGAATTAGTCTGTATGATTGACATGAATAAGTCCCTATAATTAACATGAATCAGTTCAGTTGTTATAACAGAAATGAATCCAAACTTGTATGTTTACTGTACTTTAAACAGCCTTTTGAAATTATCACAGGACTATATCTCTTTGCGAGGAGAGGTCTATTTCCCTAACTTATTGTTTGAGAAGAATACAGTAGATTTTGGCTGCATACTCAATGACACAGAAGTCACTCGGTACATCAACATTACCAATAACAGTCCTATGGAGGTAAGTTTGTTTACTTCCTGCCCATCTGGTAATTATGGCCTTTTCTTTTAAAATTCAGCTCTCCTTATATTAATTTTCAATATATTTTAATATAACTATTCATTTAATCAGAACATCTTACTCAAGTTGTATTGGAGTTTTTTTTATAAAGATCGCTATTTTATTTTAAATATACATTCTAAAAGAATTGATTCAAGGGTGATCAACATACAATAGTCTTGTTTATTATTGTCATGTGTCCTTTCTTCAATGTGTTAATTCACTTTTGCTAGGTGTGCTATTTTCAGTGGTTAAATTATTCTTGCCATGTGTGCTATTTTCAGTTGTTAAATTATTCTTGCCAGGTGTGCTATTTTCAGTGGTTAAATTATTCTTGCCAGGTGTGCTATTTTCAGTGGTTAAATTATTCTTGCCAGGTGTGCTATTTTCAGTGGTTAAATTATTCTTGCCAGGTATGCTATCGTTGGTCCTTCCTTGTTGGAGATGGCAACACAGAAATTAAAAAGTTTATCCGCCCCCGGGAAGATTCAGGTGTGGACAATGCAGGTGTGAACGATGAAGAGGACTCAGGCCTGGAAGAGGATGAGGAGGATGAACTAAGACAACATGAGGAGGCATCAGGGCCAGAGGAAGATCATGTTGAGGATGTTATTGACCCTATGAACCCTGAGGTAATTAGTAACTTGTTAATGTCACGTTTTGTAGCGCAAATAATAAAAAAAAAACATAATGTTTTAAGAAAAAAGCTAATATGTTTGATTCCTTGTATTAACTTAAATCAATGGTAAATGGGGTGGAGGAAAAAAAAATTATGAATACAAATTTATGTCTAAAAATATCACAGATAAAATTTAATCTAAAAAATAGTTTTTTAAATTTTAAATTCTTTTCTTCTTCAATATTTGTTTTTCTGTTTGTTAAAATTGACTTTTAGATAATGTTAAGGTTTATATAAAGTTAACGAGGCCTAATTTACTATCATGTAACACAGCCAACTGATAAAATTACACTGACAAAGAAAACTCCAAACTCAGATGACAATAAAAATGATGAGGTTGATCTCCAACCAATCTCTCCAGTGGATGAAGATGCTCCAGAAAAGGTAAAAAAGCAACTTTATACAGTGTTGAGTTTTAATAGTGCAACTATAGGATTACTCACAGGCTTGCTACAGTATTTAGTTTAAATAATTATGTTACCTTGCCATTTTACGACCATATCATTGGAAATTCCTATTTAGTTTGTTACTTAATGAGAACCATGATTACTTTTTTTTAGTTAATATTTTTACTGTGTCAATGAAAGATTTTGTATCACACTTTTGCTGTTTGTTAATGCCTAAACATTTTATTCGTTGTTTTTTTTTTGGTAACTATGTGACAATGATAAAAAACTAAATTGTTTTTGTTTTTCCCCAATATTGTATAGACAGACATATCAATAACAATAAATTCATCACATTTGTACAAAGGTGACACAAAATCAAGTTTTTATTATCTCGTATTTTAACAACAATATTAAAATAATTCTTTGAGAGTACAACCTGTTAAGATAATTACTTGTCTGATTTTTTAAAAATTCCCAGTCGTAAATGACATTCAAATACCACTTTATATAGCCAGTTTAAGTTTTCAAACCTGGAATGTAAAACACCACTAACCTACAACCGAAATAATACTGGATTGGAATCAAAATAATGTTTTATTTTTCCAAATTATTGTCTGAGGTTTTAAACAGTAGTGCAAAAAATATATAAAAAAAATTTTTTTAGTTATGAGAATTTTGAATATTTTTTTCAAGGGTCAACTGGATCAGGAAGAGAAAAAGGAAAAAAGTAAACGGTCAGGAAAGTCAAGTGTTCTGGCCCAGCTGGCGTTGAAGAAAGAGGAAGAGGAAGCACTGATGGCCAACAGGGTGCTGACTGCATTGCTGGAGACAGAGGAAGACATTGCTCCAGTCATTGGAGTGGAAGAAGTGAGTCACCTACACCATCTCTTCTTTTTCATTATCAGTAACATATATAAGACAATAATTCCTACTTAAGTGTAGATTGATTGTAGTATTTAAAAGATCCATGCATTTGTTGTGATTTCTGTTTTAAAAGAGGACTAAAATTGATTGGCTATTTGTGAGTTTGTTTTGTGTCTGTGTCAGTGTATATCAGTGTTTGTGTTTATGTATGTATCCATGTTTAGGGCCATGTGTATGCTCATATGCTCCATTCAGCTTTACATCAATGAGTGTAGATACACATGATCATTGTTTATTATAAATATGAAATATTACTATCAGAAATAATTTTTCTGTCACATAGTCAAATTCACCTAGCCAAAGTAAAAAAAAACAAATATTGATACCCAGAAATAAAATATATACTGCTCTAATTAAATGTTCTTTGTAAAATCATTTCTTTGTAAGATTGTACATCAATAAATAACTTTTTTAAAAAAATACTTGAGCAACAGTGGATAGAATAAATAATCAAATAGAATAAAATGCCTCTCATTGTAGATTGTTTCTACAATCAATAGTCTTACTCTTGCTTACGTTTTGTTTCACATTTAAATAGAACTTTGTAAGCAAAAGAGCTTCTTATTCTTATTGCCAGGTTTTTGACATCTTGCCATTGTATGGCTGCTTGCAACCTGGCGACACAGAGCAGGTGACCTTCACCTTTTATGGGCACACAGATATTTGGGGGAAAGTGAAAGCTATCTGCGAGGTGAATGGAGGACCAACATATGAACTGACCCTGACTGGGGAGGCCTCTCTGTTGGAATATACATTTGACACACAAGCTATTGACCTTGGGAAACAGGTACAGCAGTTTCTTTTGTACCTGTAATACACACATTAAAAAGATGGACCAGAAATATATCGTTGAAACATTTATTACACAGTTATTGATTACTGTATAAGCATATACTATATAATAAAGTAAACAATTATAGTATCCTTTCAAAACCTTATGGTCCATGGGGCTGGTGAAGTAGAGTTCCCTGTTTCAGTGAACTTGGCATATGAAAGGATAGTGTAGTCAGCACTATACCCAGCTGTTTTTACTTTCCCTAACCATGAGTCAGGTACCTATCAGAGCTGGGTTGCATCAGGGACTTGTGTCTGGGATCCGAACTTGAGACTTTCAGATTGTCAGTTTTATACTGTACCATTCTACCACACTGTCTATACAGTTATCCGAGTTTTAAAAATTAAATAAATGGCATTATTAACAATTATAGATAAATTAATTAACTGGCTTGACCATGATGGATAAATGATGGATAAACTGGTTTACCATAAATAAATGAATGAACTGGTTTGACCATGATGAATTAATTAATTGTTTGGACCATAAATAAATTAATGAATTGGTTTGACCATGATAAATTAATGAACTGGTTTGACCATGATTGATGAATTAATTCATTATATTTGTCTCTCTGTCCAGATGTATGATCATGTTGGGTCAAGCAGCATCACTCTGGTAAACACTGGCAAAGTTGGCTTCAAGTTTTCTGGCATCAACATGGATCCAGCCTTACAGAAGCGCCCTCTGCCAGGACAACCCATCATTATACCCCACTCTGTAAGTTGTATTGATATTTTAAAATGTATTCACTGACCTGACTCCCTGTGTTATTTCCTCTAAATTTCCTGTTTGTTATCCAACTTTAGGGCTATGTTGAGCCGTTCTGTAAACAAGAAATCCAAATAAAATATTTGCCTGGCGTGCCAGAGATATTTGAAAAGACATTCCAGATTCAAGTCGCCCATTTTGAACCAGACACAATTACATTACGCGGAGAAGGTTGGAGCTTTTCCTATTTATATTATTCCACTTTTAAATCCAATTCCTGATCTAGTTTTTAGTTTTGTACTATCCCTTTAAAAATGCAGTTGAAAATCCTGTTGTTACTAATTTTATTTTAAATTTTATTTTGTTTTTATATCTATGGTGGTAATTTCTGAATGAATGCCACTCTTTAAATTCAAACAGCTCAGATATTTAGAATGATGATTTATCTCCTTTTAACTGCCTCATAAATTAGGTGTGGGCTTAGCTATATTCTTTGTTTTGTTATATAGCATATGTTCTTATAAAACATAGATCATCATTATCAATTATTATTTCCCTCTTGATGCACAAGGTATCAATAGATGAGCACCATTTTGTCCTGTCTCTAGCTATAACCTCTGCCTATTTGAATGTTATGCCACTTTCCTTCAACTCTTTCACCATTGATCTTCTTTATGTTATTTTAGCCTCCCTTGTTTTCTCTTGCCCTGCTGTGTCTATGTAAGAGCAGTCAGCCAAAGCATCTGCTCTTATTCTGAATATTTTCTTACATGTTTTGTTCAATTCCCCAGGTGTTTTCCCCCGCATATCCCTGGACCTGCCCAGACTGGAAGACGATGACGGCCTGTACAACAGCCTGCTGCAGGAGGCCAAATACAACCTGACCAACCTCCTGAAGCAGCAGCAGGAGCAGCAGAAGAAGGTGCAGGCAGACAACAGCGACGAGGAGGAGGAGCTGGTCAAGCTCATGTCAGCTGATGAGAGCGGGGTGGAGATGAAGGACTCGGCCAGGGGAGATAAGTCTGGAAACAACTCTGGGGATCATGTGAGTTAGAGTTCCTGGTTTAGAAGGATTTCATGGTTGTCTTTCTTAACTCGCAGAGATTGCTTTGTGCTTTGTTTTAATATTGTTCTCCAAACAGCATTTTAATTTAGCCGAATAAAATTATATCACATTTAATATTAATTATTCTTTAAAAATTAAACACACTTCTTCATCTGGTAACTAAATATTTACACATAAATTATATCCACTGGATAGAGATTTATCGGATTATTGTTGACTTACCTGTTCAGGTGAGAGAGCCGACAGAGCTGGAGATCCTGATGGAAGTGGAGAGGCTGGCAGTGAGAGACTATGCCAGAGAGAACCAGAGTTTCACCAAGCTGCTGCTGGCATCAGTGGATGAGGCGGGGGAGAGCCTCCCTCAGGTGGACTCTACTGCAACACTCTGTGCCTCAGAGCTGTTCTCATCAAAAATCAAGTACGTTTGTGGATAATTAGCTATTTATTTTAATCAATAGAAATAATTTATGGTATTAGTTAATCCTTATAAAAATTCAGCCTTTAGAGAAGGGTTTAGTCACTGCATAATATTAACTGTTGGAAGTATATTTACATCAGTGGGGGGTCACTAGGTTGGGTGACACCCAGTGTGTATAAAAATTAAATTAGGTATTAAATTAACTTGATATACAGATTCTCATTAAAATAAGCTGTATTTTGCTTTGGTATCAACTGGTGTTGTTGGCACCCCCACCTGATGACACTACTGATTTCAATAGTTGTAACTGGTTGCTTATAGAGTAGCACATTGATTAGTAATAATTACCTCTGTTTATAACTTCTGGATTTTGGTTATTAAGTTGTCATTAATTAGTGATAATTACCTCTGTCCCTATACCAACACTACCTGGACTTTAAGCCATGTTGTCATTAATTAGTGGTAATTAACTCTGTTCCCAGACCAACACTATGAGAATACCTGTTGGACTTTGATTATGTTGTTATTAGTTAATGATAATTACCTCTGTCCCTAGACCAACCCTACCAGAATACCTGCTGGACTATAATTATTTTGTCATTAATTAGTGATAATTACCTCTGTTTATAACTTCTGGATTTTGGTTATTAAGTTGTCATTAATTAATGATAATTACCTCTGTCCCTAGACCCACACTACCAGAATACCTGCTGGACTTTGATTATGTTGTCATTAATTAATGATAATTACTTCTGTCCCTAGACCAGCCCTACCAGAATACCTACTGGACTATAATTATGTTGTCATTAATTAATGATAATTACTTCTGTCCCTAGACCAGCCCTACCAGAATACCTGCTGGACTTTGATTATGTTGTCATTAATTAATGATAATTACCTCTGTTTATAACTTCTGGATTTTGGTTATTAAGTTGTCATTAATTAATGATAATTACTTCTGTCCCTAGGCCAACCCTACCAGAATACCTGCTGGACTATAATTATGTTGTCATTAATTAATGATAATTACCTCTGTTTATAACTTCTGGATTTTGGTTATTAAGTTGTCATTAATTAGTGATAATTACTTCTGTCCCTAGGCCAACCCTACCAGAATACCTGCTGGACTTTGGCTACGTTGTCCTCGGTGCCATGAGGACCCATGTTGTGAGAGTGACCAACACTGGCTGGATGCCAGTGTCCTTCAAGCTAGAGAGAGAAAACATCCACCAGCTTGGGTTCCACATTGAGCTGGACAGGGTCCGCAACTTGCCGGGTGCCCCGGATAACGAGACATTGGACTTTGTTGTCAGCTTTGACCCAAGGGGAGCTAATCTGCACCTTGGATTTGTGGAAACTGTTGTGCCAATCAATGTAAGTGGTTAGCAAGTCTTGTGTGGGCTAAAAATATTTTGTCTGATATTTTAATTTAACAACTCAGTTTTAATTAGTACAAAACATGAGTTGGGGGGGGGGGGTGTGAAAGAGCTACAAAGCAAATAGGCATTGTAATAATATCAGAAAAGTATCCTACACAACACTCTAAGTTGTATTTAAATAAACTATAAACTTTAACATATGGAAATATCAACATATGTCAAAAGATTCACTACAAGGTTTTGGAAAAAGATAAAATGCTTATTTGTAACTAATGTAAAACATAAGAAAATAGTAATTAACAAAAAATTATTTTTTTAAAATAAAAAAAAATGCGTATGAGACTTGAGATTTCCTTCATGTGTTTGACCCTATCTCAGATAGCACATGGGCCGGTGGTCAACATGCGGCTGCGTGCCCATGTGACCATGCCTGACCTGGAGGTGTCTCAGGATGTCCTGGAGTTTGATGAGGTCAAGTGTGGAGAATGCAAGGTCATCACCATCCAGTTGTACAACCACCAAATGGTCAAGTGTGAGTGGAACTCTGTGCCTCCAGATGAGAGCAAGAAGGTGAGTATTGGTGGTGGATGGTGGTGTGGTAAACATTGGTGGCGGATGGTGGTGTGGTAAACATTGGTGGTGGATGGTGGTGTGGTAAACATTGGTGGTGGATGGTGGTAGTTGCTGGGGTGGTAAACATTGGTGGTGGATGGTGGTGTGGTAAACATTGGTGGTGGATGGTGGTAGTTGCTGGGGTGGTAAACATTGTACAACCACCAGATGGTCAAGTGTGAGTGGAACTCTGTGCCACCAGATGAGAGCAAGAAGGTGAGTTTTGGTGGTGGATGGTGGGGTTGTGAACATTGGTGGATGGTTGTCTTTACTGGGTTTGTAAGCATCAGTGATTAACTCTGTTTGCGTTAAACATTGTTTTTACTTGGATGAAGCACCATTATATTGTTCTTGATTCAGATTGACAAACATGTCCCGATGCACCTCAGACGTAAGATGAAACAAAACAAAAAGAAATCTCACATCTTTGAGGTGCTGCCCCCTACTGGGGTGCTAATGCCAGGACAGAGAATAAATGTGCAGGTCAAATTCATGCCCACAGAAGAGGTAAAGTTCTTTAAAGGTCATTAATTATGTTTGAGTTTAAATTTTCTTTTTAACATTACACTATAATACAAAAATTGATATAGTTTAGTCTTTCATAAAAAAATGTTTAGCAATATTTTCAATGTCAGAATAAAATTAGGTAATGCTTATTCACCTTTATGGCTTCAAAGGGCGTACTTTTCCATTTTCTTTCCCTCGTGCTCAGTATGTTTATTAGTAAGAGGAATAGTCAAACCATCTTGCATTTTAAAATTTGTTAGGTTGTTTTTTTGTTGTTTTTTTTTTTGTTGAGATAAGCATATTGGCAATATGGCTTCTAAATGCAGACCACAATAAAATATTATTTGCAGTTGCTTAATGCTAATTGCGCATTCTCTTTATATTTTTCTACATCTTTATTCATTTCAAATTCATCTCTACACTTCATTATCAATTGCTTAAAACAAAAAATACTATATTTTTTTTTAAATCTTGAGATTTGTGTCTGGGCTGTATGGAAGTGATCATAAAAAACTCTTGGTTTTGAAATAGAGAGCGAATTGTTACTGGTGTTTTTTTTTTTTTTTTTATATAGGCTCTATTAACAATAAAATATTTTATATCATAATATTATACAAATGGTTAAAGACTAAAGTAGTTACTGGCTGTTGTACCATCTTTTTACCACAGAAATTCTATGAGAACAGAATCCCAATCCGCATAGCACAAAGCAGTCAGCGCATTCTCCTGCTATGCCACGGACAGGGACTGGAACCAAGGCTTGAGTTTGACCGCTCTGTGGTCAAGTTTGGACCCATCCTGCCCCACAGTCCTGGAGATGACCAGGAGATTCTTGTCAAAAACCCATGTCCATTCCCTATTGAATTCTATTCCTTAGAGTTTGATACCAACTATCTAGAGGAAGAAAAGGTAATGAATTTCACTTTATTGTTAGTTACATATTTTTTGGTGATGGGCTTTTTATATTTATTTCATTTAGTTATTAAAGTTTCAATTTTTACACCAATTTCTTCTGTTTGTAGTAATCCATAATTTTATTTCCTTACATTCTCAATGATGATGTGTATTTTTTTACTAGCATTCTTACACATCTTGTACATTCTCACAGTTTTGTACATTTATTGTTTTTAATTCTGTGAGATCTAGTACATTTATTCTTTAATATTCTGTAAGATATTGTACACTTACTGTTTGATTTTATGTATCATTTTTTACAATTATGGTCTTAAATTCTGTAAGATCTAGGACATTTATTCTTTAATATTCTGTGAGATATTGTACACTTATTGTTTGATATTTTGTATCATGTCGTACACATATGTTCTTAAATTCTGTTAGATCTTGCGACTAATGAGAGGATATGATGAGTTCAATACACTTCTCCTTCCACCTCGCCCTGTGGGCAGCAAGCTCCCACCTGAACTGATAGAGTATTATGAAGGTAAATTCATCCTGTTTCACTAAATACCAAAATCCAGAGAACATATATTGTCTTTTTAAACTGTCTAATATAAGTTAGCCATCTGGATGGTTTATTATGGAGTGGCATGGTCGGATGGTAAAGCAGACAGTTGCTTGCCCAAAAGTCTTGAGTTTGGATCCCTGGCTTGAATTCTTAGAACATCCCTGAGACCACCCAGCTCTTATGGGTACCTGACTCATGTTAGGGCAAAAAAATACGGATAGGCGTATTGCTGACTACACTATTCCTTCATGTGCCTAAATCACAGAAACAGGTTCGATCAAGTTAACTGAGATGGGTTTTTTTTAAGGAAAGTTTTTAAAATGTGTAGGTGACTCTAATCATCATGATGCTTACAAGTAAGTTTTTTGTTTGTAAACCAGACAATGTAAAGGTATTTGAAATCAAAGCTAAACATATATTCACTTTGTTTTTATTTTCTAAACATGTAGTCCTGATAAAAGTAGGACAGATGAAAGGAATTATATTCATATTGTGTACCCCAAGTGGGATAAATATTTGTATTATACATTTTTAAAATAGATCAACTGAGAAAGCTTGAAGAGGAAGAAAAAGCTAGAGAACTTGAAGCCATTGAAGCTAAAAAGAGAGCAGAGGAAGAAGCAGAGGCTGCTGGTACTAAAAAATTTCTAACTTTAAAAAATTGCCTTCAGTTCATAAAACCAATATCATTTTGATTACAGTTTCTAATTAAAATTAATTGCCTTCATTTCACAAAACCTGTATCATAATAATAACTTACATTTTCTACAACATTTTATAGTGACGCTACTGATTCATTTAGTTTGCAACATTGTATTAATGTACACACTTTTATAGTACTGTATATCAGTCTTTGTACTATTCACTCAGAAAAAGAGGCTGAATCTGTAGATGAAAATCAAAATGAAGCAGCGGTTAGAGATGTGACCCCAGCTGAACCAGTTTTACAGCCATCAAAACAAGGTGTCAACTCTGAGTTAGCTATAGCTGCCAGCAAAGAGAGAAAAGATGATCTTTTAAATGGTTTGTGTTCACATTTCCATTCATTGTGGTTTTAAATGTCTATTTAGTTCTAATGGTAAAATATTTGTGAAGTGAATATGTGGGGAACTGCATGGTAGAGCTGGAGAGCACATGATTGCTTACCAAAAAGCTTCTGTTTGGATCCAGATGATCAGATGAGGCCCATTAGCTGTGGACAGCAACCCTAGTAGGAGAGAAAACTTCAAAATCAAACAACTGCTGTCTTGTAGATTTTTCTTGGATGGACAAAGGCTATGGATGTATATACAAAAGCAGGCGGAAGTCAAAAGTCAACAAACCCTATGGTACATAACATATTGGAGGAAATTCCTTTAATATTAAAATTGAGAACCAAGACGAAGAAAGAATAATTTTTCATTGATCTTCTAATTAGACTGAAATGTTAAAATATTTAAAGTATTATATATCAGCTAGCTCACAAAAAAATTGACATTAAATGAATCCTGTTCACTTTTTTCGGGGTCTTTTCGTTCTTCTAAATTGCACTTAACATTTTAATTATTGTGCAAGCTTGTGTCAAATGAATGGTTTTGCATTTTGTAACTTTTTATGTACTGCATTAAAGCCTGAAAAGACTTCTATGGAACAATGTTCTTACATTTAAAATACGTGAAGCTGTTTTTTTAATTAATTAAATCAACTAACCAATAATGTCCTCTTCTGGTTTATTTCAGATAAACTGAAGGCCTCGTCTACTGGGATGATGGGGGTGGGAGAGCTTGAGATTACACCTGTGTCTGCTGCTATAGCCAGGTACCTGGGCATTGACCTCACACCTGAAGGGAAAGCTGCAAGAAACCGAAGAGGCATCGCTATAATTGTTCATGGTGCCCCAGTCTCTGGTAAGTTGTCACACTTTCTGCCTCTTGCTGAAACAACTTTTTAATGCTGCAGCAACCATGAGACATGAATTCATCACATTTCTAATGCTGCAACAACCAGAAAACATGAATTAATCAAATTTCTAATGCTGCAGCAACCATGAGACATGAATTCATCACATTTCTAATGCTGCAACAACCAGAAAACATGAATTCGTCAAATATCTAAAGCTGCAGCAACCATGAGACATGAATTCATCAATGAAATTTAACATTGGTTTTGGCCACACATAAGTAATTTAATAGGAAAAACATGAAACAGAACTATTCTCACGCAACTTTAAATGTCATCATAGTCATTACGTTATTTTTCATGTTCTGAGAAATCTAATTAGTTTTTAATAGATAAACTCAGATACATTTCAGCTCGCCATCACTCAATGACAACATATATTTGCTAAGGTTTGATTAATCTGACAAAGACTTGATTTTACAACATCATTTTTCAGATTTATTTCTTGATATTTTAATTATAACCTTCAGTGCTGTAGCTTACATACATTGCTCATGTAATACATATATTTCTTATGTAATTTTTGTTTCCATCAAAAAACCTAATACTGTCATCATTTCATCAATCAAGCTTTTAATTTCCCCAGGAAAAACTAGCATTGCCATCATTTCATTAACTTTTAATTTCCCCAGGAAAAACTAGCACTGCCATCATTTCACCAACCTTACTTTTAATTTCCCGGGAAAAGCTAGCACTGCCATCATTTCATCCACCTTACTTTTAATTTCCCCAGGAAAAACTAGCACTGCCATCATTTCATCAACCTTACTTTTAATTTCCCCAGGAAAAACTAGCACTGCCATTTCTTTAGCCAAGCATTATGAGGCGGCCCTATTGACAATTGATGGCATTGTGTGTGACGCCATTGCCAATGGCAACACCCCTGCAGGGCAGAGGGCCAGAGAGCTGTGCATGGAGGCTGCCAAGAGAAAATCAGAAGAGATTAGAGAGTTGGAACAGGTGGAGATGGAGAAAAAAATTGGGCTCAGTGTGGAGCAGGTCACTGCACATACACAAGGAGCTGGTGAGATTTTTGTTTTTGTTGGAGTTATCTTGCTTGTTTTGTATTTATCCAATCAAAATTTTTTGTCTTTCCCAATTTATTTATTTTAAATTATTTTCCAACATCTCAGGCTTGTGAGAAGTATAAAAATTAGAAAAGTAAAATAGTTCCTTCATATAATTTCCTTCAGTACTTGCATGTATTCAACAACTTTTGTCATATTTCTAAAAAAATTTAAAACAATTTTGAGCCAGTGATTTCTGTGCTGCTTCTGGTTCTGTGTGTTGATCTGAGTTTTTATATAACCAGCAGGGGCAGCTGGGACCTCCATGGGTTCCAACCGTAAGACAAGCACCATCATGGAGCAAAAGAACAAAGAAAAGCAATCCACACTTAGTAAGAATACTGGTGTCAATTCATCAATAGAGGGCGCCACTGTAAGTCATGCTCTATAGCATATTTTATCCAAATTTTTATGCAGACCAACAAAATTTGAAACATTTCTTAGAGTAAATTATGTAAAAAAAAATAATAATTTGACTTTTGATTTGTTTAAACTGCATTATTCATACTCTTTAATTGATGGGACATTTTATAAATGCTGAGTATTCAATATTTTGTTTCTACATTTTTTTTCTACATTTTATTTTTACCTGAAATAGAGCCCGTTACCTGTTGTTGCCCCAGTCGCTAGAAAATTAAGCATCAGTGCCAGTGTTGCTGGAGAGGAAGGTTTAGTCTCTTGTGTCCTACCTGATGAGCTGTTGGTGGAAATTTTGGCAGAGAGATTACAGGTAGACTGTTTTATTTTGTTTTACAATTAAACCCACAACTGGTCAAAGGATGTCAGAGTATGATATTGCCACAGAGTAGAAGTAAAGTGTCCTTTCAGACCTAATGGTCCATCTATTTTACCTTGGTTCATAAATAATGGTATGGCTAACACTTGGCTCAACATAAGCTATCTGACATTTTTTTTTTATTTCAAAAAGAAAACATGACTATATAGGCTTACCTACATTTAAATTACTTATTTTAAGGAATAAATACAGTGCTGTTTCTCCACTTGTGTTTGTCATCAGTTGAAAAAAAAAAGAAGATAAATTGTTAATTTTTTGCTTTTTTTTTATTAAATTCATTCACTAACTTATTTTAAGAAAAATACTTAAAATGTGTTTCTCCAGCTAAATGATTGTCATCGAGGTGTTGTGTTTGATGGCCTGGACACGTTGTTTTCCCTGAATTATTTCATGACTGCCAGTGCTATCCTGAAGGCTCTGAACAACAGGAGATTCATTTACTTTGTCACCTTGAAGCTGGACTACAATGTCCTCAAAGAGCAAGAAAAGAGAGCACAAGAGGAGAAAGGTTGGAACTTTTAAACTACAATCTTCATGAGCTTTTAAAGTACTGAATCCTTTCTTTACATGAGAATGAGAAAACAACCCCATGTTTAAAGCACTGCTTTAATATGAATTTTTTATTATTTTAGAATTATTTTCCATCTTTTTTTTTTTGCATAAATTTAACTTGACCTACTTTTTTGTAGTATTGGAAGAGCAGCTGAAAGAGGAGAAAGAGCTCTTGTGGCTGGAGGAGATGGATGAAGAGGAATATGATGCTCTCCCAGAAGATATCAAGGCCAGGATTGACTTGAAAAGGCTGAATCTTAAGAAGGAGAGAATAAAGAAGTACTTGACTATTAATTTACAATCTCTGCCCACTCCAGCTATTATGTTTTATGTAACAAATATTTATGCTTTTTTTAAAAAATGAGCACCCATTGCACTAACTGCAAAAACAACTAATTTGCTTTGAAAATTATTTTTAATTAATCTCACATTTAATTTTTTAAATTTGTGATCAGAGAACAGCAAGAGAAAGCAGAACGTGAAAGAATTGAGAGAGAAGCAAGGGAAGAAGAGGAAAGAAAAAAAGAAGAAGAAAAGTATGTTTTTATACAGCCTTTTTTAGTAAAAACTTTAACCAGATTTTTTTTTGTTTAGAAGAAATGTGTCTCTTTACCACTGTTACACAATAAATGATAATTTAAAAGTATAACACAATCGTTTTATAAACCATATATATGTATGCGTCTCTAAAATGATAAAGTTATTAACAACAAAAATGCAATAACTAATCTGTAGTTATAAAAAAAGTAAAATGTTATTTTAATAAACATAATATTTAAAGAAAACAAAAAAAGCAGTAAATCATGCAATGACACAATGTGTTATTGTATTTAAACTAGGAGTAAGAAAGGGAAGGGTAAGAAAGGTACAGCACCAGCTCCAGACAAGAAGACACCAGCAGGGGGAAAGGTAGCATCAAAGGCACAGTTTTCTAAAGCACAAGAGGCAGACAAGGGCACTGGATCTGATAGACCAGAGTCTCATCTAACAGAAAAGTCTGACAACCTGGCAGAAGATCACAAGTAAGTCAGACACAAATTTTTTAATTTGTTTCTAACCCCACTGATTGTGAAAAGTCTGACAACCTGGCAGAAGATCACAAGTAAGTCAGGCACACATTTTTTAATTTGTTTCTAACCCCACTGATTGTGAAAAGTTGAACTATTTGGCAGAAGATCACAAGTAAGTCAGACACACATTTTTTAATTTGTTTCTAACCCCACTGATTGTGAAAAGTCTGACAACCTGGCAGAAGATCACAAGTAAGTCAGGCACACATTTTTTAATTTGTTTCTAACCCCACTGATTGTGAAAAGTTGAACTATTTGGCAGAAGATCACAAGTAAGTCAGACACACATTTTTTAATTTGTTTCTAACCCCACTGATTGTGAAAAGTTGAACTATTTGGCAGAAGATCACAAGTAAGTCAGACACACATTTTTTAATTTGTTTCTAACCCCACTGATTGTGAAAAGTCTGACAACCTGGCAGAAGATCACAAGTAAGTCAGGCACACATTTTTTAATTTGTTTCTAACCCCACTGATTGTGAAAAGTTGAACTATTTGGCAGAAGATCACAAGTAAGTCAGACACACATTTTTTAATTTGTTTCTAACCCCACTGATTGTGAAAAGTCTGACAACCTGGCAGAAGATCACAAGTAAGTCAGGCACACATTTTTTAATTTGTTTCTAACCCCACTGATTGTGAAAAGTTGGACTATTTGGCAGAACACAAGTAAGTCAGACACAAATTTTTAAATTTGTTTCTAACTCCACTGATTGTGAAAGGTTGGACTATTTGGGAGAACACAAGTAAGTCAGACACATTTTTAAAAAAATAAGTTCGTGAAAAGTTGGACAGTGTAGCAGAAGAACATAAGTTAAGTCAGACAATTTTTTCTAAAAGGGCTAGCTCCTTTTTAATCAGATGAAAATTTACTAGTCCAACTAGTTAAGAAAATTTTGTAACTTTGGTTTGTTGCTTATATTTGCTTTTTATTTCATTTTTAGTTCTAAAAAAAAAATATAAAATAAGTTTAGAAACTAAGAGAATTATTGGGATTCTACTAAACAGTTTCAATAATGAACAAAAAATTTTTTTCAGAAAGAAGAAAGGGAAGGGGAAAAAAGAAGGCACTGAACTTTCATCTTCAGCTGAGGAAGTGAAAGATTTGGCCAAAGAAGCTGAATTACTTTTGATGAGCAGGTAATTTTGTTGTGTGTAATTCTGCAGTTTTAACCGCTGCGTTGTCTTATGTGTAATAATAACAAGTTTACAGTTTTTGGTATTTTTCTTAATAATCATATGTATATTACAATACAAGTAGGGTCTACTTCTTTTAGACAAAATAGCTTTGACCGTACTATTTAGAAGATTTCAAATGATACTTTGTTCTTTGTCTGGCAACCTTTTGGGTTTGAATTTATTTTGGTTTATAATATTATTTAAATTGTCTATATATGCTGGGCATTTGGTCATTTCAAATGGTTACTTCACTGATTTTTGTCAGATTTCGTACATTCGAAACCTACCAGAAGGACATTCAAGATTTACTAGAATTCTGGGACAGGACTTCCCTTCTGCCACGCCGCCCCAACACACCATCAGACAAATCTGATGAGGATCATAAAGAGACATCTCTATCAGCAAGAAAAGGGAAATCAAAAGGTATAGAAATATATACTTTAAATTATAGTTTTGTATTGCATGGTTCATATAATTACTTGTAATAAACGATAGTTACCCATATTCTCTCTAATCACAGTAATTTATTTATATACCCAGATTCTCTCTAATCACAGTAATTTATTTATATTTAAATGAACTTAATAAAAAGAATACTCCTCTAATTACTAAAAGTTAATGAGTGGTTAATTAATACATATGCTACATTGTACAATACTATATACTTTATCTGATTTAGCAGATGAAGAGTTAGAAGATTTTCATTTTAATTTACCTTTTTTATATATGATTGCAACCGAAAGATAAATGCTACTCTCCCGCTATAACTCTTGTTTGAAAACTTTCTTCCTTTGTGTCCAAGAGTAAGACATTTGTTAAATAATTAACTTTAATTCAATTAATATCTGTTAGCTTCTCTCTTTACCAAAGATGACGGTAAGCATTCAATTCTTGGTTGTTGTTTTTTTTTACCTGGACCCATTCAGTTTCATGCTAAGTACTCAATTTTGCACTTCAAAGATACATTCTTTATTTTTCATAATTAAAAAAAAAGGTGTCCATAAAATGGTTAGACTGCACACAGCTCAAGTTACCCTGACAGAAAACTTTAAAGCAGTAGTAAAAAAATGTTGATTTAAAACCAGTAGCATAATTTATATTTTGAATACTAAAATAGGTAAAGAACAATAACTAGTTAATGCTGTTACTCTTGCAGGAGATGTAGAGTTTATGTGTTTAGTGACTGCTGTTAGTTTTAGTCCAATGCAATCCCCAGCTGTTTAGAACCTCTCTCACCACATATCAGGCAGCAATGCATAGCAAACCTAGCTAGGTGTTAGATAAGAGTTCAAAATTTAGAATCTTCAGTCAACACTGATTGTGAATACACATTTTGTTACTATGTTCTGATTTTGTATGTTTCAAATGGTTTGTTAACTAATTAAAAACCTACGCCCAATCTTTAAGTTGTTTTAGAAATTCTTTTAGAAGTTTTTTTTTTTTGCAATGCATTATTAAAAATTAAAAATTGTTTGCGAATCTACCAAAAAGAAACTGTTGTCTAAAACAAAATAGTCTTTTTACATTTTACTGTTGAAAACAGAATATTTGTATTGAAGTTAAACACAGGATAAAAGTTTTATTTCTACCCCTCATCCAAAACTCCCACTTTTTACTTACTGACCTCATCCAAAACTCGAAATTTTTACCCTTTATTATTTGTAGAGAAACTTGACAAGGAGAAGCTAAAAGAAGTCGAGAGAATAAGAATGGAAAGGGAACTGGCTGAAAAAGTTGCAAAGGAGGTTAGTAAAGAAAACATTTTTTTCTATCAGATTTGTTTATGATAAGATAGGCAGATTTGTAAAGAAGACAATCAACTTTATTAAAATACTTCGTAATCAAATGAGTTGAATAAAAATCTATGCTTGAATATAAATGCATATATTTTTACAGTTAAATATTCAAAATGAGATTGAATTGAATGTAACTATTTTTCACATGTGGTTTGAGAAGTGTTTTGAATAACTTCATGAAATCTTTTGACTTTGGCTGTAAAACTAGCATACAAAATGCTTGGCTAATTAATTATATATTAGTTTTAGTAATTTTATGTGAACGTTCATTAAATCTGCTGTCTAGTTCATATATCTCATCCACCTTTTTTAAATGGTTACCAGTCTGCCCAGGCTGAGGAGCAGAAAGAAGTCGTGGAGGAAGAGAAGAAAGATGAGGTTGGTGTCCCTCACATTATTGTGGACTGTGGTGAAAGGATTGTCATGTTGTACCAACGAATTTTAGATACCTTGCCGTCCACAACTGATGTAAGTAAAAATATTTTAAGACTACATTTTTATTCACTATGTAATTAACAACTTAGGCAAGTAATGCTACTTTAGGCAAACTTTTTTTTTAATATTTCAACTTATATTTTCTGCTGATGCATAAGCTTCTGCTCGACAACTTTATTCACCTGATATGTTCTTATCTCCACAACTGATATCTGGCTTCTCAATCCACTATTTTAGTTGTAAATTGAAATTAAACAGGCTGACAATTTTGAAATGAGAGCTATCCTCTCCTTTTTGTAACTATCGTTTAATAAGAAAAAATCAACTTCATAACTTCAGTTCAAAGTGGCTTTTCATTTTCTTTCTGTTTAATTACTTTGAAAGAAATTATTTTATAAAAATAATATCGCTTGATTACATTTATCTAAAACAAAATTTAAATTAGATTAGAAAAGTGCATGTGATAACAGTTGTTTTTCTTATTTCCCCTTTAAATAAATGAATATATCATCACTTTTTTGTGAATTGTTTACATTTGTGACTTGACTAGTCTACTAAAACAAACATGCATATGGACATTTTTATATCAATGTTTTTGTCTATACACTTCTTTCTTCTAGTTCAATTTAATGTTATTGTGTTATACATTAAAACTTCTTTAGAAACAGGATTCGTATAATATTCAGCAAGGCAAATTAATTAACACAAATTCATTGAAATCGTACTTGTAATTATGAAGTCTTCCAAAGCTGCTTATTAATTTAGATATTATTTGAATCCTGTGACTAGTTGAAAAGTTTTTTGCTGTTGTTCTATATGTCCACAACTTATTTAGATTTTCTTTTTTTTTAAGTCTGATTATATAGAAAAATAAATATAAATCAGCTTGCAATCATTGGCTTTGTAAATGAAAACATCTTTAACTGGATTCTCCATTTTGTGCGTAAATATCCAATTAGTTTTATCAATGAAGTTAAACACAGGATAAAAGTTTTATTTTCACCCCTCATCCAAAAGGACTGAAAAGGACAGACAATTAGCAAGAAAACTCACTACAAATGAATCAATTACATAAACATAAGTCATATATTTTCATTTTCGTGATATCTAAATTAAGTTAATGTTATCAACCATAAATACATAACTTTGTTTTAATTTGTCATTATATTTTATCCACCCAGCATATATCCTTAGACTGAAACCACTGTAAACAATCAAATAAATAAAATCTGAAGTTATTAAAATGTCTGTGTTAAGGAGTACTAGGTAGATAATGAACTCCAATAGATATTCAGATAAAATCTAGTTGTTTTTTTTTTAATTTGTAATTTATATTGAGTAGCACTAGGCAGCCATTTCTCAGCAATTCCTCCAAGTTGAGTCCATGACATTCTAGCTGCTTGTGCTTCACTGACTGTTGATCTTTTCCAATTTTGTCTTACCTACTTTCATCTTTCCTGGGGATTCTAATCTAATGTTTTTCATTATGTTTGTTGTTGGCCTTTTTAAAATCTCTAGTTACTAGTTTGTCCACAAAATATCTCAGATTTCAGGAAGGATCAAAGCAGGTAAACGTTTGGCCTCAACTTCTAAAAATATAAACCAGTCCTTCCGCCCCAGATATAGTACACTAGAAGACTGGCCAATGGAATTCAGAAAAGCCAAAATAATCGCTGGTTGCCCTTTTGGAGCACGTAACACCAGGATCACAACCAGTGATACTTATCTAACTGTTGTCAGAAATCTCATTTTTAAGAATAGAAGCCAAAACAACAGCAATACCAAGAGTCCAAGCCTAGACTCTAGAATCAAATTTTTGAAAGAAGTTGAGATGTATCTGTCTGGTGATGCAGAAGTATGTAGCCCTTGCTGGGCTTTTGTTTCAACAATGGAGAAGTTTTATTGTCTTTTGCAGTTAACATTGTTTATTTATTTGCATTTTGTGCTGTTAATTCTAAAATTTGTTTGAATTTATCTCTGACATGGTCAACATACTTTAGTGTTGCAGTTGACAATAAGTATTGAATATTTTATGTTAATTGTATTAAGCTATATTTAGGTTTATAAACACATAATACAGAAATATTAAATGTGATAAATGCTTTTTAATTGTTTAGCTATGGGTATTTTATTTTTTATTTGACACAGTATTAATTATATGTGTTAACTTTTATTAATTGATTTAAATTGTCTTACTTTAAGTGTACTGATTTCTCTCTCAAATTTTTTAATTATGTAGCTTACTAACTATAGAAAAAAATGAGGCAATGAAATCTTTAAATTATTTCTGTGTGTGCTTTCATGTAGTTACCTCACTTCCCTTATAAGCTCGTTTAGATAAGCACTAACAGCACTAACACATGCATTATTTTTATGAACAGGGGACCCCCCAACCCACTTTATCTCATGAAAACCTCCTATTTGATGGTATGCTTTTAGAGTCAGGACACCTCCCAACAAAAGAGGAAGTGAGTTACCATGGAATAAGCCCTGCACTTCTCTTAATTGTCTTTCTGCATTGCTACTGCATTTGTTTCTTTTGCTAGCTTTACCTTCCTTATTAAAAAGCACTAAACTTAGAGCTAGAATTAAATGTAGTTTTGATTAGATTTTATACACTGAATATATTAATACAATTCTCAATATGTAGGGTATACTACAACTGAAAAGTTCTTAAAGATTTGTTAATTAAAAATGTATCAATGCAGTTGTTCTGTTTTGTAGGGTTAAACTTTTTTAAGCATTTTTTTTTGTTTTGAACATATTAAAATCTTGCGATTACAATTTTTTGAGATAATTTTTATTTTTTTAATTTTTCTTAAGAATCTGCTTTTTTCCCCTCTCTGCTCTAAATTTTAATAGCACAAAAATATGTTGATTGAAAATGCAATTTTTTTCATTTTGCTATTTCACAATTGTAAAAAAAAATGTTTTTCTTCTCATTGACATTCAATTAAATCAACATATTTTGTATAATGAGGAACTATTTTTCTGTAAATTTAAAAAAAAAAAAAACTTGTGTGTCTGCAGGTTTTGGATGGGCTAGGTCTCGGCACCCAGGGCCCACCAATACCACCACCTGCTACTTTTGCAGTCATACCTTTTCCAGTCAAGAGAAAACCACCTCCACTGCCTGAGATGGGAGGCGGCTACACCTTCATTGCTGCATATCCTGATGACCCGTAAGTCATTGCACTCACCAGACTAGCAGAAAAACTCTTCTTCCTCTGCTCAAAAGAACTGTCAAAAGCTTTAAAGTAACTGTTATGTATTATCTACAGAATTAAACAAAAGACTTAAAAAAAACTGTATCCACTCAGTTTAATATCTTATCTTATAGGCTACAGAAATTGATTATGTACACCAGACTTAATTTTGATTAAAACAATGATTCTTCACACTGTTAGGAATGTCGGCATTGAAGAAAAATCAAAAGAAGAAGTAGAGGAAGAAGCAGCCGTTGTAGAGAAGTTGTCAAAGGAAGAAAATGCTAAAAAAGGAGGTAAAGGTGCTGACAAAGGAAGAACTAGCACAGAGCAGAAGCGGAGCGCAGAGCGTAAGAAAAATCGACGTAACTCCGTGGCCCAAGCGGCCTCACCAACTTCCGAAGGAGGAATTCCTGCTGATGATCCTGCGTGAGATGTTTTTGATACCTAGTCTTATGGATACCTAGTCTTATTGATACCTAGTCTTATTGATACTTAGTCTTATGGATACCTAGTCTTATTGATACCTAGTCTTATGGATACCTAGTCTTATTGATACCTAGTCTTATTGATACCTAGTCTTATTGATACCTAGTCTTATTGATACCTAGTCTTATTGATACCTAGTCTTATTGATACCTAGTCTTATTGATACTTAGTCTTATGGATACCTAGTCTTATTGATACCTAGTCTTATGGATACCTAGTCTTATTGATACCTAGTCTTATTGATACCTAGTCTTATTGATACCTAGTCTTATTGATACCTAGTCTTATTGATACCTAGTCTTACTTAACAGATTTGGCTTTTTTTCTCAACTTTAGTCAAAACAAACTTCTCTTTTCTATTTAAAATATTTGGTAACTCAGACCATTTAATCAGTATAAGTAAATTGTTTTTAAATGAAGATTTAAAACAGTTATTTACTAAATACTTTTATAACTTCCTTCTCTTTTAAAATGTAGTTATTTCTTTATTAAAGTATATTTAAACAAGTGTCAGTTTGTATTGCTTTAGAACATGTTTTGATCAAGATTGTTTCATTTAGGCAACAAGGTGCTCAGCCTACTGCTGAAAATCTCATTCCACCAAAGCCGTAAGTTAGTTTTGTTTCTTTACAATAAGTGTCAGTTTGTTAAGATTAAACTTTTTAAATATGTTAAATCTTATTCCACGCAGGCTGTTACTTAGTTTTGTTTATTAGTTACTCTGCTAAAAGTGTCAGTTATTATTAAACATTTTAAATATGTTAAATCTTATTCCACACATTTTGTAAGTTAGTTTTGTTTATGTTACATCTGCCACAAGTGTTAATTAAGATTAAACATTTTAAATATGTTGCTGTATGTTTAAACATGAACACTTTAAAAATATGTTATTAAATGTTTACAGCCACTTATGAACTGACAGAATTATTGTATTTTAATTATAAATTACATTTTAATCAAGGAAAAGCTAATTCTGAAAAACAAACAGGAAAATATTTAACAGATGCTAATAATATAAGTGGATGTATATAATGTATTTTTCCCACTCATAGATTTTCAACAGAGCAATAGTCAGAAGCAAAAAATATTGTGATAGTTTTATAATGATTGTGTGCATAGAGTTAACTATGTGTCTAATAATTGTGTCGACAGACTGACCATTTTTAGATGGACTGTACAAGCTAATGGAGAAGTTAAGTTAAAGTTGAGGTTTCTCTCAGATGACCTTGGACAGTTTGACCAGACGATGAACTTTGAGATTGTGGGCACCCGGCGCAGATACCAGCTGTTTTGTCGTGGCGTGTGCGCATTTCCAACAATAAGCAAAGAGCCCAGGTACTGATACAGTTTTTCATTTCTTCACTTCTGCCACAAAATAAATGACATAGGAATTTACTGGAACATTCTGTATGATTGAATAATAAAAGCTTGTTTAGATAATTAGCTGTGTGTGAAATAATGAACTAGACCTTGCAAGTGACTGTCTAACATTGACTGTACTATGTCTTATTCATTTAGAATTGTATTCCAAAGTCGGAAAAAAAATCGGCGTTTGGATGAAATAGTGCACAAGAAGTACATTCTAAACACCGAGACATTTGAATTTGGTCCACTGCTGGTTGGTAAATCCAGAGATAAGTAAGTATTACCTGAAAACAGTACTTAACTTTTATGAAATAACAGCATTATATGATTTTAATTACAATTGTTACAGTAGATTCTTATATTCTTATGCAATATCTATTGCTCTTTATATAAAAATATTACTTGAAAACATACATTAACTTTCATAAAATAATAGTATTATTAATTTGGTTATAATTATTGCAGTAGATTTCAATATTCTGATACAACTCCTATTGCTCTTAGTATATAAAAATGTCACCTAAAAGCCCCACAAACTGAATCAAAGTGGCATGTAATACTATGTGTTATATTTGCACAAACTGAATCAAAGTGTCATGTAGTACTAGGTGTTATATTTGTACAAACTGAATCAAAGTGGCATGTAGTACTATGTGTTATATTTGTACAAACTGAATCAAAGTGTCATGTAGTACTATGTGTTATATTTGCACAAACTGAATCAAAGTGGCATGTAATACTATGTGTTCTATTTGTACAAACTGAATCAAAGTGTCATGTAGTACTATGTGTTATATTTGCACAAACTGAATCAAAGTGTCATGTAACACTATGTGTTCTATTTGTACAGGTACAGGGAGGGCAAGTACCCAGAGAACATGGAAACCATCACCATTTTAAACACATCCCCGCTTGACTCGGAGGTTAGCTTCTGCTTCCTCCATGACAGTAAGGGAGACACCTACTTGCTGGAGCCACCAAACATGCTTCTCAAGCCAGGAGAGTCCAGTACCCTCACCATTTGGGCTTATCCTAAAGGTATTTTAGTAGATCTTCCCTGAAATTACATTTCTATTTGAACACTTTTGTCACTAAATTATTTATCATGTTTTGTAATGTGTCTGTGAGGGCTGTTTTTGTTTACTCAAGTTTTTCTATAATGCTCCTTCTGAACTACCTTACTACACAAGTGATGATGATGGTATTAGACTTAATTCAAAGCTTTCAATAAAAACACCTTAAAGACTATCGTCCTTCACATAACATTTATTGGCAACATAAAACATAAACTACCTCATGTAGCTTTCAATAAAAACACCTTAAAGACTATTGTACTACACTTAACATGTATTGGCAACATAAAACATAAACCACCTTATTTAGCTTTCTACCATTGAAACAAAAACCAATGCTTTTCTATTTGATTCTTTTCTATTCACCCACAAGGTCATCATCCTGTTTTCTACATCATTCTGCTTTTGACCTATTATACTCTCAAAAAAAACAAATAGCAAATACTCTCTAACCCATTTCTACTGTCTTCAGTTAATTCTTAGCTAACCCTAAAATGTCCTTAATCAACTTGTCTCTGTTATAATCTACCATTCGTCTAGTCATGTTTCTGCCTTTTAAATCTCTGTCTAATAATTTCTTATGTATTGTACGTACTTCAACATAACTTTCAGCTGTACACATCAGTACATTTTCTGGCTACACTTGTCTTTTGTAACCTCCCTTAATGTTAAAATAACATCATACACAAGATGTGATTTTAAACATATTTCAATTCAAACTCAAGAACAATTTATAGCAAATTTAAAGACAATTGAGCAAGTGAAGTAAAAAATTGGCTTAGTATAGTAACATTTGTGTATAAAAGCTTCACCACAAGCAACCAAGCCTTCAATCCTGACATATTATTGAATGCTTATATGTAAACAAGTTTTTAATGGCTTCCAGTTAAAGAAGGGGAATTAGAAGAAGTAGAAGTTGTTAGAAGATCTCTGGGCTTGGAAGTAGAAACAGACAAGCAAGAACCAGAGGAGCCAGAGGCTAAGCCACAAGTTGTCGCGTCACTTACAAAAAGGCGATCGACCATGGCTCATCCTTCTTCAAGTCTCTTGAAAGATGCTAAAACTCCTAGTATAGATATTGTAGCAAAAGCTACTCCTTCTAATGAGGAGGAAACTCATTTGAAAATTGGAGAGAATCCTGTTGAAATGAAATCAGATGTTGAAAAGATAATAGAAGCTGTAATGACTCCGCAATCTGCCGGGTCTTCAAAAAACAAAAGTTTTCCATTTGCTCAAAGACAAGATAAGCATAAAATTCGTGCCAAGCCGAGTGAGATCATTTAAATAACATTTTGGTTTTTTGGTTTTCCTGTTGGGAATTTCAATTTTTTAAATTACAGTTTACTTTATTTAAAATCCAGTTTGAAGACAGAACTTTTTTCTTGTGATGGTTCTATTACACTCTGCTTTCCTTTTTGAAAAACTAGATTTTTAAACCTTTGGCTGTTAACACTTGTTGTAATTATCTTTTCTCATTTTAAATTGGTTTTTCTTATTGTATAACGGTACATATCTTATGCTAGGTATTTTTATTTTTAAAATTATATTATTAAGATTAGCAAAGCAAGTTTTATGAGGTATATAATTATATATAATTATATTACATACCTATAATATGATCTGATATATTTGTTTTCTATAATGTTGTTTTTCACAATTACTAGATAAAACAATCATTGATTTTCAAACAATTAACTTATGTCCATCTTTTTTTTTTTAAATATTACACCTGTTATAATTTACTTCTTGCTCTATATTAGGCCCAGGACACTATGAAGATGCAATAGTATGCTGCATAAAGGAGAACCCAGAACCAGTAGTCTTCAAAGTCTGCTGTGATGGCTACCGCCCAGAGTTGGAACTTGACAAAAAGATGCTACACTTTGATAAAGTTTTGTTACACAGGCAAGTGGCAAGATTCATTCATGGATGTAGTTTGATGTCTATTATTTCATCTCTAAAAAAATTTACATGACCAGTTTTTCAGCTGGACAATAATTGAAAAGCAGTTTGTAACCAACTTAAAAAATAAAGGCAGAAATATTATCACAAATTTGTATTTGTTTTATATAGGCCCTATATCATTTATTATGTTTTGTAATTTATATTTTTGGAAATAACTTAAGAATGCCAATTTTAACTTTGTAGAAAAGACACCAAGACCATTTACTTAAGAAACAGCACACAGCTGCCAGTTGCCTGGAAACTGAGTGGCCTTGAGAACCTTGGGGATGACTTTACAGTAGCGGCAGATAGTGGAATAGTTGAGCCCCTCTCAGAGTATCCCCTCCATGCTTACTTCAGAGCCATGAAAGCTGTGTCAACGAACAGAAAGATGATTAGAATTGAGGTAAACAAACATGGGCCTATTATCTAAGCTACTCCTGAATTAAAAAAAATTAATTTAAGAGCTATGTTGCTAGTAACATATTGGAAACCAAAATTAAAATTGATAATTTGTTTTTAGAAACTCATTGGCAAAAAAAAACAGTTTTTGCAATAAGATAAGAATTGTATCTGGAAGATTTTGATACAAATTTGTACAGCAGATTTAACAGTCCATTCTCACTTTTTTCTTTTTTTTTACATTTTGTATTAATTAATAGAAGTTTTCTGCATTAAAAATTTCTAATATTATTAAAGTAAAATAGCTTTAACTTAAAAAGTTAATATTAATTTTTAATAAGAATATGAAACAAAATAGTTATATAAATCATTGTAAAATTTATTAAGTGAAAAATTATGTGAATCAATTATATACACTACACTTTATTTTATTTTTTTATATACATTAACATGATTTTCAAGTAAAACTTAACATTGTTTTAGCTTTATTTTATAATTTTTATAAAAATATAACCCAGAATTTAAATACATTTCTGATAAGTAATGTAATTTTCAAGTAAAATCTCTTAGCAATGGTTTAGGTTTATTTTATAATTTAGATTTTAATTAAATTTCTGATCGATTATATAATTTTCAAATTAAGTTATGTTAAAATTGTTTATTTTATAAAGATAAATGAGATCTATATACTTGACTGTTAACCAGATTTCTGATGCTGACAACATTATGGGTGTTGTCCACACAGAGCCTATTCAAGTCATCGCTGAAGCCTATGATGTTGCCCTTGATATGAGCTTCCCCAAAGGTAAACTCTCACATTTGTAGAATCTACTTTTGTTGTGAGAAGCAAGAAAAAAACATTTGAAAATAATGGAACCTAGGGGTGGGAGAGTAGAGAAAGTGTTTGCTAACTCAAAGGTTCAAGTTTAGTTCATGGCTGAAGTCTGCTGAAGAAATCTTGAGTCCTGGTTAGTACCTGGCTTAAAATAGAAATTTAAGGTCACATGATCTTGTAACATAGTCTACTGCATTTTCCTGTCCTGGCCATCTTTTGACAGTAGAAAATCATTCTCTCTTATGATTACTTTTATTGAAATTTTTAAAAGCTGTTTATGTATGAATTATTATTATTATTGCGCTGTTATTTATTTATTTATAATTTTTTTTGCATTTAAAAAGACTCACCAATCTTTTAAAATGTTCAATTGCGATGCCATTTTAAAAAATTTTCTTATATAAAGTTTTTAAAATTCTAAGCATTTTTATATTACTGAAGAATTTAAATGCACTTAGTTATAGAGCCTACAAGTTCACACATAAGCACTGATTGAATTGCTATTTTTGCCAAGACTTAAATGCAACACTTTTCTTCACCCTGCTATAATAACTGAACAGAGCCCTTAAAAAAACCTGCAAAGCTCAATGCAGCAGAACAGCAGGTGCCTCAAGGAAGGAGAATGTCTCTTTTAGGGGCCAATTTAATGCTCGATAAAATATCTGTCTTTGCTGGAAAGTCTTCTAAGTTTGACTCCCATGAAGAAGAAAAGCAACCAACTTTTTATGGTCCAACCAGCAGCCAAACTGAGCTGGTTGATGGTGAGAAATGAATATTCACTGCTATGTGAAAATGGCTGTTCACCTTGATGTAAAAACAAAAATAGTCATTTCTTACACTTTAAAATAAGTAAACTTGGTTTTGTGTAATATAAATATTGTGTTGTTTTGTATTTCTGCAACACTGACATTACTGTAGCCTTGAAGGGTTATTTGTTATACTTTGTGTTGCCCACACACACAAAAATCACCATTTTGATGTCAAGCTTATATCACTGTATAGTAACCACTCTTTAGCCTATACTTACCTTTAACGGTGCTCACCTTGTAGGGATTGTTCATGAAAAAAAAGGCAAGAAAGGAAGGTCCCCATCAATGATACTTCCTGATGAAACTAAAACAAAGCATAAACCCCCATCTATTTCCAAAGACATGCCTCCCACATTTAGTCTGATGGGTGGTAGAGGTCAGCATATATTGAAAAAAAATGTTTTCAAATTCCGATTCTAGTTTAAAATTGTATTATTTTGTTGTTTTTCTTTCTGATTATTGTTTTTACTGTTTCAATTAGTCAAGTTCAGGCTTGGTCAGCTTGATCCACCTATTTAAAACCAAAAACATTGGGTTTTATTTTTATATTTTTCACAACCAAAAAGGTGTTTTAACTCTACTTTAAATCAGGGCTGTTATGATGAGATAACTGGGGGCTACAGGGTTAACTGAGTCAGTCACAGTAAAACAGATTAGACTCTCCTTCATTGGGGGGGGGGGGGGATATTAAACTTATATGAGGATATAATTTTCTCATTACCTAAATAACAAATAAAAAACAAAGTATCCATTACTTTTTACTGTTAAGTGTCATTTCATGTGATATCATTTTAATAAATTTTTAAAACAACACAACAATCATCCAGATTCGATTATTAACCTTTTAAATTACAATGACAATTAAGTTAGTGATTTTTGAAAGGGTAGATTTATGTAGTACAATCAGGGATATTATTATTAAGTTTAGGCATTTAGAAGCCTAGATTATTCCATCACACTGCTTTAGTTGTGGTTGCCAGAATCAGAGGCAATTTTTGTCATTTTGGGGATAAATAATTTAAATCCAGAAATTTGTGACAGATTTTGCAGCTCTGATTTAATTATTAGTTCTTCATCCATTTTTTTCTTCTTTCTTTTAAAGTGTTGCACACGTTTGTTATTTATATTTATATATATTTTTTTTGTTATTGTTGAGTTTTGTTATACTTTGTTGTAATGTAACTTGCATTGCTTTGGTTTTTTTTTTATCTTAAAGAAAATCGTATTCTAATTTTTTTATATAGTTATATAAATGAGTTTTAGATCTGTTTGCTTTGGTAATTTTTAAATTAATTAAACCATTAATGAATCATTAAGTTTTTTTTTAAACAATTATTTATCATTTTTTTTAACTTTTTCAAAATGTGTGTAAATACTGTAAAGAAAGTTTATATGAATGAATTTAAAAAAAACTCAAAATAATACTTTGAGCATATCCTGCCTTTAAAAAAAATCAAATTTTTTACATTTTTGTTTTCACTTTCAGGTACAGATGGTGGGCTTGACTTTGGAACTCTCAGAATAAATGAGGAAGGCCGACAGTCATGCACCCTCAAAAATAAGGGAAAATATGAGATTGCCTACAAGTAACCTTTTTTCTTCTAATTTTACTGTTTTTAATACAGTGTTGAGTTTGTAATCAAGTGGATTACTTACTGATTATTGATTAGCTATTGTGTAATGATATCTGTGTCTGTTGTATAAGGGTAAACACATAGGCTATGACATACTTAAAATGTCTTAATTGTTTTGATTTATATACATGCTAATTAAATTTTAGATTAATTGTTAATTTTTTTTTCTTTAGTCAAGATTTTCAGCTCTACATTCATAAGTTGTTTTAATTTGTGTTGTTAATTTTCCTGTATAACCTTAATTGATTAATTTTTTTTAAACCTCCGCCAGTTTCCTTTTAGAATATCCAGATTCAAAAAGCCAGGAAATTGTTTCCCTGTTTTCAGTAGTCCCTAGTAGTGGGAAGCTAAGTCCACAAGATAGGCCTACACAGGTTAGTGCTCAAATACATTCCAATGAATAATTTAATTTTTATTTCAATTACAATTTGGCAAGTCAAAACTATTGTCATCTATTATGTAAGCCAAATTTTTTGGAGTAGTGGAATGAAGATACATTCTCAATACTTAGATTACACAATTTTAAACTCCAGGTGCAGGTGATCTTCAAATCTTCCCGGGAGGTACAGATTAAGGACATACCACTTTTAAAATGTCAGGTCATTGAACCTTCCCTGAGTCCTCCACGTGGTGAGGTAATAGCAAGTATACCCGTCAAAGTATCTGTCAAGGCTGTGTTTAGCAAGTGAGTTCTTCTTACAGTGAAATCACATACAGCATATTTTTAAAAAGTTTCTTCTTGTAGTGAAATCACATTCAGTATCTTTAGTTGATTCTTCTCATAGTGATATCATCACATTCAGTATCTTTTAGTTGATTCTTCTCATAGTGATCTCATCACATTCAGTATCTTTTAGTTGATTCTTCTCATAGTGATATCATCACATTCAGTATCTTTTAGTTGATTCTTCTCATAGTGATATCATCACATTTAGTAACTTTTAGTGAGTTAAATTTTCGTAAACTGATACATTTCCATTCATTTCATTTTAGCAAGTGATTTCTATTTATGGTGATATCGTGACATTCAGTATAATTAGTATCTCATTTTACATTCCTTCATGTTTTTGTATTTCAGATTTCAAATAACACCAGTCAGTGACATAAACTTTGGGGCTCTACTGATCAACAGCAAGAAGACAAGAACTTTTGTCATAGAAAACAAGGGCGAGTTTGACTTCAGATTTACCATCACCAAGAAGGAGAGAGAAGTGAATGCACAGGGGACTGCTCGTCAGAACAGGCCGTAAGTGGAAATTTTTATATCTTAACCCACACTTGTTTTTTATTTCCAGCAAAGACAAAAAAACTAATACTGTGTGAACAGAACTCAGGGTTGATTTTAAATAATAGAAATGGATTTTGAAATATTTTTCATTTTTATGGTTCTTTTTTTTAGTTTTCACTTGTAATTGTTTAAAACTCTTTACTTCATCAGTTCTTTAAGGAATTTCTAATTCATTGAATATTATTTAGTACTCATAATATCAAAAAATTTGAACAATCTGCTGATATTATTGATCAGCTATACCATTTCTTGCTGAAAATATTACTTTTATATTTAAAAAATAACTTATCTATAACATTTGTATAAAAATTAAGATATTAAGTATTATTAGATGTTACACCTAATACTGAACTTAAGTATTATGATTTTTTTTCTGCACCCTTAATTAGAAACTTTAGCGAGTCAAATTTTCTTTCCTTTTTAAATTTTTTTTGTTTTGTTTTCATTATTCAGATTGGTAAAGGGAGATAAAAAAGGAAGGGATGATACAAGCTCTACGCCCTCTGCTAAACCTAAAAAAACAGAATCTGTCAGGTAATTTCATTCATCTTTTCACCTGAGAAAAAAATTGTATTGTGTGTTAACTAAACTACCTGGGAAAGAATCATCTGTTTTGAATTGCTGAAATCAATTAATAGAAATACAATATGTTCTATTTTATTATAAATTTTGTAATTCCTAACCAGTGCCTGAAAAAAGGAAGCAAGCCAAAATTGACAGCTGTTTCGTGTTGTATTAAGTTTAAATTTTTTTATATGATAAATTATTGTCTTTCAGTATAATGCCCAACAGTAATTCAAGCAACACACCAGCAAAAAAAGGAGTCTATATGTAAATGTTCTGATAATGATCTAATATTTTCACATTTCCATTTTTTCTTTTGAAAAGTTTTTTTTTTTAATTTTTTATTTTGTTAAAAAGTAACCACACTGTTGCGGTCGATTGTAAAATGATAGAAAAGTTAACTATAGATCACAAATAAATATTTTGTTTTGTTTAAGTTGCATGAAGTTATTTTTGTTTGACCTCACTGAATATCTACATGTTGTAGAAATATTACATCATTATGAGAACATGCATTACTCTATGAAGACCACAGGGGCTAAACCACAGTTGTCACACTTTTTACACTTTCAAGAAAAACTAATTTTTGCAGACTCTGGTAGCCCCACACGCGTTACATTTTGAATTAAAATTAGTTTTTTTTATGAAAATTTTTTCAATCTTTGACATGTAGGTGTATTTATTTAGTTACCAGGCCAAACCATGTGTTCAGAAATATTTTTTTTAAATGCATACCAATTTTGGACATGGGTTGTTTTTCCCTTGAAATTCTATTTAATACATGTTAGAGCATTGAAAATCACACATTATATATTGAAAAACCATTTATTATTCTAATACTGATAGCTATGGATCTATAGTATGAAATTATAAGATGGTCAGTGTCATAATTTTCTTCCTGGTTTGACATTCTGACACGTTCTGGCTTTGGTCTGATTCTGACTCAGGGTTGCTCAGGTCATTGTTTGGCAGTTCTTCAATGAATGGTTTGCTCTGCTCACATACCTTTTGTTTTAGTTTGAATTTCTCTACATTTTAGACTAGGCAGATTAGCTGTGTAAGCTTGTTTTGGGTGGTCAGACAAGGCAGCTTGAGCATGGTTTCTGTCTCTTGCAGCACTATTGGATGCTCTGGCCTGTGTGGGAGTACCTTCTTATGGCTGAACTATTTATTACACCTCTTTCTGTGCATGATAAAGTGTATTTTACCCTTTACAATTTGTATTTCTGTGAATTTCAGAAGCATATCGCTTGTCATGTTGATGATGGTGTTTTGTGTCTCCGGTGTAGTAAGTGAGCTTTGCAGAATGCTAGCCTTCTGCTGAAAGCTTTTGATTAACACTGGGGATGTGTCAATCACATTCTTTAAAGGAATGTCCTCAAACAGGACATTATGTCAAATCACTTTAATCCATTTCATGTGCTAGCTGGTGAAATGTGTTGTTTCTCTCTTGATTCTCATTGGCTGGTGAAGGAATAACTTGGACATCTGTGGTTTTTCGCGGGGTAAACATTGGAAATCCATTGTTATTCCATTGTGGCATGTTTTTAAAAATCTAAATATTGCATTATCGAGCTTGGTTTTTGCTTTCATATCTTTATACAAGATAGATATGCAGTAGTACTACACGAAAAGGACGCTAACTCAAAAAAATTTTAAAAAGTGGACATTGTTGCTTAGCCTGTATGGTCTTCAAATAGGTTCATTTAGTGGCATAGGCAGGATTTAGTTATGGGGGTGGGAAGCTTTTAGATATCAAATATTCTTAACACATTTAAAGGCATATATATATATATATATATATATATATATATATATATATATTATTTTGAGAGTATATGTGGAATTCTCCCCCCCCCCCCAACACATCTTACCTATGTCAATGGTGTCATTGAAATGTATTTTGCTGCTTTTCTTAGTGCCTTATTTAAAAATAATATTCAAATCAAATTGATTACAAAACCGTCACAAAACTGTCTATTTGTAAGCACTTAAGGTTTTTTAATGGAAAACTTAGCTGTCCAAATAACTCTATCATAACTAACCAAAAGTGCTTTTTCAAAATTATTTGCACATTTAATTTTGTCATTACTTTGGGGGAAAAGTTTATTTTCGTGACATAACAAAAATATAGGTTTTATATAACTTTTTAAACGTTAAGGGGCTACTAACTTATTACATTGTAAAATTGAGCCATATTTTCAGCATGTGTCCAAAAATATTTTTAGTTAGCTATCCTCTACAGGTTTTTTTTTTTGCCTATGTTAATAAATGTTTCTAGTTTGCTAATGTTATAAAATAAATACACTCACATATATACTTACAAATGCATACACACATACACAAAAATGTGTTACTGTTTACACATTCCTGTGAATATATCATAGTATCTCTTAAGTTAAAATGTAATCATTTATTTTTATGAATATTTTTTTAAGTTGAATATTTAACAGCTCTTAAAAAATCTTTTCTGTTCCAGGCAAGACCCTAGCCAGTCCAAACTGCAATTAGGAATGTTTACAATTTTCCCAGCGTTTGGCATCATTTTACCCAATGGCAACCAAGTGATAACAGTAGATTGTGTAGGGGAAACACCTGGTAGAGAGGTCCAGGTTGGTTTACAGCAACTAAATATTTTTTGCAGTGTCACCCTCTTTATTTTATTCAGGTCAATAGCTGGACGATGTGTTGTTGTCTTACTTGCTCATGTTGGATTAGACCTTGTCGTTCCATTTCAACATTCCCTCCTATCTGTTAACTGACTTTATATATGTAATATAGATTCTCAAAAGAATATTTTGTTTTGTTTTTGTTTTTAAAAAACTACTCTTTATCATTTCAAGTTCATTTTTTTTAATTACTATTGAGCATTGACTAACATCAATGTAGCTTAGTAGACTTGCATAAAAAGCAAAATTATGTTAAAATACTATATTAAATTAATTGAATGGCGTTTCATTTATATTTAAACAAATGTTGTAAAAAAATTTAAATATTTTATTTCATTTTTCAGCAATCATTTACTATTATATTTTATTAACTTCATGTCTGATATCTTTCTAAAAGATTTAATTAAAAATGTAAAATTTTGTTGTAAAAGGAAATCAGCATTGAAGTCACAGACAGGGAACCTGGGTCCCAGAAAGGTGGAATACCCTACAAACTGGTGGCAGAAACCTGCATACCCGCCATCAATGTGGATGACATTGGCAACATCTTTGAGGAGCATAGAGTTTGTAAAAACCTGTCAGTCTGGCAGCACAGTAACTGTGGAAACCTGGAGGTTGGAGGGGTGTATGGGGAGGAGGAGAGGAAATTTGTATTCAACAATGTTATCGTTGGGCGCACCGCAAAGGCTCGCTTCAAAATTTCAAACAATAACAAGGTACTCTTTTTTAAATAATTTTAAATATTTAATTATTTGACCACTCAATTAAATTTTTCAATTTTTTTTCTACTACAATTATTTGTCGACTTAAATCTTGTTTGAGGGTTTCAAATATTCCACTGATTGTATTTGTCCATTAAATGTTTGTAAATTTAAAAAATATAAATATCCTGCTTAAATGTTGTGGCCACTAAATCCCATTGGCTGATCACCACCTATGAGACCAAACATCTTTTTAGACAAATCAGACAACATTTAGGTGTTCCCAGGCATGAATTTAGTTGTATCAGTTTAACCAGGTGGACATTTTTTAAAAAAAACAGCGTCTTAGGTGACAAATTACCAATAGGGGTTGTTTGTCTTTAGCTCTGGCTCTGATCACTGACAGTGTGAAGTTGCATCAAGTAGCTCAGTGAAGCTAAACAATCCAACAAACTTTTATCATTCAATTTTTAAATCCTAATGTGTAACATTATAGTTAAAACTAACTTTGTGTGTGTGTTTAAAGGTTTGCACCAATTATTTAATAATGTTTTCTGCGATCCTCCCAGGTGCCCTGTGATGTTGTGTTTACACTTAAGCCTGTTATGGTAAAGGGTGCACCAAAGTCTTTGGATGTTTTTGACTTGGATCCCCCAAGAATGCAAATTGCAAATCACAGTCACATTTATGCAACTGTCTCCTTCACTCCTCCATCAATGCAGGTAAAGTTTACTTGTATAGTAAGGATTGTATGCCAAACATTTGAGAGACATTGAAGTTCTTATACAATCATTTCATTTCTTTCACATAGCAAAAAGTTTAATAACTGCTAAAAGATTAGTGAGCCTAATCAAAATCAGAAAATTATAATTAGTTTTGGAAGTATTAACACAATCTAGTACAAACAAATTTTACCAAAAAAACAACTAGTGCAAATAATAAATAATATTAAAGAACACCTATCTGAAAGATAATTCTTAGAATTGTTAAAGCAATTTTTTAAACAGTTTCTTATCTTTATTTGTGCAACTCATTTTATATTTATATAAAATATATATATTTATATAATTTAAATATTCTGCTGAAATGCAGTGTCCACTAAATCCCATTGCCTAATATAAGTTCTGATCACCACTTATGAGACCAAACTTCTGCCTAAACAAACAAGGCAGCAGTTGTGGTGGTCTCAGGCATGAATTTAGTTGTATCAGTTTAACCAGGTTGATATTTTTTTTTAAAAACAGTCCTACAAAATGTTTTGTTACAATACAAAAAAATATCAAACTTTTTGTTACAGTCATTCAGTGCTATTTTTGAAGCAGCAGTGGAAGGTGCTAGTGCTAATCAAGCTAAGGGCAAGTCATTAATATTTGAAATCTCTGGTGAAGGAAACCTGCCCAGGATTACAATCTCAAAGCCTAGCATTAGGAACAAGAGCGGACAACCACTGCTGCTCTTCAAGCGTATTTTACTTGGGCGATCAGATTCTCTACCCTTTGAGCTCTTCAATGATGGAAACCTGCCGAGCAAAGTAATTTGATTTCAGCTTTTTTGAAGTTCTAACACTTATTTCAAATTTGCAACCTTGGGTTATTTATTCTAAAAATTGAGAGTCGCTATTAGATATTTAAATTTATAAATATTCATTTAAAATGTAGAATTTGAAGTTTCAAACTTGTAAATAGTATGTGTAATAGTAACTTACTAGATATGTTATTTAGCAGTAAAATATTTTTCATTTATAACAATCTGCATTGTAATTAACATACACTTCATATCTTTGTTTTCATGTATTGTAATTGTCCCAATAGAAATTTCTAAAGGCTCAGTATTATCTGCAGGTGGCCATTGATTTACTTGATTCTGACCACGCCTTTATGCTGAAACCAACCAATCAAACAAGGAATATTATTGGAGACATTAATTACAATGAAATAGGTACATTATTTTCACAAATCATATTTGTGTAATAGTTAGAAAAAAATGTACTGGAATGAAATGAAAAATCACTGCTGTTTTCCTTCTGTCTTAAAAGTTGTTAGATTTTGAGCAACAGTTAAACAGTGGTTTAACTACTTAATGTATGTGGGCTGGTTATTTAATTGTTTATCCTAAAGTAAAATAGTTATTTGCTTGCTCATTAATAGGGATCACTCAGGATAGGACAAACTAGGATAGTTGTAATTGAGCTTCAAAGAAAACAATTGTTGTATGGTGCAGGCTATAGTCATGTATTGAATATTAAGTCTGCCTATTTTGGCTGAGTTTTTGGTTGTCATATTTTGCTTACTTTTTTGTAGTTATATTTTTGTTGTTTTTTATCATTACTAAATCAGGGGTTAAGGTTCCCCCACTGCATATTTTCATTCAGTCCAATTTAACTGTTTGAACCAAGCTAAAATTAAGACCATCCTAGATATTTTTATAACACCATCTTTTAAATGAAAATTCAAATAATAGTGTGGTTTTTTTTTTGTATCTTTCATTGTTAAAAGGGGCCTAATTGTGTATATGATTACTTTTTCATTCACAAAATTAGCCTTGGAGTGTGAATTGTATAATTATATTTTTATTCACAAAATTGGACTAGTAGTGTTTAACGCTTGATTTCAACAGGCTAGAATTTCCTTTGAGAACAAGTTTAACTTGAGAATGTTTAAATAAGAAAACACTGTTAAAGATAGACCAAAGTACGTACTGACTTTACAATAGACCAAAGTATGTACTGACTTTACAATTCTCTTTTGACTCAGAAACTAGGAGAAGGGCACACACAGCGTCCCTGGTTGTCAACCCCAATGAGAGAGCAACCTTTGAGGTGATTTATCAACCCAACGCCCCACAGAGGTCACTGGCCAACCTGAAAGTGACCGTAACAGACAACCAGTACGAGGACTACCTGGTCCAGATGGTTGGGGAAGGCTATGAAGATGACATCACACTGGACAACATTGGGTCAGATTTGGTTACCATAGATCCAGAGAATGAGCTCATCGCGTCAGCTGATGACAGTATTGAAGGTAAGACAAATACATGGACTTCTTAAGTGTTTGTTGTAACTAAATAGATCATTTTTTCTTCTTTAAAAAGACTGTGCAAAAAATAGAAGCTTTAACTGGATTATACAAATAATGATTGTTTGCTTCAATGGAGGTTCCCATCTTCTGATGATGCAGGAAAAACTTTGATGTGAATGAGAACTTTATTTTATACAGCTCTTGGTACCATACCCAATCTTGTGATCTGTGTGCATTTGTTAAATCTTATTTCAGTTATTTGATTAGTCTAATAAAAACAGTAAGACCAGATGCAACTGGGATGAGAGCAGACTCAAGCTTGAATGGCTTGATATATTTCCTTGATGTTTGTAGCGTTGTTGATGGATTGTAAATGCCTGGTGTTCCAGAGGAGAAATCTGATAAAACTCAGAAAGATGAGACCCAAGTCAAGGGCTTGGTGTGGGATGTACAGTAAAGCCCTGGTCAGATGAGGCTCAATAGATGGGTACAGCAACCCATCTAGGTGAGACAAAATCCAACATGAAACAACTACTTCCTTGTAGTTTATTCTTGGATGGACAAAGGCTATGGAACCAAAGCCAGAAAGAAAAGCAGGCTGAAATAGAGTTAAAGAGCCATATGGTGCATTACATGTTTACACATAATACTTAATTGTGTTGGAAGAAATTCCACTCAACATTACAATTAAGAGTACAGAAGAAGAAGGCCCAAGCCTTAAATGTTAAATATTTCCTTGAGGTTTTGATGTTTGTAACTGCTGAATGATTGTGAATGCCTGATGTAAAGGTTAAATATTCCCTTGAGGTTTTGATGTTTGTAACTGCTGAATGATTGTGAATGTCTGATGTAAAGGTTAAATATTCCCTTGAGGTTTTGATGTTTGTAACTGCTGAATGATTGTGAATGCCTGATGTTTGCAGGGGAGAAATCTGATAAAACAGAAAAAATGACAGCAGATTCCAGTGATAAAAAGTTCCGGTCTGGTGATAGCTCAAGTATCTCATTTCTAAGTTCCTACCCCTCCGAGGAGGGAGACGAGGACATTGTTATGATGGGTACTAGATCGTTGTATTATAACCCCAGTTCAAGCATTAATCCTAGAAGATTTTGTTCTTCCTTTTTTTTTTGTGCACTTTTTTATGTTCATTTTTTATTTCAGTGTTTTGTAGATTAATTTTATTTCAGATTTTAGCTTGAGTTGAGTTTTTAAATTATTCTGCAAGCAAAATAAATTTTGTGTCTATTTTAAATGCACCTTTTAGTATTTAGCTTTGTAGTTAATCATTAGAAAAATCAGAAAAAAAGAAAATGTTCTCTGAAAAGTTTTCATGAAGAAGTCAATGGCTAATATTTTAATGCTTTATTATTTTTGCACATTCTATTATTCATGTTTTTTTTTACGATTCAGAAAATTTCTAAGCTCAGATCGCATGCAATCTATGTTTAATTTTTTTTAAAATAGAATTTCACTATTTCAGAATAGTTAATCACAGTTATCAATATTTGAAGACAATTTTTCTCTGTTTTCTCAAATTGTCATGATCAGAAAAATTTCTCTTTGTTTCCAAGTTAAATTTTTTCTTTGCTGCTCTATTGTTTATTTGATCATTTAAATATTAAAAAAATGAATGTTGTACTTCATATTTATATCAATTGGTGTTTTACATTTATAAATACCCATACGAAAAGTTTATAACCACAATCTTTACATTTGAATTATAGATTATCCAGGCATGCTTCTTCAAAACTAATTTATTAAAACTGAACAATAACAACAATAATTAAGATGGAATGTCAATCTCTGTCAATTTTATGGAGCATTTATCAAATAGTTTTTGTTTTATATAAAGATGTATTATTTGAGTCCTAATCTCTATCAACTTTAAGAAGCATTGATCAAATATGTTTTTGAATATAAAGATTTATTATTTGTATTTTGGTCCTTCAGCTGCCAAATCTAATTTGATGAATTTTGGCGACTGTTACATCAATGAAAGCAAAACACTCAACCTCACCATGACGAATCATTCAAAGACTGACTGTGTGCGTTTCCAGTGGCCCAGTCACCCGCAGTTTAAATTCTCACCAGAGGTAGGTTAAACTGAGTTACAATGACATTTAATTAGGATGATAAATTGATGGCTTGTTTCGCTCATGTTCTAGACAAACAGTGGTGATATGTATTAGTGAATTCGAAATATAAAAAAATAATTTTATAATTAAGTCAAAAAAATTAATAAAACTATCAAACTCTTGTTTTCTTTTTTTTTTTTGGGGGGGGGGGGGGGGGGGGGGTTGTTTTTTTTTTTTGCAAAAATGATCAAGAAATTATTTAATGAAATTTTGTAAGCTGTGGAGATCAATATGATTCCTTTAAATAAAGAGCTTTTAAATACTTTGTAGTGTTACATTGTGCTGGTTTAATTTTTAGTCTACTGCAGTGCAAATTATTTTATTTAAAATGTTTGAAATCTGCCAGGTTGGCCATCTCCATGCCAGCTGTACCAAAGACATTTCAGTGACTTTCAAGTCCAAGAAACCAGAAGTTTTGAACCAAGTCCCCCTGCAATGTAAAGTCACCAAAATTGTATTTGATAAACCTATAGAGCAGGTAATGGAAAAAAAATGGTTTTTATTTCAATTTAGGGAGAGAATTTTAAAAGAGTGTTTTAAATAACAAACTAACAATAAATATTAACATATTTTTGTGGTGTGATCACTTTATGAAATAAAACTACATCAACATTATCAAAAAGTTACAGTAATCTTGGGGTAGTACATTCAAATTTTGAGCTAAGTTGAAACTGGTAGTTTGATCTCTTCTTATTATAAATCTTTTTCTAACCTTTCCCGACAACTAGACTTTTTCTTTGTATCTTCACTAGTGCTTACTGTACAGCATGTCTAACTTTCAAATATCCTGCCAATTATATAAATACATGCATCTGATAATTTTGATTAAAAAATGGTATTTATAATTAAGATGAGAATATAAATGTAAGTTCTTGTCTACAAGCTAAAATAGATTTTATTTTTGTGTCAAGGTGTGTGACTGGGATGATAAAATCCAAGTGGTCAAGTGGGTAGATAATCTGTCAGCCACTCCAACTCTCACAGAAAGGTTGGTGAACATGTTACTCCAAGTTTTTAAATTGCTAGGAACTCATTTCTTTCATAAGATTAAACTATTCTGTCTTTAAAAACTATGATTAAGAATAAGTTTATTTAATAATAAAAAAAATTAGAAAACTTGTTTACTAATCCTAGATTTCAGGTCAATTTAATGCAAGTAATTGGCCACAAAAATATGATGGATAAACCAACTATCGTTCAGCAAACAAAACACCTCCACATTTTTTAATTCAGTTTTAGGAAAATTGTTTTTTATTTTTATTATTTTTAACACTCACAAAAATCTGTTAATCAGATATGCTAAATTTTTGCATAATTGCTTATGACAGTTCCACTTCATTTAATGAATTCAACTCAGATGAACAAATGAAGAGTATCTTGGAAATTCTGCTTTTGTGGGTCTTTCTCGGTTTTAAGTTTGTTTTTTCATGTTGTTGAATTGGAGTATCTTTAACCACTTTCTTTTGCAACTTGATTCCTGTTATTTTGTTGTATTTTAAGACATTATAAAATCTTAAGGTAACTGCATGAATTATTGTAATATAAACTGAATGAAATATTTGTATGCTGATGCACATATATATACATGAAAATATAGGTGCTTAGCAGATCCTAATGCTTATTCAATGAATATACAAGTCATATTTAATTTTGCAATATCATTTTCTTTATCATTCAAAATACTTTTTTTTAAATGTTTATTGATATAATTCAAGACTGAGAGGGAGATGCTAGGGTTATCAATTATTTTTAAAAGGTAAATTTATTAGAAATCTGGCAACAAACAAATTTCTTGATGAAAAATGTGTAACAAACTTTATTTGTAGCTAGAAAGTTTAAGCGTGCAGTCACTTTTACATAAATACATTAGCAAAACTTGCAGTGATTTCAAGATTTAATTCACTGAGTTGGAAGTTTTATCACATTTGCATCAGCACATGGTCATATCATGTAGTCATTTGAATTATAAATTATTATATACCACATCATAATACTATGTATTGTCTTCATAAAGTTATAAAATATGTTCAAATATAGAACTGTGTGTATTAGGCTGCTGATGAATTTGTGACATATACATCTGTATGTGTATGTTTTTGTATTCTATAAGGCAAAGAAAATATTTTTAAATTAAAAATAATTAAGAATTTTTCTTTTAATTGTTTAAATGTTTTTAGGTATATGTTGATTTTTTTAAAGTATTAACTTTCATAGCTTAAAACAAAACATAGCGGATTAATAACATTTAATTGTTGGACTTTACAAAGAATATAGTTTCATTTATGCTTAAGATTAAATAAATCTTTTAAATACTGATTGGGAAACAGCAAATTTTTTAAGAAAATTTGTTAATAATTGAATTATTATTTCTTTCACCTTAAATTAATGAATCTTTTTGTGATTGTGCACAGTGGAAGTAAATCTACCGTAGCCCCAGTAAAGACTGGCAAGAAAAAAGTGATAGAAACTGAGACAGAGCCAGCAAATACAGAAATTCCAGACACATCCAGAGATTTAGAACTGCTGGTATCTGCCATCATAGACTTCACCAAGTGCACATGTGATGTGGAGACCATCCACTTTAAAAGCACACCCATGTTCCAGACCAGAGTCTATAGGTAACTTTTTCTTTTCTTTGTCGATTTTAATGGGAAACATAGGTTGGGCTAATTATAGCTGTGGATGAACTAATATCAAATTAGTCTACTGTTTATGTGACTTTTTAATATTGTTTATAAAAGGTAAATTAGATGAAAAATTTTAAAAATCATTTTTAAATTTTTAACATTATTTTATTTGTATAAATCACACAGAAATTTTGATGTGTTAAATAAACCAAATATAAAAATGTCTGTGATTGAAAATTTGGGAATGCATGTTATCTAATTTACTCCTTTTAAAATGTTTTCTGTATGACAATAATTCCTTTTTTTTTTCTTTTTCCAAACAGCTTGGTACTTAAAAATGAAGGTCCAGTCTCCTTTGACTACAACTGGCTCGTAGTAATGGACAGTTTTACGCCCATGATGCGGCGCTCCGTGACCTTCCTGTCAGAGGGAGACCGCCCCGAGTCCCGGGTGGATGTCGTTGAGACCCAGTACATTCCCTTCTCTGTTGAGCCCCAGTATGGGACCATTGCTGCTGGCTGCAAGATGAACGTTGTGGTCAAGTTTGCTCCCTTGGATGCCAATGACTATGAAGGGAGACTAATTTGCAGGTATTTCAATATCTAAAATTTTAAAATCCTTTTGTATTGCTAGCAATAGCACTGATTTATATTCTAGAACTTCAAAAGAAATTATTTAACTAGCCAGTTTTTACAATTTTGCACTATTAGATTTAGGCTTTAGTTTTAAAAGATTATGGATACTCTATTCCCTATTTTTGTTTACTTTGTACTTGCAGAAATAACTAGCCTAGATGTACATCTTTTACTTCATGTTTTTTATCTTGATTATCCATAAGGATTGTAAATAATTTATTATGAATTCAGACAATGGTTCTTTATTTTTATTTTTTTGCAGTGTTCCTTTTATGAACAAAGGTGAACAAGGACCAGTCATTGGGGTGAAAGGTCGCAGCATTATGCCCTACTGTCATTTTGAACTGGAAGAATCTGATTACTTGGCTCGAGCTAAAAATAACCATGAAAACCATAATCAGGGCAACGCAGTGCAGGGACCAAATGTTGACCCCACTACACGGGTCATTGAGTTTAATGTCTGTGGCATTGGCATCAAATGTTTCAAGTAAATTTTTTTTTTTTTAATAACACATTTCTTGAAACAGAGCCTGCACACACAGAAATTCCAGAAAATTCCAGTTAATTATTATTTTCTTGAAAAAATAGTGTTCAGTGGCATTTAAAGTTTCAAACTACAAATACAATAATGAAACTTTAAAGTCATGTTTGAGATTAAAGTTATAGAGATTAATTAACCTTAATCTTCATAAATCAAATGAAGTTCAGGATTTTAAAACAATGATTCACACCACTTCCATAGAAATATTTAGGTTAACTCCGCTATAAAACTGAAAATTTTCTTTCCTAGGGAGTTTGGAATCATTAACCCAACAAATGAGCCTTTCACTTTTGAGTGGATTTGTGAGGATGACAATGATCCCAAGCAGCCTGTATGTTTCAAGTGTGCTCAGCCAGTAGGGGAGATCAAGAATGGTAGAAAGTGCAAAGTAAGTTCATGTCTTGTCTGATTGGCCTAGCAATTTATAAAAATATATATATATATATATATATATATATATATATATATATATATATATATATATATATATATATATATATATATATATATATATATGTATGTATGTATGTATGTATGTATGTATGTATGCATGTAAAGTACCATTTCAAACCGTGAGGCAGTTGAAGTAGAGTTTACCTGTCTCCTCTTCCTTTTAAATTTTCTCCCCAAATATTGTTTTATTAAGGTTTGGTTACCTCTGTTTTATCTTTAAAAGTATTTTTTTTAAAGTAATTTCAGTAAATTTGGCATTTCACCTGCAGGTTGGATTTGAGTTTACTTCTTATACTTTGGAAGCTACGGAGTCCTTTTGGCGCTTTACCATCCCATCAAGGGCAATAACCATTCCTTTTCTGTTGGTTGGCTACACAAGGGAACCAAATATTTGTTTAGACAGGTCCCACCTCAACTTCAAAACTCTTCTTGTTGGTAAGTCCAGTAAAGCTTATTAAAATGGTCATTTGGTATTGAGGTTTATCTTTATATTTTTGTTTCTTTTTTTGAGTGATAATATTAATAATGAAGATATAAATTAAATTGTTTAAAAAAATTTAGTTGAAGATATATTTCAAACCTGTTTTTTTTTTGTTACTTTAGGGAGAGAAGCAAGAGACACAGTGTACCTGACTAACAATGAAGATACTTATTTCAACTTTGCTTTTGTGGAAGACTCTTGTCATTCAGAAGGCTACTCAGCACATTTGAAAGTAGACCCAATGCATGGACACATTCCACCTCACTCAAGGTAAGCACAAGTGGGATGAAATACATAACAAATGTTTAATAAATGTTTAGTACATAATGGACACATTCCACCTCACTCAAGGTAAGCACAAGTGGGATGAAATACACAACAAATGTTTAATAAATGTTTAGTACATATACTTTTTAATAGAATTCTTTTTTAAAGAAATTGACAAATATTGTATAATTTTTATAGCTGTCAGAGTAAGACTTAAAACTGTAATTTAAATGTTTTTAAATGGTTATGTAACAACTTTTTTTGTGTACATTTTTGATAGAATCAAATAAACATCATTTAAATTGTTTTCTTATAAACTATTATGCACAAGAATAATTAAAAATGCATAACCAGATTTAAAAAGAAACATACCTTAACCAGTGCTTTTATATTAACAGCATCCCGGTGAATTTAAGTTTTTCACCAAAAACTGAGAAGGAGACAAACTTCAACCTGCGCTGTGTGATCCAGCACAAAAAATCTCCAGTGACATTAAACGTGAAGGCTGAGGGCTACAGCATGAACAGCATTTTGTTGTGTGAGGACTCCACTGGCAACAGGGTAGAACTCAGTGACAGGGGAGTTAATCAGATCAACTTTGGAGAGGTGACCACAATATTCTAGTCCAGGGGTCTCCAAACTACGGCCCGCGGGCCGGATGCGGCCCGCGAGGTCCTCTTATCCGGCCCGCGGAGATCTTTTTGTCCAGGGAAAAAACGTTTGTTGGTGATGGCTGAGGAACTTTGCCCAGAAAAATCAAAGATATGCCTGGAAGAATCTGGCCCCCGAACTGAAATTTTATGGTTAATGCGGCCCTCGGACTGAAAAGTTTGGAGACCCCTGTTCTAGTCCATGCACTCTTACTAGCACTATATTGTGTACTACTTTAAGGAAATTGTACTTAAATTCGCCTAAATGAGATTTTTAATACATTGTTTGTTTAAAATGTCAATTCATATTATTAATAATAAAAATACAAGCTTTGAAAAATTAAGTAACCCATTAGGTCCATACAACAACAATTTGAATAAGCTTGTGTGACTGAAGAAACTCATGGCTTTGACTGGCATTGTCTGTAGATTAATATTTATAATCTCCAACCTCAAAAAAATAAAAAAAAAATAAAAAAAATAAAAAAAAAATAAAATAAAAAAAATCTCCAACCTCTTTGTACTTGTTTAGACCCTGCCAAGGAAATCCTGGCTTTTGTCAAAGATTCAAACCTCTTTTATTTATTGTGTGCACAACTGCTGCAACTCTCTACCATATTTGATAGATTAAGCATACTAGAAATACTAAGTTTATCAGTTAAGAAATAGATTACGTTTTATATTCACTGGGACTTTTCTTTTTTCTAAAACAATTGTAGATTCTCCAAGCTAAATTAAATGTTCTTGGTTTTGCCAGGTGGAGGTGAGTGAGAACATCATCAGACATTTGTTCCTGCTCAACACCGGCAAATTTAACTTCGACTACAGCTGTGATTTCCATGAGAAAACACTTGGCACAGATGCTGTCACTGTGACTCCTCCCAGAGGCGGGGTTATGTTTGGAGAGACACAGGAGATCTCACTGGCCTTCTGCCCACCCAGGAAGATGTCACTCAAGTGCTGTGAACTTGCTCTCAAGGTAGGTCATCTAAAAATTATAGAATCCTAGGTTTTGTCTGAAAGAGTGACCTTTTTCTAGCCTCAGAACAATTCCTTTCTGAGGTAAAATATTTTTGTTAAGGTCTAGTGCTTGAGTCTAAGAAAATATTTTTCTCTTTAAATGAAAAACAAATTTTAATTAAGAATTTGGTTGAATTTATTTTTTTAAATAGAAATTTATCTAAAATAGAGTGCACACCCATCAACAAAGATGCATTTTAGAAGATTTTTTTGTAAGCAGAACTCACATTGTAAAAGTAATATTTTTCAGATATGTTTTTAAATGTAATGAACCATGCTTAACTCTCCTGCTTCCAATGTTTAGGTTACCAATGGGCCGACCTATGAACTCTGCATCACTGGCCAGGGAGTAGTCCCAGGTATCCTTTTCTCATTCAGATCCCACAACTTTGGCAATTGCTTTGTGTACAAGGCAGGCCTGGAACTGCCTAAAGAACAGGCTATACTAAAACTTACCAACAAAGACAAAAAAGAAGTCAGGTAAGTAACTAAAATCTGCAATTTAATAAATAACTCTTTATAAATTGCCAAAATACATTTAAATATTATATAGGTCTACTCTTTGCTGTTATAATTTTAATAATTTTTTAAAATTACTTTTATATTTACACATTTTCTTTTTCCCTGTGTTACAAATTTCAAATTTGTAAATTACTAACTTATTTTCTGAAATATATTTCAATATTGCATAGGCCTACTCATTATCATTAAAATTAAAATAATTTTATATTACTTTCTTATGTGTACTTTCTCTTGTTCCCAAGTGTTGACTGCTTGTATTCTCCAACAAGCCATTTAAGTCATAAGTTTGAGACGTGTGTTATTGCTCCTGGTAAAACTTTAAAGGTGCCTTTCACATTTTGCCCAACTCAACCCATCAAGTACCATGAAACTGTAGTCTTTGAGATTAATGGACTGAACAAGCAAAAGGTTGAATTCTATGGAACTGGTCATGAAATGAAGGTATGGTACTCCTGTCCGTTTGATGTTACACTTTTTTTTTAGTGTTGTGTTCTTTCCGTAGCTTAAACACATGGCATGTGACATCATTGTTTATTGCGTTCTGGTCATAACCATAAACACTTTTCCGGTTGCATAACTAAAATAATGTTTCTACATTCGAATATTGTTTTATTTTTATTTTCTTTCTTTAAATAAAATTAATTTATACATTTAAAACATCCAACATACTATTTTGAACAAAAGTCTGTATCTTTTAGTTCTCCATATATCGCTGAAGATACTGAACTCTTAGACTCGAGACACGCTGACAGAGAGAGAGAGAGAGAAGTGCACACATGGGCTTTTATATATTAAGATTGTAAAATTTTCCAATCACCCCCCCCCCCCCCCACTTCCTTTTTTAGACTTAGACTTAGACTTAGTCCTCTCTGCTCCTTATGGAGCATAGGGCCTCCACCATTTCCTTCCATTTCTTCCTATCCTCGGCTATTAATTTTGACATCTCCCAAGACATCCCTATTGGCTTCAGTTCTTCAAGAAGACTCCGCCTCCAGGTCTGTCTTGGGCGCCCTCTCTTCCGCTTTCCCTGGGGGTTCCACTCAAGCGCTTGTCGTGTAACATTTGTGTGAGCCTTTCGCAGCATGTGACCCACCCAGCGCCACTTCCTCCTTCTTATTTGCACACCTATAGGCTCCTGCCTAGCTTTCCTCCATAGTTCCAAGTTCGGCACTTTGTCCTGCCATCTCAGTTTCAGTATCTGTCTAAGGCATCTATTCATGAAGGTCTGTATCTTTGCTGTACTTCCTTTTTTACTTGTCACAAATGTCCAAACCCCAACATTTCTTCTTTCTTCTTTCCTCCCCCCCCCCCTCGCCCCCACCCAATAAGTGTGGCGACAATGATAAATATGTAAATATTGAGTTAAAGGGCAAAACATTTTTTTATTTGAAATATGCAGATGAAGTTTTTAAAAAAACTACAATTAATTAGTACTCTTATATCACAATTTTTCTGTGGAAATATTCACTTCTCAGGAATTTAGAAAAATCATAAAATTTGTTTAAACTTGTTTTGCATTTGAGAACTTAAACTAGAGCATTTTAACAAAATGATTTTGTTGTTGTATTTTTTAAAAAAAAGTCTTTTTTTTTTTTTTTTTTAATTCATATTTTTGTTTTTCAGATTGAAGTTTTAGATCCAAAACAGAAATGTTTAAATTTAGGAGCAAGAATGGTGGGGGATAATGTGAGGAAGTTTATCCCTATAGTAAATAACAGTCCTTCACCTATTACCTTTAACTTGGCCTTGACCCCAACGGAACCTGCCCTGCAACAGAAAGAAGTTTTATCAATCACACCTAAAGAACAAATCACACTAGATGCCAATGGAGGAACAATGAAAGTTGAGGTCTGGTTCAGACCAAAAGCACGAATTCCACAGTTTGCTGAGGAAGTAAGTAGCAAAAACAGGCTTCTAAAGTTTTAAAAGATTTGTAAGTTTGAAGGTTTCAGTTTAACTGAATAAATAAGTTCTAAGAAAATAATGCATTAAATACTCCTTATTTTTTGCTTCAACCTACAATCATCAGCTCAGCAATAAATGTAGATACCATACAAATTTTAAGTTTTATAAATTGAATTTGGTGGATTTAAAACATCATTCATTAGTTTTATAATGCAACACTAAAAAAAATATACACTTCCAAATTACCTAATTAAATAAACCGGTAGTGATCTCCCCTAAACTTTCTCGAATATTCTTATATAAAACAACAGGGGATGGTAACTGGGGATATAGTTATGATTTTTAATCCATTTTAAATACTTAAACTTTTAAAAATAGAATAGAATCTCATAAAAAAAACATTGCGCACCAAGCAAACGCCGAATAAAAACGCGTATAATAGTGCGCAATATTATTAGTACTTTAAAAATTTACATTAGTTTTTTGAGAAATCGGAAGTAGCGTAAATTACTACTTCCAGTCAACGGAAATTACTCAAAATTTAACAGAAGGTAGAGAATTAGATCTTTTACTTACATGTGAAATTTCATTTATCTATCTGAAATAGTACTCAAGTTATAGGCTTTTGAAAAATTCAAAGTAGGAAAAGTACCACTTCCGGTTATCGGAAATCGCTCAAAAGTTGATACGGATCTACGATTTTGATAAAATACTTATATATGAAATTTCATCAACCTAGCTGTAACGGTACTCAAGTTATCGTGTTTACACACGGACAGACAGACAGACAGACAGACACACACACACACAGACATACGGACAAGATTGCAAAATTATGTTTTTCCGTATCAGTGAGGTGTAAAACGTCGAGATTTGTAAAAATCTCGATTTTTTTTTTTTTTGCACGATTACAATACTTTCTCTATACTACGTATATACGAGAAAGTAAAAATATACACTTTCAAATTACCAAATAAAAATACACATGTTCTAATTACTGAATAAACTTACAAAATTTTAAAAACCTTCTCTGCCTCTGATAATTTTTTTTCTGTACAAATAGCCTAGCTATGTTTAATTACTTGTTTATACAGTAACATTATCTTTCTTCTCACTTAGGTGCTGATGGAATGTTCTGGTATGTCCCAGCCAATATTTGTTGTGAAGGGGTCCTGCCTGGGCATGGAAGTGAACCTGGACTCCGACTACTTGGCATTTGGCACAGTCTACCAGCGCAGCAGCAGTACAAGGAAACTGGTCATGACAAACTCTGGTGACATGAACACAAAGTGAGCAATACACTTGTTTAAGTGCTCTTTACTTTTTGCTGTACTCTCAATACACTTGTTTGAGTGCTCTTTACTTTTTGCTGCACTCTCAATACACTTGTTTAAGTGCTCTTTACTTTTTGCTGTACTCTCAGTTGTGTAAGATAGGCTAGGTATTTTAAGTTCTTCTACTCATAATCCAACTAAAGTAGATGTTTTTGGATTTTCTTTTAATGAAACATATTTAGTCTTCTTTTTAACAAAAGGTTGGTATTTTAAATTATTATTTTAGTGGATTTTTTAAAAACTAAACATGTTTTGTGGGTTTTTTTTAATTTAAAAAATGTGGTGTTTTTTGTTTATTACTTTAAGTTCTTTAATACCATTTTACTTATTGAAATAAACTTCTATAATTATTTAAGTATTTTCTATATAAAATATATCTGTAAAATAGTGGTTAGATTTTGCATGTTTATTTCTTGTTGGTTGTAGTAGTTATTGATTATATAATTGAATAAATGTTGGTGGGTATACACCTTTCAAAGTTTCTCATCATTTAATTTTCAGGTTCAGATGGGATATTAAACGGTTCAAGCCAGATTTTTCTATATCTCCTGTTGAAGGTTATATCACACCGGGCATGGAAGTTACATTTGATGTCGTGTTCCAACCACAAAGTGTTAATGGTGATGTTAGATACGATGTAAGTAGCCTTCACATTGTAAGTAGCCTTCACACTGAACTAAAAGCTCTGATGTTAAAAAAAATTTTATTGCAAAATATAACTAGAAAAGTTAAGATCTCCTTGAACACAATTCGTTTTCAAATTTATTTTTTAAAATTAAACAGTGCTCAGCATCAAAGATGTTTAATTCCTCTTTTAAACAAATTGTCTATTTTGTCACTGTGGCATATTTCAGAAACTCAAATGTTACTTGGATGGTGGGCCTCACAAGCCGATAACCCTAACCCTGACCGGGTCATGCACAGGTATCCCACCGGTTAAAGAGGTGCAAAACTTCCAGTGTGTGGTTCGTCAGACAGAAACCAGGCAGCTCATGATTCCCAACAAGAGCAACCAGCTCTGGAACCTGAAGCCTATCATTGACGGGGAGCATTGGACTGGACCTGTTTCTTTCATAGTCGAACCACAGCAGACCAAGTCATACGAGTTGACTTACAAGCCGCTAACAATGACTGCAGAAAACAAAAAACATACCGTATGTCTTGTTAAAAACATGTATTTGTATTAGATCAATATTCTGAATATAATAACTAGTGAAAAATAAGTTTGTGAAATCTATTCCTCTAATTTCTTTTGAGACTGTCTAAATATATTCCTGATTTAAAATTCTTAGCTTACAGGTCATCACTGACCATGGCATGAAAGGATTGTGTTGCCCAGATACCTTTAATTTACCCTAACTAAAAAGGTACCATTCTGAGTAAACTGAGGGACATCCCTTGAGAATGGAAACCAAAAGTTTTTCTTTCTGTCTAGCAATCAAATCACCCAACCACATAAAATTCCCAAGATATCTATCAAACCTTTATTTTCAACATAAAACTTGAAAAAACCAAATGTTTCTAAATTTTTACATGGTTTCATTCTTCCCCCCCCCCCCCAACAGTTCAAATGTTTCTAACATTTTACAAGTTTCTATTTTCTTCCCCAATCCCTGATGGTTCAAATCTTTCTATTTGCAGGGTTCTATTTTCTTCCCCCTCCCTGATGGCTCAAATCTTTCTACTTGCAGGGTTCTATTTTCTTCCCCAATCCCTGATGGTTCAAATCTTTCTATTTGCAGGGTTCTATTTTCTTCCCCCCTCCCTGATGGCTCAAATCTTTCTATTTGCAGGGTTCTATTTTCTTCCCCCTCCCTGATGGTTCAAATCTTTCTATTTGCAGGGTTCTATTTTCTTCCCCCTCCCTGATGGTTCAAATCTTTCTATTTGCAGGGTTCTATTTTCTTCCCCAATCCCTGATGGTTCAAATCTTTCTATTTGCAGGGTTCTATTTTCTTCCCCCTCCCTGATGGCTCAAATCTTTCTATTTGCAGGGTTCTATTTTCTTCCCCCCTCCCTGATGGCTCAAATCTTTCTATTTGCAGGGTTCTATTTTCTTCCCCCCTCCCTGATGTTTCAAATCTTTCTATTTGCAGGGTTCTATTTTCTTCCCCCCTCCCTGATGGTTCAAATCTTTCTATTTGCAGGGTTCTATTTTCTTCCCCCCTCCCTGATGGTTCAAATCTTTCTATTTGCAGGGTTATATTTTCTTCCCCCTCCCTGATGGTTCAAATCTTTCTATTTGCAGGGTTCTATTTTCTTCCCCCCTCCCTGATGGCTCAAATCTTTCTATTTGCATGGTTCTATTTTCTTCCCCCCTCCCTGATGGTTCAAATCTTTCAATTTGCAGGGTTCTATTTTCTTCCCCCTCCCTGATGGCTCAAATCTTTCTATTTGCAGGGTTCTATTTTCTTCCCCCTCCCTGATGGTTCAAATCTTTCTATTTGCAGGGTTCTATTTTCTTCCCCCCTCCCTGATGGTTCAAATCTTTCTATTTGCAGGGTTCTATTTTCTTCCCCCTCCCTGATGGTTCAAATCTTTCTATTTGCAGGGTTCTATTTTCTTCCCCCCTCCCTGATGGCTCAAATCTTTCTACTTGCAGGGTTCTATTTTCTTCCCCCCTCCCTGATGGCTCAAATCTTTCTATTTGCAGGGTTCTATTTTCTTCCCCCTCCCTGATGGCTCAAATCTTTCTATTTGCAGGGTTCTATTTTCTTCCCCCTCCCTGATGGCTCAAATCTTTCTATTTGCAGGGTTCTATTTTCTTCCCCCTCCCTGATGGCTCAAATCTTTCTATTTACAGGGTTCTATTTTCTTCCCCCTCCCTGATGGCTCAGGGCTCCTCTTCAACCTCACGGGTGTGGCAGAACCTCCCAAGGTAACTGCTAGAATACAGAGAGACATCCCATGTAAAACAGGCTACACTGAACTCATTACTGTCTCCAATTGGCTCAAGAAACCCCAGAGGTGGGCAATGTTTACTTCAGTATTAAAACTCAGTGTTAAAACTCAGTGTTTAAACTCAACAGTAATAAGTTTAGTTTTTTAATTCCAACTCTGAAGTTTATAAGGTATGAAAGTGTATAAAGTCCAAATAACAGGTTAAAAAAACAAGTACCTTTCTGTCACCTTAAGAGGAGTCAGCACCTTGTTATGGTGATGTTACTATCCCAACCCAGAGCCAGGTACCAATTAGAGCTGGATCAACTCAGGGACACATTAGAGATCCAAGCCCAGAAAGCAGACTTATAACTGATTATAAAGCATTTAACTGTGCCAATTGTTTGTTGTTAAAAAAAAATTAAAATAATGTGTAATTAAAACTATATCTACTAATCTATTGTTTTAGATTCCGTGTTAAAATTGAGCCAATCAAACCAGAGAAGTTGGATGCTGGGATTACAGTCAAGGGTGTGGAGTATGTTGATGTGCCAGCCAATGGTAAAAAGGACTACAAGTTATATTTCTATGCTTACAAGGAAGGACAAACTATACTCAAGGTGATTGAACTTTCCATCCTACACAAAATAGTTTAATGTTATTGAATGTCAAGCTTGGTTCAATTTAATAAGTATATTTAAAGATTTAAGGTGTGGGTGTTTATAACTTCAGACATAAAATTTAATAAAAGCTTTTAAAAGTAAACAATTTAAATTAGTTATAATAGTAAGTTTAAATTTTTATTCTGTTGATAATGTTGAGGATTTATTTCTCCATACTTGTAGGTGACATTCATCAACGAACAAACAGGAGAGTACCAGTTCTATGAGGTAACCTTTAGAGCCACCAAACCAGGAACAATTTCCACCATCAACCTATCGACGCCAGTCAGACAGAGCATACAATACACAATCACAGTGGACAACCCACTGAACACCCAGGTTATTTTCCTCATCAGCTGTACTGTGCCAGAGATTCTTGTACCCAACATGTTGGCCGTCCCTGCTGGTTCTCAAGTGAGTGGATCACATAAGTGTTTTTATTTCATACATTTGATTCTAAATACAGACTTCCTTTTGTGTCACTGCAAAAAAAAAAATTAAATTTAATGTAAAAGTAATATAACAAACTATTATTACAAAAAAAAATTAATATACAATAAAAATTAATGTTAAAATACAACATAATATTTTCAAAATTAAAATAGAATTTTTGTAAAAAAAAATTATAAAAGATTCTTAGAATATAAAAAAAAACATTGTAAAAATATAACAAAAAACTACATCTCTGTAATAATGGTAACATAATTTTTATGTAATCTACTAAATTAATAAATTACCAAAATAATAATGACTACTTAAAAAATATTTTTTTTAATGATGACTACTTAGTTTTTTACATTTTCTTAGCATTTAATCAAGAAAATTAAACAAAATATTGCCTTATTTCTGCTTTCAGGGTCTTTTTACATTTGAATACCAGCCTCTAAAGATAGGTGAGACTACTGGGCGACTGGAATTAAACTGTACAGAATTAGGTCAGTACATGTATGACCTGGTACTGAATGCAACCCCAGGAGTGCCAGAGAAACCAATTTATTTCAAGACTGGACTTGGTTCCTCTGTGGTGCAAGTGGCTAAATTCTTGAACTTTGCTAAACAAAAGACAGACTACACCTGCAAGGTAAAAAGCTACTATCAAAATGTAGCTTAAATTTTATAACAAACACTTTGTTCATGTAAAAACTTGTTTAAACTTCAGCTACAAACTGTTGAAAAGTCAGTTTTACAAATTTTTTTTCTCTCACATACAATCACAATCTCAATTAAATTAAATTTTACAATTTAAATTACCCTCACATATATTATTATTTGAATAAAAAATAATGTTTTTTGGTCTCACCTTCAATCATATTGAAATTATATTTTTATATCATTGAAATTATATTTTAAATTAAACTTTAAATTAAATTCCCCTCCTCCTATATAACTATTATTAGATGAAATAAATTTAACACAAATATTTGTTTGTTCCCAGATTGATAACACAGACTTCCATGTAGAAAAAACAGTAGCAGCAGCCCCAGGCTCACCAGGTGGAACTGAAGTGGCACTAGAAGTGGTTTTTGAACCTTCTAAGCTAGGAGAGCAGAGGGCATCCCTGATGGTGTCCTCAGCTGTGGGTGGAGAGTATATCTTCCCCTTGTTTGGTACCTGTACAGCCCCCAAACCACAGGGCCCTTTCATCATAAAGACAGGGACCACAATTCCTATCATATTTAGAAATGTTTTTAGTACTGCTACACCTTTCACATTCCAGGTTTGTATTATTTAAATTTGTATTCTTTAGTTAATTAAAGATTGTATTGATATAATTTTATTTAAATTTATTTCCAATCTTCAGCTATAAGACTTATATACATATGTCCATTATATAATACACAATTCTATCATGTTATATACATTTCTATCATAAACATATATCTGTAATATTTATTATTTTTGGGCAGATCCTCTAATGCAGTTAATAAAAAACAAGTTTAGAATAAATCCATATAATTTTTAAAACATTTATTCAGATTATTGTATACTTATTTTTTTTTTATTTATATTTTTATACTTTTATAAAAAAGATGCAAGTGAAAAAATTAATAAAATATGTTTAAATCTGTGTTTTGCATTATTCAATCAATTCCGATGATTAAATCAAGTGATTCGCTATCCTTTCCTCAGGTGGACAATCCCCTGTTCCATCTGACAAAACATGGAGAAACCATCCGACCTCACAAGGATCACAGAATAGTCGTGGGCTATGACGGGCAAGACAGTAATTCTAAAAACCCCGTCATGGGAAAACTTGTAGTGTCATGCGCCAGGGCTGCGGGTGGAAATTCCAATGCACAGTGGATTTTCTATCTGAAAGGAATCCCTTATTAAAAGTTTCAGTACATGAACTCTTGATACTTCAATTCAGCTCACACCTTTACAAGTGAATGATTAGTAAAGATATTTTTAGTCTTTTTTAAAAATAATTTGCATTGTTTTTAAACTGCTTTTTTCTCCTACATCCCCTTACAGAATTTCCAGACCGTCCCAGATTTAATACACTTTTTTAAAATTGATAGATTACTTCATTTTCAGTATGCTATAAAATTATAAGAATGTTTTATTTTTCTAAATAATTATTTAAAATATATTTCATGACAGAACTGAGTGAAACTCATCTGATTAATTTAATGAATGTTTCAAATGATTATTTGGATATTATTTGTATCATAAGCATTTTAAATAGAAGTCTGGGTTTCTTTATGAATTGTGCAAGTGTAGTTTGTCTTGTGTTTTCAAATATTACCTAACAATTTGTTTTTAAATCAAATATTTATTATTCTAAAGAAAATATAAAACAAATAATATTAATTTCTTAAAATGTGAAATAGCATCACTAAAATTATTATTGCAAATGACATACAAAATTTATAAAAAGTGTATGTATTGATTCATAATTTATTACTCCAAACTGTGATTTTACCAATGCAATGAACAGGAATGGGTTAACTGCTAATTTTATATTTATAGTTGTACAGAGAATTTTGATAGCAATGTTGATGATTTTTTTTATCAAGTGGCGTGAATCTTATCTTTGAATATAATTAATGAATTTTGTAAATTAAATTTTAACTTCAAGCCTACAAGCTGTGATGAATTTTTGTTTAGAGTATTTTAAAATGTACAAGTATTGAAATATATACAAAATATTAAATGTTTACATTTAAAACATGTGTATGTCTCATTGTTTTTATTTTCCTGCAGCTAATTCTCCAAATGTTCATTCATTTAAGAAACTTCATATCATTTCCAAGACATGGTTATTTTCAGCAAAACACTAGCAATAAAACAAGAAACTGACAAACCACTCAATAAAATGCTGGTATATATTTTTATTTATGAAAACTGTTACAAAATGTATGTACACAAATCAGATATGATAAACAGGTTTGTGAATAAAATATTTAATTTTGGCTGGATCTTCATGGCTGAAAATTTGAGACAGTCGACAGATGAGACAGTGCAATATATTATATACAAACATGAAGAAATGCTTTTATGATATAACTGCTGAGAAAACATTAGCCCTAGTAAACAACATAACTGCTTATAGAATGTAAAGGATACTGAAATGGCAGGAAGGGACAAGCATTTAACTAAAGTTTTGTGCTTCAGGGGTTATACTAGTCAACAGGGGAGGTAAAAATATACAACTAAACCTTATTGATCAATTCATGTAATGCTATTCATATTGTGTCTTGCTAAAAGTAAAATGGACAACTGTTTTGTTTAAGACCAACAAACCTCTGTAAATTTTTATATATATATATATATATATATATATATATATATATATATATATATATATATATATATATATATATATATATATATAAATTCAGCAACTCAGCGTTAAAAAACCGCTATGTTTGCATGTACTGTCATTGGTCCAAGAGACAAGTCTTGAGCTATTGAAGTTGGTGTTTTTGAGCTAGCAGAATGGAATATGCTCTCTGCACGTGGGGTGGGATCTCCACGGGCGCCTGGTGACCACACTGGGCGTACAGCGTGAACTTCTCGAAGTGTACCAGCAGGTACTCTATGACGTCATCCAGCGTACCCACGTGGGGGCTGGGGTACTCCAACAGGGAGAGGGGAGGGGAGGAGACGCACAGGTGAACCTTGGAGGAGTCGTGCCACTGCTTTTGAAAGGTCAAGACTGCGCGGAGCTCCATGAGACTTTTGGTGACGACGAGGACAGATTTGGGGGCGATTCCCATTTGGTTCAACAGTCTTTGGGAGTACTGGATGTTCTCCCCTGTGTTTGTGGCTTGCATCTCGAGAATGATCTTGTCACGTGGTACGCCTCTTGCCGTCATTATATCACAAAATACTTCAGCCTCTGTCGAGTTGTTGGGGAGCTTGCCTAAAATAATAATTAAAAAAAACAAAACAATGAAAAAATCTGAAACTCTCTATTTGAGCGACGTCACTAAACTATAGATCTAGAGACTGTCAACGAAAAATAAGTTCACACATGTCTACAGGTCTATATATTTACTCTCCACATCCGATTAATAGAACCAAATAAAAGATTTTTCGTTCACGTATATCGGAAGTATATTTTTTTCTTTTTCGTCTTCTTCGTTCTTAATTTTTAGTGTTGGAAGGGATCGAGCCTTATCTGCCAGAGGGTTTGAACTCGAGACTTTTTTTTTCGAATTTATCAACCATGAGCTTTTGCCGACTCGACCACGCCTCCATCATAAATTAAGGATACGTGTCAACTGTTTATGCGCCATTGATGCCATTGACTCCGATTTCAGCCTGCTTTTCTTTTTGGATTTGCTTCCATAGCCTTTGTCCAACCAAGAACAAACTACAAGGCAGCTGTCTTGTGATTTTGGAGTTGTCTCTCCTAGAAGAGTGGCTGTACCCAGCTAACGAGCCTCATCTGCCCGAGGGTTCGAACTCGAGACTTTACCGACTCGACCACGCCGACCCCTATTTTTTTAAGTAATTGCGTTTGAAGAAATCTTAGCACATAGAAAAGGGGGGGGGGTTTAATTGTGACGCTTATATGTATAAAAGGCATTAAAACGGCACTTCACGAAAAGAGACAGCAACAGATTGACCTCGTCATATAGGCTTCCGACAAAAGGGATCCCGTCATCACGATTCCCGACCGATAAGCTAAGGTAATTTTGGCTCCCGATAAAATGGCTCCGGTCATTACGCAAGTTTCAAGTGGCCCCCCCCCCTCCACCAAGAGGTCTCTATGACGTGTCACCCGGTGACTGAGGGTGTACGTACAATTTTATTTGAATAACCAGTATTTTCAACAGCGTTATGAACCTGATATTTTTGTTGCTGATTTTTTGCCGTTTTTTCAATGCAGCGATGCTAATTAGGCTATTGTTCATTGTAGTACGATTGTATATTTCGTAGTTAAGTAACTAACCATATAGACATCCATGGTTCCTCACTGTTGAAGTCTTACAACCATCAACCATCGGCGGCTCCAGGCTATTATTGGGAGGGGGTACAGTTCTTAGTCTAAGGGGTCATCCATAAATGACATCACGCTTTTTTTGGACGATTTTTACCTCCCCCCCCCCCTCCCCTCCGTCACACAACGTCACAAAAAGCCAGACCCCCCAGACACACCATCTGAACCCCCCCCCCCTTCCCCCTCATCACACACCGCCACAAAATTACGGACCCCCCCCCCCCTCTCCCTATGAGTGTGACGTCATTTATGGACGAACCATAGCCTATATTTGTTCTAAAAATAATGGATGGGGCTAAATCATTTTAGTTTTAAAAAGATCTTACCTTTTGTACCAGTTCCTTCCTTCCCAGATATGAGCACTAAAGGCGCCCAGCCCTCCAAGTAAAGCTCAGCAGCGTGCTCCGCGGAGCGTGGATCATCGTTGCCAAGGACGATCATAACTTCACTCTGATAAGGGGAGAGAAAAAATAGATAGTTATGATATTTCGTTTCTTTTTTTTTAAATAATGGTTAAATTAGTTATATCTTTTTTTTTTAAATTGTCTAATTCAGGAGTTGAAGTAAATGGGCAGAATAGGTTGTGCACTTGATGTTTAAAATTAAATTAGGCCTAAATATAGGCGTAACTGTCGAATCGTGTATTTGTCTCGGCGGCGTTGACAGGGATTCAACATGGCAAATGGCTGTAAGTTGTAACTTAAAGTTAAACAGTTGTCGTTTTTGGTTGCTAACAACATCCCCCATCCCCGACTACGCCACAGAGTTGTGCAAACATTTTTTTCCCGACAAAGGCCTAAATGTTTTGTTCTTACCCGCGATATCCAGGTTTCTTTCATGTCCCCAGACGAAAAAGAAAAATATGTTAAACAAATATTTTTAAACTTGTATTTCTTTCTTCTCCCCCCCCCCCCCCCTCTCACCTAAATTTTAATTAGTCCCTCGGAGGTAGAGAAAAACATTGACCTTATTAAACAGACGCAAGAAGAAAAATATTCCTAAAAACAACCAGCAGAGAGCATTCATACGACTAATATAGATGGCGGCTAATTCAACTGAATGATCCGCTAAACGTCAAGCGCGGTAGGGAAGGGCTAGGAAGTGTGACGTCACATCTTGAATTTCATAATAAAAATAGACACCCATTGTGTTGTATGACACAGTAGCGTAGCGAGGGGGGCGGGACATATGTCCCCGGGCGCCGACCTTAGGGGGCGCCAAAATGGGTTGGAAAAATAAATTAAAAGGTTGAGGGGGGTGCAAATCGAAAGTTTAAGGGGGGGGGGGTGCAAATCGAAATCTTGAGGGGGGAAGGCGCCGGGAAGGGTCGCCTCTGGTATGACATGTGCACAACCCCAGCCGATCAGAAGAGCCTTGCGTATTTATTCTAAGTAGTAGTAGAGTAGGTGGCAGAGGCTAGTTCAGCCAGAATAGCTTCTTAATTCTTATCATCTAGTAGCGGGAGAGGGCAACCTTTGAATATGATGTATTAATAGCATTATGTAAGCTTTAGGAGCAGTGTTTCTTCCAGACTTTTTTCTCCAAGGGGACACTTGATATTTTCGGGGGGGGGGGGGGGGGGTCGTCAATATTTTCCGGGGAGCGGACACTGGTAAAGTCTGTGTTTTCTATATAAATGCCATTTCGTTAGGGGGGGGGGTAGACTTTCTTCGCCCCCCCCCCCCCCCGGGAGAGATACCTGGAAGAAACTCTGTTTAGGAGGGGCTCTTGAAAGGTGTCACCCATTGCCGATCGACCCCACAATGAAACTATAGGCCTAATGTGTTTAATTATATAGGCTATCACACAGGCTATTGGATGCAAAATGTCAGATTGCATCCCGTGTTTTTTTTTCAGGCATATCTCGGGGGGGGGGGGGGCTGTAGTTCGCCTCCCTATCCCCCCTCCCTCCCGGAGAAAAAGTCTGAAAGAAACATTGATCACATCTTCGATAAGCGATAAAAACACGATTAGAGTGTTACATTATTTTTGTAACCTTTCAATGTAATAAGAAATAGGCCTATCAAATCACCAAAATCGAAAGGTCGGTGCCATTACTGTGGGTTTTTTTTTTAAAGCCGTATTCCATAGTTCGCCACTAATCCCAACTGGTTCAGGTCAGGGTCGGTGTGCTTATTCGATTATCTCCCCGCCTTTGAATACAACAAAGGGAACTAAGTCGGTTGGCTTCGGTCACACAACCCGCTCGTGCTATAGGCTATCTAAATGTTTATATCATGCCAAAAAAATGAACTAAAAATTAAACTATCAACGGCAATTTTTAAAACTATAAAACAACTGGCATGCTTATAAAACGACATAGATCTAGAAAATGTATGCAAATTTGTTTAAGTTAAATGAAATTTTTTTTTCTTAACTGTAAATCTAGCTATTTTCAAGTTATCTCGAAAAATGATTTCCAAACAATATAAATAAACATATAATGTAATTGTTTGGATATCACACAAGTATTATTTAATAGGTGTCGATTTCTTGTTTCTTATAATTTTAATAAAATTAAATCGGCCTCGAGGCCACTCATTTAAAACAAAACAAAAAATAAACATCAATTTACCTTTACAAGAATTTGGTTCACTCTAGCGAAGTCCCACAACACTTTGGCACATTGCAGCAATATCTCCCTCATCTTGTTGACTACTATTTTTTTTCCTACCGATTTTTACACTAACTAGGTTAACCTACACTTCAGTAAGACACGCAATTTTGTTTCCGATGAGTATAAAGAGTACAGCCTACTATTTATAGTGCAAATCACGTGAAGAAAACGCATGGTTGGTGTGGGTGACAGGTGGTTGGCGGCAGAAGCGACACAAGTGACGGGGTGAAGTCTACAATGGTGATAATAATTTAATTCCCAAGTGGGGCGGAGAGGGGCAGTGGTTACGCCACATGTATTGGCTGTTGAATAATAGCGACGGACATAGCTCAGAATTGACCCAATTCTCGACCGCCCTAGACTGGTCATGCTATTGTTAATAGTGACGTATCAAAGCGACCTTCGGAACTAATGAAAACAGGTCACTTTAGTTGTAAAAACAAGTTGGTAGCTACTACAGAATAAATATTTTAAAGGTGGTGCTAATGTTTTCTCAGCAGTAGAATACGCTTAAAAGTAAATGTTATTGTATTTCGCCCCCATGTAATGGTCCTAAATTCACGATTCACAACATGTTTTCACATTCAGGTGGCCGAAGGGAATTGGCAGGCTAGTACTAGATCTAGATAATATACATTTAGCCCAAGTGTCATGGACATAAGCGTTCGTTTGTTGATGGCTTATTGTCTCTTTGGTTGTTTAGCCGTAATCACTAAGGAGGTCTACCAAACATGGAAACATGTCAGTACATTTACAGTACACGATTCCGTAATAATTAATGACTTTATGAATTGTTACGAAATTAATCGCATCTCCGGGGGAAGTGGTGTAATCATCTTTTTCTTTGGAGTATGGAATGTTTGGATTACATATTATTATTGTTATTGAAACCTTGAAAGCACCGTGTGATTAACGGGAAAACCCCAAAACATACCCACAAATAGCAACGCGTGACGTCAATATTGTGCATACAGGCAGAACTTTTTTTTTATGTTTACGATGTGTGAGCTGTCATCTAATATAAAATGAAATGAATTTGCTATGAAATGGTAAACGTTAAAAAAATTATTTTTAATCAGACAAATAGATTTAGATTCTAGATCTACTACAAACTTATCTGTTTAAGCCTAATGATTTAAGCTTGGTTCTAGATCTGGATACGAATAATCCATTTATAAAAATCTGGTCCGAAACGAGAATTTACGAGACGGAAAGCGGCGAATTCAAAGGATGTTTGTCAACAATCTGACATCTGATGCAAACATCTGAATAAAAATAGTTAGTTTGTTATAAAATAATTTATAAAATCCCATTCAAGTTAAGGTCATGTGTAGATTCAACTTTAATTGTGATATAACGAGATGCACTTTGGAATCAGACCATTTAATGATTTTTGCAATTTTTCTCTCATTCTTTCTATTCGTATTCATTCTCCATCTTTTTATCTCATAATCATAATTTTAATTTACTCCACTCCACAGGAACACAGCACACTGCGACTAACAAATAAAAAATGGAAACGATTGCTCAATAACGCTAGAAATTTAGTGACTAGGCCTAACACATTTGCCTCATTTGGTCTAGTTCTAGTAGGGTAAAACTCAATTTTTGCGTATTTTAATTTATTTTATTCACCACTTTTTTATGTTCACCTGGGGTTGAGCAGTTACACAACCAAAAACGTACAGAACCATAAGACTTTATTGGCATAAGACCATAAGATTATCTTATTCTAGGATTAGATCTAGAATCTAGATCTACACAATTTTTTTTATGAATGTGTGTGTATTTTAATTAGAAAAGGTAAAAAAACATTATGAATAGGCCTCTTAACTAAATAACTAAATAGTATTAGTAGGGCCTAAATAAATACCTAAGCATTAGGTCGGTTCCAATTTAGGAAATAGCGTGTCATCGACAGCAGGAGAAAATTCACTGCACAGTCAGTTGAGGGTCCACCGTGAGTTCCCATTGTCATTACTAGTCATTAGTTATCAGCATACATCTTAACTTGGGAGATACTTGTAACAATAAAAACTTAACAGCCTCCTTGCAATACCTTAGTAACCTTACTGACCCATTGCAATGAAAATCTTAACTGACACGAACATATTTTCAAGAGTGAAAAAAATAGCTAAATCTAGATTTCTAAATAGTGCACATTCAATATTCTAAATTTGGATTTTTCTCAAGCTTTGTCAAAAGTAAATTATCAAAAACTAAAATGAAAATTCATAAAGAAATAGGCCTAAGCCTAATGTTTTCCTAATGTTTTGTGAGTTTGGTTGTGTTTATAATAAAATATGCTGAGCTGGAGGTAAACGTGTAGCCAGTAAATAAAATACGCTAAAATGGAATTTTACCCCCTAGTAGGCCCCATTAGATTTTCTTTTATCTCAATGTTTTTTTTTTGGGCTATACTTTCAAAGTTATATGCAAATAAATCATTGGGAAAATAAAGTATTTCTGGAGTAACATTACATACCTTAGTTATTACAATCCCTCTTAAGATTTTAGTAGCCTTGAATTAGTAGTTAAGATTAACACTCTTCTTGCTCCTATTATAATTCTATCCAAATCTATAAGTTGTTTTGATCAACACTCAGTGCTATTAATGCTATATCAATGTAACATTGCAATTTTTTTTTCAGAATGTATACATTTGTTAGTAAATAAGTAATTAATTGTCATTAAATTTCCTATAACCGTTAAAGACTTTATACTCTATTTGTAAAATTTAACAGTTCTGAAAGTAACAAGGCAGTTTGATTAGAATTTGGAAACTGGTACATCACATATAATGGATACTGTATCATCAACTAGGTTCGTAACATATTTTTTTTTTATATTTTAGTCTATTAACTTAGTTATAGTTACTCTAAATAATTTCCATACATGAAGCATTGCTCTAGAAAAACAACTTTTTACTAATGTTTTTGTTTTGATATATTTGTAGCACATCATCCGAAGGAGATTCCATTAAGATATTTCTTCGTGTTCGGCCACCTGACCCTAGTATAAGTGAGAATGATTTTGCACCGCGAGTATTAGATGTCAATACTGCAGATAATGCAGTGATCCTCAGAACTAAGCCAGAACCTAAAGTTTTCACATATGACAATGTTGCTGATGCTGATATAACTCAGGTACACCTGCTTATTACATGTAAAGAGTGATCAAAGTGAAAAAAAACCTGCTTTCTTATGTAGATTAGACTTGTTGTGGGCATTACAACAAATACTTTGAATGATTTTTTTATTGATGTTCATTACAGGAAGCTGTGTTTTCTATAGTTGGCAAAAAAATTATTGAAAGTTGTGTTACTGGCTATAACGGGACTATTTTTGCTTAGTAAGTACTTATATTTCGATTATTTTTTGTGAGAGTTTTCAGTATATGTTGCATTGAGAGTGGGGCAATCAATATTAGAATATAAACCAAAGAAGTATTATTCAAATCTCAGGAGGAGAACTAATGTATATATTAAATTATATGCTTAACTGTCTTTCACACATTTTGACTGCATTCGTTTTAGAAATATAATTTTTCTGATGTGTTAAATTTTCAGTGGGCAAACTGGTTCAGGAAAAACTTTCACTATGCTGGGTAAGTGCTAAAGTAAAATTTTGATGGTTAAGAAATAATTAGCTGTTTTATTTTTACAAAGCTGCAACAAGTGAGAACCTCTTTACATAGAAGCCTAATGTCCAATTTTTAAAAATGTGTCTATACAGGACCTTCAGAAAATTCTGATAGCTTTCAGCATGAATTGCGTGGTGTAATTCCTAGAAGTTTTGAGTATTTATTTAGCTTGATTGCACACCAACAAGAACTGGTAAGGCATTTTTAATACAAGAATTAATCAATAAAGTAGAATATTTAAATCTTATGTGCTGCAGTGTTTTTATATTGAGAAGAAAGAAAAATTTATATAAATTTAATATAAGTATTTATGTAATGTGTATAATTTACTAAAACTTGCTATGTTTTTACGTTCAATAAATGGATGAAATGGAATAATTTGTGACACTTAGATATAATTATGTTCGTTGCAAATAGCACGGCAGCAAGAAGCAGTTCCTGTGCCGCTGCTCCTTCCTAGAGATTTACCAGGAACAAATATTTGATCTGTTGGACCCGGCTTCTCAAGGTCTCCATCTGCGTGAAAATATGAATAAAGGTGTATTTGTGGATGGCCTTATTGAACAGGTTATATGTAACCCCAGCGATGCATATCAGGTAAATACTAGTAGTACATGTAAAATCTTGATTGTTATAATTAATTGCTTTTAAACTCTTTCCAATAGTGTTTTATTTTAGGACTCAATATTTTCTTTTCATTGATTAAATTTTATGATTTTAAGCATTACGACAGACATTTGGTAACACTATTGGCGTTCATTGTTAGCCCTTTAATTTAAACTAGTTTATACTTCAGCAGCTCTTATGTCATCCTGTATTATATATAATATGGTTTCTTTTCGATGATAAGTTTGTCTAATGTTTCCCAAATTTACCTAAATAGGTCCTCATAATGGGTTGGCTGAATCGAAGAGTGGCTGCAACTTCCATGAATCGAGAAAGTTCACGGTCTCATGCTGTTTTTACAGTAATGATTGAGTCCAAAGTATGTTATTTCTTTTTCTTTTCAAGTCTTAATTTTACTTAATTTTAATGAACATAAAGCAGAAAATTCATTTTTTTTTTGAATATGGTCTATTTCTGTGTAACCTAAAAGACACAATTACATTTCAGGAGGATGCTGGCGGTGTACAAAACATTCGCACCTCGCAGTTGAACCTTGTTGACTTGGCTGGTTCAGAACGTCAAAAAGACACTAATACTGGTGGAACAAGGCTAAAAGTGAGTTCTCATATATGATCAGTTATATTGGAATTAATATATTAATGTGGATTTTAAATTAATTATTTATAATCCGAAACATAGTTTATTTTCTATAAGTATTTTTTGATTGGTGACAATGATTTGGTAAGTAAGTAAGTAAGTAAGTAAGACAATGATTTGGAATATAAATATTTACTTCAATTGATAATCAAGATGTTCTGTTGTCAGTAAACTGTTATTTGATTTTGCAGGAAGCAGGCAGCATAAATAAGTCTCTGTCCGTGCTAGGTAATGTTATAATGTCTCTTGTAGACCTCAGCCATGGCAAAAAAAGACACATTCCATACAGAGATTCCAAGCTTACTTTTTTATTAAGGGTGAGTAGACTTGTTTTAACTACTCTCAAATGTTAACTATTTTTGTAACCAAATAGCATCATGACTGCATTAATCATGAAACTTTTATGTGGATTATGCCCATTAAAAATATTTTCCGTCTTAGGATTCTCTTGGTGGCAACACCAAGACCAGAATGATTGCATGCGTGCACCCAGATTCCAGGTATTAATTATTTCTTTCTCTTTTCCATTTTATTCTCAGGTTGTTTTTTTTCTCTTTTCTATTTTATTCTCAGGTTTTTTAAAAAAATGTTTATGATCTTTATCTGAAGTAGAGATTTAGCCATTGCTAAACTTCACTTCTAACGAATTCAAATTTTCATCCATATTTAGTTCTAATAGAGTATTAGTAACATCGTTATATTATGCTAAAGGTGTATTTACAGTTTTGTCATTTTACAATAAGTTTATTCACTTTTACAGATGTTTTGGAGAAACTCTCTCAACACTGAATTTTGCACGAAGTGCAAAACTGATTAAGAATAAAGTGAGATTTTATTTGTTAGTTTAGTTGTATGGTTTACTGTCAACTGTAAAAATCTAACATCTTGATCATGTTACACCCATAAAAATGTTTAACCTCTTACAATTTCTTTCAATCCACAATCCATCTTTTTTTTTTTAAATTACATACTTTTGATTATTTTATTTTCTTGTTGCATTTAGTAGGCCTTTGCGACTGAAAGGTGCTACTTAACGTTATCACATTTTTACCAAAAAGATCTACCATGTAATCAATTGTGTTTAGGCTGTTGTCAATGAAGATTTTCATGGAAACAACCAAAAACTCCAAAATGAAATTCGCCGTTTGAAAGAACTTTTGGAGTCCTTACAGAACTCACCAGGCCCAGAGATACGTCCTAGTGTTGTAACTCCAACAGGTACAGTCATCCCTAGTGTTGTCACTGCACCAGGTACAAACCTCGTTTTAATTTTTTTTATTCAGTTCCTTTGGTATTTTAATCTCAATAAAAGATGTAAGCAGTAATGTGATGAATTAAACCATTTTTATTTAGATACACCAAGTTTCATGAATGCTGATTCAGTGTGGAAGAAAAACTTTATCGAGGCTATGTACTTTAGAGAACAATCTGAAAATGAAAAAAAGGTCGGTAAATTTACTAGGTGTTAAGCTACCAACTTATTTTTTTTTCTGCTTTCAAACTATGATTATAAAAAGTTTTAATGTTTTTTTAGGGGGTGTACTATTTCTATGCTAAAGATGTCATAAAATATGTTTGCAGACACTTCAAGATGTTGTGAATCATCTTCAAGAGTTGTGTAACAAGAAAGACAAGTACATTCAGTCCACAAAAATGATCATCAAGTTTAGAGAGAACCACATACAGTCTTTGCAGCAGGCTTCAAAAGGTTACACAGAAATGGAGAAAGACCTGCTAGTGGTTTGTTCAACTTTGATTAATTTTTTTTTACTTAATTCATTTTAAATTTTGTAAAACTTTTCACATTTTAAATGTTTAATTTTTCAATTAATATCATGATAATTCATGTTTATTGTGTTAATAAGAATTTGTATAGTCTTTTACATGCTTCTCTTGAGAGAGGACTAATAAGAATTAAAATTAATTACTCATTGACATCAGCCCATTTTATTAGTACGTTTTTAAGATGACTTTCCGTCTATTTTAATGACAGAAATCTTTACGTGATGAAATCAAAGTCCTGAGGCAACAGCTGGAGAATAACCCGATGCTAGCCAAATATGCAGGAGAAAACAAACATTTACGGAGTGAGCTCAAGCAGCTGAGGGCCCGCGAATCTCTTAGCAATATCCACAGTGATGTTTCCAGGAGTGCACAGCTAGAGAGGGTCTTCAAGGAACTAAAGCTATTTAAAGGTGCAAAGTTAACCCTTTATTTTTGACCATACAACAGAGCCTTACCAAAAATGTTTAACCCTATAATGCTATTTTCATTACAGCAGTTTGGTTTGAGTTCAAGTAAAAAAACGTATACTTTTTAGCCAAAATTTATTTTACTATGCTTCATTGATCTTCACAAAATAATTCACATGTTTACAGGATTATTTTCTCACTGAAGAAAAATGTTAATTCCTTTTTTTCTCCCTTAGAGTTAAGTACAGGCAACTCCTGTGGGGGCCTTAGATCATCTCCATTGAAGGATGGACTGTCAGCCGCTACTCTTGATAAACATAGGCGAGAAATCAAAGGCTACCAAGAGCAGTTAGAAAATGTAAGGGCCGGTTATTAAATATCTTGACTTATGTAACTATACCTGTGTACTGAAATTGGTATTTCTAGTTCCAGTTGTAGGTATCCTGGCTTCTGCTATATGATTATATACTGTCAGATTTCAACCTTGCTCTCAAGTAAATGAATATCTTTCATAATTGTGTTTAGGTTAGACAGCAGCTGTCTGATATGACAAAAGCAGCAGAGAACAGACAGATGGAAATGGAGGTTGAGCTGGTTTCTTGTCGCAGGATGATAGTAGAGCTTGAAAGGGTGCTGGAAGCTCACCAACTGAAAGCTCGAATTGAATGCAATGCATTGAAGGATCTGCATTGCCAAACTCTAAAGGTTTGGTTCTATTTTATTTTACACTTTAAATCTAAGAAACATGGTCTGATTTTATGTTATAAACTCCTAGTTTTTAATGCAGCAGTGTGCAAAGTTTAGTAAAAAAGAAATATTAATATCTTTGTACTTTTTTAAAGTGAATCATCATTTTAAAAATTTGTTTTTGCTAATGTCTCATTGCTTTAATGATTTTCAAAATATAAAAAAGCTAAGATTATAAATGTGTTGTCATTTTTAGTACAGACCCACAACATTTGGTCAAAAAATCGCTTATAAATGCTTGTGAGGTTTGCACTAAAATGTATTGACTGTCTAGATAAAATAGGGAATTTCTGCTGCTTTAGTATAGTGCTTTTTATAACCAGGTAATGACAACTCCCAAACTGTCAGCAAGTTCTCCCAACACACAGGATCAAGCTGTTGGTGATGCACCTGATTCAGAACTTGGGATCACTGACTGTATCTTGCCCAAAGACTTGGCAGAAGGTGCTCACGATGCCCTGATGGAGGAAATTCGCATGCTGCAAATGGAGAATGGAAAACTGAAGGTTTGTTTTAATGTTTTGATGCACATTATGAGAATATGCAGATTTGTCTGTGGGCAATCTGAAAATGTGCATTTAATTCACAGTTTTCCTTTAGTCCTAATTTTGTCCTGTGATTTCAATACATTTCTCATACATATTTAATGTATGTGGTTGATTCTAAAAAACTGAACATTTAATCTAAATTCCATCTAAAATGCATTCTTTATGTGTTTAACACTGGAAAACAAATGTTATGTTTATAGATAGAAAAAACTGATCATTTTTTTGGACTGAAATTGTATATGATGTTTGTAAATTTTACACTTGAGCTTAAATTTTGTTTGAGGTGTTGTTAATAATAATTCCTCTCCTTGTTTACTTGTCTACCATTAGTTTGAATGTAAACTTCTGGCTGATACTTAACCTGAGAAAATAATTTCATGTCATATAATTCCAGGAAAGGGTTGATGAGTATGAAGCAGATATGCTCAGACAGAGGCAACAAGTGGAAAAACTAGAACTTTACAACACTCAGTTGAACACGGTATTTGATTCTTTCAGACATTTGTTAATATGCCATATTTTTAAGTTGAGCTGTGTAACTAATTAAGATGCTTCTTGCATTTTTAAAAATGTATTTGAAAAATCTACTTATAGCAATATCTAATTGAACATGTTATTTTCTTATGAATCTCCTATAATCAAAGACCCGGTATTGTACAATATGATTAGGTTTTGGAAAAAGAGCGTGCTGAAAACACAGCTAGGAGAAATGACTACACCAGTGCAGTTAACACACTCAAAGAGGAAATTGATACTGTTAAAAATGATCTCAAATGTAAGTTAATTTTCGGCTGTGCCATATAGTAATACCAGTATAATTAGAAATAAGTGTATTGTGAAGTAAATTTATTTAAGTTCTGAGTGAACTAAAATTATTTACGTAAAACTGCAGTGTGGAAATAACACAAATGTAACTATAAAAGAAATTACACACCCCCTTAAGCTAAGTTAAGGTGTAGTTTAATGTTTCACATTGATTATTTGGACATTTCGATAGTATTAAATGACGAAAACACAGACTTGCATCTGGTGCTCAAATCTGCTGACAAACAGTTGAAAGAAGAGAAGGAGAACCACAAGGCACTTCATCAGGCTTTCACCCATGAAATAGAAACTCTTGAAGCTAAAGTAAGAAAGACTCATCTAATTCATGTGTTGTTAACTTTGTAATGTGTTTAAAAAAAAATTTTGATGCTGGTTTTTAAACTTTGCATTTAATATTGGTTAGCGTTAGCTTTCTGATTAGTAACTATGTTTTTAAAAATCTAAACAGCTTTCCAAGACCAGTATAGACCTGGAAACCACAACAAGAGATTATGAAGAAGCTCTGAAAGAGCTGGGTGCTTTAAAGGTTAGTTGAATAATATTAATGAGTGAATGAATGAACAGCACAGAGACATGTTTTAATGCAGAGAAAACATCTTTGAAATACAAAGGGCAGTAGAGTTGTTTTTTTTTAAAATAGTAAGTTTAGCTCTATCTTTTTCTTAAAAAATGAGGCTTTAAAACCTGAAATGTGTTTCAACAGGAAGATCTTGAAACATCCAGTGTGACAATAGCTTTTCTTGAGAACCACAGTATTGAGCTTGAGGAATCCAGAAACAGAGAAGTCAAGAAAAGAGAAAAGATTGAACAAGAATATAAGGTTGGTTGTAAAAATTTTAAATCAATTTATTTTTTCTATTCTGTGCTCGGTAGTTGGTTACTAACTTATAAAATTGGAACTCAAGTCCCAGTCACTACTATTTAAGTGTGTCCCTTTTATCTAAGAAACCGGATAAATAATAACATTCTAGCCTCACTTGTTGAGCTTTGGTCAGCCATCTTCCCTTTTGATCATGAGTCTCAATAGATGCATTAATTCTTTATGTAATCCTAGGAGATTTTTTAATTGTTTGTAACTCATTGATTTCTGTGTTCCAGGCTTTAAAATCAGCAGGAGATATAAATGACTATAAAGAGTTTAAGGAGCAGGCTGAAGCCAATTTGGATTATAAAGAGGCTGAACTGGATGTGATGATGCAACAGAAGGCAGAGCAAGAGAAGATGATTGAACAGCAGGAAAAACTTATTGAGGAAAATAAAGTGAGTTTTATGTCAGACTGAGTAGCAAAGCCTTGAGTTCACCTCCCAAGTTATGCGTAAGTAGGCACCCGTTCAAACCAGGGAAGTTGAGACAACTAGGCATAGTGCTGACCACACAATCCCTTGATATTTTGAGTTCATAGAAAAGATAGTACTGATTAATATAACTAAATAGTAATCAGGTGTATTAAATACCTTGAAATGATTAAAAATATTTTTACAAATAGTTAACTTTGTTTAAACAGGCATTCCTGGAGTTTTTGTAAGAATTGGTTTATCGTCAATATATTTTTTTTTAAAAAACAATTACACAATAGTAATTGTGAGGTGTAGGGCACACTACTACTAACATGAAAATTTCAAGTCTGGATTATTGATTGAAGTCTGTAGGATGACCCTGAGTTCACCCATCTCTGATGTTAAAAATGTTGATGTAGGCAGTGCTGTGCATCATATAATTCAGGCTACTTTTATATTTCACTCTCTCCTTATTTGTTTTCAGGAGATCATCAACAATTTAATGAACAAGATGCATGAAATGAAAACTAACTTGGCTGGTAAAGAGGCATCAAACATGAACCTCAAGTCTGAGATTGAGAACTACAAGATGGAAGCCGAAGAAGCCAAGAGAGATCAGGAAAAAACATCCGCCCAGCTTGCTGCTACACTAGAAAAATTGGAAGTCATGAAGCAGAATTATGAGAATAGCCTGGATAGAAAGGATTTTGAAGTAAGATCTAGTTCACTAAAGAGAAGTCACTTTAAAAGATGGATAGAAATTTTATGAATTAAAATTCTATGATAGTTTTATTTTCTTCACTAACAGAAATGTATTGACAAACCTGTTTTATTAAAATTGTTGTGTGAATGTAAGAATTGATATTGTTAGTGGATGGGAGCTTTGACAATATGAAATGGGGATAAAATCAGCCTTGGAAGCCTAAATATTTGGCTTGGATTTTTTTAATCATCTGAAAATTGCACAGAGAAATTAAAAGTAACAGATGTTTTTTTTCTCCCAGATCTCAAATCTACAGGAAGACCAAGAAAGTGCAAATAACACCATGCTTAAACAAGCTGAGATGCTAACTAATTTACAGGAACAGCTAGAACTAAAAGAAGTACTTTGCCTTTTAATTTATTACCTTAAACATTTAATTAACAATATTCTATACTTATAAAATTAATTTTTTAAATTTTATGCTAATTTATTTTGTATGATTTAATTTAACTTTTTATGTCTTTTTTTTTTTAGTTACTTTGCAAAGAGAGGTTGGCCACCATTGAAGACTATAAAAATAAGGTGAAAACATTTTTTACCAGATGAAAAATAATTTCTCTGTCATTAAAATTTATCATATTGCTGTCATGCCCATTAAAATATTTAAATCTAAATACAGTTGGAAGAAAAAGAGCAGGTGTTGCAAGAAACAATTCAGAGGTTTAAGGAGCGTCTGCGAGAAGCAAATAATTCAGATGAGAATACAGATGGAATCAAAAAACTTCTCAACCAAAAGAATATTGAGCTTGAAACGTATGTATTTTTTTAAAGGGACCGAATGTAGGGCTTTAAAAATTATTATCGTATTATAAAAAGCCAAATTTTATTTAGCAAAATACTTCTCTAAATGACATTTTGTTAGTTTACATGAGGCTTTTATTATGAGTAAGCTATTGTTATTGTAGTAGAACTTGAAAATATTTCAGCTTAAGGATAATCCAAATGTTATTTTTAGCTCTAAAATCTCTATCTTTAAAGCTTGCATGTGAATTACAAAAAACTGGGTTGTATGCTGCAAGAATACGAGCTAACACGCAAGGAGAAAAATGAAGAGAATGAGTTACTCAAAGTAAGTTTACTTTTTTTTTTAAATGATAACTTTTTTAACTTAACTGCTTAAGGAGGCAGCCACATTTTTATCTTATGATTAAAAGCAATAGTTTTCAGAAGAACCATTAGTTTTTACAAGGAAGAAAATCCTAAAATGAAAATAATCTTCAAATATTCACACAAAGTTGACATCTGTCTTAGAAGGCCACTAAGATTTGAAATTACACTAGAAAATTCTTTTGGGGTCATCCATAAATGACATCACACTCAAAGGGGGGGGGGGGTCCATAATTTTGTGACTGTGATGAGGGGGAGGGGGGCTCAGATGGTGCAACATCACACTTTTGCATTATAAAAAAGCAATGTTAAAAACTATTTTAAGACGTTATTTCGCGTTTTAGAAAACGGTTTTTAATAAATTGCAATAGGAATTGATTAAAATACTCTATATTGACAGTTCAGACAAGATTTTTGAAAAATATCGATGTTTTAAGAAAAATTCAACTGCAATTTTGAGGGGGGTTGTAGGCTGAGGTGTGACGTCATTTTAGGGGTGGTGATCTGGCTTTTTATGATGGAGGTGAGGGGGGAGGTAAAAAATTGTCAAAAAGAGCGTGACGTCATTTATGGATGACCCCTTTTTGCTGCATTTCATTCAACTATCCCTTATTTCCTTCTTAATTCTATAAGTTGTAATAAATTTTTTTATTGTCTTTACTTTAACTTCTTCATTGAAGCTTAGTTTATTTCTTGAAGTTTTTCTTCATATATCAGTTCATTTCTTTGATGAAGATTTAAGTTTTGAAAAAATTGTGTGTTGTATCTAGGCCCAAGTAGTTGATCTGGAGAAGACCAAAGAAAGTTTAGAGAAGAGCAGACAGGAGGTAGAGGAGTTACAGATTGCCATCAACACAATGAAAGCCAGCAACAAAGATCTGTGAGTCACTTTATGAACCCTAGTTCACTCTAAGAGAAAACTGTCACTCTCCTGTGTTGGTGTTTTACACTCTCTTGTTGTCATTACCCACATTTGAGAACCCTTGTGTTTAATTAATTCGGAGTCACAAATCTGATTCAAGAAATTCTGATATTTTAAGTATTTTTTTCTTTTTTTTTTATATATATCTATGTATTGGATACAAATTTGTACACCTAGTAGGTTAATTTAGATTTCCTTAAGATAAACTACGAAAGAAATTCTAATTGGTTACCAAGTTGAAAGTTTCACACTAGTATCTTTTTTTTAAAAAAGGAGAAAAATCATTTTCAAATTAAATGTTTCTATTATGGAAAATCCTCATTGAATTTATTCTCTGTATCATTAGGTTATAAAAGTAATTTTTAATTTATATTTAGAACTGCTATTACTCAGTTTATTGGTGTGATGGCTCAGTTTCTCTAAGTTTATCTGTAAACTGATTAACCAGTGGGAAGGGGAGGAATAAAATATTAAACTCAGAGACTGTGCCAGCCCTGACTAGCATGTCACCATGACATTTGTCACAGTAAAACACCCCTCAGCTCTAAAAATAATTTCTTTTGTGTGCAAAACTTTTTCATACTACGCAGCATCAAAACCCTGGAGAGCACACTAAAAGACAGAGAGGCAGAATTGAAACAGGAACAAGCTAAAAGCAAGGAAATAGATGCCAGACTAGAGCATGTTATAGGGGAGAAAGAAAGAATAGAAGCACTGTAAGGGAGCATCTATTGCCATTTGTATTATTTGTTAAGCATATTTATATTTGCAGTTGCTTTATTTACTTTACTTTACTAAATAGCTAACAAAAAAACCAGATTTATTTTTAAAACATATTTAGTTTCTTTAATTAAAAAAAAATAATTTAGAAGCAATAGTTTTCAAAGAGTCTTAACTCTTTTTTATTTTTATTTTAGATACTTGGCTTCTAAGAAAGAAGAAGAAAATAGTCTTGAGGAGGTGGCAAGGTAATGATTTATTAATTTAAAACTAACAGATTATTTTTGTGCTGTAGAAATTATGGCACAGTTCTTATAAGTTTTAAAATTTAAATGTTGTTGCATTGCATTTATAATACAAAATAAAATTATTTATTTTCACTGTGTGCTATAACTAGGAAGTAGTTTAGTATCAGTCAAGAGATCATTTTAAGAACTTTTAAAAAGTACATACTGATTGTTATATAAATGTTATTGTTTGTTAAAAGTTATATTGTTAGAAAATACTAAGGCCTATTGCTTGCCTGACCAAGAAAAGTAAAATCTGCTGGGCATGGTGCTGAGCAATGATCATTACTTCATCTAGCTTAATAATATTGTTAGATCATTTCCTTTTTTTTACATGGTTCATCAGTGCTATTCTTATTTATGATCAATAGACTTCAGAGTATTCTAGACAACCATTACACAGAGAAAACTGAGCTAAACTCTAAAATTGAGAGTCTACAAGAGGAAAAGACCAAGCTGAAAGATGTAATACCTTTTTTTAATATTCATAAATACACACAACTGTTCGGTTATTATATTTACAACTTTTTTTAAAGTAGTAATGGAGCAGAAATTTAAAACGTTATGAATAAATTCTTGCATATAGCTTTAAATAAAGCCAAGTTTATATACATCATCACACATATACAAATAGGGCTACATAAAAAATTTAATATTGTACCTGCTTTTTAGGAACTTGTCATGCTAAAAGAACTAAACTCACAGTTGGTTGAAGAAAGCAATCGACTGATTGGTCATACAAATACTAATCAAAAGATTCGTTTGTTTGACAAGAAAAATCAAGAATATAATGAATTAGCAAAGGTTTGGATACTCTTTGTGATATTTTAACAATTAGACCCACATTACCTTAATGTTGTGCATTGAAACTAATTCAGTGCTTAATATTTCAAGATTTTATGTATTTATAAAGCATCACTACTTTGTTGCCTAAAAATATTATTTTCATGTTTTGTAATTTCTAATTAAAAATCAGTACTTGCTTCCAATTAGTGTAAAAGTATGAATTAATTAGAATTCCAAATTTCTAACCACTTAGGTGATTTTTACCCCTTTCACTGTTTAGAAACATTGTGAGCTTCAACTAGAGCATCGCAAACTTCTGCAAGAACTTAAGCAGCCTCAGTGTAAGATTACGGGTACACCTACATCAAAATCAACAAGCTCAACAGGCATTCGGGACATTACAAATGTCAACCATAACTGATGCATCTTGCTGCGACAAGGTGAGAGAAGAATGCAGGGTTGTTACCAGGTCACCATTAGCTAGTTTTGAAGATATCAGCCATTGTTTATAAAGCTATTTTTTTATAGGTTGACTTTTCGGCAAGTTTTGTGCTGTAAATTATTTAGTAATGACATCTTAACTCCATAGAACATGGGAGTAACTTTTTTTTGTCATATATTGACAAAAATTTTCCATCATTTATGCCTTAGTTGAACAATGTTAAAACAGCTAAAAAATGTGTATGTTATTAAAAGTGAACAAGTGTATGTTATCAATTAAAAGTGAACATTTTGTCATGTTTTTTGGTTGTTGCTCACACAGCAATTCACTGCCCAAGTTAACCCAGTTTTCAATCTAACACTGAATGTTTCATATTTTTACTGTACGAGCTATCTCTTACTGCAAGCCTTGTGTGATTAAAAATGTATGACCAAACTCAGAGATCAATTTCATACTAACCTAACCATAAGAGTTCATTTTTACAATTAAATTGCCAAATTTCTGTCACTTGTTTTTACAATTTAAAATTGTAAATATTTATATGCTAATGATGTATATTGATACTATGAATTATTTTTGTAAATATTTACCTATTTGTAGGCAGCAATACAGAATGTTTTATTTAATTAAACAACTAGATGTGCCATTCACAACATAAGATTTCTCACTTTGTAAGGCCCACCAATCTAGAATATTCAACTCATCCAAGGAAGCAAACATCACAATTTCCACACAATTGTCTGTTTTATTTTTACATGTTGACTGAATAAACCAGTTGTTAAACTAGTGTCATTTTTATTTTTAATTCTTTAGACTGTGTTTTGGCTAGACCAAACAGGTGTGAACATGTTTTTATTTGTATGGATAATTGTAATGTGACCATAATCCACAGGAAACCTGTGTGGGGCTTCACAAAGTTTATGTATATCATAGAAAAGGATTTGTATCTTATGTTACATAACATTCTGTCAGTAAAGTATGGACACAACTCAGCAAATAATTCATACATCTGATAGTACCTAACAATAAACAGTCATGTTGCATTAAATAATAAGTAACATTAACAATTTTTTTTAAAGATTCTTTTATTTCACATGTTAAATGCATATTGTGTCATTAACTAGGATTTTTTTTTTGCATCAATTTTCCAGACACTCAAATGCAATATTTATAAAAGTAAATGCATGATCACATTAGAAGGTCCATAGAACATAAACAGAAATAAATATTAATAATTAATCTTTTGTAATGCTATGTTTCACATTTCTGATGATGTGATTTCCATTTTTATAGGTCCACAAAAGAATGTAAACATTCTTACATAAATAAGGTTTTGTTTTTTTTTTAATTTAAGTGGTCCCCACCATTTATTGAAGTTTTTTTAAAAGCTTTTATTTTTTCTACATCAGTTGTATATTAAAACTTCACTTTTTTAACATTTGGGACAAAAAGTGTCTTCAATTTTTCTTAACCAACGAAAATTTTACATAACATTAAATGCTTTTTGTTTATGAGAAAAAGAAATGTCTATAAAGTTTGCATACAGAGATTTTAAGAAAATGTGATAACCATCAATAACAACACTTAACAATTCTTTATTCTGAATGTAATACATGTTATAACAAAAAAAGAGGTATGCTAGCATCATACAGACTTGTTCAACACAAGCATTACACTTAGAATGAGTTCTTCCTTATACTAACAATAGTCTTAATGTAACACTCATGTACAGACAAGCAATCACCTTTTTAAATTATGACATTCACAGCTCTCACTGGCCACTTACATGCAAAGGTTATTTTAATATCTTACAAAATGAAATTTGCATGACTGAATGGATGCAATGTTATATACACCGAGCAATCATATCATTAAGTTCCAAGTTCCTCCAATCATTCCGAACATCATCTAAATGGTTGTCAAAATCTTTTACATGTCGCTGTGCTCCAGACTTGAGTAGGGTGTAGAGGCATTGTTCTTTTTGTAACTCATCTTCTGTTGAGGAGCTCCTAATAAGATCAAACCAATAATAAGTCAGTAATACATTAAATGTAAACTAAAACAAGTTAATTAAAAAATCTAGTGACAATTTTAGCGCAATTTCCTTATGTTATCTAAAAATAGCTCTGTCGTAGCGTAAATCAAGAGCAGGGTTAGTAAAACCATTGGTTAGTTATTAAAACGTTTTTTATTAATTTTTTTTTCAGTATTTTACATGTTTTATTTACAATAGAGTTACAAGACTAAAAACCATTGCGCGCCTAGCTACTGAACGTGATGACGCAGCCATTGAACGTGATGGCGCAGCTATTGAACGTGATGACGCGTGTGGTGTGGTTGGAAAAAATGCCTACTAATTCGGTCCAAATTTTAATTAATTCAAAAAAATTTTTGTGACCGAACGAAAGGATATTTTTGAAAACTTTCTTCGGCAATATTGTTCTAAATTATGGCAGGAATCGATTGGTAAATGTTTCAAGTCGCTAAGTGGTCTGGTTGCCGAGATATGGGCCAAAAACTGCATTTTTTCGAGGTTTTTTGGCTTTTCCGGGAAATCCATGTAAGAAACCCAGAATTTTTTTGGCCTATGTTCATCCTCGTAACTTGCTTAACATAATTGCTTTTGGAACTAATCATCGATATTGCTTCGTTGAGGAGGAGATAAGGCTTAAAGCTGCGGACACACATCCATTCATCTATTCATACATCCAGAAATGACGGGTTAATAAACGCAATTCTCCAGAATGTAAATTGCGCTAAAAAATGATGTGCTTGTCAACCATCTTTATATTATTATGTGGGAGCTATTTCAAGCAGTCCATCAGTCTACTGTCTAGACACTTAAAATTATCAGTCTGTTATGCAAACCACAAAACTTCGGCATCTGGAATTAATTTTCCCTATTGGTAATTTTCTTTTTAAATGTTGAGTAGCATTAATGGCAAGGGGGAACTCAGGATTGCGATTTTAATTATTGGATTATACACCGTAGAGACAGCTTCAGCTCACAGGTAAAGTGGTCAAGAATTTCCCTATTACTTATGCTTAAATTTAAAAATATATGCATTGCAAACATGCTACTGAGGTTTCTTCTAATTAATAGACAATCCCCCCCTCAAAGATACAAGGGCATTTGTGCTAAATAAGTTATGTGAATAGTGGTGTTTGTAACAACTGTTACAAGTTAATATATGGTAACATAGCCGCCAGCTTAGAGGGAATATGGCATGCAGGATACTTCCAATTAACTGGTTACAATGTCAATGACTCACTTCTTTTCTATTTCTTTCCATCCGTTTTCTTTATGAGCAAACACTTTATATGGCTGGGAAACAGTTTCTGGTTTTACTTTCCTGTTGTCAATCTTAAAACAAAATGAAATAGACTATACACCATGTTATAAATGTGAACAATGGACCTTTTTATAAATTGACCTATTATGTAATAAACTGACTAGATATAGTTATATGTGGTATACATTAAATTAAAAATGTATGTGACAGACTTGACACCCATTCACCAAGCAAAATACTCATAAAAAACTTACTATTAGGACACAAGCATCATGGAAATTCTCCTGAACTTTCTTGCCCACTGTCTTAGAAACATGATTCATTCTAAGAAAAAATATAATTGCTCATATATTGAATACAATAACAAATACAGCAACAGTGACTCAACTTGAATTTATCATTATGGAAAAACAACAAAATAAAATTGTTTATTTCTTGAAAATAGTTATAAACATGAATAGCTGATTATGTAGAGATACCGGAGAGCAGATTTAACATGAATTATGATAAACGACTAAATGTGAAAAACTAATAAAATGTGGGTAACCACACTAAACTTACTCATTTTCATTCAAATTTTCATTTGCCTGATAATATCCAGCAATAACCAATCCTTTACTTTTACAGTAAGCATCAACCTAAGAAGAAACAAAGTATTAATCTAAAACATGGGCCTGTTCTAATTTTATGTACACATGAATAAAAATGAGAACACTTTATTGAAGCTGGTTATTAACAATGGCACTGAACCTTTTCTAATGTATTTTATCCATTATCAATGCCAATAGGATCATCAACTAATAGCGAATAGATCTAGTCCTAATAAAACTTAGCCACTAATCTTTAGCTTAGAGAAAATATTTCCAATAAAAAAAATGAGTAGATTTATAGGATGATATTTAGAATCGACCCTTTGAATCCCGGACAGATCGTCCCCCGGCGTGGCCTCAACCAACTGGCGGGCTCGTTGCATTGAGTTAAATATAAACTCAAAACAATAATATAAACACTCTTCTTAAAAAAAAGGGGGTGTTAGGTTACTGGTAGTTAACTAAATACACACATGGCTGGCTAATGTCAATGCTAACCCTGTCCCTAACCCTAGTCCAACCATACGCCTAACCCTAATTTCTAACCATAAAATTAGTCGAGATTACAATACTTCTACTACTCAGATATCTAACTACTAACAACCCAACACCCCTTTTTAAAAGAAGATTCCATTATCGGACACCTGTATCTATAATGATAATCATCCTGCTTCTGTTACATATAAAGCCTCTGAATAGCGCTGACTATGACTATTCAAAGTGAAGGTGTTCGTGGTTGGCAATTGTTCAAGGTAGGCACAGTTACTCTAGATTCTATACGGCACGGCAATAATATGGCTGTACGGCTAACTAATAGGCCTAAGTGTCTAAAATTAGGGTTTTGGTTTTATTGGACACTGTGATTGGTAGAGTTAAGTAGTAAGTAGATTAGTAGATCTCTAGAGTAAGCTTAAAGCTAGATCTAGACCTTTCACTTTTCAGTTTGTATTCCTTCAACTTTTGTTTAACTTTATTTTTATCATGACTTTATGACACTTAGGCCTATCCCTTATGTCATAAATCATAATTCATATGTCCTTTGGACCCCTGATGAGCGGCTTAAGTTTCATTTTGCTAGGTAAACAAAATAGTAAAATTTAATTTATATAGGCCTACTTATATAGATCTACAGTTACAGTGTTCACTGATACAACGGTTAGATCTAGACTCTAGAGTATAGTATAACTGAATATGAAATTGCATTTTCACATGTAGATCTAAGATCTAGTCTAGGCCTAATAATTTACTAGATTTTAATCTAATATATAAAGCTCAGTTCTGTATGTAATGCATTTGTATGTCGTTGGAATTGTACGATTTTAAGTGTTAGAAAAATTATCGTGCGCATTTGTCTAAATTTATGAGATAAAAAATTACTATTGAAAGTGTTGGGAAATAATTTTCATTTTTCAAATTATAGTAATAATTGTCGGCATGTTCATTAAACACAAGTTTTAAAAAAAATATCATCTTTTACAAAAACTCTAATTATGTCTTTATTTAGTCCTATAGCACTTACTTCCCTTTGATAAATTAGGAAAAACACAATTACTTCCCTTTATAAAACCATTGCATTCCGTGAAAATAATTTACTTTTTAATTACTTTGTTTTGGTGTTGGGAAAAAAAATAATTACATAATTAGCGGGGATTGATCAAGTGCAAATGTTGTAGGTATTTTACGGATAAGCTTGGAGTATTAAAATTGTTTATTAAATTGAAACAGGCGCGTTCGTTTAAGTGAGTGCAAAAGACTGTGAATAAGTTGGGGTACTATAGTCGTTCATTAAGCTAAAACAGGTGATTCCGCCCCGGGCGTTTATGTTCGCGTTAGTGTTTTCTTTGTGTTTAGGTGGGTTTGCGTTAGTGGTTGCGTTTTAATTTGGTTCGTTTTTGTTCTTTCTTTTTTCGTTTTTGTTTGTGTTTTTTTTGTTTTGGGTTTGTATTTGTGTTTTTGGTTGGTTTTGCGTTTGGATTTGGTTTGTTTTCGTTTGCTTTTTTCGTTGATTTTTTTTTTGTTGGTATTGGTGTTTGTGGTTGGGTTTGTTGTTAGGTTTTTGTTTTCGTTTGCTTTTTTGTTTGTTTTTTCTTTGTGTTTGTATTGGTGTTTGTGGGTGTGGTTGTGTTTGTTGTTAAGTTTTTGTTTTCGTTTGTATTTGTAATTGTGTTAGCGTTATGTTTGCGTTTTGTTGTTTTGGTTTTGGTTGGTTGTGGTTTGGGTGGGCAATGCAGGGTTTATGATGATTACTAAACACACAGGTAATGGTCTTTAACAGAAAGGTTTTTCACAGAAGCCAGAGCAGGGCCTGGCCGGGACGGCTAGTAAATTAATAAATAAGAGTAAGAAACATCACGACTTACGTGCAAAAGAGCGATTTCTAACATGGGTGCTAAACCTAATGACACATGGAATAGAGGAACGCAGTCAACATAACGTAGTGATTTATTCAGATCTTTATTTTTGTTATCCTCCGCCAATAAAATGCCATTTACTGAGCTGTGGGGATATTTAGCAGCATGCAGTAACAGTTTGCAATGAGCCCGTACACTAACAGTAGCGTCAGCCATTTTGTTATTTTTTATCGACTCAATTCATTAACTGCGGGAAAAAGAAAATATCGATTAAAAATTAAGATCTAGAATTCGATTCTACTATCCGAATTTTAAAGAAAATAAATTTTAATTTTTTGTAAACTTTTTGCAATAAATAGATCTAGTAAATGGTGTAAAATAAATAGTTTAAAATTAAATACTTGTACATAGTTACTAAAAAAAGGCCTATTTACTTCGAACCTTCATAATAACAACAATGATGGCCGCCCCCTTTACACCGTGATACGCTCTCTTGAATCAAAGTGCATAGGACATTAATTATGTCCTAGTTAATATGTAACTTATGCCAACATTATGTTATAACTACACGAAATTCGTGGTAAGCGTCTAGAAATATCTAGATTGATTTAGAGTCTAGATCTATATATTTAACGATCAAAACTAGCACTGGCACTACTACTGTACTCAACTGTACTGTCTACTACTACTAGTAGTAGTACTAGTACTAGTCTAGATCTGTAGATCAGTAGATGTCTAGTACTGTTTGTACTAGTACTACTACTACTAAAAGTACTAGATCTAGTTACTAGTACTACTCTACTACGCCATATTACGGTACGTGACTTGGACTACTACCTGTACTCAGTACTGAGTTATGTACACAATGTACTGTACTACACACTTTACTTACTATATCTACTTACTACTCACTAGACTGGACCTTGTTGTAGTAGTAGTACACACTACCACAATAATTTATAAATTATTATCCCGCAATATCTCGTATATGGTGAGGCAAAAATGTGAGAGATAACCTGCTGAATCACAGAAAAATACGAGATCTAGTTGGCCCATATAGCGAGACTCCATTTGTGAGAATGTTTTTGTTTCATGATTTTTTGTATGGTTTTCTTGATATAGAATCTGGGCCTAGATTTTCAAGATATTAAAAAAAAATTATGCAAATTCTAAACATCGTTGCTCCTTCCTTAATCTGACTGATAGGACTATAAAATTTAATAAATTTACGTTTAAATGTACAGTAAAAGAGAAAAACATTTTACATAGACCTACAGTAACACATTTTTAAAAATATGGTAGGCTGTGTTTTGGGCTGACAGAGTAGATAAAAGTTGTTCAATCATCATCAAGAATTTTCAGGAGCAGTAAAATTTGGAACATCAGATTCAATTTCACTTCCTTCTCGCAATTTACCACCTTGCCAATTCACCTCTCGCATTTTTACCACGACCTAATACTACTAGTTAAATCTGTGATTTTACTTCAGTCATTTTCAGAAGTGTTAAGTTGGCCTATATTTTATTATATTGTGATATTTTATTATAATATTTGTCTCAAATATAACAGAACCAGATTTCCCATATATGTATACAGTTGGTAAATGGAAATAATTTGAGCTTATTCTATGTATGAGAAGACCTCCTCTGGGTTGACATAACAAATCTATTTTTAGCTTGTTTTGTCCATAACATGTAAACCAAGCTGAATTTTTTTACAGATGTTTTTTTAGTAAGGAATTGACATAACATGGGACTTGATGGAATTATCTTTGCCATTGAAGCTGGGATATGTGCAGCTCTGGCATCTGTATCTGCAAAACTTGCCACTTGTTCAGAAACTGATACATTTGTTACACTTGGTTCCAGCAATTACTTACCTGATGGATTTCAATATACTGGAGAGGTTTGCTAAAATGTTATTTTTGATAGGATTAACGTCATTTTTAAAATTACTTATTTTAATGTAGAGGAGGAGTTGTAAAAATATCAATTTCCCACAAAATACTTTCAAATGAAATGTAATTTTGTGCTAGAAATGACTTATGTTTAAGGTATCATTAAATCACCATATTAGAAGTTATCATATATTTACTTATTATATTAAAAATTGTCTTTCAATTGTGTAATTCAATTGCTAGGTGCTGTATAACAATAGCATTACTGGAGTTTTCATTGTTTTTATTTCTGAAGCTCACCTTGGCTGTCAGATTTGTCTGTGTCACTGGAATTTTTCTGTTTAATGCCATTATGTGGGTGCTGTTCACAAAATCTATGCACAAATGCTCCTCAACATTAGAAGCAACAGCCTTCAATATATCATCTAATTTTATATCAACGGTACGATTAAAACATTTCTTTTTTTTATTAGTAGAATACATTTGTATATCATGGTGACACACATAGCTTAGTAGTCCCACATTCATCTCTGTTCAGATTTTTTTTAAAATATCATACATATAAGAGTAGGTCTACTAGATGTTGTCACTCACTATAGAAATAATGTTATATATAACTACTGTCTAATTTAAAAGTGAACACATTTTTCTATTTAAATTACTTTCTATTTAAAATTTTAAAACACATTGACTGTTAAAATAAAACGAAAAATTAAATTATTTTGAGTAGGCTGCGTTTGGACAAGTGCTGTTTGGTGAACATCTTGGGATGATTTGGTGCCTTGGTACAGTTTTAATCATCATTGGCCTTACTGTTCTTCACAAAGAATCCAATGTGGTTGACATTGATGAAAACAAGCACAGCCAGGATAAAATAAATAAACAAGAACTATCTTAATGTAACTGTTGACATTTACATATTTTTAAATCATTTGCTTTACATTAAAGTTTAAATAAAAATTCTTTCAGTTTTGGGTCTTGGTGTATTTTATGTTTATATTCATATAATATATGCGTTTATGTCTGCACATATTAGACATGGATGTTAGAACACATTATATATCTGTTTTTTTATTTTTAAAATACATTTAATAGTTTAAGTGCTAGGTCTAGCAAAATTAGATTTTTTTTTTTTTAGATTTTTGTGAGTACAAGAAAAAATAGCTGTTTCCCCATTCTATCATCTGAAATTCATAAGTGTAAGATCGGTAAGGGCAAGTTCTTTACACAAAGAGCTTAACTCCAACTTTTGAGAACACCTAGTCATGGCTATTTGAAGTTAAAAACTTGCATACTAATACTAATTATTTATCGGCATAAAATGAGCCAGATATATGTACTTCACTTTCACAACTTATTTCTGCTATCTTAGGAATCATCCATACATATAAAATTAAACATCAACATGCTAATTGTTATCAAAATTTTTCAAACTATTAAATTAAAAATATGCTTGTAAAATTTACATTTTGTTGTCATAAATAGATAACCCATAAGTAGAATAGGACTAGTTTTGAATATTTTAAAATATTGTACAGATAAAACAAACTTGTATCCCAAAAGCCGAAATTTATTGCAGAAAGATCAGAAAAGCTTGAATATTTACATGAAAACTTTCTTGGCATACGTGCAGGCAATGGTATTCTGTACACTAATTGACTCATGATTTAGACCACAAACACACAAAATTTTACTTCGTATTAGATAGTTTTCTTTTTAAAACATTTGTATCCAAACAAGTAATGGACATACTAAATAATATGACAATTGTAAATTTTAAAACAATAGTAAAATAAATAAACAATTTAAAATAACATTTTAAGACGTTTTTAAATAAAAATTTAGAAATAAATAAAATGGGAATGAAGATAAGTTATCTATTTTCTTCCTCTTCTTCCCACTCCCTCTCATTCTCATCCAATTCTGGCTGATTTTCATCTCTATTAGCATTATTTTGTATATGAGCAAATGGTTCATTGAGTAGCTGTCTCATTGCCTGCATGATGGCCTGCACCCCTTGTTGTATCTGTTGAGGAATGGCAGTCCCCCCTCTGGCTCCCTCATCTTCATCACCTCCTTCTACAACTGCATTAGCTTGACGTCTAAGTGCAATATTGGCTGGTTCCTGTTTATTTTAATATAACACAAAATAAAATGAGAGATTCAATCAGTTCAAATTATTTTTGACATGTATTTAAGTTTAAACTTTAAAAATATTTAAAATTAACTCTATCTTACATAAGGATTATAGGTTGGTAGAAGAGATTGGATTAATGATCTCAGTACTCCACTTCTATCCTGAGATGCCACTGTTTGTCTGAAAATAAAAAGAGGAGAGAATGCTGGAAACAAAATGCTTGTTGCAAAAAAAATATTGAAAATATCATTACATTTATACAGAATGAGCAACAAATAAGCACAGCTTACTATCTTACCTCACAGGTCTGGTATATGATATTATACTATTGGCTGGAGGGTAGGGATCATGACTAAGCACAGATGTTCCCAAAAATTGCTGAATTAAAAATACAAAATTGTTTAGATAATTGTTAAAATTAGAAACAATAAATATAAATTTATTAACAAAATACATTAAAAGAAAAAGTAAAAACCTTCTGGACAAAGACAAGGCCATAAAAATAATAATTGGGATCCTTATTTATACTTACACGAGGTACACCCAGCCCTTGAAACTCTGACAGAAAGTAGTGCCTTACTAAAGACAAAGGTGGATGCTTGAAGCGCTTTTGTCTCCTGTAATCAGATATTTACACAAAATGGCTGTTGAATTCTAAAATGACTATGAAAGTATATAGAATAGACTATGAATAGTGATTGGGCCGGTAAAAATCATGGCTGCTAAACCGCAATGTCCCGAGTTCTAATCCACCAGTCAGATGAGGATCAATAGCTGGGAACAGCAACACATCTAGGAAAGTAAACTCCAAAATCAAAGAACTTCTGCATTGTAGTTTGACAAAAACTTTGGAAGAAAATCCAGAAAGAAAAGCAGGCTGAAATCAGAGTCAACGGCCTAGATGGCACATAACAAGTTGACAGGTAATACTTAATTGTGTTAGAGGTAATGTCTTCCAAGAATTCAATTAAGAACAAAGAAGAATATGACTAATGTGTTAGTCCAGTTTCAATGGTTTAATTTCTTTGACAATATTTCACAAAATGACCACTCTAGATTTTTTATATTTGATACATTTTTATAGCAGCATCTATCTTTCCCCACTTGGCATGGACTTCACAAAAATAACAAAATGATCACAAAATAATCTATTAATACATTGTATAATTTCTAATTGAATAAAAAATAGTACAGATCCTACTTACAAGTTTGAATATTCTGTTGGTCTCTTATCAGTGCCTTTATTTACAATTTCTATCACAGCTTTGACATTTTTTTCCAACCAAGTCATGACACCAGCTTCCTTCCAGCAAGACTCACATCTTTTCACATACAACATAACTAATCTCTGCAGTTCACTGGTGCTGCATTGAAATAGTTGCAAATATTACATTTTTCATAGGGTAAATTCTACGCAGAAAAAAAAAAAAACATGATTACATACTGGAGGTTTCATAAATACAAACCTGTCATTCAGTTCTGATGTACTGAAGAAAGGATGACTACTAACAGTTTTATCAGGCTGCACACTGCACTGATCAAGTAAAGGCATTAACATCACAGGGAAGAAAAGTAATGCATCTTGTAGCTGGAAATTAAGATAGGGAAACTAGTTTAGACTGCCAGTAAAATTAAAAAGATTGGTCTGAAAAAAAAACAATGTAAATAAGTGAGCCAATATGCAGATGGACCAAAGTTTTGCGACCATTTTGTGTAGTCATTAATAAAATGGTAGTAGTCAATAATAAAATGGTATAAGAGGTCAATTAACATTTGTTTCGCTATTCTTTCCACTCTTTAAAAATTAGAATTCCTCAAAATACCAGTATGTTTTAAGTTGAAGGCTTAGATTTCCCAATCTCTTCTGCTCAGAATTTCCTTACATGAAATGTGTAAAGAAGGAAGCAGATATTAAAACCTAAAGAAAAGTTGTTTTTTTCTTCATTATTTTATGTACAATATTTGTAGATTCTATTCAAACAGGCATAGAGGGGGTTGTGGGCGCCGCCGTGTGACACTTAGATCTAGACACACCACTCTGTGGTGCCCCAACGACCCAAACAGGGGTTAAGAGATATTTAGATTTAGATTCAAACTAGCAGAAAAAAATGTGAATAGTGCAACAAGATACAATTTTAAGTAATTTTGCTGAAAAATTCAGCAAACTGAAGACCAGTAGCCTGCAAGGTTAAGGTTTTTAAGACATTTTAGCAAGAGAACATAATGTTGTAATAGAATAACTAAAAAAAATCTTTTACCTTAAGATCAGCAACAGTAGTATCTGTCCCATTTCGCATGGCAATATGATAATGTGCCAAGGGAATAGACATAGCAAAGTTAGGTACACGCCTCATTGATTCTTTAGTCTGATACAGATAGAAAATTGTCCTCTTAAGTAGGTTAAAAACAAGCTTCATTAACACAATTGGTTGTTAAAATGTTAAGCGGTAAAACTTAGAACACTGAAAATCTAAATAGGTGTTATATTCAGCTCCTTGTTAAAATCCTTATATAGTAGAAGATACTTACCAAAACTTCAGCCTCTAATCTAACTAAATGATCATACTGTTCTGATCTCAAGGCATAATAGTCTATCATGCTCATACAGTCTAGTGGGTCATCAACTGGATCAATGCTAAATAAAATATAAAAACAAAAAATGTCTTAGTTTCCAAATCGGAACTCTGTTAAACCTATCATTTTAAAATCTGTTAATAACTTACTAGTATAATCTATTTGACAATATTCAGAGAACAATTTACAATAACTTTCCCGAATAAAGGTAAGATAAAGAACTGAAAAATTTAAATGACAGAAATTACCTCAATAGAACTTTACAAAATTCAAATGCTGTTCTGTTACATCCTCTTCTGCCTAAGTTCAAAATATGTTTGAACAAACATAGGTAAAAAGTCCTATCAAAAAAAAAGAAGGAATTGTCATAACATTTGAAAAAAGGGCAATTTTAAATATTTTCTTATAAAACTATTTACTTGCTAATACAAATTTCCTTGAATAATTATATTTATCTAGTAACACAGATGATTTATTTACCTGTTCTCTGGACGTCTGTAGCTTAAATGACAATTTCCTGACGCCAAATTGAACATGGGATGAAAGACACATTCCATTCCATATAATGCTTTTTCTATAAAAATGTAAAAGACAGATAAACATTTCAAACGTGCAACAACATAAGCAAAAACTTTATTTTCTATTTAAAAATGTAAAAAGATTGTTAAACTATTTTCCTTAACATTTTAGAAACAAAACAGCTAATATTTCTACCATAATATAGTAACAATCAAACTTTGGTTAAGTATTTTGATATCTTGGTGAGCTAATGTACAAAAAAATACAACCAAGTGTGATTTGTTATGTTGTAGTTACCTATTGATTCTGCAGCTGTTTGGACATCTTCATTAGCTCGGTGGAACTCTGCCATCTGCAGTAGTGTATCAAAGTGATAAGGATGATCTCTTAATATGCTCTGAGGAGGAAGGCAACAAATATAGCAACATTTCATTTATAGGGCTGATTAAGAGTATCTCCTCCTGTAACTACACTAAATATCAATGACATTAATTTACATTTAAATACTCTGCATGGTCACCCTTTACAAAGTTATTGACTTTGTTCATCCAAGAATTTAAGTCACAATATTTTTCCATGGAGGATAAACTGAATGTTCACCAAACAGTTGAGCGATTATCTCAAAAATTGCTCTCTTTAAACAGTCTACTCTCACTTTTGGGGGAAAAAAAGGATGTTTATGACTCTTATTCTTAATATTTACTCAACAAACAGGCAACATTTGAACTAGCTGTTTAGAAATAAAGTAGATACTGCAAGTTGTGCAGAGTATTTTCAATGTGTACAGAGAGTATTTTACTTACAATGATTAACTCTGGGTGGCCAGATTCAACAGCATCACAAAATTGATGTTGTATTTTCTGATATGCTGGTGAATGTTCAAATGTGAATCCCTCATTCTCTCCAAGATATTTCATAGACACACCTATGTACATTGAGTAGTATTATATATCTAATAAGAAATTCTTGTGTTTTGATTTAAGATAACTATTCAGAAAACATTAGCTTTATGCTATAAAAATTACCTATTCCACCAGTATTGTGCCATGTGTCTTTAGGCTGAACAAGGCGACTACTACGGTGTAAAGGATGGTTTCTGTGTCTTCTATTTCTAAAAGAAGTTATGCAAAACTTGCCGATGAGTAGATGATAAAAATAGAAATATGACATTACCTTTACATACTATGAGTATAAATGAAAAGCTTAGATATTTTTTGTTTAATGCTGCAACTACCTATATAATTTCCATTATACTGCATTGAAAATAAATGCACAGTTTAGAAGGACTTAAGTAAAAATTATCACACTATTACCTTTGCTGTTGCTGTTCCCCTCGAATTACCTGTGCCCCAAACATTCTTTTAAGTTCTGTCTCAGGATTTAGGTTTCTGAAAGTTTGTTTGGAAAGCATTTAAACAATATGATATCTAACTAAAACTGTACTCAATTTTAACTTGAGGGAACGTGTGGTCTAGCGGTAAAGCCCTCGACTGCTAACCCAAAAGTCTCAAGTTCGAATCCAAGTTCAAGTAATTAGAGCGTCCCTGAATCAACTCAGCTCAGGCAGTGTGCTAACCACACTTTCCCTTCATAGGCAGGTCACAGAAACTGGTGAACTCCACTTCACTTGCCCCATGGACCATCAGGATTGAAAAGGGAACTATACTTTTGCTATTTTAACCGAATAAAAAAAATTAACAAAGTATGATAATAACAACACTATTTATAATGGCTTGATTACCTGTAATCAATATGAAGTAATGGTTTCATATTCACTGAGTATGCTTCATCCCTGTTACTGCTTTGAGAACTAGCAGTACCTGGATCTCCTAAGATTCTGTTTACTTCTTGCAAGCTAGCTTCAATTTCATCCCCAGGCATCTACACATAAGTTTATCAAAACTGAAGATTGCTTATGAGCTATAGTACAACAGATTAACAAAAATACAAATAAAACAATATTGTGTCAAGCAAAAAAATCAGTTTAACATACAAGCATTTACCTTCAAATTCTCCTCATTTTCTTTATCTTTTCCTTTCTTTTTTTTCTTTTTCTTGTTTTTCTTTGATTTCATGCTACCGTTTTCTGGTAAATCTGCACTTTTCAATTTTTGATCAAGTTCTTCTTGTTCATCAGTAATGTCATCTCTTTCTCCATCTCCTTGTTCCAACTGAATAAAAATTTAATTCAAAATTAAAGCAATTAATTCAGTGGTTTAAATAACCAAGGTACATATATTAAATATTCCATCAGCTAAAATAAAAATAAAACTGATTCAATTTGGTGCTCTGCTTTTATCATTTCCAATACTAAGAAAAACAAGCTTTTGTAAATTTTGAAACTGAAAATTGTTTTTACTAACATTTTTTTCCCATAATAAAAATAGATTTTTTTGCATTAGTACTTAATTCAAGCTGAACAGTTGAAGTTTGTTTTTTTAACTTTGTAAACTGACCATCTGTCAATTTTTAAAAGAATAGCATAATAAACAAGGATTATTGATGTTTGTTATTAGATGCAACTAAGTTTGTTAAATTAGCAGTCATCTGCTTAAGCCTAAGTTATTTTTTTTGGTCAATTTTGGTTAAAATTTTAGGGGAAACCACTCTAACTTACAGGTGGCAGATCTTTATATAGCAAATCTTGCTCTCAAAAAGTGCTGTTTAAAGTTAATTTCTGGTCTACTAAAAGCCTATTGATATATTTAGATTAAGACATTGCAGTTAGTGTTTATTTTTATTTTGATACAAATATATACCAATATACTTGTATTGAAACCATATTAAATTATCGAAGTGTCTATTCCCAGTTAAATGGTGTGGATATGGATATTACATCAGAGCGGGTGGGTTTCCTCGCTTTTGGGCAGATATTCATTCAACACACCGCGATAAGCGCAGATGGTGGTAGAACTTTGGTGTGAATATGGATATTTACGAAAATATTTTATGGTAAAAATAAAATGGCATAATGCTCTCACGAATGTCTGCACAGCTATCTCTCCTCGCCAAACTCGCTGGGTGATTTAAACCACCAACAAACAACATGGGAGAGACTTCCATATGACATGGATGGCCTTCTCCAGATTTGATGAAGACAAAATGGCAACACCAATGATTGACGGTAGTGCAAGAAAGTGCAAAACGGCACTGGCGGCTTATATTATAGTTTGAGGCCATAAAAATGAGGCAACTTTTTTTCACATTACTATCCTCGGCCGATTTTATGCACCTCACTTGAAAGTTTAAATGACTCAAATAAAACGATAGATTACCCTTAAAATTTAAACTCTTAAGACTTATGGAATGATTATAGATACCGGTGTCTGATAATAGAATCTTCTCTAAAAAAGGGGGTGTTGGGTTGTTAGTAGTATTGTAATCTCGACTAATTTTATGGTTAGAAATTAATTAGGGTTAGGCGTATGGTAGGACCAGGGTTGGCGACAGGGTTAGCATTGAAATTGACATTAGCCAGCCAAGTGTGCATTTAGTAAAAATTTTAGTTAGGCCTAACCACCAGTATTAATTATTAATTAATTACTTAGGCCCCTATGTTATACTAATATACTTAACTTACCAGCTCAAACGGGTTATTGAAGTGTTTAATTCTGGCTTTTTTCTTAGTTTTTTTACTTAAGCTATTCAAGTTAACATGAGATAGTTCCTCTTCTGCTGTGCCCTTGTCGCTGTCACCATCATCACCAGATTCGTCGTCTTCAGTTTTGTTATTTCCCAACAAATGTGTAATGCTCAGTTCTCTCGAACCTTGCTGCTCTTGTAGACGTCTCAAAGCCCTACTCGACATTGAAATAAAGTACTTTTTATACTTTAAAAGTAATTAAATATTTAACTTTTTCAACTCAATGATACAAAATATTCACTGCCAAAACGTAAAGCTGATTTGAAAATCGGTCAGTCCTCAAAGTACTACACAAGCGGACATGGATCTAAACAAGACGATTTAGATCTCTCTAACAACCGAAAGTTTTTAATGCGAATAAAAACGAGTTATCAAATGTTTAAATAAACCAAATCACGCATAAATTAAATAATAGAAAAATTTCAGGAAAAAGGCACCAAAAAAATCACAAATGAAAAAAATACACTAAAAAGTAAAAAAAATGTAGTTTGTTGTAACCTTACTAAAGCTATTAGCTGGTATGACTAAAAATAAAAAGCCTCGGTGATAAAAATTGAACATTTCAACATAGGCAGTTTCTTCCGGGCATCTCTTCGGGGGGGGGGGGGGGGGGGGTAGAAAGCCTACCCCCCCCCCCCCGAACGGAGTGGAATTTATATAGGAATGTATATAGGAATTTATATACTTTTAACATGTCCGCCCCCCCCCCCCCCCCCCCGAAAATTTTAAGTGCCCCCCCCCCCCCCATCGGAGACTGGAATAAACACTGAACATAGGTCTTATTGTATAGAACGTAGCCTACACCTCAATGAACTCCCTGGGAAAGGAATTTTTTCCATACTCTGTATGTTGTTGAATGTAGCAATCTTTGAATGAATATGTAATGGCTAAATAACTAATCTAATTGTCAATAAAACAAAATTAAAAATATGAAGCCTAAGATATTTTTTTTGCATTATCCTCCGACTCAATCACTGCATTAGAAGTCGACCAAAATGGAGTTACAAGAGTTGCCTCAAACAGGCAGGACGAATGACATAGCGAACTAAATAAAAGCTTATTATAACCAGTCTACATATTTATTTTATTAAAGATTTTCATCCTATGCTATGATAATTTTTTAATATTGCAGTATGATCTGTGCAGCCTATCGTTGATATGATTTATGAAATATGGTTATTTTAGGGAAGGGCGAGTGAAAATGTGTGTCGGAAATTCAGGGAAGAGAGGCTGGAGTTCTGTGACATTCGACGACCGGGGTGGCAGTTGGCAGTAGCGTAGCTGGAGGAGGGGGAGCTGGCGGGGCTGCCGACACACAGTATTGAAAAATTCGAAGTCAAAGAAAAAAAGGTGCTAAGATGCTTAAAACATCAAATACAAAATTTAAAGATGGTGAAGTGGGTGACAATGTACGCATCCGTTTTCCAGATGTTCTAAAACAACTGTATGCTAGAAGTGAGTTTTCAATTCTTCACGAAAAACTGCTCTTATTGTCGTCAGTTGGCACTGAGGAAAAATCACTACGAACCATCGCATCTTCGCAATCATTGACTGGGGGCCAAGGCTACACTCGCTGCAATTGCACAACTAAGTGCACAACAAATCGCTGCAAGTGTAAAAATAACAAGCTGCTATGTAATTCTAAATGCCATAAAAGTTCAACTTGTTGTAACAAATGATGATATTGATAGATTGAGACTATAGTACAATAAAAAATTTGAATGTTCCTGTCATTTACTTTAATTAATAATCAATAAAGACTTAATTTCATGATCCTTACGGCATAAAAAAAACAAAATCTGCTCATGATCTTCTAATTCGGACTTTGGCCGGTCGTCCCTAGCCAGATGATCTTCTAATTAAGAGCTATTTCAGACTTTGGCCGGTCCACCATGGCCAGTCTGCGGATTGGCCGGCCAAAGACCGAAATCAAGCAAAGTTTCGGACTTTGGCCGACCTTAGGGAGGCGATATTGGCCAATGCGCGGATTGGCCGGCCAATCCTAGCATTGGCCGACTTCGGGCTTAGACCGTAACATATATATATATATATATATATATATATATATATATATATATATATATATATATATATATATATATATATATATATATATATATATATATATATATATATATATGGTACACCGTCGAAACGGCCCGCCAATATGACCACTACAAATCACCACCCCCCCCCCCCCCCCCACACACACAAAACGACGCAGTCAAGATAGCCCCGCCAAAAGGGCCCCAACATATTGGATCCCGTCAAATGGGCTCACGTTATAGTGAGTCGCGACATATGGGCTCACGACAAATGGGCTACTGGCATATTGGCTCAAAACTAAATGATTCCCGACATATTGGCTCCAGACTGATGTAACCATTTTGTCCAACCCACCAACCACACGCAGTTCCTACCTCCATTATCACTATATATAACCTTTTAAATACCTGCATGAAAAACTTTTTTGAACCAACAGCAATCAGTGTTTCTTCCAGACTTTTTTCTCCGGGGGGGGGGGGGGCACTTGAAATTTTCGGGGGGGGGGGGGCGGTAGACTTTCTTCGGGGGGGGGGGGGGCGGACACTGTTAAAAGTATTTATTTTCTATATAAATTATATAAATTTCATTTCGTTCGGGGGGGGGGGGGCGGTAAATTTTTTTCGGGGGGGTCCAATGCCCCCCCGAAGAGATGCCTGGAAGAAACTCTGACAGCAATTCATAAAACAAATCGAGCCCTTAACCGCTCAATTCCACCAATTTGATAATGTGTTATTTAAAACCGTGATAATCTGTTGCTTAATATCGATTTGTGAAGGATAATGTTAGATATTTTATTTGTTTAAACATAAAACTGTGGGTATGATTCCCTTTCAGGATGACCGTGCCGTCTTGTCTCACATCATCATGGGGTCAATGTCCAGTCGGTCTTTACTGCTGTTGATGTTTGTAGAAGAGACCAAAGATCTTCCTTTACAGGAGAGTCTTTACCACGTGGACGTCCAGAGTTTCTTCCAGGAGCCCCCCCCCCCCCGAAGGAGGTCTACCGCTCCCCCCTCCCCTCCCCCCCCCCCCCCCCCCCGAAGTCTGGAAGAAACAATGCTACGCCTCTGAGAGGTGGGGGTAAATATGACACCATTGCTTGACTTTTAGCCTATAGACCTACACTTTTAGTAGGATGCATGTCAGTAGACATGCGAAGCTGGCCCCGTGTGTTATTGTTATTTTTTTTGGTTATCTTAGTTAGCAAAAGAATGAGTTATGTAGCATGAACAGACGACATTGTTGGAGCCTCATACATCGATCGCATGATTTGCAACACGATTTCGTCCACGATACCGACTATGTAGACATTCGCATTCTATTAGAAAAAAAACAAAATCTTTGCGTAAAAACACACCTTGCTACTATTATTATTAATATGGCCAGAATATATAACCTAGTGATTAAAAATACATTAATTTTTTATTGCCATTCTTTCTCTCATACACATTCACACCAGCGAACCGTTTATTGAGTTGTTTTTTAGAGCTTTAGACGTAGGCTTTGCCAACACATCTGTTCGCCAGCAGATGTTACATCTCAGATGTAAGCTATATCAAAGATCGGATGTCCGGTAGTTTATGTCATTCGTTACGGCTGTAAATCTGAAATACTCATTGTCATCAGAGATATTACTGTAGCCTCTTGAAAACTCATAATTTAAAAATAAACAAATAACTAGCAGAATATCTTTCAATATGGATGCACATCTCTTATCAACGGTATGCTCTAAAAAATTTAAGTATTTTTAAAAACTATGAAAATAAAAATAATTTTAAAAAAAGTAAAATAATTAGATTGCTAAAACTTGCGGTATTTTCTTAATTATTGCTAATAATAGAAAGAGAGATATAATTGCTTCTTTAGCAGTGTATCTACCTTCATTAAGCTTTTGTGGTTCAAGGCTTTTAATTGGTATTTCTACTCATCGTCTGTAAGCTTATGTAGCCTGCAAGGTTTCTTTCATGTATTTTTCTACGGGGGGGGGGGGGGGAATATAACTTATAGAATGAGTAAATCATACATTATATATTTTTCTATTTTATCCGGGTGACGGAAGACGTGTTCGGGAAAGATGTCTTGAAGAAAACCTGTTTATGTAGATCCACGGCGTTTTCACGTGATAATTTTTATTTCGGGACAGCAATATATTTAACTTCTGTAATTCGTTGGAATCGTTTTTCTCCAAAAATAAAATTAAAAATCCCCACCTTTTTGCCTAAATCATAGCCTACATTAAAATTATGTGTGTAGTTTCATAAGCCCTTACTCAATTGTTTGAGTATTTTTAGGTTTTTAAAAATTAACACGCCATAATTGAAACATATAAAAATCAATGTTTTAGTTGGACTGATCAATGGTTTTTTTTAAACATAAAAATAAATAAATCATAATTTAACAGCAATCTCGTAAAAAAAAATCTATATTTAACACGACACGTACAGCAGGGGATACAACTTTCCCGGAAGTAGAAAGTGGGTGGATAACTTCCCGTAACCAAGATCCACTGAACGCGACATTCTGATTCTTAGCACATGAATGTAGATCTACCCGAAGTAGTATTAAATTACTCACGTTTCTTTCAGCTCTTCTCTAAAGCAGGAAAATGTAAAGAAAAAATAATTTAAAGTAGATCTAGACGTCTAGTAATTAGACTCTTTGTGATATAATAAATATAAAATGGTTTTGCCTTAGCTAGGCTAGATTTTATTTTTAAGTTTTAGTTTTAGTTTTAGGTTTTATTTTTTTAATTTTAAGATAAAAAAAACTTCAATTTTTATTAAATTTTGAGGCCCCTTTCTTTACCAAGGTTTGCCCTTTACTTTGTCCCAACCTTAGCCTGAAATTCAGAGTAATGATGAGTAAATAAAAAGGCCGATTCTAGTCGGAATAAGATACGCATGCGATACGCATGCGCAATGGAGAGAAACTACGACTTAGCGGCGATGTTTTCGATGGTACTGCGCATGCGTGTGTTTACAACCGCAGAACCCTAATACCAACCCTAATCCTATCCTTAACCTTATCCCTAATCCTATCCCTAACCCTAACCCTAACCCTAGCCCTAATCCTATCCCTAATCCTATCCCTAACCCTATCCCTAATCCTACCCCTAACCCTCATTCTAGCCCTAACCCTAGCCATAGGTCACTGCGCATGCGCAGAACTATCTTTTGCCGAAAAATCTTATTCCGAATAGACACTTCGAAATAAAAAATTAAGTTTAAGTAAGAGGGTCTGTATTACTATTAAGATAAGTGTCTTAAGTCACTCTTAACAGTCTTAAGGAAATCACCACCTTCATTGATTGCCTTTACTCTTTACAATTCTAATCTAAAATATAGATGTCCTTCAATTAAAAAATTAAAAATCTCTAGGCCTATAGATCTACAATCAAATTAAAATTGTTATTCAAAATTTATTCTTTGTTCAGCAGCTTGTGGACGTGCTTATCCTTTTAGAAAGTAAATCATCCATCTTCTCTGGCCATGAATTTCGCCAGTGACTTTGATATTGCAACTTTTAGCATAATGGGCTTTACTATTTTAGATATAGTAAGCATTGGCTCACAGGCAGCCATGGTGCTTGGAGGTGTTGTCCCATTTATTCCTCAGTATCTTGATATTTGGCGATCAAGAAATGCAGAAGGTTTCTCATTGTTTGTTTGCCTTGCATTACTGATTGCTAACATCTTGCGCATTATGTTTTGGTAAGATTTTATAAAAATATATAGATCTAATGCTTTAAAAACATTTAGTAAATTGTATTTTTTTAAATTGTGCTTTTCATAATTAGTAATTAGGTCTATCATACACAAATATCCTACAAAATTTTTGATTTTTTCATGTTTTTCACCTTGATTACATAGGTTTGGCAAACATTTTGAGCTACCTCTCCTTGCACAGAGTATTATCATGATATTTACCATGTTGATCTTGGTTCAGTTGTGTGTTGATGTAAAAAGTCGAATGGAAATAATTTCTTCTAAGCCACGAAGATTTACTGGTAAGTAAAACTTGTTCATATTAGGATATAAAGAATATCGAACTGAACAACACTTAAAATTTTACCTTGTACTAGAACTTATTATTGATATTTTTCTGCCAATATTGCTGTTAGTGTTTTCCATTAAGGAGTTTTGGTTAAACAAAAAATAGTGTCGACTTTTCAGTTAAGTAAAAAAATACATTGCTAAACATTGGTTTTAAAAACAAATAATATTGCTACAATCAAATATTTGTTCATTAATACATTTTTAATGATAATAATCTTTATTATAAAACCAGTAAAGAAGTTTGGTTTCTAGGTAATAAAATTTAGAAATTCACCATAGTGCAGCAGGATCCAATAAAATCCAGCTTTTTACATTAGAAAATAAACTTTTTTTTTAGAAATTGTATCTTCAGTGCAAAAATATAAATAGAACATAGTTTCTATTCTTTTAAAAGTATTTTTTTAGATTTTTAATTTAATTTTTATGGTAAATTTAAAAAGGCTCATTTTAATTTATTAGTCAAATTTGAAAAATGTTCATTTTTGTATCATTCCTCTCCCCTGTTTGGAACTATCATGATGAAAAAAGGTAAATTGAGTTATCAGCTCTAGCTTAAAAACTAGGCATATGAAGTTTTGGAAGTGTATTGACCACTTGTTTGAATATTGTCAACTCAGTGTATATATGTTGCCTTTGATCCTATACTTCAGTGTTTATTCTAGGACTTGTTTTTTCCCAAAACTGCATCCAGTTGCATAGTTCTCTAATGGAATTGTTTCTGATGTGTATATTTATTCATTTTATTTTTAACACAGCACTCAATTTCTTTATCTTTCTTCTAAAATTCTGTTTTTTTAAAAATATTTTTTCATTTTTGAATTTGCACAACTATATTTGTTTTTATTAACTTTTGATAATTAAAACAAATAAACATGTTTATTGCTAGTTTTGTAAACTGACTTTACAAAATAACTACTAACACATGCTGATGATTATCCTTAGCAGATATGTAAAGTGTACATTTTGCTACACATTCATTAAAAACTTATTTTATAGTGAATAAATCAAAAGCTCAGTTGTGCTCTTAAATTTTAAATAGAGCTAAACCTGAGTTGATTCCCTTTCTTACCAGGTGGCATTGATAGCCCTCCTGTTGATGCACAGGTCCATTCATTTTTTGGTATGTAGATTATGACTAAATGATTATTATTTTTTATCTTCAAATTTGCACAAGGCTATCACCCATTGCAACATAGAGTCGGGTACCATTATGCTTTATAATTATTCTGGCATATTTTATTGTGTGTTTTTTTCCTTCTTACAATTGACACCAGCTGGTTTGGCATTGTACCTTAACCATGTGTACTAATCCTATCATTATTTCAATCCACCGCCCTCTGAAATGTACTAACAAATTTGGTACTGCTCTCATTGCCTTGTCAAATGTGCATGGTAAGCAAAAATTCGTAAGAAAACAGCTGCAGAATATTACAGCCCTGCAAAATTAAGAATTCTACAATTTCATCTTATATACACACAAGAATTTTGGATCTGCATTGGGGAGCTTATGAAAATTATTCAAAAAAAGCATGTTTGCTGTACTTCAAGTGTAAACAAAACACAGGTGAAAATAATTTACCATAAGCATTATCAGAACAGTTTTGTTTAGCTAAAACAGAGTTTCCCAACCTCTGGTCATCGGTATGCATTGGTTGTGCACACAAAAACAATATTGGTCAAAAATGGGGAAAATTTTTTTTAAGCCCAACAATTACTATTTTGGGGTACTAATAAAAGTTTGGGCCGAAGTTCAGTTTGTACTCAATATGGGAACTGATGATTCTAAAGATGTCTTAGTATATCATGTGTGGTAAAGCTGGACAGCGTATCATTGCTAACTCTAAAAATCCAGATTTTTGGATCCCCCGCAACCCATCTAGGAGAGAAAACTCCAAAATCAAACAACTGCTGCCTTGCAGATTGTCCTTGGGTGGACAAAGGGTATGGAAAGAAATCCAGAAAGAAGAGCAGGCAGAAGATAACAGGACATTCGGTGCATAACATATAGACTTTTAATACTTAATTGTGTTGGAGGAAATCTTGTTCAATATTACAATTAAGAACAAAAAGAAAGATGATATTAAAACCATATTTGACTGAAAGCAGGCCACCTTTTAATTTTCATCTGGGTATTGAGTGAGTAGCTAGCTAGTTATTTTTCAGGGGTGTTTATATTTTGTATGGTTTTCTTTTCTTAAATGGATAACTTATTTTGATGAAATACATATTGCCTGTTATGAACATGGACGTTATTCTACGATCACTTTTGTCTTATTCTTGCATAAAATAAATGGCAAATATCTTTGAGAGATTGATGTTGCTACTGACTTTAATAAGATGGAAGAAGAAGAGAAAGATCCTTTTAACCAATGCCTAGAACTACATTTATAATATTAAGAGCAGTGTTTTAAAATGTTTGCATAAAAATTAATATTAATATTTTTTATTATACTATTTATATAAATATAAAGTTTTTTAAGTTGTTAATTATTTTACTAACCTAAAATTCTAAATTTTTTTTTAAAGACAATGGGGGACTTATAAGGTTGGGATCCACTGATCTAGTCCATCATTTTTTGCTATTCAGTCTTCCATTTTCTAAAACATTAACTTAGCCAGTGCTATAATTGTTTCTGTGTATTTTTAACACCTCATTTCAGCAGTTTAACATTTGACCCTTTACTTCTTATCAGCATCTATATATTTAGTTTACTCGTGGCAAAAAATTATTCTTTTGTGTGTTAACTATTATTGTACTTGGGGGGGGGGGGGGGGGGGCATGAGCTCTCAAACATGTATTAATTTTTTATTTTTTAGATTCCTTAAATAACAATTGTCTTGATTTTCTTAAAATTTTTGTTTCCGGGATTTTTGATCTGCGTATTTCACTTTTATCAATATGTATTGACCAGCCAGCGGCATTAAAAATTATGTACAACCTTATATACTGTTACATGCTCTGATAAAGTTATATCATGCTTTATTCCTTTTTACCTAAACTGGCCCCACTTCTTCAAATTTCAACCATCCCCCAAAATTAAGATTATATACAACTTTTCCTTGTTTTTACTTCATTATTATTCATAATTCAAATTTTGAAATAGTTCTGTTAACAAGGCAGGTTTATGTTTTCTCATTCTGTAAACTTTTCATTGTTAAAGTTTAAAGAAATGTAACTGCTCCTTGTTTTAGAAACTTTCAAATTGCATGAATAGAGTAGTTCAAAAAGTGTAATAAAAATGATAGAGTATTAACTTTTAAAAATAAAATAATTTGAAGCAGAAACAAATCAGCCATGAATGTTTGTCTTGGCGGAAAAGAATAAACTGTTTGTGTATTGCTTTATTTCGTGTACATGTCTAGCATGTTTTGAAATATACACCTAGACGCATAACAACAGTGGTGCTCCAATTTAAAAAAAAGAAGCACAAGCTTAATTCTAAAAGTTTTATATTTTACAAAAAATAACCTTCTCTTTGGCCTTTAATTTATTTAAAAGAAAAAGTTTTTAAAATGTGTGGACCACTGCTGCTATGGTATTGTAGAATTTCAGACAGTGTGTATGCTTTTTAAAAGTAGCATATGATGAGTATGTAAATGTAGAATGCTGTATGTACTACGTTTTCTCTTTGTATATTTATATTTAACTGGTAAATGGAGTAGTAATTGTATTTCTTTTTCTGTAGAGAATGCCAAAGCTTTCAATAAACAGAGCTTTACTGTAGACGCAAGTCATACAATTAAAATCATAGGGTTGCTTATTTATTTAGTTTAGGGTACAGGATTATAATTTTTTGTTTGTTTGGACAAATGGGTATTTTTCAAGTAATATATGTTAGAGAATATGAAATATACTGACAATTATATAAATATTTGAAGCAAAATGGCAACTTATTCTTTTTAGCTATTTGTTTTGCTTCAGCAAATTAACCTAAAACATCCCTGCATTTATTAACTGTTATAAAAAAAATTAATTTATTTCATTATTTAATATGTCTTCAGTTTTATACAATATTTTAACTACTGATTTTAACTGTCTGTTTTAAATCAACTAAAACATTTTTATCAAGAAATTTAAAAAATTTCAAAAATTTTAAATGATCTAAAATATTTTTTCTCTAGATTTTGACCCAGCATTTTTTTGGCGCTGGACAGACTTTCTGAGTTACCTGGAATTTGTCACTCTCTTCACACTTTGTATTGGCATCATTACCTACCTGCTCATCAACAGTGTTGTTTACATAGAACTCCTTGGATTTATGGCAGTCTTTACTGAGGCTATGCTTGGTGCCCCTCAATTTCTTCGTAACTTTCAAAAGAAATCTACTGCTGGTATGAGGTATGTATGTTTTTTGTTTTTGTTGGAACCGTTAATTTTCTAAAAATTTGATTTGATTTCACAATTGCAGTAAAACAGTAAAATATTTTTTTTTTCTAAAAATTTTTTTGGTTGTACTCTCCCTAAATTGATAATAGATTTAAAGCAAGTTTTATAAATATAAGTTTTAAGTAATCTTTCATGTAAAAACTATTTTGCAAAAGGGATTTCACCCTAATACTGTATAAGCTAAATAACAGGAGTAGGTTATCAACATATTAGTATTACAATCTTTAAATAGCTTTATAACTCTCATCTCTTTAAACCTTGCTAAATATGGGTGATGGTATATTAGAATATTTCAGTAATATAATTAGTAAAAAAATAAAAATGATAATTCATTTCTTTGAGGTTATTGCTTCTTGAAATGTGACTCTCTTGTGCATTAATAACAGTAAACTGATGAGATAAATGTGAGCATTTGAACATGCAGTTATTGTTTTATTCTTCCAGTCGTAAGATGGTTGGCTTCTGGACATGTGGTGACATCTTCAAGACAGTCTACTTTATTCTCAGAGAAGCCCCTGCCCAGTTCTGGATATGTGGCATGCTGCAAGTTTCAATAGACATTTCCATCTTCATTCAGGTGGGGTTAAATTATTATTAGTTTAATTATAAAAAAAAATATTTTAGTCCCTATAAAAAGTTTCAATTTAATTTCTCCTCACTTTATGTTTTACCATAATGGCGTTAACTAAAACATTTCTATAAATATTTGTGATTATGTTTGAAAACTTAAAAGATTCAAAGTCTTATCAGTTGTGATCTACTTCACGCATCTTTAGTTAATTACCATTTTCATGATTTTGAACACTTTTTCTTTTGAATTCAAACATAAATTAAAAAATTAAAAAATTCTAATTTTTCTGATATGATTTTTTTTCTTAGGTATTCATTTACAGACATAGTTCCAATATTGTTGACAGAACAAGCAAATCTGCCATCAGCTGACCTAGCTGAGACTGTATATTAATGTGATCATTTCAGACTATGTTTATGTACATGTTCCTAGTTAAAGCTAAAAGTATAGCAGATGTTTTTTATGGAGAAATTTGTAAAATTTCTTAACTCAACAATACACTAGATTCATTAAATAAATAGTTAATTAAAAGTAATAATTAAAACATTTTATTTTTTTTTTAATGCCATCAACACGAAGGCAGTTTGAACAAAAATGAGAAAATCTTTAAAAAAAAATATTTGTATGGAGTTTGTTCAAAGCGAAGCCACTTTATAAATATTTAGCAAGGCAATGTGAAAAAAAAGCTGTTTCTTCATAAGGTAGATAATTTGTAGATTTGATGCTTATAATCACATCCTAAACTAAATTGTATCAATTACTTAATAAAAACATTGAGTTGACATTTTAAAAAGTAGATGTGAACATAAATAAAGTTTTTAAAGTTGAATCCATTCACTAATTTTATTTACAAGAATTATTCAGCCTTTATTTAAAAAAATAAATTTGAACAACAAATTATTAATTGAGGCATTCTATTGAATCACCAATTAATTTTTAAAACGACATCTTTTAATATGAATTTTGTAGTGGTATTTTTTTTTGCTATATTGCTTGTATACCTTGTTTATTTTTTTAAAATTGCTGTTAATATAAGATTATTAAGCTTTTGCAAAAGCTTGAAGATCTATTTATAGATTGCCTGATGAATTGGTTTCCAGTTTACCTCTTAGCTGGCTTAAAATAAGGTGTCTTTGCATGTACAAAAACAACCTATTGTTAGTACATGTTTACAGATTTCTTTTTTTACTTTAAATTTTCTAAGTGGGTTATTTCCTCATGCTCATGCCTGGATTATATTAGAACACTGTAATCTTTTCTGTTATGGTGGCTCACAAAACAAGGCTGTTAATTGATAAGTGTTTTGTGATTAATTCTTGATTAAAATATTACATATATGTATTGTAAAGAGGATACTATTTTGCGGGTATTAATAATGATATATACATATATATATGTATGTATATATATATATATATATATATATAAAATATTCCTATGCATTTTTTACTGTGTACTCACGTGGTATGTAGCAGTATGAGAAATTTACATGAAATATTTAATCACCTAATATTTTAGCCTCTTACCAAGTTTATAATCAGATCTAAAGGTTTTATATTTTATTAGATACAGCATTTGCATTTGCTTTTTTAGTCTATCGAAATTTAAAAATGCTTTAAAATTTCCCATTTATATTTTTTTTCTTTCAAGCTCATGGTTTTCTTAGTTAATTAATAATAAATCCACATTCCAAACCTATTACATTAATTAGGAGAATCTTCAAAATAAAACACCTGTAATCTGTGTTTAAATTTGTGCCATGTAGTTGTGGTTTTCAGTGTAATTGCTTAGTGTATGTTTTAGCACCAATTTAGACATTGATCCCCCCCCCCCCCCCCCCAAAATGAGAAAATCTATGTTATTTATTATGTATGCATTTTTTTGGGGAATTTTTAAATTATTACTGGTGGCTTTTCAGTAGCTGTTTTTATCATGGTTGTCGAAGAGGGAAATGATTGTTTAATTACACATCGCTACAATTTTTCTTTCATAAATTTTTGTATAAATATGATGCTAAATAATGCCAAACTTTAAAAGCTACATTAGACATTCTAAATAACAATACTAAAAAGATTATTTTGAGAAGTAATTTTAAAACTAAAGCATAATAATTCTTAAATTTAGTTGTCACCAAGTAATTCTTAATAATACTTAGTTTATTTTGTTTAAATTAAATTTTTTTTTTACGTTGAGCGAGCAAAACTTTTTCAAATAGCCTATAAGATATTGTGTCAGTACATTTTAAAGAGTTTTAGTGCTGGTTCTCACCATGAGATACTTAATGACATAGATTTATGCAGTGTTGAATAAATGTACAAAAGGATATATAAAAACAATATAAGTCTTAGGAAACTATGGTATAAATATGAAATAATGTCTTATTTGTTTATTAAATGATATTATAAAATATCTTCTTTACTAAAAATCTTATTTACTTATTGAGAAATAATATAATTATTAAAAAAAAAAATCAGAACTGCTGCTTATGTATTGTTAAACTGACAATATTTACTTTTTGTAAGTGTTCTTTCTATGCTCTGTTCCCTCCATTTTATACTATTTCATATCTTTAAATATGCAAAACAGACATTATTTTATTATAGATAAATAAAATTAGTACTAGCTATTTTTTTTTCAACTGTTTACATGCATAAAAGCATTTTTTAATATTTGTTGATTGTTGTTCTTTTAATACATGTTGAGTTAATTGCAGTGAGTGTGTTTTTAGTCTAGGTTTTCACTTAATGGTTGTGACCTTTTACTAAATTTGTATGTTCCAAATGTAGTGGGGAGTCTGAAATATATAATTGTAGGGCAGTGAAGGAGTTTTAGGCCAACACGATGACTCAGTATTGCCAAATTTTACATTGATTGGGTACCAATCATTTTATAAATAAGTAAAGAATACATGTGAACAATGGATAAATTTAAGGTGTTTCACTGGTAAGCATTGACTTAAAAAGAGCTGTTCAAATTGTAATTAGATTGTCCCTTTTAAAAAAGGCAACTTAACTTAAAGTTGTGAAATTTAAATTCTCTTGTGCTGAGAATACTTTAAAGTAATGGATTACTTTTCCATTAAAATTATTGAAACAATTTTTTTTAGAAATTAATTTTTAACATTAACTTTCAGCACTTATCTGCAATGTAAGGTAATCAGTTTTTTTTTCTGTAATCATGCATACTCTTAGCTTATTTTAGTGTAGAAAAGAGAGCATAGCCACAAATAAATACTAGTATGTTGTTTAACTAATTTCCCCAAGTGAATGACTAATTGTTAGATCATCAGGATTATCTGTAGGCTCATGACAAATGTTTTTGTTTTCACTTGCTCAATGTGATCACAAGTTGTGTGTGTTCTAGAGTCATGTATCTTTCATTACTAGTAAACCACTTTTGTTCTCATTCCAGACCAAGTTTACGTTGCTATATTCTAAAATAACAAACAATGCAAATATTACTTTGAAAAATCAGTCTGTTATTTAATATTTAACATAAATGATCTCTTGGAAATCAAGTTTTTATTGTTATAAATCTAATTATTCAGAACTTAATTAAGTAATGTAAGTTGATATTTTTTTGTGGTGAAAATCATATCATGAACTAAATCTTTCCCTTAGTTGTATGAAACATACAATATATCTGCTGGAATATTTTTTTTCAAATCTGATTTATTATGTTAAAATTTGCTTTTTGATACAATTTTAGTTGTATTATTCCATAATATTGCACTTTATATTTTATAATAACTAATAAAATGGTTACAAATGTCTTATTGTTTTTCTTTAAATTTACTTTAACCATTATACCGTAATATACTATGAATGTGATTGCTTTTATTTCTTAAAAAAAAATAATTTAGGTAATAAATCTTCTGCAGTGTGCAATGCTTCAAGTAGTTTTTTGCATAAAATAGCATCTGAAAGAATTTTTTATTAATGGGAAATCTACTAACAGATCAATAAATTCAAAATTTGAGTTTATCTTTATTTTTTTAAACTCTTCTTTGTGTCAGACATGATTTTATACATTCTTTACTTAGCAAAAACAACACATTTTTGGAAGTAAAATCTTATCCGTTGTAGTCTTAACTAAAACTTAAAATTTCATACATATGTTTTCTAGTAGAAAGGGTTAAGAAAAGCCCAATTGTCATACACATGTATAAATACTTAATTTAAACAATGAAAACACATAAGTTAAGCTTTTTTTGTATAGAAACTTCACGTAAAAAAATCACATGTAACATGATCTACAATATAGAGTAAAATTTTTTTCTAGTGTTTGTCAAGAAATAAAAAAAAAAACTCTTAATATAATAAAAAGTGAAAGACCTTAATTGTGTAAAAAATGCATTGCTAAAATAGTACATAATAAATATGGAATATCTTTCTATTTAATTTAGTAAATCCTTTAATTGTTTTGATAATTGAAATGGTATTTCATTATGCATAGTTTGAGCTTTAGAGCAGATCTGTTTATTCTAAGTAAAAGAAACTAAGCTTATTGGATTCAATCACTGTTGGGAGGTAAAAACAAATATAAATTTGAGCTTACAAATGGCCAGCACATTTCTACCAAGTCTCTAAACCAAACCACCACTGAACATCTTAGTCTGAATACAATTACAAGCTTCTTGTTACCATATTCAGTTTTTATATAAGATCCAATCCTACACTAATATCTAGCACAGAAGGAAGATTAATACATTTATGTTTCTAGCATTGAAGGGAATTTAGTACACAAATTTCACTAGTATTAAAGAAAAAATATACCAATTACATTTGCACTGAAGGAAGATTACTGACGTACATTAATTTTTCAAGCTTACCTGCCCTATCTCTTGTACAGTAAACATTGCAAAAATGTAGACCCTAAATAATTTTGTTATTTTAAAAATATATATACATATTTATTAAAATGAAAAAGAATCATTTTAAATTGATGAATGATTTTAGTACAAAAATTATCAATTCAATATTCTAATTTACACAAATATAAAATACTGAAACCAAATGTATCAAATACAGAAATAAATAAGATCTCCTGAGCAGAATTCATAATTTACATTCAAATGAATTGAAATATTCTGTCAATAATATCCATAATCAGCAGTTCTGTTCTTCATCCTCTGTTAAGGTATTTAACTCTACTACCACAGAGGAGGTCACTTTTTTACTGCTTGGACTGGTCACAACAATAGTTGGAATCACATTAGCAGTAGCTGCACTCTCACAGTTTCCATCAGCTTTATTCCCTTCAGTTTTTCCTCCTGTGTCTGAATCTTCTTCCTTCTTCTCAAAAGAGCCAGTTCTAAAATAACTTTTTCTGTGTAGAATTGGTGTCAACACCTCTACCATATGATGACCCATTAGATCTTTTCTGGTAATCATTCCTCTAACCTAAAAAAAATAATTTTAGAAATTTTTTAAGCGGTAGGCTATTTTGAAAAAAAAAAGATTCAATTTTGATCACAACTATGCTGCTATCAATTAAATACAATTTATAAAAAAATCACTTCATCATCATCATCATATCTTCCCATTGGTGCCCACGTCACAAGGGGCAGATTAGGTAGAGTTAATCTGTATCAATGACCTCGGCATGCAAGTGATCAGCACTATACCAAGCTGCCTTAGTTTCCCTATTGTTAATAAGGTACCCATCAGAGCTGGAAGGACTGAGGGATGTCCTACAGATTTGAGTCAGAAAGCTGAACTTGAGACTTTCAGGTTACCAGTCATGTACCCTTTACCATCTAACTATGCTATCCCACAATTACTATTTTAAATTAAAAAAAAAATATTTAGGATCCGAACTCTAAACCTTTTGGGTAGCGAGATCCCATAAATCACCTTCACTAGGTAATAAAATATTTTTATAAATAAGACAGTTAATAAAAAATTCAAGTTTTATTTTATTATTACCTCATTGTCACAATTGACCACAGTAAGATGACGTAGGCCAAGTGCACTTAAAATTGTGTATGCTCTCTTCAGCGAGAATTTAGTCTGAACTGACATTGCAGACTGATTAACATATGGGGTCTGAGGAATACAAATGTAATAAAATCTCAAAGAAAATTTTAAATAACAATGGTAATAAGATAATAATATGGTCAATATTGCGAAGGTAGCCTAGAAACAGTTATCCAGCTGACTCCTCTAAACTGGAATTCCAGCAGAATTAGTTTTATTGTCATTATTCATGCCTTTTCTGATTACTTTGTTTTTAAAAATAAAATAAATGATTTTTGATGAGTTTAACTATTTAAATACATCTCTTACCAAATCTATGTAGTACTCTGCATATTCTGATTGTTCTGCCACAAACTGGAGCAAGAATTTTGTATTGACTTCTTCATTATCTCTTTTTCCTCTCAACATCTATAAAAGATCAGAGTAAAGTATAAATTACATAAACAAGTCTGTATTAAATATGTTGATGTATCATTTGTTAAACAGAGCAAAGGTTAAACATAGACATATTATGTTCCAGGCTTGAAAAGTAATCTAAATAATTTGTGTTAAAAAGATGGAATGTATCCAATCCAAGTTAAAATGTCACCTCACCTGAAAAAAAAAATGAAGTTCATAATGCATAAGTGAATTAAAGCTAGAGCTACCTTTTTATAATCAATTGAATCAATGTCCACGCCATCATCTTTCATGGGTTCACACCTCCCATGGGTCATGACATTCCTGTGTTGTAGTATCACTAGCAACTCAGATCTGTATCAGACAGAGGGGAAACATTTCAACAAGTTTTGACTAGTAACTAAATCTTTGTGCTGGTAAAAATGCAGGCAGGTTGTATTGAAATATATTCCTGCTAGAACTATAATACCTTTGCTAACTGTAACAAAAAACAAACAAACAAATATGATATTGCATTGCATAAATGTCATTTTTAACAAAACAAACATCCTTGGAAGTCATATCTCAGTGGTTCAAAAGTAGTATTAAGTATTACCTTGGGTGTAAGAATAAGAAGTCTTCTTTTTAAAAAAATTAGATAGCAAATATAGCTGTAATCAAGTATAGCATATGTATGACATAGAACAGTGTAAGAATTAGAAAAACTGGAATCAACGTTTTTGTATACTTATGACAGACAACAATTTCAATGCTACTTCACAAGTTGCACAAGTTAAATTATTGCTTGATCTATAAGAGACAGATTTTTTTTGTTAATCATTAGTTGAGTGAATGAGTGGCCTAATGCTGTAGTCTTTTGTTTTAACTTCCTGCCAGTGGTCGGTGTTGACATCTTTGATATAAAATACTATTTTTATATACAGAACCTAATGGATACATTTTTCTAATAGAAGCTTTTAAAAATAACAAACAAATTTAGGTAAGGGGGCTATAAAATGTAGCTTAAAAAACCACTTTATCAATAATCATCTCAGATTTAATAGAATTTTATTTTGTTCGAACCTGGTGATCAATCCATAGAAAACTTTCTTTCCTTCTCTGTTCTTGCGTATGACAGGGAAGCCATTGTGTTGGTAGTCCAGCAGGATCTGCGCTATCCTGGGCACATGATCCACAATTTCTAGTGTCACCACCGGGAAAGCCATGATGTCCTCAGCAGAAAACAGATCCAGTTTAACACTGAAAAGGGAATTTTTTTTTGCTTTAAAATTTAACGATAAAAATGTATTTCATATTTTTAAAAATTCAGTTAGTACTAAATTATGCAATAATCTAAGTCTAATAAAAGGAATAATAATGACTTAATAAAGACAATAATGCCCATGGGTATGTGGTTAAATGTGTAACACTATTGAAGGACAACAAAATAATATGCATAATATTATGTATAAAAGTTGATATTTTAAATTAATTTAAACCTTCAAACCTAACATGGGGTCTTGGTTAAGAAATGGTATACATCAAGTTATATATAAAAGAATAATATTTTAAAGTGTTTACTTTAAACCTTCAATCCTGACATGGGGGTCTTGGTTAAGAAATGGTATACATCAAGTTATATATAAAAGAATAATATTTTAAAGTGTTTACTTTAAACCTTCAATCCTGACATGGGGGTCTTGGTTTAGAAATGGTATACACTTCTGCTCAAGCAAAGCATGGAAGAATGGGTGGGTGAAAAAATCTCCAATCCATTTTGACACCATTACAGCTGTCATCACGGGCAGTAACACTTTGAGATCATTGGTAAGTTCCATCTGTAATAGAATTACTTTGTTAAACAAATCAAGTTAATTCAAGCTGAATGTTTTTTATTTATATTTTATAATTATCAGTTTTCTGTGAATTTTTGTCCTCACCATTATGACTGTAATGGCAGGAGCTAGTCTAGACACGCCACCAAAGAAGGAAGCTGAGCCAATCAGAGCAAAGGCCCCAGGATCCATCCAGCTTAAGTAGTCATTATCCAAGTGAATGCCAAAAAGATCTACCATGATTAGACCTATGATTCGACCATACAAAGCTCCAATCATTCTAAAAAAGTAAAAAACAACAGTTCTGGAAAAGGTGCTTATCAATATTTCATTTTTCATTTTAAAAAAGGATTTATTTTAAGGATAAAATATTTATACATCTCTATCGTTGCAGAAATTGTTTTTAGAATTTTAGTAGAAACTGTCTCACAGCATGGGAACCAGAATGCCAGCAGCAACAGAAGTACCAGCTGACCAGCACACCATAAAAAAGTAGATGATCAAACTGGCAAATAAAGGTCCGTAATTGAACATCTTGTGTGAGTTTCGTAGATACAGTGTTTTCATGGCTTCATCCTTTGAACTGAATAACAGGAGTGACACTAAATGGGGAAAAAAGTTGACCTTTTAATTGAATGGCCTCAAAACATAATTAAAGAAACAATATTGCCTTAACTAACAAAGTTTCAGGATATTTTTCATGGTAGATTAAAGCACTGTCGTGCCTTCTGTTTGATGTTTATGAACATTTATAATTCAGAACAAGGGCAACAAATATCACGTTATGAAGTTTATAAAGGGTGGCAAGGTCAAATGGTATAGTGACAGTGAAGTGGAGTTACTGTTTCGGACATGGTGGTCAATAGGGTGGTTGAAGTAGAGTTCTGTGACCTTGGAATATAAAAATATAGTATGGTCATCACTATTCCTTGCCACCTTTACTTTCCCTAACATGAGTCAGGTACCCATCAGAACTGGGTAGACTCAGGGAAATCTTCAACATTTGAGTCTGATTCCACCAAGCTTTAATAGGTATATGACTTGTGTTGGATAAGGTAAAAAAAAGATGCGCATGTGCTGACCACACAATCCTTTCATAGGTAGAGATCACGAGATCACATTAACAGATAAACTCTGCCGTATTATTCCTATTGCTTTTGTATGTGTCTAAATGGGTATTTTCTTTTGTATTACATTAATTAACATTTGAAAAATAATAGCAGTAATACTACTCACATTCATTGTAAGTACCATTGTATACAAATGTAGTGTTGTCAAGGTAATACGTCCCCACATCACAAGTGTGAAAAATATTTTCCTCTACAAAGTGTGAGTCATACTTGTTCATTGTATCATTGACACAATATTGACTAGCAAAAATTTAAAACTATATGTTAGTATATTTAAATAGCTTTAAATTCATTCAATATTCTTTGAAATTTGGTCAACATTTTTTTCATGTGGTTTAAAACAGTTTCATAAGTTAAAATTCAATTTTAAAAAATAGATTATAAGCAGTGCAAGAAATGTAAATGTTGTGGTATAAATTAATTGAAAGTTTATAAACAATGTAAAACTAGGAAAGAAAATTAACTGAAATAAGTAATTAAGATGTATTTCCAAAGATGAAATTTAAATAGCATACATTAGAGCTAGCAGTGCTGATTCTTTGCAAATGCGTACATTCGACATAGTGCAATATTAAAGCAAAAAAAAGCATACAGTAAGTGGTGCTACCTTATAATTCCTGACTCCCCTTTCATGCAAGTAAAAGGAATACATGAAAATGCCATTGGCAGAAAAATTGAAAATGAACTCATAATCAACTGTAAGATCAAAAATAAATTCTAAACAAATTTTAAACACAACATAAAATGGAATAAGCAATCAAATTAAAATATATTTTAACATTGGAATCAGTAAAATCTAAATTACGTTTGTTGTTCAATTCTTTAATATAGTTAAATAATGATTCATATATTTCATAAAATGTCTATCTATAATTTTAGTTGTATTATATTTCAATGCAATAAACATATAAAAAATTATGTTTTTGCTGAGGTCTTAGATAAACAAATTTTAGGAAAATTACATATGTGTAATTTTTTTTATTTAGGGGAAATTGCAAAAGTTAAATTTCATAATTTATTTTTGTCAAAAAAATTTTTTTTGTTGCTGAACAATTATGACATTTTCCAATTAATAAGCAAGAAAGTTAAATAAATATCAAAGCAGGTTAGACTAATGCCCATAAACATAAGAAAATTTATTGTTTGAAATTGAAAAGGAAACAAAGAAGATAACTGATTGCATGCTACAAGCCTAATGAGTACACACAGGCATTACAATTTCATTCCCATATTTAGTAAGGCTGATTAAGCATTAACTAACTTTGTTAAACATTGACAAAGTAAAATTTTAAAATAAAATAGATGACTGCAAGAAACAATTACCATAATGACTGCAGGCTCCAGCAATCGTAGAAATTTTACAACCCATGGCCTGGGTATTGAAGCAAGGAAACGCTTCCTTAACCTATGAATTTTGAGATTTATTATAGTAAAGAGTGATCCAAGTAGACCTCCGATGATACCAATAATAACAGAGGGAATGAACATAAGAATGTTTATATCCACAGCTTCATCCACCTGTAAGTATAGAAATACCTCAATGAACAATTTAAAAATTAGGTGGTACATTATAGGATGCTCTAAGTTCTAGTAAATGCTGACTAAAAATGATAACAAATAACCAAAGTATTGATATTCAAAACCATTAGCCGGTTTTATAAAGAGAATTCCTATACCATAAATCATAAATATTAAATAAAGCCACCAGAAAATGTTTAACACAATTAAAATAAACATGACATTATAAAAAAAACAAGTACACCACAAAAAAAACAAAAAACATTACACATAATCAAAAACACAATGCTACACAACACAGCATGATATAATACAACACAACATAAACCAGTATAATCTGAATTGATATGATGTAATTCAGTACAATGCAATATTTTTTTTAAATGTGAAAATATGAGATAATAAATTATATGAATTAAATACAGTTTTAACTGTGAAGGCAAACAATTTTTATGTGATTGAGTGCCTCCCTTGGGTCATGTTATCAATGTATGTTAGATAGAAATACATTTGGTTTATGTGATTGGATTTTTATTTGGGACATACATGTAGACACTGGGTTTATAGATATACTGACAAGTGTTTCCTAACAATTTTTGAAAGTGTATTTTAAATAATCTAGCAATAGCTATTTCAATAATTATACAATAAAATGAAAAAAACAAACAACTCAACTTACATTGAAGAGAATATACCGGCTTGTCCTGAACTCACCAAACATGCCAATAATTTGGAACCTTTCAAAAGCAGAGTTGAAAATATCCGATGTGGATGTTGCAATGATGCAACAAAAGAAAATCTGCCAAGCCAAAGTTTTTGTCCAAAATGAGGAAACTTCTTCCATGCAGAACAACAGACCTCCAACAGGGGCCCCAAATGCAGCCGATACCCCTGCCGCCACACCAGCAGATATAAAGTTTCGCCTGATAAGGTAAAATAACATTATATTAAATTAAAAACAACATTTTTTTTGGAAATGTGAAATCTCTTAAGTTTCAAACAGAAGAAAATTTAAAATCTTTTTATATTTTTAAATTAGTTTAAAAAATTTAAAAGAAGTAATTACTTGTCTTCTGGATTTCTAAATCTTTCAAAAAAAGGCAGGCGGATTCTTTTTAAGTAACCAGACAGCTGACTTAATCCAGAACCAATTATAGCACTGTTTGAAGAAAACAATTATTTTTTTATTTTGTTGACTAAACACAAAACAATATTTTCTTAAAATAACCAGCTAAATCACTAGTAAACAATCAATTTAAATAGGTAAATTGCCTAAAAAATAGTATATTGCACATGTCTCATTTATTCTTACCCCATATGAATCATGGGTCCTTCAGGACCAATAGGCATACCACAACCAATAGCCGCAACACAGGAAAAGAACTTGACAATGAGGGTTTTGACACTAAAAACACGCCTGATTTGTGTCCCATTTAGATAGCCTGTAACTTCAGGCATGCCTGATCCCCCTGCACTTGGTCTCCAGAACTAGGAATAATGTTAGATAAAAAAACTTTCATTTGGGAACTACATCTGAATCAGCTGATTACAATGCTATAGATCTACATTCCTTTACTTCAGATCAAACTATGTATCTCAAATATGAAAAAAAAGGAGAAGATTGAACACTTTTTGAAACAGGTTTCTACTTACAACAACAATGGCTGCAGCAAAAACTGCAAACAAAACACTGTAGCCAGCACAGAAAAACCAACCCTCTAAAAGTCGCTCATCCTAAAATACATATTACAATATTTTTTATTTAAATCAAAGTTGAATTTACACATAGATCTAAGTTAATTTGAGTTTCTGTTAAGTCCTAACACATTAAATTTCCCTTGTTTGGTTTTTTGCCATCATTTTAGAAATTCTTTTTAAAAGAATAACTCTATGAATACAACTCATTAAAAGTATCACATTATTTATTATTGCACATACATTGATATAATGACCAAAGACATTGCAAACAAATCAAAAAATTACCTCCAGATATGATTTGGTTTGTTGCCACTTCAAGTGATCAATTCGCTCAATAAGTTGATGTAGAAAAAAACAAACTACTCCAATAACAAAACCAATCAGACCCATCAAAACCCATCTGTCTGTTTCGAGGCTAAGATAAACATTTAAAAAAATGAATTAATAGTAATTTCTGAACTGAAAGAAATCATTAATATATTAATAGCTTTTATGGTTAAGTGGGGGTCTATGGAGAACTTGCAAAATTAAACAAATGTAGAATAATGTAATTATTGATAAAACAATTTTGTGTTACTTGCTTTATACTTAGTAATGTGAGCTATCAAACATGAAGAAAAATTTTATTCCTGCAAATTTTTTACAAATGAATGGCATCTAGAGGCTTGTGGAGCACAAAGAAAATGATGGGGGATCAAGAATAATTTATATAGTGACTGTAAAAATGAAAAAAAGTAAAAATATCTACTCTGAAATCGTCTGACGTTTAATCCAATGTTTAAAAATGTGACAATGATTAGGTAAATAGTCACAACTTTCATAAGCATTGAGCGTGTCTTTCTCTTGTTCTGTGTACTCATGAGTTACATACACTGGCTCATAATCTCGACCCTGTTAAAAAAACATTAAGAACTGAGTAAATCATTAACTCTTAAAAATTTGTCTAAATTACAAATGAATGGATTGTATGAATCAACACAACTTTGATTGTCTTCATATCAACAATTATGTTATTTTAGTAGTTAACATTAACAGTGTCTAAAAAACAGTGTATATTCTCACTCATTTAGACATTATAAGTGTTTAAGCCGTAAAACTATTTTATGGAACTGATTTTAGTATACGTCTGAAGTCCCACAATGTATGTCTTTATTAGGATGTGGTGATACTATTTATGCTGTGTAATGTTCATTGTTTGATAGTGTATGAGAATTTAGCAAAATACCTTTGCAAAGACTGAAAAGTTTTCATCATCCTTCACAGCAAATATTGTGTCATCTTTAGGTGGCGTTGGCTTCTGATGCGAGATTGAATTTCTTACAATGCTGGTTGTAAAGGTTCGTCTTCTGAGTGCGGCTGGGGGTACTGAGAAGAAATCCTCATCATCCGGTAATACATTGGAGAATGACATGATGTCGGTTTTTCAAGTTACTCTTGTGTTATTTACACTGTTCTTTCATCCATAACACTGTAAAAGAAAAGAGAGATAATCAACACTTTTGGCAAGTGAGTAATCTTGCAAACTTGATGGTCCATATAACATTGAAATGCTAAGGATTAAGGAATAAGGATGGATCATCTTTTTCAGTATCTACTATCATACTATCACAGTATCACACTATGTCTATTGGCCATTGGTTTATGAATGTGGTTCCTTTCCCAGATACCTATGCTACTTGCCTACAGAGTCAAGGTAGCATTATATGTATTTATAAGAGGTGAATCTTTTGCTAAAGCAATAGAATCTAGCTACTAAGTAGCTAGAGTATTACCTACACTTAGACTACACTATGACCAACACCATGCAACTAAACTTACTAAACTAACCACTGAGATTTAGGCCTACCAGGTTACCAAAGTGACCAGAGGCGTAACGACCCTTCCCGGCACCCGGAGACAAACTTTTGATTTGCACCCCCCCCCCCTCAAACTTTTGATTTGCACCCCCCTCAAACTTTTCATTTGCACCCCCTCAAACTTTTCATTTGCACCCCCCCCCTCAAACTTTCAATTTGGCGCCCCCCCTAAGGTCAGCGCCCGCCCCCCCCCCCCCGCCCTCGCTACGCCTCGGAAAGTGACTAAAGTCTAGTCACTAAAGCTTACAACAACAGCAAATCTAATTTTAATTAGGATTTAGGTTAATAATTTCATTTATTCATCTAGATCTATCTATATTCTATTAGTTCCTACAATATTTTTCTTATATTTAATTTTTAATAATTAACAAATTACAAATAATTAACATTTAATAATATTAATTATATTAATATATTAAATTTCTACTAAGCGTCACTAGTCACTAGAGTCTAGAGACTCAAAATATTAAATAATTATAATTAGTACATGGGGCCTAACATAACAAATAAACATTTATTGAAAGCCTACCTTAATTAAATTCTTAAACCTTGGACTTGACTAGACTACCAAGTAGAACTAGTCTAGTACCTGACACACAAGCCAGCCTACACACAGATTGTTGTGCACTGTGGACAGTGTGGACACGCCCACCATAACAACGTTATGTCACTTTTACTTATAGATTTTAATACTTAAAGTTAAATATCACTAAACTAACATACAGAGCACACACATTAATGTGTAACGTTTATCTCTTTGAATTTTAACTTTCTTACATTAAATTAATTGATCTACATAGCGGTAGTGTTACTGGGTTACTCTTAATCTTAACTATTGCAATAAATTTAAAGCATACAAGGGGAGGGAGAAGAGAAGGCTGAATATAAGGGATGTAACTCAAAATCATTGTTGGGTCAATAAACCTTTTAAGCCCGGAAGTAAAAATGTTTGTCAAGTTTTGTGGATGATATTTTGAGTCGACACTTTGTATCCTTAGCAGAACGAACCCCCAGCCTGGCCTCAATCATTAGGCTTGGATTCTAAAATCTAAATAAAAAGTAGGCATAAAGCAGAAAAAAATTCAGAAATTCTATATTTTAAGAATAAGTCATAAGACTATTAATTAAGACAGTGTAGTTTAGTGTAGGCCTATACTAATCTAATACTAATACTTCAATAGCCTATCTATACTATTTCATTTTATTTTCAATGTATTCTGTAACACTGTAGGCCTATTGATTTGAAGTATTATTATCTAATAATAAAATTTAGCCATAAAGACTACATTACATTACTACATTTAACTACATTACATTTGTATTTACTCATACATATCACCTAACATTATTCATTATTACCTAAAGTTTCTAGATAGCATGACAAACATTGATTGGTAGGGCTTATATCTATATAATTCTCTTCTGGGAGCCGTTAGAAAACAAGCTGCAAGCGCGCCTTACAGTCCCCTCTCTTCCTCTCTATCGCTACCACCCCCCACCCCCTCACATGGTCTGGTGAGCTGTGGTTCACGCTGTTTACATTTTACAATCATAGAGACGGGTTTGGTGACGGTTATTAGGGGCAGATGATCTAGTTTGAAACGATTTTAAACTTAGAGGAGGTAACTAAGAGGAGGCTGCTTTCACGTGGGGGGGGGGGAGGGGGGTTTAGTGTTTTAAGCAAATATTTTCAGTGGCAGCATTGGTACTGTCGAATTCACAAATTATGAATGAAAAGTAGAAAAGAAAAAACAACTAAATAGCGGCGTATGATACGCAGCGGGTCGGCTCGTACTATATAAAAAGCCATGATTTTAGGTCTGTGACCCCCATTTCTGAGTTGCTATACAATTGAAAGAAAACTTAAATCCAACGCTTTGCATACATTTTCCGTAATTCCTCTCTATTTATTCCTTTAAATTTAAACATATATTTACTGTAAGGCCACAAAAAATATTTTTACTGTTTTCTTAATTTGTTAAGTTACTGAAAATATTAAAAACACTAACATACAGCAATGCATCCATTGAGTCAGTAGTTGTTGTTTCTTAAAACAGAAGTTTTTTTTTTCTACTGTCAGGGCTAGATTCAGGACTATAATCACTGTAACAATACTAGATCTAGTAAAAATATAGCCTGTATAAGCTGTATTTGAAAATGTCCTGTCTGCAGAATGGTGAGCACTATTACAACTTTCTAACCAGCACTTTAGAAGTAAGATAATAAAAAGATCTAACTTATACTTATTTAATTTCCAGATGAGCGATTTCCATATTACAGCAGCAAGCATGATGCAAGAAATTTAGCTTATTGGAAACTTCAGCTGACTAAATTCAACAAATATAATGTACTCAGAATTTTTAAGTGCCTGTTTGGCTGCAATTTTTATATTACCCCAACTAGTTTTAGCTGACAGTGAACCTATGTTTAATCAGACACAACCACTGTCCTTTGATATTCAGACAAGCCTGAAATTTCCATACACAATCATACAAGATGAAACGTCAGTGTTAACATTTAATTACTCCTACCTGGAGCCTAACAATACTGGAAATGATGCAGAGTTGATTCATTTGAGAAGTGGATGGAGAATTAAGGCTTCAGTTGACAACCATAAAATAGCTGAAGTTTGGGGTCCTGCAGAGGTATTTGTTGATCCTATTTATCCTTATGGATCTATTGATTTTGAAGTTAGTGGAAAGTTGCCTGGGCGAGTGACTTTACTGATTTGTGCCATTGCTAATGCAAGCACTGGTAATTCAGGGAAGATTTTAGATTTCTGTCCAGGAGGGGATGTTACTTTATATAAATTATTTGTGGAGAGGAGAGAGAGACCCATAGACATTGCATTTAATGTCGTTGTTGTGCTATTGGTTGTACTGACCAATGTTGGCATGGGAGCAAAGGTAACTATAAACTTAACCTGTTTCAACTTTTACGCACTTAATGAAATATAATATATTTTAAAAGTTGTTTCTCACAAATATTAAAAAAAAAAAGCAAAAACAACATATTTGACGTTCTGTCATCTCAAATAGCATGTTGATTTATTATTAATTCTAAGCTTTTTTAAAATAACTCAAAAAGAATTTAAAATTTTTTATTTGGTATATTTGAAAAATTCAGTGTCGATTGTTTTTCTTTTAAACTCAAGCAACAGCATAAAATATTACAACGCATAAAAATATTTTTATATGTATTTCTAACAGATAGATTTTGAAGTTGTAAAGTCCGAGTTAAGAAGACCTATTGCTCCAGCTATTGGTTTGTGTTGCCAATTTATCATCATGCCGATGGTAATAAAACTTAACTTACAAAATATTAAGAATTGGGTATCATATAAAAAACAATTTTCAAATATTAAAATATTTCTTTAATGTGTGTTACAGATGTAAACTATGTACATTTATTATTTTTCTAGATTTCATTTGCTGTTGCCAGTAGCATTAGTTTAGATCCTGGCATTGCCTTGGGATTTCTTGCCTTGGGGTGTGCACCAGGTGGATCAGCTAGCAATGCTTACACCCATCTCCTGGATGGCAATGTCAGCTTGAGTGTCACCATGACCTTGATCAGCACCATTGCTGCCTTAGGTAAGTGACTGAATGCAGTGGGGGATCACTGCAAAAGAATAAAAAATAGAATTTATCAATCTTAATTCTTTTATAATAGGTGTTAATGAAATTAGTTTTTACATTATTTTGTTGTTTCCAAAGAAAAAAAAATATTTTTAACAATCTCTAAGAATTTTTTTTAAATGAGTTACTGCATTTTGTACAATTTAAATATAATTTTGAATAACTATGGAAATTTCAATAAAATATGTTACTACTGTAAATTACTTTAATAATATAACTAATTCTGTGCAAAAGATCAAAGTTCCCAAATAGAATTGGCTTTTAATATTGAGTAATTTAGTTTCAATAAATTACTTACTTAAATTAACTTTTGTTTGATCATATCCTTACAGGGCTTCTACCTATGTGGCTTTTCACTCTGGGGAAAGTGGTGTATGATGAAGGAAATGTGACGATACCTTTTCAGAATATCTTCTTCTCTCTCTTGGGTATCATCATCCCTGTCACAGTTGGGCTACTTCTTCAGCGGAAATGTCCCAAAGCTGCCAAAATGTGCGTCAACGCTGTCAAGTACATAGTGTTTATCTTCATTGTTTTTGTTCTAACTGTTGGTGTTTATGCAAATATCTACATATTCTCTCTGCTCAACGGACAAGTCCTCCTGGCTGCTGCCTTGCTGCCCTATCTAGGGTTTCTTCTCGGGGGTCTCGTGGCTTGTGTTCTGCGGCAAGGAAAGGTGAACATCATTACAATCGCTGTGGAGACTGGTATACAGAACACAGGGATACCGATCGTGCTACTTCGTTTGTCTCTGATGGGTCCGGACAAAGACACAAGCATCGTAGCACCTGTGGCATCTGCTCTGTTTACCCCCATACCACTGGTGATTGGGATCTTGTATGTGCAAGGCAAGATCTTTTTAGAGAAACGTAGAAAGAAGAGAGAGGCCCGAGAAGGTGGGTGTGCACTTAAGGGCAGGGATTACTTTGATAATGTAAAAGCTGCAGGTGACTCTTTAATTGCTTCCAATTCAGAGCTGTAAACCATTTTGAAATTAAATTTTTAAAAAAATTTATTCATTTAAAAAATGTGTTAAACATTCTATTTAAATTCTATTTTTCAAGTTACACTAGGTTTGTTTTTTCATAAATTCAATTTTAAACAAATTAATATCCATACCAATCTTTTATAATAGAAAAAATCAAAATCTTCATTATGAATTTTTCAATTTAACTATTACTGTTTCGGGGAATTACATAATTCAGGAAATAAAAATAATTAGGCCTTTATTATACATGAAAATCACCTGCCATTTGTATACAATTGCTTGCTGTATTAATGCTCCATGAGTATGATTATAATGTGCATGCCTGATTTCAAATAATAGTCTGTTTTTAAAAAAAATACTTCTTTACAATTTAAAAAATTATGTTTTAATTAATTCATCATAGATTACAAATGTAATGGCATTATAAAAACAATCTTTTGTACTAACTTTTTATTAGAATACATTGCATGTTTAACCTCCATTCTGCACTACCTGCTTTATTCCAAAGCCATTCTGAAATCAAAATTAAATTTACAAGTGTTAAATTTTTTTTTCTCAACATTTGTCAATTCTGTTTCTTTACCTACCTTTTAAAATATACAAAAAACCATGGGTATAACTATAAGGATGGCATTTGGATTCAGCTCATCATATGCATGGGGTAAAGGTGAACTAATTCAAGTTGTTACAAAACTAATGGTGCTTCTTTTGCTCTCAGGTAAAGAGTCTATTGACAATCCAGAACCTGTGTAATATGAGGGTAGTTCTGCATCAGTGTGTTCTATATTCAGTAGTTTCAGCATTACTTGAACCTTGGAACAACAGGGAGTAAAAATCATACATGTGTAGGACCAAACTATCTAGTACAACTTAAGTCAGGGCTAACTGTTTTTGATGCTACTTTATTTCACTCGGTTGTTGTAGTGGTTTATTTTTTCGGTGGATTGTATCCATGTTTTCAGCTTCAAAATTGTTACCTTAAATTATATAAAACTATAATCAGGGTTTTCAAAATGTTTATTAAAAGCTTTGTTATCTTCTGCCATTCATATGGTAATTTCACTGTTTTTAATTGAATGGATTTGTGTACTCTATTCGAAAAGATTATGTGATTTTATAAAAGTGGTTTTATACTTGTCTTCTGTATAAAATGTTGAATGTGATTAGATTATTATTTGTTAGTTATAGCTTCTGTCTATTTAAAAAAAAAGTAATCTTAAAATAAACTTGTTAAAAGTTTAATTTTGACATTTTTTGCCAAAATGTAACTCCTATTGGGTCTCACATCTGTTTTTAAGGCAATTTTAAGTTGTGATTTATAAGTTTTAAAAGTGATTGCCATATTTACTAATAGAGTGCCAAGCCCTGATATCAAACGCCCTCCAACTGTTTTTATAAAACAGTTCTTAGATTTTCTTCACAGATCTGTATTTTCAAGAGACCTTTTTATAAGTAAGACTTTATTTTGTTACTATATCTACAGTGTCAGATCATGCTCAAAACTGCTTGTTTGCCTTGAATTCAAATTTGTTAAAGGGTTTGTGAATAATCTTATGGAAATATATTTTGTTTAATTAAATCTCTGCTCACCATATTTAGTTAGCCACTTGATGTTATAAGCTACTTGTATTTATTATTATAAAATTATTTTTCACAAAATATTTTAATGTTCACTAGAAGTTTAATATCAGTAGCTTTATAAATAATGTATATTTACTATATAGTCTACAACTATTTAAAACATTATGTGTCAAAAATATCATATTCTCTTATCGATGCTTAAGTATTTAATTTTAATCATACTCTTGATGATGCTGATTTATAATCAAATGATGATTGTGATAAAGAGCCAAAGATTTTGTGGTATATGTAACAGTGCACTGAACCTTAGTTTTTATTCACACATTGCAGTTATAAAGAAAAGAAGGTATTTTGTTTGGTTTGTGTTTTTTTTAAAACGTGGTGTAATGTACCTCACTAGAACTGTACTTAAGCTGTTAGTTTAATTTTTAGAAATTGCAATTTATGATATATGTAAATATATGCATGAAATCAAACAAAAGTGTGTGTACCAAAAACTGTCAAACAGTGTTACATCTTTGTTATATATATATTTGCAATTGTTTAGTTTTACAGTCTTGAGTATGCAAAAACTGGAGGGGAGGTAAAAGCTGCTAGATCTATATGCAAAGTTTAATTTGTTAAAAACTAGTAATGTATTCATCCGATAAAAGACAATCAATACTTATTTGATGTGAAGGTATTAAAAAGTGTATGTAAATGCAGAGGCATCCTTTTTTCAGTTTGGAAAAATAAAATTGCTCTGAACTTTCTCATATTTTGTTTATACTTTAATTTTAAAAAATCTCATTTTGAATTTTTACATAAAAAAAAAAATGAAAAACCCTAAAAACCTTTAATAATTGTAAATAAAATAATTTTTTTTCAAACAAATTGAGGAACTCAGTGTTAAATACACAAGTCCTAATTAAACCAATCTGTATTTTCTATTGTCTCCCTAATTTGCATCATATCAATTGTCTATCTAATTTACATCATAGATATATATAAATACAACCAAACTTATACTTCTAAAAATACAAAATTTATTTAACATTTTGAAATTTGATTTATGTATAAAATATTGTTAGCTTTGTAGTCATTACATTTTAGGTCCATTCTGCTCAGCATGCACAGAACTGTACAAGTACTAAGATCTCTTGTATTTTTATTTAATTTTAGCATTTTGTCTGTATATGTTGTTCGTTCTTGCATGTGGGTAGTTGTTCAAAACATGTCAACTGTGATGGGTACTATGGCAATATAAATAGCAAACAACGTGATAATTGTTTTAGCAAGGTTTTGCTGTTAAAGTTTGAATCACTGACAATTGTTTAACTATTTCCTTTTAAAGAACAGTGAAATGGCCAGTTACCTAGTCTGAGATTGATGATACATTGTGCCATAATTCAGCTGTCTTAAATTTTTTTTGTTTTAATCTTTAAATCCATTTTTAAATTTTTTTATCTTGGTGAAGGTTGTACATTACAAATATATGACTGACAGGCTTTTTTGAAGACCTGGTAAATATTATGTAGGTGATTTGTATTTAATCTGTATATATACAGCATGCTGTTTGTGAGTATCCACCCTAGAATTATACATTAGTTGTTTTAAACTTGAAAATATTCTAAAGCTACATAATACTATATCCTTTTGTTTTTGTATTTATATCTTCTGACCAAGACCTTCAGCTTTAAGGTCAGTTTTATTTTTGTATAATGACTTCACATTTTGAATATCTTGATCACAAAAAATTCTTTAACTTTAATTAATTGGTTTTACCAAGGTTGTAAATAAGTGGAGGTGCTTTTCTGATCAGTTTTTCACTGAAATCTTTTATTTTGTTTGTAAACATTTGATTTTTTTTGTTTCAATTTTTAGCAATTATTTTTCAACATTATTTACAATTTCTAGTATAATTTTTTTGTATTCAAATTTGTTAAAAAAATATTTTTTTATCCCAGTAAAATAAGAGCATTATTTTATTAACTAGAATGCTTCTAGTTGTGCTGAAATATTTTTTATTATATAATCAGACCTTTTTTAAACAATGCATTTATACATTTTTACATATTCTTTTGGTTTATAAGTTTAATATTTTGTTTTGCTTATTTTTTCTATTTAATTATCAGTTTAAGTTTTATAAACTTTAATTGCTTTTTTTAGAAAAAAAAAAGAATTTTATATTTTCTGTTGTTCAGCTAAGATACAAAATATCAACTATGGTAGGTCTAAAGGTTTTATAAAACTTTTAACACTATTAAGCACAACATTTTAGATATTAAAAATACAATAGGGGTCATCCACTTATGATGGAGTCCACATTAAGAATTAAAAAACTGCATATAAAATGTGTGAATTAAATCCGCTGTACTCCTGTTAAAAAAACAACACAGATCAACTGGTGAATAAATGTATCAGAGATGTAACTTTATACAGCCCAACCAAAAAAAAAGGCAAATTTTCACAGGCGCTGGGGTGGGGGCAGGACATTGACTGCTGCAATTTTCTAAAACAATAAACTATTATAAGTTTATCTTTAAAAATTTCAAAGCATTGAAAAGTAAGTTAAAAACAAAAGATGTAGACCACCCTGGTAGATCGTGCAACCATAGTTTGCCTACTTTATTATTTGTGTCAAAGCCTAAGACGATGTAGATCTAGTTATTTTTTTCAAGTAATAAACTCAAAATAACCACCTTTTTAAAATTAGAAAATAACATGTAGAATGCGCTCGTGTGGTCAGGTGTGTAGGGCTTACGAAACATGTATAGGGAGAGGTGGCTGTAAGGTTCAGTAAAAGTAATATGACGTCACGTTGATTAGATGAATTATATTCATAGCTAGACAGCCACAAAGGACATTAAATAGTTTAGTCTACAGCCCAACTAGCCCACCCTCTTTATTATAAAATATTTTATGACTGCCTCTAACCTCCCATTATCTTTAGGAATAATTGTATGTAAAATCGAGAGGTACACAGCGTCCATGCGCCTTGTAAAGATATTGCTAAAAATATCAAATTTGTAGCATAATAAGGTACATATTGCATGTTATTGAAGACATCATAAATGGATGACCCCAAATGAAAAATAATTAAATGACTAATTTTCATTTAATCTCCAGAAGATCCCTAACTTTCTATTCTGATTATATTTATCTTCTACTTAGTTGCAGCAGCCTTTTTATTTAACAATGAATGTATATTAAAGTTCAAATCACCAAGGTACCAGTTAAACTATTTACATTTTTCCCACATTCACTTTAGTTTCCTTTAAATTTATGGAGTGAAAAAAAATAATTTGAAGAGTATTTAGTTTTTTTTTTTGTGATGCTGAGATCTACAGATTGGGAAACACTGGTTTAAAGAAGTTAGAAATATTTCCACTTGTTACAATCATACAAAAGCTTAAAATCTATAAATTGAAATGGGTTTTATTTATTTTTTTATTTTACAAATCATCTATAGGCTACCTATATAGACAGTAATTTAGTTATGTAGAATTTTAGTTTTTATTTTTTTTTTGTAAAGCAAACTGAATTCTTAACATTTCATTTTCATGATCTTAATGAAATAAAACTACTAAAATATTTGTACTTTAAAAAAAATTACACTAACTAGTTATTTTAAATTATTTGTTAGAAATTTACTTGAACTTTGGTTTTGTTACTCTTATGCATTTTGACTTGTAGGTTTTAAGATTTGTAATGAGAAGCTCTCATCAAAGTAATGGGACCAAGTTATTTTTCCAGTTTTTGAAGTGTCCTAACACGGCTTAAATAGTGTACACATGGCAGCTGTTATGTTAACACTGACCCAATAAGTTGAATCTGTACCATGGTTTGTTAGGTTTTATACCTCTAGTTCCTTACCGTGCCAGTAGTAGTATCCTTAGACAGTAGTCAGCTGTATGGTTTATCATTTTAAAACTATACTTTAAGGAGATGCCTTATAATTGTAATGCAGCAAAGAATTTGTTGACTATTTTATTTGAAGTAATTCACTTTTCAAAATGCAATACCACCATATTTCAGCTAAGATCAAATGTGTCAGATTAATCTAAAATGCTTTTTTGAAAATGTTTCTAATTTAATGAGCAATGTGTCATGGGCAATATATATAATTTCTAAGGTTTTTTTAAAAACATGAAGTAAAATCTAACAGGGTTAAGTCTTCCTAGACCTCATGGAATGTTTTACTTTGATGTATGCTGCAATAAAGTTTATTTCTTTTAATTGTTTTTTTATTATGATTTGCCCCCCCCCCCACCATATGTATTTAGTATAGTGTTGTTTTATCCAAATATAATAATGTACAAACATGGTTAATATTTTTGCATTGCCAAGGTCTTACTGTAAGGATAATTCGCAAAAAACCAAGTGAACATAACATTCAGGTTTCCAATTTTATTTCAAATTTAACGGACACAAATATTCAAAGAAATGACAGCATTAAGCACATTCTCACACCCTATGTAAACATGAACATCATAATTTAGGACAGGTATCAATAATGTAGTCATCTTCCCTGTTCCAATCTTCTTTCGCCCATTCTGGTAAAGATGTCTCATATTCCCACCCTGGACCCTGTATGTGAAAAAATATTTTTCAATATATATGAGTAAAAAAAAACATACAAAAACAAAATTCTAATGTCAAAGTTCTTTTTGTGTTTACACTTCATAATGTATGCAGTTAAAATCTACAACACAGAACTAGTACATTTGGTAGAAAGTGGACCAAGAAAGATAATTAAATGTAAACATTTTCATCTGAATATGGCATGTTCAAAACTGCTTGTCGAGGATTACAACTTTGTATGCATCACATATCCTAGTATTTAACAACAAATCAGTTAAGTGCAGGTTTATATTTAGAGAACTTATACAGTGCTAAACTAAAAATGGTAACCACCCACCTTGTATCTGAGCGCATGAAGAAATATCACAAGATTCTTCTCCCCAGGATCAACAGGTTTTTTCTTACACAGATCACATGCAGGATCAACCGACCATCTGGCCATGTCAAACCCAGGCTGCGTTGCTTCAGGTGGACTAGTGGCACCATCTGCTGTCTCCCCACCTGTGGGATAATATACAATAATATTGCTAAATTCATTACATTAAAATTAGCCATTGAGTTTAGAAAGGAAAATTTTCTTACCATAAATATCTAAAAACATAATACCTGGATCAGATTGAACAGTTTCTGTTTTCAACCGCTTGATGGGAGGTTCATGACATAAGAAATTGTCAGAATTCTTCTGGCCATCTGTATGTGACTCAACGCACACTGGACTTTCAGAAATCTGCTCACGTGGCACCTGTTGGATTTGTTCTATACACTTTGTGTTAGTCAGGTCATCTACAGCTGCCAAAGATTGCATTTCTTTTAACTTTTCTTCATACAACGGGTTTTCTCCACCGTCCCATAACGTCACATGATGTTCTGATAAAATTCTTTGACAAACCTAAATAATCAATTACATTTTTAAAAAAGCATAAATAAATATGTAATGAATAAAAATATCTTACAAACTTCATGAACAAATAAATATTTGTACCTCATCAAAATTGAGTTCATAGACTCCACCTTTTCCTTTGTTAGGTCCCCAGGCTTCGCTGTTATAAAACATATCATTGATGATTGGATGGCCTAAATACTGTAGGTGGACACGGATTTGGTGAGTTCTGCCAGTATGTGGTACACCTACAGTCAAACAAGATTAAATAATCAGCATAACTCAAAAGTTTTCTTCTGAACTACCAAAATTTACAATTTAAAAATGATATCATGGAGATCATAATAAGACATAAAAAATAAACCTTTTAGGTTAAGTAAAGTAAAGATCAGTTTCAGATCTGATAGCCCACGGGCAGAAGAAGTTAACTTTTTCTGTGAAGAGCTTGTGCATGTCAGCACTATGCATATCCATTTAACTTTCCCAAAGTCAGGTACACACTAGAGCTATGTGGGGTCAGAGATCTCTTGTTGACTAAAGCTCATCAATTATCATAATAATAACTTAAGCCGCAAATAAATTTTCTCAACAAAATTATTACGAATTGAAAGCTATTTGACACTCACACCTGACAACACTTGTCTTATTGTTGTAACTTAAACGAGTAAATGTTGTCTGGCTTGACTTTCCTTTAGGTGATACAACCTGTAGTCTCAGCTTGTTTGACAAGGGCATGAGTGGTTGATCTACTGTCACAGTTCCCCTGTTCAATGTTTGTATGAAAAGTGTTGTTACAGATGTACAATTAATAGCTGCTCAATGTTTATTTGCATGCTAAAATGCAATAGTAATTTTCACATATATTTTAAAAAGAAAAACAAAACAGCTAAAAAATAAAGTTCCGTTACTAAGTGCAGCTATTGTCTCCCTTCACATTCACTACTTTGTTTTACGAAGCTTTCTGTTAGGTGTATAATCCTCCCTTAATAATTACACAGTATACAGAACACATGAGGGAAAACACAGTGCACTCTTAACAAAACTGAACCCACATTTCCAACATTTGGCCAGAGTTTATGGTGCAACATGACACACTTGTTTTTAAAGAATAACAATCACAATAATAGTAACAATAGATTTGGACACACAACTCAAAACACAAGCATTACTCACTCTGGGAACTTGCCAACCACCCTACACACATACTCCTTCTGCACCTGTCTCTTGGCTATTTGGTTCATTAACACCCGCGTTTTTTCTATACTTTTGCCAAGAATTAAAATCCCTGAGGTCAATCTATCTAAACGATAAATGTCTGAAAAACAATAGGGTAAATTGTCTATCTTTTTCTGGCACAAAACATAAAACTCCAAAATGTTAAGTGACATAATTCACAAGATTTATGATACTTTACAATTACCTGTAGCCTTTTTTTAAAACAAAAAGTAAATGTAATAAAATAATGTACTTGTCAAAAACAGTATAATAATTACTACTTACTTCGTAGATTAACAAGCCCCATTTCTTTTCCGAGAATGAACACAAGAGAATTGAACCTATACCTTCCACAGGGATGACATGGTATAGAGGATGGCTTATTTACAACCAATAAATCTTCAGAATTCTCTATAATTTCTATGGGTGCTGCAGTCACAGGATTTTCATGCCTACAACAAATGACAAGACATTAAACACCAAAAAAATAGTTCATAAGTTACCTAAACAACTGACGAGACATTTAGCACAAAAAAAAATAGTTCATGAGTTAACTAAACAAATGACAAGACATTAAACACCAAAAAATAGATATTTCATAAGTTACTTAATAAAATTTCCTATCAAAATAAATCTAATTGCTTGTTATAAACAAACAACAAGCAATGAACATAATACACTTTAGCAACGCGCTGAACTGCAAACAAAATTTATAAAATGAAGTTTTAAACCTGTGTGTTTTATGAGAGATGAAATCACAGTCTTTGAGTCTGTAGTCAGAGGGCACTCTGTTATTATTGACATGGATCATTCCAGATTCAAAAGCTTTCTCCTGAAAAATTATCAAATATTACCCCCAATGTCTTCATATAAAGTCATAAATAAAAAAGTAAAGTAAAATATATCTTACCAAATCTCCAGGTTGATCGTATCCAAATTCTTTCTCTAAAACTTCAAGAAGAGTCCTACCAACCCATCGTCCTTTTGCATGAGTTGCAAAAATGTATGTGTAGGGGTAAACTTTCCTCAAACCTGATAAAAGAAGTAAGTATTATTTCTTTTTACCTTTCTTTGGAAAGAAAAAATATAAGTTAATTATGTACAGAATTTTAAAAGTATACTTTTTAACACAGTTATATATGAAAAAGGTTAATTTTAAAATGAAAATAACAGAGAGATCCATACCATTTTCAAAATAATAAGATGAGTCTTTCAAGTCCTCTGGGCTGTAGCCAGCATCATCTTTTTGATTTAGCCTCATCTCTTCTCGCCTCTGCTTCTTTAATTCACTGTGTTTTTGAGCTCTGGCCATCTAAATATTAAGATTAGTTAGACAATTTACTACAAATTATTTTCTATAACAGATCAATAGCTGCTTTGATCATGCATATATTAAAATGAGAAGCAGGCTAATTATCCTCTCAAGTTAAAATTGTTAGGATTGTACTGTACCAAAAAATATATAATACCTTTTTCATAGCATTTTTAGATAAGGGTTTAGAAGCATCTAGATTGTCTGTGATGTTCATTTTAGTTTCATCTACTTCTACTTCAGCTGGGCTGATATCTGTTTTGGGCAGAGCACATTCTGCCATGGTAGCTTCACTTGAACTTGTGGTGCTTATCTTACAAAACTGGTTCAAGTAATTAAGTGGTAGAAAAGTTTCCTTTGTAAAAAGGTCTGTACTATGTTTTAACTTGCAGCAGGAATGGTTTGGAATGCCTTTATAGCCAATTCTTTGCAATAGTTTCAATGCATTATGAATGATGAGCATAGTTTGCTTTGCTCGACAATTGTTGATTATCTTTTCTATGGACAAAAGTATCAAATAAGATTATCAATATTAATGTACATAGGTTGTTAATTGATTCATAAAAGTGATTTCATATGCAATCTTGCCAACACAAGCAACTAAAAGCTATTCATACCCTAATTGAGTTGTCAAAGTTGAAAGCTTAAGGTGTATAATATAATCTTTGATAAATACTTTATTACATTTATATGTAAAAAATGGTGCACCTCCAAAACGGCCCGGGACAAATCAGCCCTGTCAAAACGGCCCCGTTAATATGACCCCCGACAAAACAACCCCGTCAAAAGGGCCCCGACTTATTGGCTCCCGTCATAATGACTCACGACAAATAGGCTCCCGACAAATGGGCTCCCGACATTTAGGCTCCCGATAAATAGGCTCAGGACATATTGGCTCCCGATATATTGGCCTCCGACAAAATGACTACTGACATATTGGCTCTAGACAAATGAATCGTATTACCACTATTAGCATAAAAGTAACCATTTTGTTCTACATCCACTACCACTATAACCTCTTTTAAATGTCTGAATGAAATTGTTTATCATGAACCAACATCAATTCACAAACAAATCTAGTCCTTAACAGCCAAATTCCACCAATTCTAAAGGTTTGATAATGTTTAATTTACAACAGAAAAGATCTGTTGCTTAAAAGCGAGCACAGAAGTGTAAATGTATGATATAAATGATGTTTACAGGATAACGACATTTTGTTTTGATAACCTACAAGCTTACTGCAGGTAGGGATGTACAGCGTGGACCCCTCTCCCCACACACTTGAGTTGGAACAGCCTACAACCGACTCATTTATGGAAGTCATAGATAGATGACCCTTAAATTAAAACATACTACTTCTTATAATAGATAAACTATTATAAAAATAAGGCCAACCGAACAAGTGTTGGATAAGCTAACTCTAAAGAATATTGATGAAGGGGTCCCACTGGCAGGTGTCATATTTGTTGAGACCATTTTGCCGGGAGACTAGTCTCTACAGAAACCGTATTGTCAGTGGTCCTTTTGTCGGGAGTCAAATTGACAAGAGCCTATTTGTCGTGAGCCAAAATGACCGGAGCCTATTTGTCAGGAGTCATATGACGGGGGCCGTTTTGTGGAGAAACTAAATGGCGGTAGCCTATTTGTCGGGAGTCGAAATGTCGAGGGCCGTTCTGTCGAAAAACTAAAGGACGGGAGCCTATATGTCGGAAGCCTTATTGACTGGAGTCCTTTTGTCTGGAGCCTAAATGACGGAAGCCTATATGTCGACAGCCTATATGACGGGGTCCATATGTGGTTGGCCCTTTTGACTGGGTCAATTTGACTGGGCTCTTATGTTGGGGCCGATTTTTTGACGCCGCATAGTCAAAAACACACTTCTTTTTAAAAATATGGAGGAAAAAATCCTGGTGAACGAAATTGAATTATTCCACTACTAACTAAACAGAAAAAAATTGTATATTAAAACTATTACATCTGAAAGGGCTACAACTGATTGAAGTTTCAAAATGTGCATTGTCCTTTTTTCAAAATTAAAAGTATAATCCAAATTAGGAAAACTTGCTCACCAAATGAACATGACAATGCATGTATAATAGCGCAGGATAGTAGCACCAGTAGTGAGACAGCCTACTAATTTCAGACAATTTTTATGGTTGAGCGTATTTTATTATAAACACAACCAAAACACAAAAACATTAGGAAAACACTAGGGGATATAGATCTAGATCTACTTATTTTTTTTATGAATGTGTTTTAATTAAAAAAGGTAAAAATATTATAAATAAGCATTACAGTTCCAATTAAATAGCGGCGGCGGGACAAAAATCCCTACATGGTCAAGGGTTCACCGTGAGTTCAGATTGACTTTAATTATCAGCATACGACATAGCTTAGGGTTGTTGTGAGTTCATGTAAGTTTATTTAGTTCTATGCCTTGCAATTATGCGTTTTACTTTACCCATTGCCATGAAAATCTTAACTGACACATACATATTTTCAAGAGAAAAAAAAAGTTAAACCTAGATCAACGAAATAGTGCACATTTAATTTTCCAAACTTTGTATTTTTTTCAAGTTTTGACAAAATTAACTTAAAAAACTAAACCAAAAATTCATAAAAAAATAGGCAGAGTGATTTTCTAACGTTTTTGTGTGTTTCGGTTGTGTATATAATAAAATACGCTCAACTGGAGGTGAACGTGAAGCGAGGAGTAAATTACACTAACATGGAGTTTTACCCAAAAACTCAACCCCGAATGTAGAGGCTAGTTAACTAACAGTAACACTCAGCATGTAATTTCATCAATCGTATTTAAAACAGTTATCAAGAATAATTAAAATTTGGATGTTGGGTTGTTAGTAGTATTGTAATCTCGACTTATTTTATGGTTAGAAATTAGGGTTAGGTGTTTGCTAGGACTAGGGTTGTGGTTAGGGACAGGGTTAGCATTCACATTAGCCAGCAATGTGTATATTTACTATTATTTAGTTAACTACCAGTAACCTAACACCCCTTTTTTAAAGAAGATTTCCTTACTCATACTAATTTCAACTTTTCAAATGTATGGGGTCGCAGGTCACCTTACTTTTTATATTTATAAAAGAGGGTCGCCACTTGAAAAAGTTTGGGAACCAATGATATCTTATTCTAGAAACATTTTTTGGATGATTATAGATATGATATAGATACCAGTGTCCGATAATAGAAATACTAGATGTGTTGGGTTGTTAGAAGGAATTGTAATCTCGACTACTTTTAAAGAAGATTCCATTCAGTTTTTCAGACACTGAGACACCTTTGTAAAAGTAAAATAATAAATTCTCCCCATTTTTTTAGATTGAATAGGCCTACACAACGACAATACTAGTCTAGGTCTAGTGTAGTTCTATCTTAAAGGAAACTAGATTTTGATTTGTTAAATCTAGAATCTGGGCCCTAGAATGTAGTTCTAGATTTTCTACCTAGATCTAGATCTAGAGTGAGTTAGTAGAGTCAAGCAGTAGGAATCATTTATTTATTTTTGTCAGGCCGTTTTTCAATAACTTAGTTAAGCCTAGCTTTGTAATTCAGTTTCTAGCAGTTCTTTACGCTTTCACTTCCGTTAAGGGGAGGTAATTTGAATAGAATTTGACTAAAATTATAAGGAAGTGACTGAAAAAAAAAATATAAATAAACAATGGGGGATTTTGAAATAGATGCTGTTTTACAGTTTATGCTGTCTAAAGGTGGTCGTGTGCGGAATCATGAACTGGTTACTCATTTTAAAAATGTATTGAATCATCCAGTAAATAAAGGTATGCCTAGCCTACAGGTCCACTACAGGACTACTACAGTTAACTACAGCCACTACTCACTACACTACTGACTGTGTAGTGACTACAGTGGTCTACAGGCCACAGGCCCTAAATTCACAAATTGGCCTAAATTTAAATTATTATTACATTAGGCCCCTATTTTATTAATATTTAATATTTATTTATTCTTTATTTAATATTTATTATTATTTATTACAGTATTACTGCCTGCTAGCCGCTAGTTCGGCTAGTGTTGTGTAGACTTAATGACTTACTTATTTATACTTAAGAGTAGAGTATATAGTAGAAACTAACACTAGCCGCTAGCGCCTAGTAATAAAGATAAAAAAATTAATGAAATGATGGTAATCTCACGATATAGCGTCGGAAATTATCTGGTAATGTTTGTTGAGTTTCGGTTACATTCGTTACTGTGAACTGTAAACCATAGTTTATTTGACCGTTGAAATAAAAATAAAGTCAAGTGCATTAAATTTAACTTAATTTGATGTTTAATTGACAGAAAATTAGCAACAATTTAGGCCTAGTAAATCTAAATAAATATTATTAGGCCCTGATAAAATCGAGTTTAGTAATTAATGTTTTTTTAAGAAACACAGAAAAAAAACTTGCAGAAGATTTGTGACAACTAGATCTAGATCTGTTAGTAAAATAAGGCGCTTAGATTTACTAAAGTTAAAAGTAGTAAGAAGAACGATAACAATGTTTAGTAGCAGCAATAATTAGCACATACACATAAAATAATTAGAAATACAAAATAATTAGCAAAACAGTATTTAAAATGCAACTAAAATCAATCCTTGCACATTTTTAAACATTATGTATAAAAAATAATATGGCGGCAAATAAATGATGGTTTACAGTATTTCCGGTGGTTTCTGGAACGGCTAGTCAGACTACGCCATCCCGACATGGTTTTACTGTTTTTTACCGCTGTACAATTCCGGAAAGATAACCGACGCTATATCGTGATTTTACAGAAATGATTCCTACTGCTAGACTCTACTAACTCTAGGTAGAAAATTTAGAACTACATTCTAGGGCCCAGATTCTAGATTTACCAAAAAAAATTCTAGATTTTTAGACTATGAAGAACTGCTGACCTTATTTTGTGATTTTTTTTAATGAAGGTTTACTTTTCTGTTTTCCAGCACTGAACAGAGAGAAGTTTAAGGACTATGTCAATGAACTTGCTTCTATCAAGCTTGATGCAGTAAGTTAGCATTATTTTCACTTTCATAGAATGGTTTTCATTTTCATCTAGTTATTAATATGGTCATGTAGTGTCAAAAATAAACTTTTAAGTTTGGAAAATATTAAAGTTTGAAAATTTTTGCATATGTTTGTGATAAATATTTAGATTGGTTACAGTTGTATTGTATTTTTTAAGTAAAAATAAATTAAGGGACTTTTATAAAATAAGAATTTCCAGACTTATATTAATAAAAAAGAATAATCAAACTTTTATAAAGTAAAAAAAATTGCAGTTTTCAATCCAATTTTTTAAACCCCTTTTAAAAATTTACAATTTGATTAGACTTTTGAACAACCATATTGTTGTGAAAGAGAAAGGATACCAAACTTCCATATTGTTAATCTTTTAATTAAAAATGTTATAGTTCCTTATCATAGGGAACAGAAATAAAAAGCCATCTTTAAAAAAAAAATTGTGGTTTTAAATACTATGCCTCTGAGATAACTATTGCCCATGCCAATTCAACTATACAGAAAATATCTTTTAGTACTATAGTGTATTAATTTCTATTGACGAAGTTAACAGAGTAGGGATGTATTTTCCCACGTTTTCTTTAACTTGCTTTCGCGTCTGTTTGTTTGTTTGTTTGTTTGTTTGGTTCTCCAATCAAATCTTGCGATAGAAATTTCGGGCACTTCCCAGTTAGCTAGCGCGCTGAAATTTTCAGGGAAGCTTTGTTTCCGATGACAATAGAATATTCAATTGTTATTATTACTAAATTGATCCATGGAAACATTTTATTGATCATTTTAGACCGCTATATATTTGTACAAAAAACGTGGGAAAAAGGGACATAACCCAGTAATTGTAATTTGATGAAAACAAGGTTCGGTACTCTCCCTCTTTTGGCTTACTGAGTAGTTGTCACGCGGTGTTTGTGTACAAACAACCGGAACGTAACAACTGGTGGCCAGTATGGGGGAGACGATATGGTCGAGTGGTTGGGCACACGATTGCTAACCCACTCGACACGGGTTCAAGGCACATGTTTTTTACGAGTTGTCTTCGTTTACCCAAAAAAAAAAGTGAATGCGAAAAGATAAAATCGATAGCAAGATTTTAATGCAAACAAATAGACAAAGACTAAAAAGTAGAAAATAATTATCATTAAAAAAGTTTAAAAAAACCCACGTTTTCTGATTGAACTAAAAAGTAGAAAATAAATGCTATACATCACAATAATGCAAGCGATCACTCTACTATAAGCGATGAAAAACGTGGGGCGCCGTGATTTTCTTACAGTTTCTAATACTGTTGACTCTCTACAAGCTCCCTAATAAAAGTCAATAGTATTATCTAATCAATAGTAATATAACTTTTACATCTTATATTAACAATGACCGATAAAAAACTTTCACTTTGGCGCCCCACGTTTTTCATCGCTTATAGTAGAGTGATCGCTTGCATTATTGTGATGTATAGCATTTATTTTCTACTTTTTAGTTCAATCAGAAAACGTGGGTTTTTTAAAACTTTTTTAATGATAATTATTGTTTGACAAAAGTTAATAGATGTATGCTTTGACAAAGTACAATATTTAACTGTCCATTTATCACATTTAAAATAAATGTATTGGTCCAGACATCACATTTTGGATAATTGAATAAATGTAATTGTCCAGGTATTACATTGTAAATAAATTTATTGTCAAGGTATCACATTGTAAATAAATTAATTGTCCAGGTATCACATTGTAATAAATTAATTGTCCAGATTTCGTATTTTGAAAATATGTTATTGTTCAGGCATCACGTTTTGAATAAATCTGGTTGTCCAGACCTCACATTTTGAATAAATCTGGTTGTCCAGACATCACATTTTGAATAAATCTGGATGTCCAGACATCACATTTTGAATAATTCTGGTTGTTCAGACATCACATTTTGAATAAATCCTGTCGTCCAAACATCCGCCTGTGTAAGTGTTGTTCTGCCTGAGAATGCAGCCACACAACAAAACTATTGAATTTTACATCCTTTTATCCTAGTGGTGTGTAGTCAAGTCAAGTGTCTATTTCCTATTACATGCACTTGTTCAAATTATCACTACCATGCAAACTTACATTATATTTTCAGTGTTTATGTGTCCGCTGTTGATTTGGAATTCATAAATAATCTAAACTTTGATTGTTATTCAGAATATTGGATAAGGAATATTCCTCTAACTCTGATAGTCCTTGTGTACTTTGGACTATTTTTTTTTCTCTACAGCTAAATTGACAGAATTACTTGTATGTTATACCTTATAAATAACCACAAAGCAAATTTAATCAATGAGACTTCATAGATTCCTTTGAATAGATAAGAACAGTAGTTCTTGTGGCACATTAAGGTTTAGGTCTTATCTCACACTACAAGATTGTCTGTCTGTCTGTTCATGTTGGGAATAGTTGTTTTACTAAGCAAATTAGACACTGTTGTATATTTCTGAGGTTTGTAGTTTGTTGTATTTATTACAAATTTCTGACCTTGATGTTTTTTATTGCATTTTTATTTGGATCTTATGATATTTTCCTTTTATTTTTATTAAATACTAGTGTATCTTTAAGAACAAGATATATAAATATCTTAAAAATAAAACAAATAAGAGAAACAGTTTTCAGTTGCAGAATTTAATACAGTGGTTCTTAACCTTTTTGGAGGTAATGAACCCCACCATTTTCTTATGCACATTCACCAAACCCTTATTAATAGTTCTTTCATCTGCACTGACAAAACCCAATATTGAATCGTATAAGTTGGGTTAAGTACCACAGATTTAATACAAGATTGAAAACAGTAGTTGTTTATATATATATATATATATATATATATATATATATATATATATATATATATATATATATATATATATATATATATATATATATATATATATATATATATATATATATATATATATATATATATATATATATATATATATATATATATATATATATATATATATATATATATATATATATATATATATATATATATATATATTGGTATTTTTTAAACTTGTTTTTATTAATAAAAATATAAATACAAGTATACATATCAAACCTATATACTCACATTAGTTCACACATCTACACACTCTAACACCACACTCTATCACACATAACCATACACACCAGTGTTATTTCAGCTCTCACATGCCTTTGCCACACATCAACACACTACTACTACACTTTTAACACACATAGCCACACACACACCAGTGTCACAGCAGCATACACACAAGTCATACATTTGCACACTTAATTGCCACATAACCACACATAATACTATTTCTTATTTTAAATGCATTTCTATGCAACAATAACAATTAACTAATAGCTACAATAAATAAAATTTCTGTACACTATTTCAGGGAGAGAAAGTTCTGGTGCTCAAAAGGAAATATAGACCGGGATCCATGTATGGTGACTCAACCAATTCCTCATCATCATCTTCTGCGTCACTTTCTTTGTCCAACTCATCCTCGTATTTGTCCAAGTCTTCAGGATCTAAGCCATCCTTCTCTAATACAACAGCAGCTTCTGAACCAAACTTGATCCCACCAGAGACTTCGATGGAGAGGCCCCCAGAACAAAATGTTTCAGCACGTGCACAGTCTGAACCTCCTTCTGGTAAAAAAAAAATATTTTCCTTTCAATAATTTTTTAATTTTCTAAATTAAAATTGGATGTATTTAATACTAGATGACCCGGCTGTCTGAAACAACTTCAAACAAAACGGGAATTAAAGATACAGTAACTTATTCATTTAGAGCTGAAGATTATTGCAGGGGAAAGCAGTCTTAATTTATCTGAAAAAGTTGTATACTTTTGAATAAACAGTATAATTTATATATTTAATACGAACATTTATTTATATTATCTTTCTTCCTACATTTGTTTTGATAATTATTTACACCCTGTAGGGAGGGTGCAAAATGATTATTTTTACAAATGAAATAAAAAAATTCTTTTAAAAATGTATATAAAGATTAGAGGCTAACATAGCATTAATGTAAAAAGTCTATTTTTTAAAATATCTACAGTCACTTTATTCTAACATTGGCTACATTACTATCCAATAGGTATGAAAAGTCTATGTAATCATACTAAACTTTTGAAAAAAATCTTTTTAAAAATATGGCAAGCGATAAAATTATAGTTACATTTGTAAAAATTAAAGCTGTTTGGGAACCATCGATTACACTCATTTTTATATTTTTGTATCGAATATAAGCTGTTGAAAAGCTGTTTAGAATTATTTTATCAATTCAAATATTTTCAAAATCTGCCCTCAACCTTTCCTTGAAGTCAAACGGAATGGCCAGGAAGAATAAAACAATAAAAGTCAGAACAATTGTTTTCCATGATAAAAATACACATGAGTGATCTATGATGTATAGCATAGTATTGTATTTATATTAAATAATATAACATCCCCAATCACCAAAACACCCTGATTCTACTAATTCAAATAAAAAATAACAGTGTTTGCTAAATTACTCTTATATTACTAGTTATTATTTCTTTGATTATTTTTACCCTTATTGAAACCGGAAGTAATTTTGTACTTATTTCACAAATGTTATAAAAATTCAATTTTAGTTGAAAAATATGCTTTTTGTCAACAAAAATTTGGAACCAGCTTTTCAAATCTTTTACAAATTCAAAAGTCCAAGGGAGACAACACATAACTTTGCTTTCAAATGTTGTTAAAATATAGAATAATTCAATATTAAGAAATAAAAATGCAGTTCATTGTTTTTTATTTTGCAAAACACTATTACTAAAATTATTTTATGTCCTTTCTGATCTTTATACTTTATAAATTTTAGAATTATTATTATTGGATTTGTTTTTTGTTTAAACAGAAAACGCTTAGCTAAATAAATTGAAAAAAGTTTACATCAGCGTTTCTGTGCAATTTGTTGCTGACATTAGCAGTGTTTGATAGCTGGTTGGTTATTTTTTCATAAGTAATGTGTCTATTGGAGATTATGGGATCCAAAGGATAACACTGCTCATAGAAGTGTTATCCCTGCTCATCCACATAAACTCAATAGAACATGTGTTGCACAAACAATAAGCCACATCAATCTTGTGTGTGGGGTGAGGGCAAGCATTAAGAGATGAAAAGATCCATTGGTTTTGTGAGGGTGGCGCTGAGACAAAAACTTTGGAAACATGTCCACACCATCCCATAGATCATAACACAGTTACACATAGATCATAACACAGTTACCTTAGAAACCGATGAAATTTGTCCACAGCCACACCCAGTGACTCCACAGATGGTCCCATGATGTCTCAGATAAAAGATGAACACATGCCTGTTAACTTGATGAAATTTGTCCACAGCCACACCCAGTGACTCCACAGATGGTCCCATGATGTCTAAGATAAAAGATGAACACATGCCTGTTAACTTGATGAAATTTGTCCACAGCCACACCCAGTGACTCCACAGATGGTCCCATGATGTCTAAGAAAAAAGATGAACACATGCCTGTTAACTTGATGAAATTTGTCCACAGCTTCACCCAGTGACTCCACAGATGGTCCCATGATGTCTAAGAAAAAAGATGAACACATGCCTGTTAACTTGATGAAATTTGTCCACAGCTTCACCCAGTGACTCCACAGATGGTCCCATGATGTCTAAGATAAAAGATGAACACATGCCTGTTAACTTGATGAAATTTGTCCACAGCTTCACCCAGTGACTCCACAGATGGTCCCATGATGTCTAAGATAAAAGATGAACACATGCCTGTTAACTTGATGAAATTTGTCCACAGCTTCACCCAGTGACTCCACAGATGGTCCCATGATGTCTAAGATAAAAGATGAACACATGCCTGTTAACCTGAGCAAAACTGATAGAGTCACAGAGCAGAAGAAAATATTTGAAGACAGCGTCAGTGTGTCAGGGTCTAATGTATCTCTGGCTTCTACTGTAAGTTATTGTTTTTTTTAAAGGCGTGGTAATACTGTAAAATACTTTTTTTGTGCTATTATGTTGATTCAGGTGCAGCATTTCATGGCTTCTATTATTGGATCAGAATTTTTGTTTTTGTTAATAGCCAAAATATTTTACAACACTTAAGTTTGTGAATATCAGTAATATTATAGCATGTTGATTCATGTTTATTTTCCCACATTGGAAGTGTAATTTTGTTCAATTTTTTTCTATCATTTTGTTTGTGTAACCAGGAGTCTCAGAGATCAGCAACCTCTAGCACATCGGGTGTGACATCCACTGATGATGATCCTAATGCCTCTGTGATTAGTGTCAGGGACAAAATTAAAAACCTGAACAAAATTTCTTCAGAGGTGGATCTCCAGCAACCAGTTGGAAACAGGAAAAATAACAAATATACAAAGGTATTTGCTTGTTTCTATATAGATATAAACACAAATATACAAAGGTATTTGCTTGTTTCTATAGAGATATAAACACAAATATACAAAGGTATTTGCTTGTTTCTGTAGGGATATAAACACAAATATACAAAGGTATTTGCTTGTTTCTATAGAGATATAAACTCAAATATCCAAAGGTATTTGCAAGTTTCTGTAGAGATATAAACACAAATATATGAAGGTATTTGCTTGTTTCCATAGAGATATAAACACAAATATCCAAAGGTATTTGCAAGTTTCTGTAGAGATATAAACACAAATATATGAAGGTATTTGCTTGTTTCTCTAAAGATATAAACACTAATACATGAAGGTATTTGCTTGTTTCTCTAAAGATATAAACACAAATATACAAAGGTATTTATTTGTTTCTGTAAAGATATAAATACAAATATATGAAGGTATTTACTTGTTTCTCTAAAGATATAAACACAAACATACAAAGGTATTAGCTTGGTTCTGTAAAGATATAAATACAAATATACAAAGGTAAAGATATAATCACAAATATACGAAGGTATTTGCCCATTTCTCTAAAGATATACATACAAATATACATAGGTATTTGTTTGTTTCTCAAAAGATATAAACACAAATATGCAAAGGTATTTGCTTGTTTCTCTAAAGATATAAACACAAATATACAAATGTATTTGCTTGTTTCTCTAAAGATATAAACACAAATATACAAAATATAAACACAAATATTTTAAGGAATTTAGTTTGTTCTTCAATTGAAAATCTCAATATTCTAAAGAATTTGCTTTTTCCTGTGAAGAAAACATAAATCACAAACATACAAAGGTACATTGTTTGCTCCTGAATTACTTAAAATTCAGATATACAGAAGTATTTTGCTTGCCTCTGAATAGATAAAATAAGAGTTGTCCTGTATTTGTATAGTTAAAAATATTCAAAATTGTTTTCCTCGTTCCCTATTTTATCACATCACAACAACAACAAAATAATAGAGAAATGAAAGATATATAACATTTGAGCAGTTTAAAATGTTGATTACTTAGCTAAAAGTTATGTGAATTAAAATATGGAATTCAATTATCAGCAGGGTGTTGATGATGATGACATGTCACATGCTTCAGGAGTTTCTTATGTCACGGTATGTTGATACCTGTTTACAAACCTATTGTGATGAATATTTCAATGGAAAACTCATCTAATTTTCTATTTAATATTTTATTTTTATATTAAGTGTCAAACTTAATTATTCTGTATTATAATTAGCTCAATTAAAGTTAAAAACATATAAAAAAAAACACAAAAATTTTAAGTTTTGGCATTAATTAAAAAGTGTCAACACCTACTAATTTAAAGGGTTAATACATACTAATTTTAAAGGGTTAAGACTTACCACTATTTGAAAGCTGTCACGTTTCTATTTACTAATGTTTCAGCTTACACCAGAACAAAGAGACTGGATGGTAGTAAGTGCAGCCTCAGACTATCATGATATGAATCGGCTGCTCTCCAAAAATCCAAGTCTTGCTAAACTTAAAGTAAGTTTTTCTTTAGCAATTGTTTATTATGCTCTCCAAAAATCCAAGTCTTGCTAAACTTAAAGTAAGTTTTCTTTAGCAAATGTTTATTATGCTCTCCAAAAATGCAAGTCTTGCTAAACTTAAATTAAGTTTTCTTTAGCAATTGTTTATTATGCTCTCCAAATTCCATGCCTTGCTAAACTTAAAGTAAGTTTTCTTTAGCAATTGTTTATTACGTCGGGATAAAAGTTACTAAAGAGTCCAAGAATAAAATACATTGTTATTTATTTATTATTGTCATGTTGTGCCATATTAAAACTATCTTTATGCATAATTATTTGTACAATTTGTATTTAATTTTTTAAATTATTTTTTTTTCAGAATTTTACAAATGTAAGTATGTTTTAAATACAAGAAGAAACCTTAATTATTTATTTGAAAAATTAAAGCAAAATCTTTTTAAAACAATATATTTTTTAAACGACCAACCTATACAACTATTTAAAATGAAATACAATTACCATAATTCAAGCACTTAAATTGAAATTACACTGATTACTTTTTCTTTGCTTGTGTTTATTTTATACTTCTCTCTTTTTTTTTCTCATGATCAAACATAAAAGGGGGTAAGTCCAATTTTTAAACTATAATTATTTTAAAAAATAACTAAAACTAAACATAAACAGTTGCTTGTAAAATTTAGTAGATAGCTATTGATTGCCATCACAAGTATTGATTGGGTGTGCATTTCATTTGAGTAAAAGGTGCATGTATTTTATACTGAGAGACACTTAGCAAGCAGATTTATCATTTATACATTTTATTTTTTATTACCCCTTGTTGCTGTGATGGTACTTTCTTGTTATTCTGGTCACCTTGTGGATTTAAAGTATGTAAGTATCATATTTTTCTACATATTTATCTAGAAATACTTACTTTTCACATTTTTTTTCAGTTTTAAAATATTTTACCATGTGAATTCAACAAACTTTTTAAGCTTTTAAAATTTTCCAACTATTTTAGTGAATAGTTTTGATGCACTTACATATTTATTCAACTTTTTCAGACTGCTCTACACTGGGCTGCCAAAAATGGCAAAATGGAGGTGATCAAACTTATAGCCAACAAGCCAGGTGTTAAAGTCAACCAAAGATCTGTACGTATTTCATGTGATTTAAGCTGCAAACTTGCTAGTTAGCTGGTATTATGTTTGTGTTTATGTTAAAGTCAACCAAAGATCTGTACGTATTTCATGTGATTTAAGCTGCAAACTTGCTAGTTAGCTGATATTATGTTTGTGTTTATGTTTAAGTCAACCAAAGATCTGTACGTATTTCATGTGATTTAAGCTGCAAACTTGCTAGTTAGCTGGTATTATGTTTGTGTTTATGTTAAAGTCAACCAAAGATCTGTACGTACTTCATGTGATTTAAGCTGCAAACTTGCTAGTCAGCTGGTATTATGTTTGTGTTTATGTTAAAGTCAACCAAAGATCTGTACGTATTTCATGTGATTTAAGCTGCAAGCTTCCCCTGCTAGTTAGCTGATATTATGATTGTGTTTATTCATTTTGATACAAGTTTAGCTGGATACTTTGTGTCTAAAATAGTAGATTTATTAAAATTTTGTTAAGGTAAATAATTTTAAAATGTTTTTCCTCTTATTTTTTCCTCATCAACAACAGCATGTGAGTATATTTTGTTTTATATTAGAAAGTAACTCATTAAAGCTATAACAGTTATCAATACAGTAAAGTTTTAAAATAGAGTTTATTAATTAATCTTCAGATTTTGATTGCTAAGAGCGCAACCTTACTTTTAAAAATTAGTATAAGTTTCTCTCTACCTTCCATGTATTTATTCCAATGTTTAAACAACACAGTCAAGAGAGCCTCTCTCTGATTGGTGTTTGACTTGACTCACAGATGGTGCTTGTTAAACTCACACTATTTATACATTTAATCTCCCCCTAAACCAACAAAATAATTTTACTTTTTCAAACATTTTGTTTTCTCTTCGTCATTGGCTCTGATGTCTGATGTTGTGAACTTTTGTAAAATCTTAGGGGGTAAGTTTTTTTGTTCAATTGTTAAGATTAGTAGAAAAAGGAAATCTTTATTATTTACCATTTCTTATTATTTTACCTGCTTGCTTACATTTGTTAACAAAGAAAACTGAATTTCTTTTAAGAAAAATACTTAAGCATTAGAAGGAAAAATTTATTTCTATAATGATTTTACCTGCTTAGATTCTTGGATTCTGTCAGTTAATGTTTACCTATGTGGCTGTATCAAGCGAACTTAGATTTCTAGTAAAATAGTTCTAAATTCTAAACTGAATTTCTTTTGAAAAAAATATTTCAAGCATTAGAAGAAAAAATGTATTTGCTTAATGAATTTGATTCACATCTCTTCCTGGATTTTTTCAGTTAATGCTTTAATGTATGTGGCTGTATCAAGCTCACTTAGATTTCTCGTAAATTAGTTCTAAATTCTATGATTTATAATCTCGCCCCCATGTGTTATAAATGACTGTTTACCTTGCTATTTCCCAGGGATATACGCCACTTCATCTTGCAGCCATTCATGACCATGAATACATCATAGAGCTACTTGTACAAACATTCAGTAAGCTTTTTTTTTATCATTTAAAACACTGAAGTTTACCTTGATCTTAAGAAGGTCTATAACTGAGTTGTTTTTTTCCATAGTAGTACTCATATTTAAAAACAATGGATTTATTCAGAGTACATGTACTCATATTTTTTAATTCTTCGTAGGTGTGGGGTATTGGTCAGGAAAACTGTTAGTTTGAGGTCTGAGTAATACTAAGTTTTAAAATATTGGGTAAAGTTAACCTAGCACCACCTTAAAAATTGAATTTCACCTTGAGCCTGCTTAATTTATTTCATTCATAAATTTTAAAATAGATTCTGAAAAAAATAGAAAGCTTTTTCATGTATATTCCATTCTTGTTTAAGGTTTTAAACATGTTATTTTGAATTTTTCCAGAGGCAGATCCAAATATTAGAGATTACAGTGGCAAGAAAGCCAAACAGTACCTGAAGAACTCAGCCTCATCCAAAGCCCAACGTAAGCGAGTTATTTCTGTTTATTCCAGCCCATCCTATGAGGCTTTGAACACCATAGTAACCAACTCTAACCATGCCCAGTTAAAAACCAAAGCAGGCATTAGATTAGAAATCTCAGATCCTATTCCTATTGACAGTTCCAGCAGTATCTAACAAACACAATGTTATTTTTAGCAGCCTAATTTGTTTATTGAAATAAGCTTTTTAACATATGAGTTGCTTATATACTTGTATTTAAAGTTAATTATTTGAATTTCAGCATAATTGATTATTCATACTTATTTATTCTTGTATTGAACAGTCTTCACTTGGTTATGAATGTAGAAGATGATTCTAAATAATCATTTTATGTTTTTATAAATATGTATTACATTGTAGTCAACATGATTTTTCTTTTAAAAGATTAAAACTGACTAGTAAAAGTATGATACCAAATTTAAAAAAAAAGCATATTCCGTAACATTTTACAGAAACTTAGTAAATACACATTTTTCTGTTCTAAGGTGTGACTTGTTGAGATGGTGATTAATGTAAAACTTCTTATATTTTCTCTTAGGTAATCTTGAATATTGACAGATAGCTGTCTTGTAAACCAAACATTTCATTTAATATTTCTTTTCCAATTAGGTTACAGTTAAATATCATAAACACTAACACTTGTATCAATTTAAATGAAACTGATAAGCCTTTCATATTATCATATAATAACCTTTAATATTATAGGTTTTGGATTGAGGTGAAGCAGAGTCTTCATGTTATGTATGTTTTATTTTGTAAACATTGTGATGGCAACTTTAAAAATATGAAATTTGGTCCAATTTTTTTATAAGCTCAGTATATTGTTTTGTTTTTTACTGGGTGTTTTTTTTTCTTTTTGTAACTGACTTTAAAATAATGCTTTCTCTTAATAACATGTCTAAAAATTTCTTTGATTGTTTTGCCTGGGGCTATTTAGACATTTTTAAAACATTTTGGCTTTAAAAAAATATAGATTGTTTGGTTTGTTCATCTGAGGGATACATGACAGTAGTATTAAATCTGTTTTTTACAATATATTCCAAAGTTAGAGATTGTTAATTTTAGGATAGCATCAAAATGAAGGTGTTAAGTAAAAAGCATGTATGTGTTAACTTCAGAAACAAAATGTCGGTTACTTTAATATAATCTTATTTATTTTATATTAATTACATTATTTCTATTATGTATGGTGAATAGTTTTTGGTTAATTAAATCAGATGTAAAAAGTAAAAGAATGGAAAAATATTGATTCATCTCTACTTGATTAAAATGGGACTTATCTGTAGAATGATTTCTTTTTGTGGCATTTGCAATATTCAAGTCATTTAGAGGGCATTTTATTCCCCATACAATGTACATTAATATTCATACATTTATTTAATGTAAAAGGAATGTTTGTAAATATATACAGAAACTTTAGTCCAGTTGTGCAATACTTTTGTTGTTGATTGGTTACTACTAGGAAAATAAATGATGCAAAAGGGGTTAACTGTAAAAAGTTCTGGATGAGCTTTATTTTAGATTATGGACAATCATTTTTTGCTCACAAGTTGTTTTACCTAAAATTGTATCAAGTCAGGGTTTTGCTTTATAGTTATTAAATTTGAAAATCCTAGTAATTTTACTAATAGTTTTACTACCGAGAGAAAAACTTAAAAAAAAAAACTTGTTAAATGTGACTTATCAAATAAATAAATATCCTTATTCTTAGTATATATAATGCTACACATTTTAATTACACAAAATAGCCTAAAACAAACATGGATAAAAAAATATAAAAAATACACAATAGAACATAAAATTGAAAAAAAATATTTGAATTTTAAATTTCATTTAACATATTCACATGTGTTTTCAAAAGATGTTGAAAATATGTAAAAGTTGAATGGGCAAGGATTTAATAATTAGAACAAATAAAATACAAAAACCTTCAGTTAAGCTGAAGTTTTATTACCAGGGGAATGTTTTAACATTATAACTTGATGTAAAATTTTACATTTTTTTTAAAGCGATACTTTTGTTTTTATATTTTAATTTTTGCGGTTTTAAAAATAATAATCTAGAATCAGCCGAAGTTTAAATTATTTATGCCATAATATTTAACATACTTTTTCTATCCACAGATTTAGAAAAAAATTTTTTTACACCACATCTTGTAATGTGCCTTATTGGCCTTTGTATATTACCTGGTCATTGTGCCAAATTGTATAAGTGGTTATGCTTGTCATTGCAAATTGAATACTGTTTATCTTTTTTTTATCTTACTAGTCTTGAAATAATAGGTTGAAATTGTATTTGAATTTATTTATTCTTAGTCTATCTGGCAGCTCTTGATCATGTTTACTCTTGTAAAACTTGCCAGATTTTCCACAATAATCAAAGTGTAGTACTTATGTGTCTTCACTAGTAAAGGTTCTAACCAGTTTAGGGTTACCATAACCTACCATTTTATCTCCTTACATAGCCTTATTTGCTTAGTGTGGCTGGGAATGTTAGTTTTAGCACCAGTCTAACTTGCAATTTTTAAGGAAAGCAAATTTTTAGAGTTTCCCATTATAATGATACCTTGATAATATTGGGGAAAGCAATTTTTAGATTTACCCGCTATCTTTATAATATTGGGTGTAATTTTAAAGTGCAACTTATTTATCATTTACAGGTATTTGTGTAATTCTGTTTATTTTTTTTATAGAGCTTTTAAAAAACCTCAAATTGTATACACATGTATATCTTATAGCGTAAGGGTCAGATAATATAGTTTTTGTTACTTACCTTTATTACAGTTTTTACAGGCAGACATCAATACACATTTTATTTCTAAATTAGTTAGGTCAAATGTTTTGTGGTCTATCTTTGAACCATACTGACCTTTGAACTTCATACATTTTCACTCAGACTGAATACTACTATGTAACAACAAATAATAACAGCTATTCATTCTGTGATCAGAAAAATAAAGAACAAAGTTTACATACATTTGTTTTTTTTTCCTTCTTGCTTATACTTGATATTTTAACATTATGTTTGATTCAGTTTCCAGCCGTACCAGTTATTACGGAGCCAGGCCGAAAAGCTTCCATGGTATTTCAATTTTTATTTTAGCAGTTAGCCATTGTACTCATAGAGGAAGGCATCTGTATTGCAGTGGATATGTACATTCTTATGCGTTTAGATGCTCCAGAATTCAACTGCATGATTGAGATCTGTAATGCACCTTTTCTCCAACATTATGTGTATATATAATCAAGAATTTTCAAACCAAATATCGGAAACCCCACAGCATGCTGGTGATAATTAGAAATTTATCTTTGTACAGTAAGATAAACAACTTCCTATTGAAAAATATAAATTTATTTTTTGGCTAATTGATAACGTTAAGATATTGTCAAATATGATGAAGAAACTGCAATTTAATTGACATATTTTAAGTGGCTGGATAATTGTTCTACTTACGATTACTATGTTAACATTTTCCAAAGTAAAAAAAAAACGAATAATTCTCATATTTATAATTATATTTTTAATGGAAGTTAACATTATAAGTTAAAAAACAACACATTTTATGTATTTATTAATAAATATCATTTGTTATTCTAGTCATTGGAGTGAACAGATAAAATTTTTTTAAAACCTCAAGCAACAATTTAAAATATTTTCTTATACCTAAAATGTGTATTCTGTTGTTCAGGTCTAATACTTTCTTTGTCTTGAAAAATATCGAACACTTTGATAATCAATTTCTCATTTTATTCTAAGTTAGCATAAAATTCTTAGGCTGTTCCTGAATGGTTTGATTGAATTCCTGGTTGTGTTGTAAATTTTGGCCGTCCTTTCTACCAGGCTGTGAGTATTCTTGCTGATTACCCCCCTCCCCCATTTCTCCTGACTGTTTTTTTTTTGTATCAGTATGTTTGATTGTGCTGCACTGTTCTTGGCCCTTACTGAATGTGAAGCTTGTTTAATTTTCATTCATTTTCAGTTGTAGTTTAACACTTTTTTGAAATCATTGGTCCTTAGTGAATATAAAGCTTGTTCAATTTTCAATCTTTTTTTCATTTTCAGTAGTAGTTTAACAAATTATTTTCAATCGTTGGCCCTTACTGAATGTAAACTTGTTCAATTTTCAATCCTTATTTCATTTTCAGTAGTAGTTTAACAAAATATTTTCTATTGTTGGCCCTTATAGAAAGTAAAGCTTGTTCATTTTTCTTTTCAGTAGAGTTTAACAAAACAATTCCTCCTACTGTTTCTTTTGTTTGACAGACATTGTGTATTTGAATGACATTTTTAATAAGTTTAAAATATACTTGTGTTGGTAATTGTTACTTGGCTGTCAGAATTTTAAAAATTTGCCTTCAATTCACTTTAGCGAACAAGCAGTCTTTAGTTTTATTTTTTATTTTTCTGTTGCTCAGCTATTGTTGTTTGATATCAGCCAATGTTGTGAACACTCAAACCCAAGTGGTGATCTCCCTCTAGTAGTCCTTTCAGTAGCATTTTTTAACTCATTCCCTAGGATCGCTTCCCTTTATTTCATGGGCTAAATTATGATTTTATTTCCTAGTGGAATCTTTACTTCAGGAAATTTAATTTTATTTATTGTACCAATATAAATAAACAGTTAATTTTTTCATATCACCATTGTTCTATAATTTCAATTAGGGAAATTACATTTAGACAATTGAGAAATAGTCAGCATTGTTTTATTAATAATATTATTATACAACACCATAACTATCTTCTCCCTGTAACATGCTTGTATCTTCACAATTATTCCCAGTAAAACTATGTAGTATTCATTTTGCTTTAGTGACTTGTTTAAAAAGTATATTTCTTCTATTAAAGTAAAGTTGCTAGAATCATACTGTAGAGTATAATTCAATCTACAGTATTTGAATCTTTCATGCATTTTTCATGTAATTTCTGCCATTTATTGCTATTGCCTTAGTGCTGGATATCTACAGCATGGATTTCTATCTCCATATTTTTATGGGTAACTTATTATGTGATGCCACTGGAATATTAAAAAGTATATTTTTGGGATAAATTTAAAACGCTGCATGATATCCTCTTATAGAGTTGAATTTAAGAAAAAAAACACCTCTTCAGCAGTATAAAATCCTCTCCTAGCTTAAAATATAAACCACTCACTTGCATGTATAGTTACAGTTAATAGTGCTATGTTGTATTTTTAGTTTTTTTCAGTAAAATTTATTGTATGCTTCAGTTTTTAGAGTAGTCTTAAGAGACAAATATTTGAATGTTGGGTATTAATCATAGACCCTATGTTGTAAAATAGAATTTAATTTTTTTGTTTTGTTTAGCCTCACAGCATCTACAGACATCAGGTGATGGTAGAACCTAATGTGTGTGCTAAGGTTAAAGGTGGTGGTATCCGAAAACTGGAAGAATGTTATCATAATATAATGATATATCCAAGATACATTGCTTTGTTTCATTGAAGTTTCAGCCACAGCATATCCAATACTGCTCCAGCTTAACATTTACAATTGCTCTTTATGAAATTTAATCACAGCGTTTTAACTGTATGAAGCTCTCAATTACAAATGCTGTTAAAACGTATGGTTATATTTATTGGTTGTATATTTTATATTAGCATCTAAAAAATGTTTGCACTCTGCATTGGATTGTAAAGCTGCATGAAAACCTTTTAAAACAAATCTGATTGTTTTTGCTGTGTTGCCGTGCCTACATGCAGCCCTTTTATTGAATGCAAAAACTATTTTCAAGCATTTATGTTTTATGTATTGTATTAGATTTTAATTCATCTAAACCATGCTTATGCCTGCATGGTTGGGACTTCAGAATTTATATTCAAATTATATTTTCAGTGTCAATCAACTATAATTGCATCTTCTACATTATTGCATCTAATTTAAGTTTTTATTACCCACAGATATTTAACATATCTAAGATATTTACTTACCCCATCATGCTTGAATTGAAATATTTAATTTTCAGGTGGCTAAGAAAAATGTAATTATTATAATTTTGATTGCTGTAAATTTTACAGTTAAAGTATACTTTTTAGAAATAAAAGCGCATTAAAGAAAAAGTTTTACTTTGAGCTAAATATAATTATTTAAAAATGTTATAAATTTTTAAACAACTACCAGATGTACAAAATATTTCTGTAATTGACTATTCAAATGCATGCAATTAGCTACACTTGAACAAGCCTACTTGCACTGTCCTTATTTTACTTTCTATCCTATTAAAGAATAAGTACTATAAGTTGATTATATTTAGTTTTTCTGATATTATAGGCAAACTTTAAAATAATTTTAGGCACATTTATTAATTTAATATAGATATAGCAGTATTAAAATACAGATTGTAACTTTTTAAAAACTAAATCCTTGATATGTTTTGTTTTCAATTAATAGCACATAAACTCCGGAGTAAGTATTGTAATATTTTTTGTACTTGACTGTTGATGTATAATATTTGTTAATTAAATTTTCTTAAAATTCCTACAGAGCTTCTTGCATCTAAACGGTTGGGTTCAGAACTGAGAGACCAGAGTGAGTCCCCTTACTTTTATTTTACTACTTTCACTGTTGTCAATTCTATATGCCTATAAACATTCAGCCTAAATTTATTAGAAATGTACTAGAAACATAAAATTATAGTTGGACCATGGTATCAGTTAAAAAATGTCAGTACACTGTGTTTTAGTATGGTTAGGAGTGGTCAAGCACATTGTTCTTTAAGTTTGGTTTACTGGTAATCTGGGGGGTGTCCCTAAGTCCACCCAGCTCTGATGGGTACATTACTAACGTTAGGTAAACAAAAGGTGGCTGGGCATGGTAGAAATCAAACTATTCCTTCATATTCAGAGGTCACTTAAACAGGTCACTTTACTTCACTTGCTTGATTTTTGAAAGCGTAACTACTTTAAAAAAACAAAAATTTACTATTATATATAAATTACAAATTTTCTTTTTATAATCTTAAGACATGGATGATTCATTTGTACGATCGTCAACACGCATGAGCAACCGAGCCAAAGCAGTCTCGTCTATGCTGATGTTTAAGTCTGAAAGTGCCAGACAGCTGCTGCGGTCCAGTTGGAATGGCTCTGGGTCATCAGAGAACCTTCGGACACCACCAGACAGTACAGACTCGTCTCCCAAGTCCTTCAGAAAAAAGGTTGCCAGATAAATATATATTTTTTTGTTTCAAACAATGATAAAAACTCGGGTCGTGAAAAATGTTCAGAAAACAGGTTGCCAGATAAATTAAATTTTTTTTTTTAAACAAATAAAAACTCTGGTCATGAAAGGTGTTCAGATTCAAATTTAGATTCACATCTCAAAACTTCAAAATTCAACATTTTCTACCACTGCTTTTACCTTTATTAGTCGATTATGTTCATGATACTTCTTTTAGTAAGCTTTACAATGTTATTAAATATGCATTTTTGCAATTTTGTTTATAGTAACATATTGCAATACAATAACTGTAAGACTATTGAAATTTGAATCAATTGTAAAATCTCCTGTGGTCTGACCACCAGGACCTTGACCTGATGCCCCCACCCTCTAATGCCATGATGGGCAGAAGAACACGGCGCAATGACCGGTCCAAGTCATCCAGTCGGGAGAGCTCACCGAGATCTGGGTAACCCTAACCGTTCTAGTAACCCTAACCATTCTAGTAACCCTAACCATTACAGTAACCCTAACCATTCTAGTAACCCTAACCATTCTAGTAACCCTAACCCTAACCATTCCAGTAACCCTAACCATTTCAGTAACCGTAACCACTCTAGTAACCCTAACCATTTCAGTAACCGTAACCATTCCAGTAACCCTAACCATTCCAGTAACCCTAACCATTCCAGTAACCCTAACCATTCCAGTAACCCTAACCATTCCAGTAACCCTAACCATTCCAGTAACCCTAACCATTCCAGTAACCCTAACTATTACAGTAACCCTAACCATTCCAGTAACCCTAACCATTCCAGTAACCCTAACCATTCCAGTAACCCTAACTATTCCAGTAACCCTAACCATTCCAGTAACCCTAACCATTCCAGTAACCCTAACCATTCCAGTAACCCTAACCATTCCAGTAACCCTAACCATTCCAGTAACCCTAACCATTCTAGTAACTTAACCATTCCAGTAACCCTAACCATTCCAGTAACCCTAACTATTCCAGTAACCCTAACCATTCCAGTAACCCTAACCATTCCAGTAACCCTAACCATTCCAGTAACCCTAACCATTCCAGTAACCCTAACCATTCTAGTAACCCTAACCATTCTAGTAACCCTAACCATTCCAGTAACCCTAACCATTCCAGTAACCCTAACCATTCCAGTAACCCTAACCATTCTAGTAACCCTAACTATTCTTGTAACCCTAACCATTCTATTAAACCTAACCATACTACATACTTATATCCCCTGATGATAATAGGAGTGATCATATAATGGAGGTTTTGTTGTTAATGTAATGGTGGGGTCACAGGGCTTGAAGTGTGCTAAGTAGTGAGGTATGCTGTAGTGAGGTATGCTGTAGTGAGATATGCTGTAGTGAGGTATGCTGAAGTGAGATATACTGTAGGGAGGTATGCTGTAGGGAGGAATGTTGTAGTGAGGTATGCTGTAGTGAGGTATGTTGTAGTGAGGTATGCTGTAGTGAGGTATGCTGTAGTGAGGTATGCTGAAGTGAGATATACTGTAGGGAGGTATGCTGTAGGGAGGAATGTTGTAGTGAGGTATGCTGTAGTGAGGTATGTTGTAGTGAGGTATGCTGTAGTGAGGTATGCTGTAGTGAGATATGCTGTAGTGAGGTATGCTGTAGGGAGGAATGTTGTAGTGAGCTATGTTGTAGTGAGGTATGTTGTAGTGAGGTATGCTGTAGTGAGGTATGCTGTAGTGAGCTATGTTGTAGTGAGGTATGTTGTAGTGAGGTATGATAAAGTGAGATATGATATATTGAGGTATGATAAAGTGATAAACAATATATTCAGGTATGCTGTAGTGAGGTATGCTGTAGTGAGGTATGCTGAAGTGAGATATACTGTAGGGAGGTATGCTGTAGTGAGGTATGCTGTAGTGATGTATGCTGTAGTGAGGTATGCTGTAGGGAGGAATGTTGTAGTGAGGTATGCTGTAGTGAGGTATGCTGTAGTGAGGTATGATCAAGTGAGATATGCTGTAGTGAGGTATGCTGTAGTGAGATATGCTGTAGTGAGGTATGCTGTAAAAAATAAGTTTGACTAATTTATGCCAAAGGTCACACAATTTGAAGTAAATGATGAATAAATTAGTGACCTGCCCTTGATTTTTCCAGTTTCTTGATTTGACCAAGTCTGACATAATTATCTGAATGTTTTTATGTTAAAACCTGTTGCAGAAGTTTTACCATAATCCTAATTTAATTACAATTTGTTTTTTGTAGACGTAAAAATGACATCAACCAGAATGTAACAAAAGCCAGCTCTGATTCCAACCTGCCCACCTCTGAATCTGTGATCATGTAGCAGAAATCTGGCAAACACAACTCATGTTGACATCACATTTTGGCAATATCTGCATGAAAAAGGATATTTAGAGCTGAAATCTTGCCTAGTGTTTAATATTTCAGTCAAATGTTTAATATATCAATGCACAAAAGATATGGTAGTGGTTTTTTTTCTCTCCAAGTACTTAAGAATTTACTCTCTTTTTTTGTTACTGCAAATATTTATGAAATTGAATTTTTTTTTGCCATGCTTTAACTTAACATCTTACTATTTTAAGGCCTTGTTATTTTAAAACCTTTCATTTAAATGTTATTAAAATTATTTTTTTTTGCTTGTAAAATATACATTTTTCAGAATTAGAGGCCAAAGATAATATAGTAATCTATACTGTTCTATCTCTTTAATCATTTTGATTGTTGTTGCCCGCTTAAAATAATTTAATTTAAATTTAAAACTTTAATAAGATTCACTTTTTTCTAACTTATTATTTGTACTTTCTCTACTTAAAAATAATTCTGTTTCTATTTATAATTTTCTATAATCTTCTATGATAACTTACATATCACCCAACACTGGCTTGTCCAGATATTTATGGAGTGGTAAATTACTTGCAGGATCACAGACACACAGTTGCCACGTTGGCCTATTAGTGACCAATTTTGGATAAACATATTTAAACTAGGGTTAAATTTTGTTTAAATTCTAAAATATACTTTAAAATTTTAGAATCGTTTCACAAATAATTGTACATTGTTTTTCTTCCAAGTTAACTAACATAAGTTACATTGGCCTAAACTAAAAATATTACACTGTTACTATTAGCCTTTTTTCTTCTATTTTTGAAAATGCTAAAAAACTAAAAATAGAAAGGTGTTGTAGAGCAGTAATTGGTGCAAATTTAGTCTTCCAAAATTTGATATTGGCTGATAATTTATTAATCAGTTATCTTTTGATAATTTGTTTATCAATTTATGTACATCAGGAGTAATTGTTGTTAATTAATAACATAAAAAATGTTTAATGTTATATTTAGAAGTGCTGTTTTTGTAAGCAGCATTTAGCTTGAGATTTTTGTTGATTGAATCTATCTAATCAGAAATGTACCCAGAGCTTGACTACTGTGGCAGTAGCCTGAGGTAGCTAGAGCTGGGCTACAGCTGTTAAGCCACAGCTGTTGGGCTACAGCAGCTGGGCTACAGCAGCTGGGCCACAGCTGTTGGGCTACAGCAGCTGGGCTACAGCTGTTGGGCTACAGATGCTGGGCCACAGCTGTTGGGCTACAGCAGCTGGGCCACAGCTGTTGGGCTACAGCAGCTGGGCTACAGCTGTTGGGCTACAGCAGCTGGGCCACAGCAGCTGGGCTACAGCAGCTGGGCTACAGCTGTTGGGCTACAGTAGCTGGGCCACAGCTGTTGGGCTACAGCAGCTGGGCTACAGCTGTTGGGCTACAGTAGCTGGTCTACAGTAGCTGGGCTACAGCAGCTGAGCTACCAGATGAAGACAATATAAATAGTAGCAACACAGTGGAAATGATACATTTTTCTTGTTACATTGTCTTTCAGTGACTTTTTTCTCTTCCATTTAAAACTTGATAGCTAAGCAATATTCTGTTATGAACGAACAACTTATTGTAATTATATGTTGACTTAAGTCATTGTGAATATTTGTTTAAATTTGGTGTGTGGTTGCTAAGTGCTTGCTTGAAGGCAGTGTTGAACACACTTATTGGGTGGTTAAAATATTCAGGTAGATTTGAATAAAACACCTAGATAGATCACAACAGTGGTATACATACACCACAACAGTGAATTATAAAAATGACAAACTTACAAGATAAATATGTTTTAAAAATCCATCATGTGGTTGTATAGATATTGTCCACTCATGCTCCCTATACAAAAATGATCCTCCTGTGCATGTAGTATTGCAAAACATACTCTTTCATGCCTATTTGTAATTATATAAACTATTGTATTGTAACTTTAGATAATTGAACTTGTTATGTACATATATTATAATTTGTGAAAGCTGTAAGAGCTGCTTGATAAATCCATATGCTGCTTGATTATTTATTGCATTTATTAAGACAATTGATTATTTTTTGTTTAGTTTAGTTAGACATTCTGCACTAGAACTAGTATTTTATATAGGTGGCCACATTTCTTCCTTCACTTCAAGATTCTAGCTTGCATTTTAGTAAATTAGTTTATTATGGAAAATTAGTTTCAAATTCTAGTATATTAACTTTATTTATGGACATTAGCTTATTTTTTTTTAAAGATACTAGCTTACAATTTAGGATTTTAACTTACGTTTTAGATCATAAAGTAAGCATTGTATTTTAATGAATATTGTTGCCGTTGTTTTAGGTCTCTTATTAAAAATTAGAAATTTTAATGGTTACCTCCCTTTGATCGTGTTGGCTGATAATTATGTTTTTCATGTTGTAGAGATAATCATTTTTTTCCAGCTTGTTATGTGTCCGTGTTAGTGTTATGTTTTTGTGCTGGTTTAAATTCGCCATCTCGATTGTCACATTAACACAGTGGGTAATGTCAAAAGTTGGCTTTAAAGTTTTAGTAGAAGCCATTGTTTAGATCCTGTGGTCTTTGCTGTGGCTTATTACAACTTGTATTTGTTGTTTTTTTTGTGGTCGATCAAGAAATAAATGGTTGCATACTTGTGCAGGTTTTCTTTACAGCTATTGTTGTAATTTATTCTTTTTTTTTTTACGTAAAAATGATTTTAAAAACAAATCTGTTTAAAACTTAGATCTGCATTTATAGCTGTTTTTCCACAGACAAATAAAAACATTTAATGCGGTATTACAATAGTAAAAAAGTATATTAAAAAGTTTTTTTTTATTGCGGGAGTCATGGTTGGGGGAGGAAGAAGGGCGTGCCAGGTATTTTTTGCCAGTTGGTTTTGAAGGCTCCTCTTGACAAAATGAAAAGTTTAATTTAAAAATCTCATTAAACCAAAAAGCATAGCGGGCGTGCAATAGGTGTGAATCGTTTTTAAGTCCGCTCTTTTTAAACCTGGGTCTTTTAACTGGCTGCCCCACAATATGTGTGTACTTTGTGACATAAGTTGTCAAATTAACGTCCAAGTAAAACATGTCACTTTTTTTTAGATTGTCTGAAAAAATAAACAACAACCGGAAACCGTTTGCCGGAAGGGTTTGTCATTGACTACATTAAGTAATGCTTGTCTATGTAACCTCGGCATACCCACCAACCACTAGAAAAATCCAGAGAAGTGCGATGGTCACCAAACTCTGGATACCGATCTCCTCTTTTCAAGAAACTTGACTACATTAACTTTTTGAGCCTAAATCAAGGGAAACTATTTAAATGATAATTTAAATTACTTAATTTATTTAATATTAAATTTTATAATATTAAATAATTTAATTTTTTTACCAGTTAAATAACCCACGTCTACTAGAGAGCAAGCGTCCATCATAAAAGAAACAGGTAACTAGTTCTTAGTGCCACAAATGAATCATCAACATCAAATGGGGTAATTGGTGTTGAAAAGCACATAAGACCACAGTAGATTTAGTCGATCAAGGCTCGATGGACACTATGTTTATGTAAGCGGACGTAAAAGAAAACAGCACATACAAATATGTATTCGCTATTACATATGCACTAAATCGGAAGTGATTATTTTCATATAATTAGCGGGGACAGTATGTGCCTTTGGTGTGACCTTACGACTTACGGGCTCTCCCTAGGCGCGGACATCCGGGAAAGCATGTTGTGCGTCGGCGGTTTACATTACATCACGAGGATGGGTAGAAATAAAAATTTGGGCGGACGTCCTTTACACCATTGTGCTAATTGTGTTAGGGGTCATCCATAAATGACGTCACGCTTTTTTTGACGATTTTTACCTCCCCCCCCTCCCCTCCGTCACACGTCGTCACAAAAAGCCAGACCCCCCCCCCTAAAATGACGTCACACCTCAACCTACAACCCCCCTCAAAATTGCAGTTGAATTTTTTTTAACATCGATATTTTTCCAAAATCTTGTCTAAACTATTACAATTTATTAAAACAGTTATCTAAAACGCGAAATAAGGTCTAAAATTCGTTTTCGAACATTGCTTTTTTATAATGCAAAAATGTGACGTCGCAACATCTGAACCTACCCCTACGAGTGTGACGTCATTTATGGATGACCCCTTACCGTAGCGGAGCACACGTATAAGCTAGTTTCATATACTGCTAGCTTTTTGGTTTCTAGAGAGACCATCGCCCTTCCTTGAAATGCGCGTCGCACACCACCACGCTGACAAAGGACCAATACCGATGACTGACGGTCGGAAGGACGGAACGACACACAACCTAGCCGCTTATATTTCGCACCCTCCAGGGGCGCCGCCCTTGCGAAATAAAAAAAAATGAACGGTGTCAAACCGTAATCGACTTTTATGTTTATATGTGTGTCTGTAAACACGACAACTTCAGTACTGTTACAGCTAGCTTGATGAAATTTCATACATAAGTATAATATCAAAATTGTAGATCTGTATAAAATTTTCAGCGATTTCCGATAACCGGATGTTGCACTTTTTTTACTTTAAATTTTTCAAAAGCCTATAACTTGTGTATCATTTCAGATAGATAAATGAAATTTCACAAGTAACTAAAAGATCTAATTATCTGCCTTCTGTAAACTTTTGAGTAATTTCCGTGACCGGAAGCAGTAATTTACGCTATTTCCGATTTCTCAAAAAACGCATGTGAATTTATAAAGTACTAATAATATCCCGCACTATTAGGCACATTTTGTTTGGCGTTCACTTGGTGTGCGATTCTTTTTTCTACGAGATTCTATTCTATTTTAAAAAGTTTAAGTAATTAAAGATGGATTAAAAATATTGTCTCTATACCGAGTTGCCATCCCCCCGTAGCGTTATATAAGAATATTCGAGAAAGTCTAAGGGAGATCACTCTATGTTTATTATATATGTAGATGGCCAAATTCCCTCCTTTACTTCAAGATTTTAGCCTGCATGTTAGTAAATTAGCTTACGTTATGGGATATTTGTTTTAAAATCTAGGATATTAGTTTTATTTATGGACATTAGCTTATTTTTTTTAAAGATACTAGCTTACAATTTAGGATTTTAACTTACGTTTTAGATCATAACGTAAGCATTGTATTTTAATGTACATTGTTGCCGTTGTTTTAGGTCCCTTATTAAAAATTCGAAATTTTAATGGTTACCTCCCTTTGATCGTGTTCGCTGATAATTGTGTTTTTACTTTCTCGTATATACGTAGTATAGAGAAAGTATTGTAATCGTGCAAAAAAAAAAAAAAAAAAAAAATCGAGAT